CAATTTTCTTCCTGCTTGTCTAACACTACTGCTTTTACAAATAACACTTTACCTGAAACTATTTTGCAGTTTAAGTAGGTCAATAATGAACGCCATGATTGAATATTTTTCATAAAAAGAGGCTTAATTTATTCCCATGTATAAAGTTTTTGCATGGTGCTTAAGGAAAGAAGTGTGATGTTTAGTGAAACTTTACCTCTTGATAAAAGCAAAGCAAAAAGAAGATGGTGAAGAGATTAGCGAGAGGCCATAACCACCAAGCTCCATTGCAAATCTCATTACGATGACATTTTGTTGAGCTCATTGTTTCCGTGTAACCTTGAGAACAATGACTGCATAATGTTCCTGTTCTATATTCACGACAGACATCATAACTCAAGCAAGGTTCACGATGACAACAATAACCTTTGGGGCAAGGCAGCATTTCAACCTTTTCACCGACCACTCTTCCCCAAAAATTTGCTTTGGCTCGGATTGTACCGTTACACGATGCTCCGTTCGGACATGGGTGACATTTCGCGTCTTTCTTCGTTCCGTTGGTAATATACCATCCACGTGACATTGTGTAAAACATGTCCTGACAAGGTTTACACACGAAAGAAAATCTGTGATAAGTTTGGAGGTCTTCTCCCTTATACGATTTCTTCATTTCAATTTTGTACGTGTAAAGCGTTTCTTCGTAGCTGTATCCTTTTGGACAGTGAAATTCACTGATGCTGTTCATCTTTAAAACCGAGGGATTACCATCGTAGAAAAATATAGGCTTGCCCATGTTGTTTGAAGCAACATCGAATTTATTTTTCCTTTTGAATGCACATTCGGCCTTGTCAATGAATATAATACTCCCTTCAATGCGACTCCATAAAGACGGTCTGTTTTTAAATGTCGAGTTGTCAAAATTTATTGTCGACGGTTTTTCCCCTACATTCCCGAAGTAAATGGTACCTCCAGCTTTGGATGCCGCATTATTTTCAAATCTTGAGACTTTGATGTTGAATCGGCCTCCCGATGCATGTAATGCTCCCCCGCTCACGGATGCCTCGTTCTCTACGAATTCACACTTATCAAATTGGACACTCTTGTTTTTCCAGTCGGAGAACCACACCGCCCCACCGCTGACAGCTTTATTTTTGATAAAAGTGGAGTCTCTAATCAAGAGAATATGCGGTTTGGTCGTTAGCCAGTTCGATAAATTAAACCACATAGCCGCGCCAGTGCCATTTTCAACTGTATTATTTGTGAAATTCGTGTTAAATACGTTGATGTTGATAGAAGCGGAGTACTTCGCTCTTTTCTTTGGTTTTTTGAACCATTTCTGACAGGCAGTGATGTTTATCATGGAGTTTTTTCTCCCGAAATGATTCAGGAAGTGCGACTTGAATATATTCACAATATTTTTTTTCAAAGCTGTGACGATATGAAGAGGTGAAGTTTCAACCGTGTCATCGGTTTTTTGTGTTTTATGGATCAACCGACTGCTCATGTCAAAAAGTGCGTTTTTTAGAGTCAGTCTCAATATCCAGCTTTGGTCTGTCGATCTTACGTTTATATATTTGCCATAAAACTTCGTCGCTGTTAGTTTGAGAACGGTTTGGTTACAACCTGCCATTTCAATAGCATTTCCCGATTCACCAATTATTTGTACTTTGTCCATCGTCAGGTAACACAACTGAGAATTTCTCCAATAAACATCGATATTGTTTTTATGAAGATTTACATTTTCAAGAAACAAATACACTTTGTATGTAGGCACCGAAAATGAGAATGCAATGTTTGAATTTGTGATTTTCATTTTTACAATTATTACGCTGTTTAGTTTTTTCAGATTCTTCCTTATTCCCACCTTCAGAAAATCCAAACCGTTGCAATCTATAAGGGGGGCATTGTGATGACCAGTCAATTTAAGGGGCTTGGTTAGAACAATTGGGCATTCTTTATAAGGTTTCTTCGTTGCCAGGATTTTTATAACATCATTTTCTTTCGCAATCTTAACTGCTTCTACTATGGATGGACATGGTTGATCTTCTTCACCACAACCTTTCGCATCAGTATATGCAGTGTTTGACACGTATATATTTTTTGTTTCCAATCCTAAAGCATAAATTGAAACGTCATACCGCGAAAGGACCACGGGTACTTTAGGTTACATTATATGAAATGCATTCTATGACTGTAACAGAAAGGACACACTATGTAAATTTGTGCATGTGCTCAGTCGCTGTTTTTTCACAAAGAATACACTTTATGTTATTAGACACATTCTTTTCATCCTTACATCTCATTTTTAACTGCTATCATGACTAAAGGGTAGCGTAAAGCACAGTTGACAGTCTATCTGTCGTATTAAGCACAAAGATGATCGATACTTCCTATAATTAACCCTCTGTTTCTCGAGTTCCTTTCAGTAAAGTTTTGCATCTCGAGCTAAGATGAGTCGTTAACGACAGCAAAGCGCAAGACTGTAACTGATGCAAAGCCATAAAATGATACTCACCCGACAGGAATATCGTGAAAACACAAAATACGGCGAATATTAAGGAAGTTGAAGTCATCTCTGATCATCTATTGGATCTAAAAGAATTCACAAGTACGCCTCGTTTACGATTCGGCACTCCTACGTGCACTGCGGGAAATCTATATAAAATTATCCTATGTTTACCTCGAGTTGCTAAGTTCTATTATTTTACAATGATACTCAACAAGCGTTTACTCGATTCTATTCTAAATGCAAGTGTTTGTCATTTTATGGATGTTTTCTTTTGTTTGTGTAACGCATCGTCTGGTTGAATGTTACGGGTGTGTATTGACACACTTTAGCTACAAAAATATCGTCTTGCCTTTGTCACATGGCGGACTTAAGCGTACTTAACAAAATGCTTTTGAGTGGGGAAATGTTATGTCAAGTTATTGTTGATCTTTCAATAATAATAAACGATAAAACATTTCTAGCGTTTCCATAGCTTATATACGAGTAAATGGCAACGAGCTTCAGCATGTGCTCGTTTCAACATTTTACTTCGTCTTAATTAAGTATGGTGGATTGCCCGCGAACACGTCTCAGGCAGGTGTTGTTTTTGTTTTATGAAGTAAAACCTAAACCTAAAGCTACGTACTTTATTTGCAAATTTTTAGAATAAAAACTTCTAAAAATTTTCTGAGGATTTTGTTTCGTTGATGTTATGGCATGTTCGACTTGAAATGAATATTTTGATTAGCAAGTGGCGACATTATTTAAAACAATTCTTTTCTTGTACTGAATAGATCAATATAGCAGAGTCTTTATAGCAACAACTTGCTTCTATGTTTGTATCGCCCATCCTTAGCATTTGTGAGACGAAAATTTGCTCAACGCTAATTAGTCGCTAATGTATTCTTCTCTTTTATGAAACTTCAAACTTTAGCGAAGAACACGCAAGAAAAACCAATCAATCATAGCGCCTGTAGGAAATTAAAACATCGAATACTTACGAGGAAAGTGTTCTCCTAGAAATCCAAAGCTTCTGCGTTGACGTATTGTTAATTACAAATAGTATAATTCCAGGAGAATAGTTTCTTCGAAGAACTTGTGCTCGCAGTTCTTGGAAGAGGATCATGTGTTGTAATTCAATTCCTTTTGCTTACTATACACAGAATTCGACTTCGCAATTGAATTCGTGTGGACAGAAATACTTTAGAACGGTTTTACAGTTAAGTATGCAGTTTCAAATGTATCCAAATTCGTGTGGACTTGGCTTAATGGATTTATTTATCATTAAATACTTAGCATTCTTCTCTATTTCACCCACTGATCTGAAAATAGACTGGATATAGCTTCTATAGTTAGCAAAAGTGAAGCCTAATTATATATGCAAAATTCACTTCCTGGTGCCACAAGAGATACAAATTACTATAGAAATGTATGGCGGATAACTTTTATATACAAGGATTTTCGAATATTTAAGGCCTTTCGTGACCTTTTACTGGTGTGAAACATCTGTCATTGATAAAACAAGTTATGTTAATCAATTTGACATCAAAATGATACCGATTTCTGAAAAATATCGGCGTTCGTGTTAAATTGAAAATTGCTCGTGCAAGAATCGAATTTGCGCCATCGTTGCAAAGGCAGGATAATTCACAGCTCATTTTTCAAGTTCAGAGGCAGTTATGATCTAGAATGAGTTTCGATGCTTAAAAAATTCATTTTGTACTTTTCTTTTATCATTCTTTAATATCTAGACATTGTTGCATGTAACTTTTGCCGTGACTTCATTAGCTGGGTACTGTTGTTGTAGGAACAAGACAAATTTACTAAGTTTTCTTCCTCACTTTATTCTTATTGTTTCGCAAACATTGCAGATTGTTTCGCAGATTATTTCACAAAGTTTTATGTACCTCTCAATTTCATACCGTTCGTTCTCTATTAATTTAATAATATATTTCTCTTTGTTTTGTGTTGTACCCGTTGGTATGCGTATATATGGTTATCAAATAAAAGTGAAATTTGAACGTAATTTCTCAAGTTAAATAACGTTTCGATGAAAAGTGGCCTTAATACGAATTAATACTTATGGTAGTATTAAAGAAGAGAAACACTGCACATTTAATATTATTACACAACCTACCGTGTATTGATGTATCAAGTTAAATATATTTGTATTGCTGATTTTGTGAATAATAAGCATTTCCAGGTTTTGTTGATGGTGCTCAAATATGTTAACAGTAATGACTTGTGCGAAATTCAAAAATCAGACTAGGATTGCAATGTAAAGATTATTTCTCATATCCATTTTATTATTGCCTTGAATTTTCGTTTGTTGAAATAACCAACTAAACTTTTGAACTTAAACATTTGCTTGAATAATCCGATTAAAAAATAGATAGTTTTGAGATTACAGGTTTACAGATAATTCTAATATATTCTAGTAAAATATGACATGTATCGTTTTTATATAAGATACGAAATTAAAGAGTAAATATAAAACAACCATCCTAATCTTATGCAGTTTATTTTCTCAATTTTAAACATCAACTGATTCACATATTCTTGTGAACATAATTGTCAACAAATTTTCTAAAAAATGTACATTGAAAAATGGCGCATACATATTTGCACTGTACTTAAACTTCTTGTGGATACCAACGTGTCCCGAAGCGTTTGGGACAAGTGTTCTTCCTCTTTCGTGATTTTGCCAACTTTTTTCCTCCTTTGTGCCAGGCAATGGCGTAGGTGTTGTTGTCCAAGAAAAAGGTCGCAGTTCTTCTCCTTTCTTTGCCAAGGAAAAGTTTTTCGAATTTTTATTGGTTCACATGTGCACGTGACTTCTTTGCCGATGACCTCCATCATTATTCTATGCCCAGTAGAAACTCGACTAAGCTTGTATCGCTTGGTGACTCGCACTTCAAGTTGTAAATTTCCATTGTTTCCTTTTGTAATTTCTTCGACTCTGCCACGTATTGCTATTGAATTATGATATATAAGTATCATGTACTTATCTCCTCTTTAGGATCACTTTATTTTTGTGGAAATTTTGTAGGTGAAGGACTTTCTTTATTATATCTTTGTTATCATCGAATGAAACCGAAACTTTGTTACAGTAAGTCGTATTCAGTGTCGCCAGCACGTTTTTTTGAAAGGGAGACGCAAAATTCCCCAAATTTGCTCTTATATATTATAATTACTTATTTTTCTTGTTTTACAAATAAAAACAAAGGTCTTCCTCCCTCCTCACTCCTCCCTGCTGGCACCACTCACCACTGATTGTAAGCGCTGACCATGCATATTAACCGAAAAAATATTCAAAAACGTCAATGTCCGAAGCTTAGAGAGCTAATACCTGTAACATTTGAAGAATTTCGTTTTTTACACAATTCTATTTCCTTCTTGTTAAATAATTTCCAACACTACTTAGAACCTGTTGTATTGATTTTCAACAACTATACAAGGTCGTTTTGTATGTATGTGAAAGACAGTTACACTGTTCAATTGCCTGGGAACATCACCCGTTATAGGAGTCAAATAAGTAATAAATATTAGTCACAACACAAGTTTCCTAGCACAACACAGTTTTTCAAACAATACTGTGTCTCACGTATAACCCGAAAAGACTTTAATTGCTCTTGCACACCTTTTTTGAAGAATCCTTTTATGAATTACTCACCAAAATCGTTAAGACATAACTTCTTCATGACGCTTTTGTTGTCACATTTCTTATTACATACTTGGTGAGGCTCTGCCAGGCTTGGTTTTTCAGTCCTCACCGAGTCTTGAGCTAAAAGATAGATCATACAGCTGAGGACTATGGTTTTCATCTCCATGTTCAATGAACTGTGTTGATAAAGACTAGTCTGTGACGAAGGTCGAAAGCAATACGAGAATAGACTGCTTTCAACAATTCGTGCTTTATGTAAGTTCCTTTCCTTCCGTTACATTATGTTATGACAAATAGGGGAAGCAATTCAAAAAAACATGACTTCTCTGATTAGTACGGTGTTTCTTATACTTTGCGAATTCCGTTTTTATCAGCAATAAATCACACAAGCAAATAAAAGCGCACCATAATTGATCGAACAATATTAAATGTGAGGTTATTATAGGTTGTTATAGTAAGGTGAATATACTTTTTTCCTAATTTTTATTGTTACGCATAGCAACGCCGATTGTTACCAGTAAAAGCAAGCATACAAGTCTTAACGCGTTGAAGAATCTGTCAAAATCTAAACATGACCTGAAACTTCAGCTGTCGTCGATGGGAAAAATGAACAACGTTAAAAGAGGTAAACTCTAATGGCAGTATTTTATTCATTTCATTATTTTCATTGTAAACTAACTCCTAAGTAGAAACACAAAAATTCAAAATTATTCAAAATTATCGAAGCTATCATTATTTAACAATATTGAAATACAAGAAGTGAGGACAGTCTTTGATAGTCACATAATCCGGCATTTCTATCAGAAATTGACATTCCTGGTACTTTTATAGATAGTGATCTTATTGACTCATAGCTTCAGAGGTGAAAAGTGCACAAAGCACTTCTTAACAAAAATATTCATACTATAAACTATGCAAGTTTTTGTGCAACTATTTTATCCCAAAAGTCGTGCGGACATAGATAACAGAGAGAAACATATAGCTGCTTACTCCGTTATTGTCATGGTGACAGTGGTGATCCTTCGTTGGCTACTTGGCCGCTAACAATTATTGTATTGTTTGCTTTTTCAATATTTTTCTTCTTGCGCTTGGAAATCCCCCACTTAAGGAAACAGTACTTAAAGCGTGGCGCAAAAACCAACACAATAAGAACGAAAGGAAGGCATGCCAAGAACCAACTTTCTAGCTTTTTTATCATTTCAATCTCGCTTTGAATGACAAGGCTTGCATTGTGGTACATTACTTCCACAAGACTTAGACTGGATAAAATCACTATAATGCTTAAAGCGATCATATCAAGCTTGTTTACGGTGTTGTTCTTATATGGTTGAACAAAAACATGCATCCACAGAAACAATGTTGATGCAATAATGAACCAGAAGGCCTGCATGAAATATGATTTAGTAAAAATGAAGAAAAGGACAAGAATTAGTCGTCGAGAAATCAGGACAGTCTCCCAGTTTTCACGTAAATGTTCCACGATAGTGGCATGGACGAATTGCCGCGATTTGTATGGATATTGCAGGATGTAATTGATCTTATCTCTATAAGGGTCATTTTCGTTTGGCAACTGTTCCCAGTTCATCACCTTTCTCCAATGAAGATAGGATTTATAAGCCCATATGAGCATTACAAGTAAAGGAACGAAACAAGCGCAAATGAACTCTCTGTGAGTGATTCTTTTTTGACGCAGTAGTATTGAACCGAGTAAAAGGGCGACCGGATAAAGAATGGTGATCGCGAAAAAATATATCCACAGTAACACTTGCCATGGAGTGTAACATTTGATAGAACCACTAATATAGAGCACCTTTTCATTGCCAATATTGACACAATCCAAAAGTTGCCCAATCAATTGTGTTTGAGCAATGTAAGACAAAAGACTGACGTGAACAGTCATGCCTACCAAACGAACAGGGAAGGATCGCGATTTGAAGTTAGGTAAATCATCAATTTGAATACCCCGACATCCCTTTACGAAACGATACACACAATATGATAGTAATATAAAGATGAACAACCAGAAGGCAACGCTGTTCTTCAAAACAACCTTCCTCACCGGCGTGAGATTTCTGCCTGCGCATGCCCAGAAGTTTGAGAACTGAAAATTGATCAATGGCATCAGGAAGTCTAAGATATTGTTTGTTATGGAAGAAGTTTCGACAACAGAATTAAGACGGATAAGAAATACAACCTGATAGAAGTAGTAAAAAACTTTCAAAAAACCTCCCGTGTTGTTGTAATCATCGCTTTCTTGAATACCACCGTACGGTTGTCGGGGTAAAACAACTTCTATTGCTTCGCGAGAGCTTCTAGAATCATTTTCTGTTTCGCTTTTTGTTTCGTCAAGATTTCGTTCGTTAGGTCTGTACTCGCAAGCATCACTGCCAATAACACTGCTATCACTCCATAGTAACCATTTGGTAAGAAACGTTATCACCTGTAAAAAAGATACACTACATCATAAGTAAAAACATCGATGACTGAGTAAATGAATAAAAAATCAGAATCAAATTAGGCAATCCACCAATAGTTTTTTACACATATTGCAATCTGCTTGCCTTGTGGACCTTGTCTATGGAATATAACAATCTAACTAACAAAATTCGAACATCTTCAGCTTATTATTTAAAGGTTAGAAATCTCTGTTTACTGATGTTGAAATATTACAAGTGCTATTTATCAATATTATATCATAGCATCATTTTGACTTTCAAAAAGTCTTTACATTGACTGAGTTATTCAGGCTTCAGGCTCTTTGCATCTTCTTCGCTCCCTTGTTGCGTTCTATTCTCCCTCTGATGCTAGCGTTATCTTAAAATCTTGCAACTTTCTTCCTGCTTGTCTAACACTACTGCTTTTACAAATAACACTTTACCTGAAACTATTTTGCAGTTTAAGTAGGTCAATAGTGAACGCCATGATTGAATATTTTTCATAGAAAAGAGGCTTAATTTATTCCCATGTATAAAGTTTTTGCATGGTGCTTAAGGGAAAGAAGTGTGATGTTTAGTGAAACTTTACCTCTTGATAAAAGCAAAGCAAAAAGAAGATGATGCCAAGGTTAGCAAGAGGCCAAAACCACCAAGCTCCATTGCAAATCTCATTACGATGACATTTTGTTGAGCTCATTGTTTCCGTGTAACCTTGAGAACAATGACTGCATAATGTTCCTGTTCTATATTCACGACAGACATCATAACTCAAGCAAGGTTCACGATCACAACAATAACCTTTGGGGCAAGGCAGCATTTCAACCTTTTCACCGACCACTCTTCCCCAAAAATTTGCTTTGGCTCGGATTGTACCGTTACACGATGCTCCGTCCGGACATGGGTGACATTTCGCGTCTTTCTTCGTTCCCTTGGTAATATACCGTCCACGTGACATTGTGTAAAACATGTCTTGACAAGGTTTACATACGAAAGAAAATCTGTGATAAGTTTGGAGGTCTTCTCCCTTATACGGTTTCTTCATTTCAATTTTGTACGTGTAAAGCGTTTCTTCGTAGCTGTATCCTTTTGGACAGTGAAATTCACTGATGCTGTTCATCTTTAAAACCGAGGGATTACCATCGTAAAAAAATATAGGCTTGCCCATGTTGTTTGAAGCAATATCGAATTTAACTTTCCTTTTGAATGTTGATTCGGCCTTGTCAATGTATATAATACCCCCTTCAATGGGATTCCATGAAGACGGTCTGTTTTTAAATGTCGAGTTGTCAAAATTTATTGTCGACGGTTTTTCCCCTACATTCCCGAAGAAAATGGTACCTCCAGCTTTGGATGCCGCATTATTTTCAAATCTTGAGACTTTGATGTTGAATCGGCCTCCCGATGCATGTAATGCTCCCCCGCTCACGGATGCCTCGTTCTCTACGAATTCACACTTATCAAATTGGACACTCTTGTTTTTCCAGTCGGAGAACCACACCGCCCCACCGCTGACAGCTTTATTTTTGATAAAAGTGGAGTCTCTAATCAAGAGAATATGCGGTTTTGTCGTTAGCCAGTTCGATAAATTAAACCACATAGCCGCGCCAGTGCCATTTTCAACTGTATTATTTGTGAAGTTCGTGTTAAATACGTTGATGTTGATAGAAGCGGGGTACTTTGCTCTTTTCTCTCGTTTTTTGAACCATTTCTGACAAGAAGTGATGTTTATCATGGAGTTTTTTCTCCCGAAATGATTCAGGAAGTGCGACTGGAATATATTCACAATATTTTTTTTCAAAGCTGTGACGATATGAAGAGGTGAAGTTTCAACCGTGTCATCGGTTTTTTGTGTTTTATGGATCAACCGACTGCTCATGTCAAAAAGTGCGTTTTTTAGAGTCAGTCTCAATATCCAGCTTTGGTCTGTCGATCTTACGTTTATATATTTGCCATAAAACTTCGTCGCTGTCAGTTTGAGAACGGTTTGGTTACAACCTGCCATTTCAATAGCATTTCCCGATTCACCAATTATTTTTACTTTGTCCATCGTCAGGTAACACAACTGAGAATTTCTCCAATAAACATCGATATTGTTTTTATGAAGATTTACATTTTCAAGAAACAAATACACTTTGTATGTAGGCACCGAAAATGAGAATGCAATGTTTGAATTTGTGATTTTCATATTTGCAATTTTTACGTTGTTTAGTTTTGTCAGACTCTTCGTTATTTTCACCTTCAGAAAATCCAAGCCGTTGCAATCTATAAGGGGGGCATTGTGATGACCAGTCAACTTCAGGGGCTTGGTTAGAACAATTGGGCATTCTTTATAAGGTTTCTTCGTTGCCAAGATTTTTATAACATCATTTTCTTTCGCAATCTTAACTGCTTCTATTATTGATGGACATGGTTGATCTTCTTCCCCACAACCTTTCGCATCAGTATATGCAGTGTTTGACACGTGTATATTTTTTGTTTCCAATCCTAAAGCATAAATTGAAACGTCATTCCGCGAAAGGACCACGGGGACTTCAGGATACATTATATGATATGCATTCAATGACTGTAACAGAAGGGATACACTATGTAAATTTGTGCATGTGCTCAGTCGTTGTTTTTTCACAAAGAATACACTTTATGTTATTAGACACATTCTTTTCATCCTTACATCTCATGTTTAACTGCTATCATGACTAAAGGGTAGCGTAAAGCACAGTTGACAGTCTATCTGTCGTATTAAGCACAAAGATGATCAATACTTCCTATAATTAACCACCCCCCTGTTTCTCGAGTTCCTTTCAGTACAGTTTTGCATCTCGCGCTAAGATGAGTCGTTAACGACAGCAAAGCGCAAGACTGTAACTGATGCAAAGCCATAGAATGATACTCACCCGACAAGAATATCGTGAAAACACAAAATACGCCGAATATTAAAGAAGTTGAAGTCATCCCTGATCATCTATTGCATCTAAAAGAAATCACAAGTACGCCTCGTTTACGATTCGTGCACTGCGGGAAATCTATATAAAATTATCCTATGTTTACCTCGAGTTGCTGAGTTTTATTATTTTACAATGATAGTCAACAAGCGTTTACTCGATTCTATTCTAAATGCAAGTGTTTGTCATTTTATGGTTGTTTTCTTTTGTTTGTGTAACGCATCGTCTGGTTGAATGTTACGGGTGTGTATTGTCACACTTCAGCTACAAAAATATCGTCTTGCCTTTGTCACATGGCAGACTTTAGCGTATTTAACAAATTGCTTTTGAGTGGGGAAATGGTCTGTCAAGTTATTGTTATCTTTCAATAATAATAAACGATGAAACATTTCTAGCGTTTCCATAGCTTATATACGAGTAAATAGCAACGCGCTTCAGCATGTGTTCGTTTCAATATTTTACATCGTCTTAATTAAGTATGGTGGATTGCCCCGCGAACACGTCTCAGGCATGTGTTGTTTTTGTTTTGTGAAGTAAAACCTAAACCTAAAGCTACGTACTTTATTTGCAAATTTTTAGACAAAAAACACATATAGCTAAGAGCCATTCATCATACAAAGAAATTTGCATGGCCAAACATATATTGTGTAACAGTTGTAATATTTAGTATTGAAACAGCATATTTCTAGTGGGCCTATTTATTAAAGTATTGTGCAATACTGATTTTAGAGGTCCAATCGTCGTTTTGAAAGTTTTTGATTATTCATAGGGGTTTGAAAGCAATTTTCTGAGGATTTTGTTTCGTTGATGTTATGGCATGTTCGACTTGAAATGAATATTTTGATTAGCAAGTGGCGACATTATTTAAAACAATTCTTTTCTTGTACTGAATAGATTAATATAGCAGAGTCTTTATAGCAACAACTTGCTTCTATGTTTGTATCGCCCATCCTTAGCATTTGTGGGACGAAAATTTGCTCAACGCTAATTAGTCGCTAATGTATACCTCTCTTTTTTGAAACTTCAAACTTTAGCGAAGAACACGCAAGAAAAACCAATCAATCATAATTCAAATCATAGCGCCTGTCGGAAATTAAAACATCGAATACTTACGAGGAAAGTTTTCTCCTAGAAATCCAAAGCTTCTGCGTTGCCGTTATGTTAATTACAAATAGTATAATTCAAGTAGAATAGCTTCTTCGAAGAACATGTGCTCGCAGTTCTTGGAAAAGGATCACGTGTTGTAATTCAATTCCTTTAGTCATGTTTACGATATACACAGAATTCGATGTCGCAATTGAATTCGATGTCGCAATTGAATTCGTGTGGACGGAAATACTTTCGTACGGTTTTTAGCAAATATTTTCGAAGGTTTTGAAATTTTTTATCATCTATAATTCTGCATCATAATCGTACAAGGCATTTTTATCTTTGTACAGAACAAATTCAACAAAAGATGTAATTGGAGACGCAGATTGTTTCACAAAGTTTTTTGTACCTCTCAATTTCATACCGTTCGTTCTCTATTAATTTAATAATATATTTCTCTTTGTTTTGTGTTGTACCCGTTGGTATGCGTATATATGGTTATCATTTAAAAGTGAAATTTGAACGTAATTTCTCAAGTTAAATAACGTTTCGATGAAAAGTGACCTTAATACGAATTAATACTTATGGTAGTATTAAAGAAGAGAAACACTGCACATTTAATATTATCACACAACCTACCGTGTATTGATGTATCAAGTTAAATATATTTGTATTGCTGATTTTGTGAATATTAAGCATTTCCAGGCTTTGTTGATGGTGCTCAAATATGTTAACAGTAATGACTTGCGTGAAATTCAAAAATCAGACTAGGATTGCAATGTAAAGATTATTTCTCATATCCATTTTATTATTGCCTTGAATTTTCGTTTGTTGAAATAACCAACTAAACTTTTGAGCTTAAACATTTGCTTGAATAATCCGATTAAAAAATAGATAATTTTGAGATTACAGGTTTACAGATAATTCTAATATATTCTAGTAAAATATGACATGTATCGTTTTTATATAAGATACGAAATTAAAGAGTAAATATAAAACAACCATCCTAATCTTATGCAGTTTATTTTCTCAATTTTAAACATCAACTGATTCACATATTCCTGTGAACATAATTGGCAACAAATTTTCTAAAAAATGTACATTGAAAAATGGCGCATACATATTTGCACTGTACTTAAACTTCTTGTGGATACCAACGTGTGCCGAAGCGTTTGGGACAAGTGTCTTTCCTCTTTCGTAATTTTGCCAACTTTTTTCCTCCTTTGTGCCAGGCAATGGCGTAGGTGTTGTTGTCCAAGAAAAAGGTCGCAGTTCTTCTCCTTTCTTTGCCAAGGAAAAGATAAGTTTTTCGAATTTTTATTGGTTCACATGTGCACGTGACTTCTTTGCCGATGACCTCCATCATTATTCTATGCCCGATAGAAACTCGACTAAGCTTGTATCGCTTGGTGACTCGCACTTTAAGTTGTAAATTTCCATTGTTTCCTTTTGTAATTTTTTCGACTCTGCCACGTATTGCTATAGAATTATGGATATATAAGTATCATGTACTTATCTCCTCTTTAGGATCACTTTATTTTTGTGGAAATTTTGTAGGTGAAGGACTTTCTTTATTATATCTTTGTTATCATCGAATGAAACCGAAACTTTGTTACAGTAAGTCGTATTCAGTGTCGCCAGCAAGTTTTTTTGAAAGGGAGAAGCAAAATTCCCCAAATTTGCTCTTATATATTATAATTACTTATTTTTCTTGTTTTACAAATAAAAACAAAGGTCTTCCTCTCCTCACTCCTCCCTGCTGGCACCACTCACCACTCATTGTAACCGCTGACCATGCATATTAACCGAAAAAATATTCAAAAACGTCAATGTCCGAAGCTTAGAGAGCTAATACCTGTAACATTTGAAGAATTTCGTTTTTTACACAATTCTATTTCCTTCTTGTTAAATAATTTCCAACACTACTTAGAACCTGTTGTATTGATTTTCAACAACTATACAAGGCCGTTTTGTATGTATGTGAAAGACAGTTACACTGTTCAATTGCCTGGGAACAAACATCACCCGTTATAGGAGTCAAGTAAGTAATAAATATTAGTCACAACACAAGTTTCCTAGCACAACACAGTTTGTCAAACAATACTGTGTCTTATGTATAACCCGAAAAGACTTTAATTGGTCTTGCACATCTTTTTTGAAGTATCCTTTAATGAATTACTCACCAAAATCGTTAAGACATAACTTCTTCATGACGCTTCTTTTGTCACATTTCTTATTACATACTTGGTGAGGCTCTGCCAGGCTTGGTTTTTCAGTCCTCACCGAGTCTTGAGCTAAAAGATAAATCATACAGCTGAGGACTATGGTTTTCATCTCCATGTTCAATGAACTGTGTTGATAAAGACTAGTCTGTGACGAAGGTCGAAAGCAATACGAGAATAGACTGCTTTCTACAATTCGTGCTTTATTTAAGTTCCTTTCCTTCCGTTACATTATGTTATGACAAATAGAGGAAGCAATTCAAAAAAACATGACTTCTCTGATTAGTACGGTGTTTCTTATACTTTGCGAATTCCGTTTTTATCAGCAATAAATCAGACAAGCGAATAAAACCGCACCATAATTGATCGAACAATATTAAATGTAAGGTTATTGTGTCGTGTTTGTAACGAACCACATGATTTGGTGTGCCGACTTGGGAAATTTATAATCTGTTTTAATCTGCCAATGGTACAGACACAGCTGGATACATTTTTTTTTAACATTTGATTAAGTCGTTTGGAATTAGTTTCCAGAATCATTTCTGAATTTTTATCTGTTTTCAGAATTGAGCTATTTCAGGAATTGGCTTTTGCATTTGAGTCTCCATCATATAAGACGCGAGTACTTTTTAAGTTGAAGTTTTTTAAGGCCGTCGAAGGGTGTAATTGGTCTATTTTTGGATTGCAATAAGTTTTATAATATCTATTGCCAATGTCGTGTTTTTCATGTCGTTGACTTTAGTTTAAAAGAGAACATTGAGAAAGCTATATTTTTCTTAAAACAATATAGTAATTTTGATTAAATACTACAAACATAACGTGCAGTTGTACAGTCATTCAATTTTGCCATCGGCGCAGTATGTCTGAAGAAAACACACAATGGAGATGTTCAATTCATCATACATAGAAAATCAGTTTATTTTAGTGATATCTTTAAACGTGTTGTGCATTTTTTGTGTTACCTTGTAAGACCTATTAAGTTGACCAATTCATGACCAAAGATATCAAAGGTTTCGGTTTTAAAACAACCCCAATCAAACATTTTTTACATTACAAATGTTGTTTTTGCCATGTAATGCACATGTATGTATGTATGACATATGTTTTGAAAAAGATTCATTTCAATGAGTGGGATTTTGTCAGTTAGTTATGAAACCCTATCCAGTTTTATCAAACCACTGCTTTTGATCATTCATAAAATGGCCACGATTAAGAATAATTCATTGTGTTTTGGTTAGATTACAAAACAGATAAAGTGTGGTTTCATAATATTCCACTAAATGAAACATTTGTGAATGAATCTCTCAAGATTTATAACGATCAGATATGCATAAAGGACATATAGGAACTCTTGAATCATGGCACATGACTACTTGTTTTTGATTCACTAACAATAAACTACCATTAGTTTATTTTTGCATGGTGTCATATTTTTTGTTTTGGAAATATTGATGTATATATGACGAAGAAAATCAGTGACTTCTTCATTGCATGATAAGATAAAATAGATATTGTGTTGATAATATATCTGTGTTGCCCAGATTAATCACAACTTATACGATGAAGTGTAAAACTTGTAAAGTGAATGAGCAAAATGTGACATTGAACATATTGTGAAGAACAAGCACTTTTTCATACTCAAATATGTAGCTAGCACATGCAAGTTGTAAGAATCGTGATAGCCTGCTTCCACTTACATCCCTTCTCACAACTTCTTTTCAAGATCAACTCAAACATTGCTATAGGTTTTCTTTTGTTTGATGGCAACATGAACTCCATTTTAATCTTTAACATTGCCAAAGCAGTTTTTCGACGTGTACATGGGAATCGTATTCTGAACGCTAAATAAAGAAAAAATTTGCTTGACAAAATCATTATGATGAAACTGTACACCAGGATAAATTGACTACAGTAAAATGAAAGTAAGTGCGACGACTGTACATTGAGATATTGCTTAAAATGCATGCATGGTCTGTGGGATTCTTCACTTACATGATGTTTTCTTAGTGACGAGACCGTTTCGTTTGATTGTCGTTGTTGGCTGTCCCATAACAGTTTTGTCACTTGAGGACAGATTAATTTTGTAGTAGAGCTATAACGAACAATATATTTTCGAGCTTAACTGTTTACTCTTTCGGTTTTTTTGACGTTTTACTGTGTTGGATACTTGTACATTGAAATGCATGATGCTGGAAAAAATATTGTCGGTGCATATGTGTCCAGGTAAATTTTATATTCTCTATATGCAAGCGTACTCTGTTGTTCTTGTATATATAGAATATGGTTGTTTTTGTCCACTCAAAAGAATACATAAAATACAATTTTTGTTCTATACTAAGTACTAGCTTTTCAATATCACTTACTTTTTGTTTCGATTGAAATTTTAACTCCAAATGGTTAATACTTGACTTGATCGGGTACATCACAGTCGTTGCTTTATTTTTGACAAAGTTGTCGATGACACCTTGTCGGATGATGTAGAAATCACGAAAGTCAAAGTCTGTTTTAGAAAAGCAGTGAAAAATATGCGATAAAACGAGATGTTTGCGTGTGGGTGAAATTTGGAAGATGGCAAAAGCAAGCATCGCTGTTTTGCTTTTGCTGTAAGATCATTAGCCATCATGGTTCCATTATGTTACTTGTAATGAACAGATTATAAAACGTTGAAGATAATGTACATAATATTTTGCGATCTATAACACTGGAAATAAATATTTAATGCGCAAAAACGGTATCATGATATATATTTAGACGCAATTTCAAAGGTTTGCTCTTTGACGTCTTCATTGTCTGAAAATTTGGATTAGATTAAAAAAAATCAACTTTCAGCGATTGCTTTTACAAATAAACGATCTAGATTTGTGGAGATTAGTAGGCAAGTCTTGATAATAACAATTTATAGTGATGGGACGAGTTTCCATCGACGTTTAACGCCTGCGTGGAAAAGAAACAATGCTTTGTTTAAGGTTTGACTCCACAAGATGTACTTCTTGTCGTGATTGATTCATCCTAAGTTATGTCTATATTTCACTTTGAAATGACAAAATCTTGGCAAAACTCAAAGAGTTAAGGGGATGTCGAGACTGATGACATTCAATGAAAAAAGATCTGTCGGAATCCTTATGCTTTCGAAGGATATTAAATGATTGTTGTTTTTACGTTTTAAAACAACTTGAACTTAACACAAATTTAGAATTCAGTAACTTTTACCTTAAGCTTACCTGAAAGAAATCTTTTGAGCTCTCGTCTCGTTATGTACACGTCTAAGTAATTTATTCCAGCACATGTTCCGCTCCATATTGTCGACACAAAAAGACATGGTATAATAAATATTGCTGTCCCTTTGGCCATCTTCTTGTTAACATTCACTTGCTTGTTTGTTTGTTCGACTCTGTTTAGAACAGTAATGAGTCACCATAACAAATAAAGATAACTTTTGAGTTTTGTTCCAGTCAAAGAAGTAAATAATATCTTCCTTTGACAACCTACTGTGTTCTTTGTAGACCATGTAGCGAACAAAATTAGTTAGCGATAAATTGTTTAATTGTTTTCTTACCTTATCCGAGCACAACACGAATAACCTTTTTATTTTAATGAACAAAAGCCGTGGATGTGTTTAATTAATTGTTTTCACCGCATAGAAATCGGCAGTAATGATCTTGCAAATTTGTGTAGTACTATGGAATCATAATTTCCTTTGAACTGCAGAAATGTCTTGTTTTAGTTTTGTTAAACTTGTGGATGAAAACATTTACTTTGATTTTATTTTATATAGACAAACCAAGTGAAGTTTTTTGTCACGAACGACTTACCCTGATGTTATGATGTATTCTCCAATCAAAAGGTTTGTAGAATAAATCAATCTTAACGGAAAGGTGATCCTTTTATAGGCATTGTCAAATTCAGATGAATTGAACTGCCTCTGAATAGGACAGACGTATATGTGAAATTTACGCTCACAACTTTGAGGTTTGTTCACATGTGTTTGTGTTTAGTGATTCACTTGTTCATAGTTTAATATCTATTCTTTCCCATTCCATGTTATATGTTCCTTTTTTCAATGATAAGTTAGTACTATTGCTTCTCAGTAAATTCATCGGTTAATGATTAGACGAAATAACCAAAGTGTAGAATAAGATAAAAAGACACGGAAAATTGACGAAGGTTCCAGGCTTTTCTTCACATAAGTCCGGGTTTTTTGAAGGCCATTACCTGTCGGCATAACATAGTTGGTTTTTGAAGTAATTAATATCACGATTATTGTTAAAAATTGCCAACTAACGATCATAATTCACGCCTTTTCCTGCGCCGACAAGGCTCAAACACAAGTCGGTTTACTTTATGGCAACGGATGTGAATTGTCGCTGGTTTGAGTCTTGGACGAGGTTGACTCAACTGCATAAAAGAGACGGTCATGTTGTCGCGGATATCATGCAATGCGAGTATAAACGTCTGCTGTTATTGTCATCGGATATTAACTGACAAACAATGTAAAATAATAAAGTTAATTTGTCAAAAGTGCACCGCCATTTAGGTTTGGCTTTGATATCGCAGCAAGTGTGCTAAAGAAAAATATGAAGGAGAACGTCCTAGATTTCATCCTTCATAACATTCGTATGATGTGTACTAATGTTTCATATATCTCCAGTTTCCTTATTCTGGAGAGAATAACTGTTGAAAATGAACATAGCTTCTGGACAATATTATATGCTTTTATCAGATATACTTTCAACATCTACTCGTAAGATGTAGCATGGTCAGTGCGCTGCAAAATGTTAATTGTATTTGAATACGAAAACTGGACATTAGTCAAATGTTTCTCGACGAATCTACATCATTGCACTCGGAGTCGTTAAAACCTACAATATTGTTTGTTTAAATAAGTCGAATCTAAATGGAGTTTGATGACAGTCGTGTGCAGTAAACTAATATTTGTTAAAACTGTTTGCTGTTTATCGAAGCTATCATTCGTAAATAAATATTCGTGTTAAGTCAATCAACACATTGCACACAAACTTGTTTTCTTTAATTATAATCCTTTATAATCGCTGATCTTAACAAGTTATCACATAGACTACAATACTAGAATCGACATATAAATGCAAAACATGATTGGGCATAGATTTAATGAACAGTATATGTGAATGTCAATGCCACAAGAATAAGACACATACGCAATTTAGCATGCGTCATTTTAAACGTGACAGTATCAACTCTACATTGAATTGCAGAAATTGAAGTATCTTTAAGTGCACAATCATAAACTATAAATGTGTTGTCGTTGCTTGCAGTTAACAAGTTTCGTTTTCAAATCATTCATAATTTGCTCTTTAAGGTAAAAATGATTTTCCTATGCCCAAAATGGACGTCTTTGCTCCAGTGGTGTACTTTCCTTCTAAATGAAAACATCCCGAAGTCATTTCTGCCATATTTAGGATCTCTTTTATCTCCATCCAAATCTTAATTCAAATCCTACCTTTATGCACAGGTTTATCCAAAATCCAGTAACGAAATCCTGCTCTTGCTCGCTCATTTGCTGCTGAACTGCGTCTGGTTTCACGTTTTACGTTTCGTCTTGAAGTAGTTCCAGTCTTTTCGCTGTCTAAAGAAAAGATCTGTGTTTCTATGAATGTTTTCCTCCGACCAATGGACGAAAGACTTTCATTCTGTTGTTGATGTTGTCGTTGCAGTAGCTGTGACCGTCTTTGTTCTTCTGTTTTAACGAAAGAAATAGGTTGTTTATTTCTTCATAATGATGATTTTTATTGGTCTCATAAATTGGCAAAAAATATTTAACGAGAAATGTGTACATTCACATAGAGTTCTTTAATCACAGTTTGAACACAGTCGTATAAACTTTTAAACCTTTAAAGTTATGATCAATCCAGAAAGCCACACCACCATCACCACATTCAAGAGTTAAAATTCCCGTCTAAAAGTATAAAATACGGTGACGCTGAGAAAGCCGGACGCTCGCTATTGCTGCAAAAATTTTATCGCTGAAAACTGTGTTTTATAAAAAGAAATTGTTACTAACCAAATTTCTGCATGTGAATGGCTTTTTTTGATTTCTCACACATTGAAACTTATATTCAGTGTCGACCAGAATACATACTTATTTTAAATGATATCAATTTCATATCTTACCTATTTGATAATAATCCGATATGTATATAAGTAACAAGCTGTCAATTCACTCTTAAAAAATTCCATTTTTGGATAAGGTTAAAATACGGCTTTATAAAGCATTGTTACACATGCTCTGTGCTTTCTACATTTCTTCATATAAAGATTTGCTGAAGTTATGCTTTGTACAACGTCTTAATTGCTCTTGTGTATTTTAGACGCTTATATAGAAAACCTATGGAGTTATAACAACAAAGTATAACATATTGTTTTGATGAAGTTGTGCAATACTTCCAGACAGGGTGTCTGATAAATAGTACAAAAGAAAAATCCGATTTAATCCTAATAAATCGTCAGAGAGATCAAGTCTTCTTGGAATGTTTGTTCTCTCTACGTCACGGTGCTAATTTTTTCTAGTTTTCATTTCAAAGAAATCCATCTCGTGATTTTGTACTCATCTGTATAGTGTATATAGTTTCGTACTTTGTGTTTCAGTTTCGACCAGTGGTCAGAGTTGCCTATCGTTGCCATATGTCGTGCGGGCTCATCTCTTGACCAACGAGACAGACTGCATTAAAAATAATCATTAAGTAAAGAAATCACGTCAATAATGTAGGCATCGTTACATGGAGAGATTAAAGCATCCGGCGTTAGAAAATAGACCATCTTGTGTACGTAGAAAAATTTTGTCCCTGTTGCCATAAAACTTTCCAAGAATTTCACCTCTTTTACCACACATGTCCCTATTTTGGGATGTGCTGCATGTGGAAAGCTTTAAATTGGAAAATTCAGTCGATTATACTTTTTCACAGTCACTCGGGCTTTTGAATGTTGCAATTTCTGTCTTAAAACGGGCTTTTGTGTCGCTGTCTACTTTATATTTCATTTGTGCGTAGCTATAGTTTTGCCGTCAAAAAGATGATTTTCATTCATATTTATACTTACTATGGATGTCTTCCCGATGGCGTCTTATAGAGTTGTATCAATGAACTCATCTCTTGCTGTTCTAGTTTCCTTGTGGACATTTGTTTTAGTAATGTGAGGAATCTTAGTGAACTAACACCGCTTCTCTTCATTACGCTTAACTGTCTAAAAATGAGCTGAGCTCCTGTTAATCTCTCGCTTTAAAACCTTTTCACAACATACCAAACATAATGTGATGTCGACAGTGTGTTACATAGCAACTAAATCAAAAATTTCAGCGATGTCTGGCTGTAACCGGTGTACGTAGGATGTTCTTACCAGATAATATCTTAAATGTAAGCTAGTGTATATGATATTTATATGCTGGCTGCAATTTCATTGGTTCATCATGGTTCATTTGTGGTTGTATGAGGATAAAATTGTATAAATCATTCATCGGTGAATCATGTTATCCTACTTACGTCTTACTCATTCATTGTAAGAATAAATAGCTAGCTTCATATGCCTATCATTTTTCTTGTTGTAGCGCAAGCTTTTGACAAATCAGGGACACTTGAAGTATATTTCAATACAATTTAATTATAGTGTTTGTGTTATATTAAATATAGCCGTACAATACTGAAAATACTTTTTTTAAATTACATACTAAAATTTCTTCAAGTTTTTTACATTTATCTTGTGCAATAATAATATCGAATAATTACATGGCGAGTTTCCCCGCTTGTGTCTCATATGGGAATAAAAGCCACTACAATTCTTTGTCTTACACTAACGTAGCCAGAAGAAATTTTCTTCAAGAGGAAAATGTTGTATGTTACAGGATTGCAGTGTGTTCTGCATCGTTTATTTTTGCACTCTGCCGTTGCTATTGATGAAGGATAGTAGCCATCCCCCATTATCTTCTGTTTGAAGCTCCACGAACACATGATTTTTTTTCTGCCACAGGTTGTATGGATTGGTAAATGCGATTGGTGTGATCTGTTACCAAGCGCACATGGTACTTTATTTCGCTTCATTTTGAAGCTGTCACATTGTAGGCCGAAAGTGTCATAAAAGTGCAAAAAACAAGACAAGACAAATATCTGTGAAAATAAAAAAAGCCATTAAGAATTGCGGCTGCCTTTGGTATTCACCACCACTTACATGGATGAACACGAAACATTTATAGATAATCAGATAAAACAAGAGTATCGATGAAATTGAAGAAATACATGAACGACTTTCAAAAAAAAATGGAAGCTAGCATCTTTTAGGGGTATTATGTGTCCACATCAATGCTCAAATAAAGAAAAACACAAGCTTCATAATGTTTTAAACAGGAGTAAATGATAGAACTACCATGAAATTAGTGAAAAGTTTTTTAAACATTCAAGCACACAGTAAATAAGTAAAATTTTGATGTTGCATTTGATAATAAAACCATTAAGAGATTTAAAATGTTTAAATGAATGTTAAAGTTTTATTTGATTCTTATAAAAACATAATTGTACTCACCTTAAAAAACGTAGCACTTGTAAGATTCATATTCAAATGTTTATGTATGTTCAAGTAAATCAAGGATTTTTACTCTTGATGTTCTATCTGTCTTCTGTTAAGCTAACTCTTCAAAACTGTTTAACCCTCTTCGATTCACATATATTTATATATTAAATTTCTTAACAATTTTATCATTACAACACGCGTAAAACTGTAACACAATTTTCTCTTCAGCTGAAACAGAGCTGGAACCGTGTCTAAAATTAGGTTTTGGCTTGTCATTATTAAAACTTTGGATTTTTCTTACCGCTCGGAGTTCGGAAAAACCCCAGCGTAATTATAGCTAGTTTTACCATCAAATCATGAATATTGTCGATATTTAGAAACTTTTTTGTTTGAAAAGACGTGAATTTAACTTTCTCGTTTCTTTCCTTCATATTTCGATTGAATTAATTAGTTGATTTTTGTGTTGGAATTTTTTCCGTAACGGCCGGCGTGAAATCTAAAGTTCAACGAGAATTAGCTATGATCGTTTTGAGAAAGAAAATTTACCGATGTCTTCTACACGACCATGCAGAAGTTTATCGGGATACGAAAAACAGCATATTGCTGAAAAATAAATTGTAGCTACAGCCTAAAGATTTTTAAATCGATTGCTTTACAACCTTAAGGACTTAATTATTCATAATTCAAACTGTAGCTATCTTTCCTTTTCTTTTTTCTAGGTGCAAATTTTTTCTCGCGTGGGTTGTCATGCTGTTATATAATGTCGAACATTCCACACCAACTGGGAGCCCAAATAAAAAATAGTCACGTTTATTCTTTACGATGTATTTTCGAGGTCAACTCCAGAGAAATTCTACCCTATGAATGAAAAATCTTATCAAGCAACTTAGAGGAGACTAATTTTTTTCTATATGTTTCGTTGTTATGCGGAAGTCTTTGATGAGCCACAATCTAGTACTGTAATCGAAATCTCTTTAGCAGAAATTACCCATTAGTAAGCACAATGTTTGACTATGGGTTAGATTTTAAAGAACTGTAGTCAATATCAACATAATACATGTGTATATGTAGAAGTTGTTTTCAGACATACATTGTAGAGTACTAAGATGCCGCAGATTTCTTAATTGTAATTGTAATTACTTTCGTAAGAACTGGCTACATACTGCGTTCATCCGATTATGTATCTATAACAACACGTATAAACAAGATGTTAATTGGTCAATAGAAACTAAAAAATGTTTCATGAAGACGCATTCGAGCCAAGTTACTGGAGATAAAAAATGGAAACGTTTATGTCCGCATTCTTTATAACATACGATGAGCAGTGCACAAGAATATTAACGATATGAATGCGTAAATTATAAAAGTAATTGCACCATTCCGCATTCCCGAATGAAATATGTAACAACAGGTTGTCTGTTCTCATCGGCAAATCTATAGCTTACGTCACAACAGGTTTTCAAGGCAGTCTTGTTCACAACGGTTTTAGAGAATGTGAATAATCAGTCAAGCTATTTTGGTCAACGAATGTTTTTGTAATTTCAGCATTTTTTGTTTTAAAAATCTCCATTTTTGGATAAGAAATAGTCTTCTTGAATTAGCACTGACTCTATCACAAAATTTGACATACTTTGAACTGAAAATTTTAATACTTCACTCACTTTTTACAATCGTATATAAAATTTTTAGCAGCTGAAAAAAAGTTCAAATAATCAAAGCACTCCCAAGAGAACATAAGATTTTTCATCTGGAGGATTACCCTGAAGTTTCAATACTTTTTAATCCCATTCAGGATGAATTGTAAACGTGCGATGTACGACCCGATGAGGCAGAACAAAAGTTGCCAGCTTGTTCTCTACTTGTGGGTTGGTCATCCTTCTTTGACGATACAAGCTTTGCCGTTTTGGAGCACGAATCTTTGGCAATCGTGGTACATTTTCGAGGGGGGAGTTATTGAGCTTGATGGTGTGATATTTTTTCCTGTAACATGTTTTAAACTTTCTGTAATTTTTCAATCAATTTGTTTTAGTCTGGAATACGTTAATCGAGATAAAATCGTTCTCTAATTAGGGGATGAAGCAACATATTGCTCTTTTGAACATTTTTGATGTAGATGAAAGAATTTCGAGTACAGTGCTTTGACTTACTCAGCGATCTCTTTTAATTCGCTATTCAAACTGGCTTTGTTACTTGCTGAACAATCTCTGCTGTTCGGAATGAGGAAGTTTGGTGAGTTAATTGGAGCGGAGCGAAGCATGTGCTTACGTTCTTTTTCTTCTGTGGGTCTGGGGCGAGGAGAACATGCTCGTGGATTTGTTATGGACATTATGATGTGCCCAATAGATAGAAGAAATCGAATAGCAGAATCATTATCTGAAAATAATTCAACAACATGGCTTATAACTATGTTAAACGGATGATGCGCTAGAAAAGGGAACATTGAAAGGCAGGTGATTACAATGACTAACACTTTCTAGATTTCTGATGTGACGTCAAATATTTGGCTGACCTGTTATTCCTGCCTTTTGTAGAACTTGTTCCAGAACAATTATTGCTTCAGGTGTGATGACGTTGCATGTACCCTACATGAAACGGGAAATTAAACTATTCTTGGTCTTATGTAGAACAAGATGTTCGAACTCTACTAATAGCAAGATGAAAAAATCCCACAGCGCAGATACGGTGCAAAAATGTCGTTATTCTCGAATAAAGGATAATTTCTAAGCTCATGATGAATAGAAGATTTGTAGTTAACAATGTTAGTCAGACATATATACATTGCTGTGACATAGAAAATTCTTACACATTGTCGGTTGTCTCTTCCTGAAATTCCAAGTACTCGTTCTAGTTCCTCTTTTTCTACAAGAAAAAAATACATAATGACAAACACTGCATTTACAGTTTTGCAATGTTTTTCATTCATACCTTGAGGATTAGCCCTCTGGAGTAAGTCGGCTACCACTGAGATAGCCTCCACGTTTATGGTCTGCACTGGTGGTTGAAGCGTTGCATCTTGTTTTTCAGATTGCTACAAGAGTTGATGAGACAGATTGATCAACTACATGTGTTCTATGTTCATGCAGACTTGTTCAGTACGAAGTATGAATTCATGAGGATTAGCTCAAGTTAGATTTGTCCATCAAAGGTAACATAAAATAGCTTATGTACCTTCAGTCGTTCAAACAGCTTTAGTGTCTCGTTTTCAATAAGTTGTGTGTTTTCATTCGACGGTGTAGTTTTAGGAACTGCAAACAAATTAAAATGAAACTGCCATTTGTGTTTGTATTATTTGCTTATTTTAAGATTTGTCTCTAGACATACTTGACTTTGAGTCGATGTTTCCTTTGTATTCTTCCTTAAAATTCTGCAGTATGTTACTGTATTCTGCTTCATAGGGCTCAAACGATCTTTTGTTGTTCAATGTTGGCTTTGATGGAACCCTCCAATTCAAGAAAAACTAACAAGAAAAAAGTATACTCCCTGTGAAAGAACGAGTATCATTGAATAATCCTTACCTAAGCCCTTCAAGGATACGAAAGTTCTCATTAAAAATTCTTCATATTGAGAAAATTTGTTGTTGCGTATGCATGTCTGGGAAGTCTTTTTGATAGCCAGACATGTGAAAAGTTTTTAATGTTAGAAAGCTGGCGTCATCAAATTTCAGACCAGGCTTTCTTTTAAGAATAATTTTTAATTGAAATGAAATTGAGAAAAGTGCTTCATTGTGAAAATTTTCTGACGAATTATTTGCCCATATACAGCCTTACATCTTTGTCTACAGAGTCAAATATACCCGTTGCAAGGAATACATAAGCAGTGAAGCTTTTGCTAAGTGTTTTAAATGATGCTAGAATGCTTTCTTTCTGGTTGAGAATAAGAATCATACTCGCAGATTGGGGTGAGTGAACGGACAACTTAAACGAAAAATTATTACCTTGGAAGGATGAGGACGATTTCGTCTAGCCGCTGAGCAAGGCCGTTTCTCTGAGGGGTTACCATCTTTCTTACCGTAGTCTATACTATAGGAAGATACCATTGTCTGAGTTCCGCCCCATGTACAGAGTGGGAAAGTTTTTTTCTTTTGTTCATATGTTGGCATCGTCGGCACTGACGCGTCATTCCTCAATGGCGGTAAAACACTTGTCATTTTTCAAGGTTTTATGTAAAGATCTTTTACTCTTGTGGTCGTGTGTCTAACGTCTTATTTTCATCAGCTTTGTTTGCCGTATTTCAAGATCGCAACCACCCCGCGCAAGCTTCGAGAAAATTGGATGGAGAATGACGTCATAATTGTCTCGTTAGTGATTTAAGGTTTGAATTAACTAAGTTAACGTCATCTAATGGTTTTCTCGCAGAATTTACATTTGCTCATTTCGAATACAGAGACTTTTCTTTTTTATCGTTTTTTGTTTGACTTTTTGCCCACATTAAACCTGAAATGATTCTACCCATTTTAGATGCAAACACCAAAAACATCGGATAAAAGCGGTAAATTAGTCTTCCAGATGCCGCTAAAATCGTGTCATCAATAATTTCGAATCGGGTGCAATTAGTAAACAAAAACATGGCTGCCGAGAATGGAGAAAACGACGTACAAAAGTCGTTATTAAAGATTATATTTTTTCATCCATTTGTAAGTTTTCTTGCTTAAATTTTAATTTGGGTAATATGCTATGCGTTTCTTATGTTTTCTGTCTATTTTAGTTTTTTGTTTTGGCCATTTTTACGCTCATATGTTCACTATGCATACTTATCTTTCTTTATCGACAACACCGTTCAAAAGGTCAGTAATTAAGGTGTTGAAGTTGCGATTTTGGCGATGATCTTTTTAATATTTTTGTCAGTAATAGGCCTATACAAGGTTGTTCTGATCAATAGTCTTGATTATCTACGGGCGCTTTCAAAATTTGACTGATTTGTCAACGATTCAAGAACAAGATGATACGAAACTTCTTATTTTAGAGAGTAAAACGAACTTGCCATCAGGGCAGTCAAAGCCAAGATTTCGAAAAAGAGACAAGATGATTTTCTATGGCAAAAAAATAATGAGAAAGGTTTCACTGAACTGTTCTTGTTGATAATTTCACAACAAATATATAATCAGAAGGACGCTAAGTCATACTCCCGAATCCTGGTGATATTATAACCTTTATCAGAATTTTGTATCTTGTCCTTAGGATGTTTAGAATTTACGGCTTGTTTTGTTTTATACTGCTGTATTTAGCATGAACTCGCTTAAAGAAATCTTTCAACTATTTAAGGTGCGCAACACTCGTGACGATATTTATCGAAAGAGTCATATAAAAGCCAGACAGAAAGTGATGTTGAATTTTGCCAAACAGTGAGTACTTGCAACTGCTGAAATAACGAATGTGCGATGTCATGATTAATTATAAAGCTGTAAAAGTCTTTTATGATGTATTGCCCTAAGTTCATGCCCCTTCACACCCATTCTCTGCCCCTCCTCTTCCCCACTCATCCTCCTCTGTCCCTTAACGTCCATCTTTGTCAGTTGTCACCTGTTGGCGTGATTGGTGAAGAATTTACGAACTGTTCTTGTTGTAGTTGTTGAAAAATATTTTTAAGACAAAATTGAGACGGGGAAATTCTCTGTAAAAAGTGTGTGCCCTTTAGTTTTTGTTACGATGGTCGAATTAAATTCAAAATTGAGTTTTTAACGAAAAAAATTTTTTGTTCATAAATTTATAATATGAGCGTATTTAAAATATTCGTATTTTGTACCTGTCATTTAAAAACAAAACATTTAACTTTCGCTTTGCTAATGCAATTTTGTAAGTACGCTTTCATTGAGTTCAAATGTCACATTTTACCGTCTGAGGCAAAATTACACGAGAAACATCCATGGCGAAACTCATACAAAACACATTGAGTTTATTTTAATGGAGCCTGCTAAAGAGTTTGTCCTGAGAGTGTTTCTGTCTTATGCTGATTTTTCGTTCATATGGAAAGGTTTTTCTTGGCTGCGAAATCGTATTTTCAGGCAAGCAGTGTTAGTTGAAATAACCATCGCTTTACTTTTTCAAAAGAAAATAAGAAAAAGAAGTCATTATTGTTACATGTAACGGAACATTTTTTTATCTTTGCGTATTTTTGCAGCGATTTCGTACCGTCCGTGATTCTGTACACAAAATGAAATAAAACATTTAATTGACGCTCATTTGATGTTTAGAGTGCTTCATCTTCAAGAACAGGAGCCATGTCGTAAAATTAAAGAACCTCCACCGGCATTTCTCGAAGCAGACTGGAAAGATGTAAGAATCGATGTCTTTCTTCTTCACTGAAATTATACGTAGCCAGCCACAGAGGATTATTTGCAATTTAGGCAAAATTGTGTTCATCACGAAAGCACTTTTCTTTTTTTTCAGTCAGAAGAAGCAGAACAAAGACTGCCAGCTGAAGTTGTCTATATGTTGAAGAGTGTTAGGTTCGTAGGCTGCGCTTAGTAATAACTCCCACTGAAAATTGTTTATTGCCAAATTATGCGATGTTCTGTTCGAGGGAAGTTTCGTGTTTAGCTGTAAAGACATCAAGTGACTTGCTGTTTCATTTGTTTACACAAAAGTGTCGTTATTGTTCCTTGACAAATGTACATTTTGTACGCCCATATTTTCCTTTGTTTCAGGGTCTTTGGTCATTTCGAGAAACCTTTATTCATTGAATTGTGTAAACATATTGAGACGAAGTTTTTACCTGCGAGTACTGTTCTATCTAGCGAAGGAATAGTAAGATGATTTAACATTACGTAGTAATTCAGTTCTTCTAAAATTTTATTGTCATTTTCTCCTAAGAACAACTTGTGTTAAGTTATGTTATTTTTTCGTTATACAGATTTCTTATATATATTTATTTTTCCATATATATTTATGATTCCATTGATTGGTTCCATATATGTTGTACACCACTTCTTTCTAAATCCTCCACATGGTTCCAAGGTTTATTACTTTCATTTCTGAAGATCCTCCAACCACCCTATACATACATTTTTCATCTTCTGTAGAGATCTTCAACCACCCTATACATACATTACTTTCATCTTCTGTAGAATCCTCCAACCTCCCTATACATACATTACTTTCATCTTCTGTAGAATCCTCCACCACCTATACATACATTACTTTCATCTTCTGTAGAATCCTCCAACCACCCTATACATACATTACTTTCATCTTCTGTAGAATCCTCCAACCACCCTATACATACATTACTTTCATCTTCTGTAGAATCCTCCAACCACCCTATACATACATTACTTTCATCTCATGCAGGACGGCAGTAAACAGGCATTAAAGAGAGTTAGTCCTGGCAACAGTGTGTTCAGTATGTTGAGGGATATTGGATGCTTTGACGGTATGTTAATGGATATCAAATGCTATAAAAGTATATTTTTGGGTAATCATTAGAATGGCAAAAACTTGCTGTTATGGCCGTACTTTTTAATGTTCGGAACGTTCATTATTTTAGTGGTTTTATCAATTGTACACATTCATTATTAAAGCGATTTTATCAATTATACACATTCACTATTTTAGTGGTTTTATCAATTGTACACATTCATTATTAAAGGCATTTTATCAATTATACACATTCATTATTTTAGCGGTTTTATCAATTGTACGCATTCATTAATAAAGCGATTTTATCAATTATACTCATTCATTATTCTCGTGGTTTTAGATTATACACGACATAGAAATGTCATGTCGGCAGCTTGAACTATAGTTTTAAGTTCATTATGCTTTTGTTTTTCCCTGTTATTGCTGGTATATACCCCTAAAAATGGAACTTAAACATCTCTCTGTTTGTTTTTAGGAAAGACCACAAACTCACGAACACAAAGTTAAAGTCGTGGCGTCCGTTGATTCATACATTTTAAAGTATGTAATAGCTAGAGTCCATTCTTCAAATTGTCTGCTACTTAACACGTCCAAACTTCTTTCACAATTTCTTACAGATTACCAAGTAAAGCATTTCAAACTGTGTTTGATCATTACCGGAATCTCTAGTGAGACTAGTACAGGTGAGCGAGTTATACGGGGGAGGAGAGGTAGAATCCGGTGAGAGATATTGAAACGTTGATTTTAACGAGTGTTTCTAGGATATGGTAAACACGTGGAACTATAACAACGTTTATTGTTTACATTGTCCAGGTAATTATGTTACGTCTACAGCAAGTTACAATGATGGCTCTTCATGATTTTCTTGGCTTGACTAATGAGCTCGTTAGCCTTGTAAGTAAATGAAACAATTTCTGTGCAATGTGCAGCGTGATCACCATTGAAACAATGCAAACTTCTGAACGCAAGCAATGATAATGTACAATCAAACGTGTATTAAACTCTTTGACTTGATAGGGCACACACAATCGCCAACACCCATCCACCCCCGGCAAACATGCCAACCCCAACACACTGCCAACACCCCTCTCTCCAACACACTCACAAACATACACCAACAACCACCCACCCCCAGCATACATGCCAACCCCCAACACACTGCCAACACCCCTCTCTCCAACTCTCTAAAATTGTTAATTTTATATTTTGTTTCATAATTACAGGATACGGAAGATGCTACAAAAGTCCCGTCGTTTTATTCCATTTCAAATACCAACAAATTTCCAACAACCGAAACAATAAATGATTCACGAAAAAAGAGCGCTTCGATGGTCAAAAATGAAGTCTTCCCTCGGAGTGCTAGCCTTGCGGCTAGGCCAGGAAATTCCATGAGCAAAAGTGTTCCTGTTCAAATACCAGGTCCAATGAAACGAAGCTACTCTCTCAATTATGTTCAGGAAAAGTTAAACGATAGTGATATTGATGGTAGGTTCAAAAGCATTCACTTTTTCTTCTTCATCCTCGAAAGAAATTATTTCTTGTGTTTAGAAACAAGTGATTTTGCCGCAGCCTGTGGTCGAGCAAGGGCGTTTACGGATAGGGGATCTCGGCCCAAGTTTGAAACGGGAAGCTCTACGTCACCAGAACCCAGTCCTAATGATTTTGATGTGAGCAGATTCGACTTTCCAGTCGCTCAACGAGAATATGAAGACGACAAACCGAGGTTTGAACGAGGCAATAGTTTTTACGAAGATGAAACAATGATTAAAGCAAAAAAGGACATTGCAACTATACTTGGACTTGGGGTAATTATCCAATGGTTTTCAATTCCGGGTGGGGGGGAGAGATATAAAAATTTAAAAAATATTTCCGTTTCGTTTCCAGGCAAGGGATGAAATTTTGCTTGACGATGTGCTGTGTTCCGCTGTCATATCCAAAGGAACTGTTCTTGTTAAACAGGGAGAAATGGTAAAAATATGCTCACTGGTTCTTGTGTGTGTAAAATCATATCGTCATCCATTTCTTCTCACATTGCTTCAAACGTCCCGCTAGGATTGCAGTGTCTTTTTCCTTATAAGTGGATGTTTGCAAGTCTCCCAAATGGGCATGGAAAATAGCGAAGAGGTTTGTATTTATGGCAGTTGTAAAGTCAGCTCGATTTTTTGTCATAGTCGCGTTCATGGCATACAAATATTTTTTGTTTATTCCCTGGAAAAAATAATGTACAAAATTTTCTTTCTAACGAAAAGATTCCAATGAATAATGGTTTGCTCAAAATTTATGTTGCAGGACTAAAAATTTCGAGTTGGTTTTTTTCACTCACTATTTATGTATTTAAATCGTGTGTTACAGTTGATGAAACCTACTTTTCATACAATCAGTGACTTCGTATCATAAATATTGAAATATAATTATTAATATTTTTAATTGTGCTTTAAAGCTTTTTAATGTTTTTTAATGTAGAACATCTTATATGTCGCTCGTCCCGGTGAAGTAGTCGGAAGTCTATCGGTAATTACCGGAGAGCCTTCGTTATTCACAATCAAAGCTGTCAAATTTTGCGAAGTTGGTGTCATGAGTAAAAGCGACATCTATGGGTTAGAGATTTGTATGGATTGGATTGACTTGAGGATTAAGGATTATCTTTTATATTCTCATATCTTTATCCATTATTCCAGGTTACTTCGACAAAGACCACGTGTCATTTTAAATCTAAGCACTACGCTTACTTCACGGCTTACGCCGCTGGTCAGAAATATCGATTATGCTCTTGACTGGGTACACATGGAGGCGGGTCGTGCCATTTATAGGTACATCTGTATTCATACATCTATTTGTAGGTGTATATTAGGTGCATTTGTGGATCTATTGGTACATACATAGGAGTGCGTTTATGGTAGTTTGGTTTGCTGATTGCTTGAAGATATAAGATGTTCTAACGACAATGGTGTTTGTCTATTGTTTATTTGTATCTTTCCTTCCTCCTAGGCAAGGTGATGAATCTGACTGTCTCTACATTGTTCTTAACGGTCGGCTGAGGTCTGTAGTGACACAAAACAAGAAAAAGGAATTGGTCGGTGAACATGGCCGTGGGGAGTTGGTTGGTGTGGTATGTGCAGTTTGGATTAAATTAGATTTGATTGTATTGATTACGTTTAAAGTAAATGGTTTGAACCCGGGAGTGTCGTTACATGTTGCAAGTACACACAATACAATGACGTAAGAACCAGATAACAAATACGGCTAACCTGACTTTTACTCCTCTTTTGACTCTTAAGATGACTACCGCTAAGGTTGTCGAAACGTCAGTCAACAACAACAAAAACAGTCCTTCTCAGGACTATACCAACCTGGACGATCTACATTTACAAACATGTATTGATTACATTTGTTTACATTTCTCTCATGAGGTACTTTTTTGTCGTTGATTATAGGTTGAAGCTTTGACACAAAATCCGCGAATTGCCACTGTTCATGCTGTTCGGTGGGATTTATTTCTTAGGAATGTTTTTCGATGTTATGATTAATTTTTATACTTGTTTATTCTTTTCTAGTGACACCGAGGTCGCTATACTTCCTGACGGCCTGCTCAACGCGATCAAACAAAATACCCACAGGTCTGTATGTTTGTGATGCTTGGTGAGCTCATGAAATGGTTAGCATTGAAAATATTTACTCTTTTTATATAAGGTTGTGAGTCGACTAATCCATTTATTAGGAGAACGAATCCTCCGTCCTATACAAGCTTTAAATTCAGGTAGATTGAAGCAACATCGGAATAAAAATAAGGAAAGCAACTTGTATATAATGGAAAGAAATCTCTAATTTTCAGATCATTCTAGTGGAGAGACAAGTGAAGTCGGAACAAATTTAGCAACAATAGCCATTGTTCAAGCATCCGATGAAGTCCCTTTAAATAACTTTGCGTTTGAGCTCAGTTTGGCCCTAAATACTATTGGTTGGTGGATGCTTTTGTATTGACATGCTCTCTTTGATAAAGAATTTTGGGTGATACTACAAGCATTTTGAACGAAGTATGTTTGTTTTCTTTCAGGGCCAACTTTATTACTGACTAGTTTTCTTGTTCAAAGTAAACTGGGAACGTCTGCCTTGGACAGGTACGATTTTTAATACATTCCTACAGAAATATTTAACATTTTGAACAACATGTTTTCTCGTATACGGATGCAGAAAACATATTATAAATATATTATAAATATTGAAAATATATTATAAATATTCAAAATATAATATAAATATGCAAAATATAATATAAATAGATCAAATAGACGTTTGCTTGATGGTGAAAGCTCGTGAATAGATCTTACGACAATTACGTTCTGAGACACTTGTTATTTGCTTATGTAGTATGCATGAATATCGTTTATCGAATTGGTTGGGTCAACAGGAAGATCTTCATCATCTTGTTGTTTATCAAGCAGATCATTACATGTCTGCATGGACGAAGAGATGCATCAGACAGGTATGTATACGTAAAAGATATGGAGTGCTTACAACTGGGAACTTTTCATAATGAAATTCGTGAAAGGGGTTTGCTTGAGGTGGAAATGTATTCGACGGTTGTGGATTGAAGGGAAGGGGAGGGCTTTAGGTACAGATGGATCAAACATTCGACGGTTGTGGATTGAAGGGAAGGGGAAGTGCTTTAGGTACAGATGGATCAAACATTCGACGGTTGTGCATTGAAGGGAAGGGGGAGTGCTTTAGGTACAGATGGATCAAACATTCGACGGTTGTGGATTGAAGGGAAGGGGAAGTGCTTTAGGTACAGATGCATCAAACATTCGACGGTTGTGGATTGAAGGGAAGGGGAGTGCTTTAGGTACAGATGGATCAAACAGAGGTGTGATCACTTGTCAGACAGGGCTTCTTGTGGTCTTGTATTAAACGGGGGGTGCATGAGACTGAAATTTTAAAATGTTGAAAGGGGGGTAAAAACTTTTTGTGCTGTAGTGATGAAATGGAACATTTCTGTTATACATTCAAAAATTTCTATTTTTTTTCTTCAGGCTGACCTTATTTTAATTGTTGCTTTGAGTGAAAAAGAGCCAGACGTTGGACAGGTTGAGTCACGTTTTTAGTGCAAAGTTTTTATGGAAACTTTTCAATTTCAAACGAGTCATACAAAGTTTAAACTTTCGACAATTACATTTTCAAACTTTCTTTCTTAACGACTGTTACGGGTCATGGTGAGAAATCAAGTAAATGTTTAAATGATGTTAAAGACATTTTAGATGTTAAGGACATTTAGCATTTGTAGTAATATTGTATTATTGTTGTTTGGTGGAATGAATGTTGCAATTACTTGATTGGATATTTTACCTTCAGCTAGAAACGCAAATGGAAAACATGCAAGTTCGAGCACAGAAAGAGTTAGTGTTGTTACATCGCGATATTAATGAAAAACCAATCACGAGAACTGTTGAATGGTTAAATGCTCGAGGATGGATATCTGCTCATCATCATGTACGTGATTGTATTATCTTGTATCTCATTTTCTCATTTTGTACCTCATCTTCTCATTTTGTAGCTCTTCTTATCATTTTGTATCTCGTCTTCTCATTTTGTACCTCATTTTCTCATTTTGTATCTCGTCTTCTCATTTTGTACCTCATTTTCTCATTTTGTATCTCGTCTTCTCATTTTGTACCTCATCTTCTCATTTTGTACCTCATCTTCTCATTTTGTATCTCATCTTCTCATTTTGTACCTCATCTTCTCATTTTGTACTCATCTTCTCATTTTTTCATCTTCTCATTTTGTATCTCATCTTCTCATTTTGTATCTCATCTTCTCATTTTGTATCTCATCTTCTCATCTTGTACCTCATCTTCTCATTTTGTATCTCATCTTCTCATTTTGTATCTCATCTTCTCATTTTGTATCTCATCTTCTCATTTTGTATCTCATCTTCTCATTTTGTATCTCATCTTCTCATTTTGTATCTCATCTTCTCATTTTGTATCTCATCTTCTCATTTTGTATCTCATCTTCTCATTTTGTATCTCATCTTCTCATTTTGTATCTCATCTTCTCATTTTGTATCTCATCTTCTCATCTTGATTTTTTTCACTAAAAACTTATACGATCAATATTGTAGCATATGAACATGTTTAATCTAAACAATTAACCACAGATCCGATGTCCAAGGAAAGTATTGAGCAGAAAATCTTTAGTGGAAAAGGTATTTACAAACCGAATCTCTCTGCTCTATACTTTTATAAATTATTGAACTATTGCTTTCCTCGTATATAGTACCTTCATGATCCAAGCAACTACCCCATTCCTACACGGTAATGCGTAAATGTTTAACAGGAGGTATATTTTGGTCAAACAACGAAATGATAGACTCTCGTTAAAAGTATTTTTTAAAAATTGGAAAACTATAAAATTATTCGCATCAAAGTTTCGTTTTGGAGTATATTTCATGTTATATTAAATGGAGTGTTTAATTTGAGTATGAACATCAAATAAAAATAATGTTTTTTATCATTTCAGACATTCAGATTTTTCAAGACTTGCTCGCCGTTTGACTGGTACTTCCATTGGTCTTGCCCTCGGTGGAGGCGGGGCAAGGTAAAAATATCTACTTATATTCAATTGGTCTTGCCTTGGGTAAACTAAAGAACGTTTATCTATATACAAGAACGAGTATGTACTCGTTCTTATATATGTATTTCTTTTAACTGCTTTGAAGCCATGCTCAGTGCCTGTCATCTGTAACGCGTATTTAAACATTTTTTAGAGGAATATCTCACATTGGAATGATTCAAGCTTTACATGAAGCCGGTATTTCTCATCTTATGTGTTTACATTAGTAAAGCATACTTCATGAACACCAACTTCATTATTTCATCTACTATACAGGAATTCCAATCGACATGGTAGCTGGGACAAGTATTGGATCCTTAGTTGGAGCGGTTTATGCAACCGAAGCAGATCCCGAAAAGACTTTAGCCGTTTGTAAAGAATGGTCAATGGTGAGATTTGACCCACAATGTCTAATGTTTGCGGACAATTTATTCAATAATTAATTATCATTTACGTACTTTAGAGCATGACATCTCTGTTTAAAATATTCATGGAGTTAACTTACCCTTTCACATCGTTTTTCTCAGGCAAGATTCATGAAACAGATATTTTTTTGACACGTAGAGAAATATATTGAAAAGTTGTTGTGTTTAGGAAATGGATTCAATGCCAGCATAAGAACTGTACTTGGAGAAAAACAAATTGAGGTAATTGTAGTGATTTTTTACATCCTACCTTACTCTCTCATCCTTTCCTCTCACATTTCCTCACATCATCCTCCCATATCCTACCATCCCTCACATCCTACCATACTTTCCTCACATCCACCATCTCATCACTCTATCCTCCATCCTTCCATACTTTCACCATACATCCTCACATCCCATACTTTCATCTCATCCATATCTCCCATTCTCTCCATATCCTCATACCACTCATCCCCACTATCACTCTTTCCCATCTCCATCATACCATTTTCACATCCATCATCTCATTATTTATCCTCCATCCCTCCCATTCCTCACATCTACCATCTTTCCTCACACATTCCTCATCCTTTACTCATCCTACCATACTCCATACATCTCCTCACATCCTACCATACTCTCCTCACATTCTAGTACCTACCTTAGTCTCCTTTTATCCACGCTTCACTCCCCCCGTCAAAAATTTACTTTCAAAGAAGTACTATTGTTTTGTAGGATTTGTTGCTGCCCTTTTTCACCGTTACAACTGATATATCATCTTCTTGTATGAGAGTACATTCAAATGGTGAGTTAGAGGAGCTGTGAAAAAGTGAATCTCTTTTGCTTTAGCTCCCATTTAATGTCAGAGCTGGTTAAAAGGGGGGGGACTATGTTTACATGTAACATTCTATCATTAGTGTCGTGTTTTGTAGGTAGTTTATGGCGTTATGTACGTGCAAGTATGTCGTTAGCAGGCTATATGCCACCCCTTTGCGATCCAGTTGATGGTCACATGTTACTAGATGGTGGATATTGCAATAATCTTCCAGGTAATAATGTCATTAAAATTTTGTAGGCACCTGCTGGCGTTATGTGAGGGCTAGTATGTCTGTTTCTGGTGTTCTACCACCCATGTGTGACCCAAATGATGGGCATCTTCTAGTTGATGGAGCTTACGTCAATAACGTACCAGGTAACTCCACCTGCTCCTTTCCAGGTAACTCCACCTGCTCCTTTCCAGGTAACTCCACCTGCTCCTTTCCTTTCCAGGTAACTCCACCTGCTCCGCCTTACTTTCCAGGTTGTTTCAACCCTAACCCTCTTCTTTCCCAGATAACTTCAACCATTACGTGATAGCTGCATTCCTTTCTATTTCTTGTCAATTTCTCTTTAGTGAACTCATGATGATTTTAGTTTACCATTACAACTGGTAATGTGTATCTGTTGAAAATTATCTCGCCATTCTTTCAGCGGATATCATGAAGTCAAGGGGAACTAAAACCATCATTGCTGTTGACGTTGGTTCTGAAACTCCAGCTGAGTTAACAAACTATGGCGACCATCTTTCAGGCTGGTGGTTATTGTGGAATAAGTGGAATCCTTTCAGTGAAAAAATATATGTTAGTAATTACGTAATATCATTTTTTATCTGCCTTCTTTTTCAACTTTGTTTGTTTCTGTTGATTCTTAATACCAAGTACATTTTCATAGGTTCCTAATATGGCCGAGATTCAAAGTCGTCTTGCTTACATATCGTGTAATCTCCGGCTTGAACAGTTAAAAGAAAATAAGTATTGCGAATTTCTGCGACCACCAATAAACAAATTTAGTACTTTAGAATTTGGCAAATTTGATGAAATCTTGGTGAGTATTTTGACACGATTTTAAAACTTGACGAGAAAAACATAAAATTAAAGACTTTAGTAGAAACATTCAACATTTTCAGAAATTGGGCTATGATTATGGAACTGAAATATTTCAAGAATGGGCGAAAAATAGAAGACCCGACATGTACCCTGATCTTTCTGCTGTTGTATCATCCAGTCGTCCGGAGGTTTGACGAAAATAGTTTCGTATTTCTTTTATTCTTTTGTGTTTAAGTAGTATTGTTATATTTGTTTGTTCACTATTGTCAAATATATTTATATCAATAGAAGAGTTTACTACCAATTAGTTTTTCTTTTTTCGCGGACTTTTCAGTTTTTATTAGATTGCATCATTTGTATTTTCAGCTTGTTGAAAAGCGTCCAATGGGAAGCGTCAAGTCGATTTCTGACTTCGCTAAGCTTGTTTCGCGGGTCGACCACCCGCACAAACCCCTTAAATTCATCACTGCGCTCCCCGAAGGTTATGAAACGTCAGATGATGACGATGTTGAACCCGAAGATCAACCTCGTCGCACAGGATCATTAGGTGATCACGAAGTACTTTTGGGAGGTGATAGTGCCGAAGAGCATGACGGGGTAGGATTTTCTAGCACTGACGATGCTGAATACGAGGTACGTAAACTATATGTTAAGGGGGGGGGTGTCGTTAACCACGGTTAGGGGTCAGTGACTTCTTGGAGATAAGAAGTCTTAGTTGTTTTCTCTTTATATTTTCAGTCTGATGATACGCATGTCCGAAAGAGAACTGCTGCTCGGGTGTTTCGATTGTCTAGTTCGGAACCTCCCGAATAGTTAGGAAGCTGTCAAGTGATTTACTTTATTTATGCAGTACATGGTTGTAAAGTTGACTTTGTTCAAAATCTCAGCCATGTCAAAAATTTATATATTTATTTTCATGCATGTATTTTCGCCAACAGATTTTTAATCAAAATGTCGTCTATTCCCGTCTTTACACCAGACGAATTACGAATTTAGCTTCGTTTTGTTTAAATTTCGAACCGAAATTGAAAATTTTGCTCTTGATGCCTTTACGCAAGAAGCACAGTTAATCCTAAAAAGTACCTCTATGTATCCGGTTATACTATTTAATATTGCTCTAGTATAATTGAAGAGAATCTAAATTATATTTCAACGGTTTCATAATCAAGTATTTTTATTGGTTGCGGGATTTAATGTGGTCGGTGTTTCGTCGTTAAAAACAAAATCATTTCTTGTTTTTTCTCTTGTTGGAGCACTCGTTGATGTTTTGTTTTGTATTATCGAAGTCATATTGCTGCCAGACCCACTTCCTGATCCTGAAATGTCCCCAGATGCTCCCGAGCCGTCCCCAGATGCTCCTGAACCGTCTCCAGATGCTCCCGAGCCGTCTCCGGAGCCTGAACCCGAGCCTTAAAAAATTGATAGAAACCTTTTTCATGATGTCAACACAACTGAAACTGTTTTTTTATTTGCAAACATTCCTTTCGTACATTTTTTATAATCGAAAGGTTTTTATTTTCGAGCGTAATATTGTTTTCGTTGCTTTTGTTCGCTTACCGTCACATTTTTTGTACGTGTCACAACTTTGCTTTTCTATGTTGTCCCTGGGTTCACATGGTTTTCCGCCATGTTGCGGTTTTGGTTTGTCGCAATATCTAACACGTCGTCTCCATCCGATATCACATTTGGCAGAGCAAGCTGACCATTTTCCCCACTCGCCCCAACCACCGTCAACTATAACAAGATGACAGAGTCGTATGACGTTCATTAGTTTATTCGAAGCAACATTAATTTTAGAACAACTTGTCAAATTAAAGCACAATCATTATCTAGAACATACTTGGGCAAAACCTCGTCATCCTGCATGCCTGTTGGTCCTCTCTTACTCCTTTGCAATCTCTGCCCCCATGTTGTGGCTTTGGGTTTGTGCAACTTCTAAATCTCAACTGGCGACCTTTACCACAGGTTTTTGAACAGTCGCTCCAGTTTCCCCATTTTGACCAACCGCCGTGTACTTGAAAGAATAATGATCACAATGAAATACTTAAAGTAGTGACACATAGAACTCTCTGTGTTTATACTCCTCTAATAAATAGACAAAGGCTGACACTCATTATAGATAGACTGAGAAAGATACACGACTAAGGTAATTTAAATCTAACCTACATTAAAGACTGTCCTATTTTACACTTCTTTGTGATCTTGCTAACGTTGACACATGTCGCTCGTACTTACTGGGACAGTGAGGACGATCGGGATTTGTACATTCCTTTTTTTCGCTCTGTTTCCCAGGACATCCAGCATTGTTGATATCTAGACATCTTCTTATACGCCTAGAGATTCCTTTGCCACATTTTGCATCACACTCTGTCCAGTCCCCCCAGGCACTCCAATTTTCCGCTATCAAAGAAATAATTTGTATTTTAAGATGCTATTGTATTTTGAAGTTAGTGTTTTAATGCAAACCATGCATGCATAAAATTCACCTGAAGTGCATGGCGTACAGTGCTTTCTTCCTCCCTTTCCTCTTCCATAGTAATAACCAGCACCTCCGTTATGCTGACAACAATCGTTTTTCGTCTTGAAGCGGCCTTGTATTCGTGATTTACATGAATTCCTCTGCGGTCTGTACACTTTGTAACAATAAATCTTTGGAGGTCTTGCCTTCCTGCCTATTCAAAAGATGTTAGTCGTTGAGTGCTTGTTGCATGTCATACTTTCAACATGTGTGGCGCCTTTAATATTTATCATTTTTTGCACGTTCCCTCCCGCTGTCAGTCAATGTTTACTAATACGAAATTCGTTTTCCCGTTTTTGTGCGTTTTAAAGAACGAAACACTTCGTATTTTGCTTGACATTCTAATTGGCGCAAATTATGCTAATATCCTGTGGGAGTGTCTGTAATTCCTTCTCGAGAGATTGTTTCCCTTTGTATGACTTAAGGAAGTCCAATGTTTAAGACATGTTTCAGCTAATCACGAGACTAGTTTATTCATCGCCACTCAGAAGGCTCCAACATAAATATGTATGAAATCGTCAATAGCTAAAAACCTCCCCTGTGTGGTGATTCACAATTACTCAAGTTATCAAACATCTATTGGTTTTTGTTGTTAAGTCTTTATGCCAGCACGTGGTAATCATCAGAAGTCTCTTGAGAATGTTGTCGTAATATTATTGTGATGATGGGCACAGATTGTGCGCTATTTCTTAAGTACAAAGTTCTCTCTTCTTATTTAGTCGTCGCTTTAAACAGGGAAAAGGTCTTCATTTTATCGAGGTTTTGTTTGACACATTCTACATACAAATTAGTCCAAAAGACACCTTTAAATAAAATAAATCAACAAAGAAGTATTTTGTATATATTCCTTTAGATTTCTACTGTATACAAGATGTTCATTTTATTTTGTCTGTCTAGTAACAATTGATTGAAATGGTGAGCGTCCTGCCGTTATGTTTGACTTTTCGTTTTCCGCGAATGTTTCCGTCCCTATACATTCCCTATAGGTTGAAAATTCGACTTTTACCATTTCACTGTGTTTACGAGCTGCGAGTTCATGGAACACTCGTTTGTCAAGCTACTAATGAATATGTTTTAAGTGTTTTAGCAACATACCTCCAGATAATTCAATATTTACCACAAAAACGATAACGAAGAGGAGTAATGGCACGAAGAAAGATTTCATGATTTTATTTCATGTGTGACTGATGACAAGTGTTTCCAAATTGTGGAACCGGATCATTTATTAAGACCCAAGCCTCAGTTGATTCCCGCTGTGTCGACGATGCAGACCATTGACATGGAAGGCTGTGTGACGATTTTCCCAATAGGACGCACCCAAAAACATTTACAGCTCGGATTACTAAACTAAGAGTTTAGTCTTATGTTGTTTATACAAATGTTGTGTAGACAGCTGCAGTAATTTCATGCTGGGCCATATATTTTTGACCTTCTAAGATAGAAGAAAATAGAGTAAATGATTGAGTGATGTTGAGAATTAAAGAAAAATAATTAAATGTTTCAGTTTAAGTATTTATCAGTTACTTTATAATAAAATAAAGAGATTTTAAGAAATCAAACAGTAATTTTAGTTGAAAAAATTTGTGATTTTCAACGTATAATGTAAAGTAGGAATGTTTGGTTAGCTTCAGACAGACATATCAAATAGATTTAGCCAATGCCTAAATTGGATTTGAAATGACGAAATTGTAGATCCGACGTAGGGCTATTTAGTTTTAATTTGACAAATGAAGTGTAGCATGTACGAAGAAAAAAAGTTAATCAAAGAATGTGTTAATAAATTCCAGGCGTCTATACACGTAATTTGGCAAAATAAATTGCATTAAGAAAATAATTCTTTTTACAAATCAGAGAATTATGACCCTTTGTAACATAACACACTCAACAGTGACAGGAAATGTTTTCCAGCCAACAATTTGAAGAAATATGTTAATTATGAAACATTTCACAAGAATACATCATTTTGTAAACTCAAGATTCTGGTTTACATAGCAACAAACAAGATTAAAAAGCAATATTTCGATTTTGTTTCGAAGTCATTGTCAAGCAATTGTTAGGAAAATAAAGGACGTTTGAAAATCAAACGTATATTTGACAGATGATTAAAAATTGTAAATGCTCGTATTTGTCAAGTGTTAAGTATTCTTCGTCATGCTGATAAAATGATTTTTCATAGCAACACGTAAAAGAATGCCTGCAAGCTAGTATACTATGGTGAATGAATTAAAATTTCTCATTTTCTTTTTTTTTGAATCTTCCTCCATCTAAACCGTGTATACAACACAACCAGACACAAGCAACTGGATCTTACAACTTCGCTGTAATTTGATGCTTCCTTTGAATTGGCAATTCAGAAGTTTCTATCTTGAGTGAAAGAGAGATTCTTCGACAAATTCAACATTATAAAACCAAAGATATTTGCACCTAGAGTTTTATCGTCGCTATTTCATGACAAAATTTTACGTTTTGGTCATCAGTTTCTACTGGTTTTATGTAAAATAGCAGTATGGACGTACAGAGATTCATAGCCTTTGTCCTGCTTTTCGGACAAGTTTGTTGTGACGGGCACAACGTTGAGTCTGGTGAGTTTATTTTAAGTGTATTTTAACAAAACTAAGCACATTCTGAAAATATTGAGCAATGGCAGCTGAATTATTTGTCTTCATCTTAATTAAAGAAAAATGAGACATAATGTTATCATTATGCAATGTGCGCCGAAAACTGCATAGTTAAGCAACAGTCTTTCTATCTGAGGAACGTTAGTAGAATTAAAGATGAAGAAAAATCTTGTTGCTATCTTTAAGATTGCAGAGACTAAAATGATTTTACCTAATGGTATACCGACGTGGAACAAGGAGCAATTGTTGTAATTGTTTTGGTGATTTTGATTGTCATATTGTGTTTCATATGACACATTATTTAATTAATACTTGTATATAATCCCAAACTGCATTCCGCGTTATGTGTTGGTCATTTAACTGACTCTAGAGGCTTAAAATTCGAGTCAATCTTTCTGCATATTTCCTTTTAGAATATCTATGTTTTTTGTGTTATTATTCTCTTTGTTTCTTTTTCTATTTCTCTATAAACACTGCCAGCCTTTTCCTTATGATGGAAGATTGTGATATTTCATTACGATGAAATTAACAATGTTGCAAGGCCGTAGCACAACGTTAGTTGTGAAATGTGAATATTCGTATATCTTGTTGTACCAGGCTGATTTCGTTTGAAAAAAAACTAACTCTTAAAAGAAATCGATCAGCGAACACCGTATGAATGAACACAAACACATAACCTACAATTTAAGTTCTAGTTACGGCCTTGCAATCTCTTCTCCGCAGAGCCTTCGAGTTTTATGTATAACAGAAGCTAAATCTAAGGGCTGCATGACAACAATCATAACACCACGCAATCCCTTTGACGCTGAAATTGGAACGCGGTCGGAAATATGGTTGCCTTGTGTTGTACTGTTGTACATTTGTACAAAGTCAGACAAAGTGTTATACCTGAAATTCGAAGCATTCACGGAGGAGAGATCACTGCAACGGGAATTTGACTAAATGGGAAATTTCTGTTTCTTTAGTGCAATCTCATGAACAGAAGACTTACGTGAAAACAGTGAGTTCATCTTAAAAATTCTCGTAAACTACTTCTGCCAGCTTTACGTGAACAATACAATAATTTCTTTTCCCTTTTAGAAAACAAAATATAACGATGTTATTGGCACACCCAGTCAAAATTCGCTTAGTAATGTTAGTGAAGTCATGACTGCCAGTGGAGAGGCTGATGATGAAGTATTTCGAGTTTCTCCAGGCCGGACGGTCATTTATAAGGAATTTAGTGAACTTAGTTCACAGGATCAAGAGAACGCCTTACGGGTGAGTACTTCATTTAAAGTAGCATAAAAAAGACTGTATTGCAAAATCTTTATCATTGATTGTGTTTCAGAGATGGCAGATTAAAGGTGATAATGGAAGACGTGGTTCGAGAGGCTCTCCTGGAAAACAGGGATCACAAGTATGTTAACATTTACTGTTAATATCGTTGACTGGATATTGAAGTTTCTTTTTCGTTCCCAGGGCTCACCCGGTGAACGAGGACCTCCCGGAGGAATGGGAGCTAAGGTGAAATAAATCACCGCTATCATTTCTCTTACATCACGTTTATACTGGGGAATTTGCATTGATGTTTTCTCAATGATCATCTTTCCCAAGTATAAAGACGTGATTTTACGAAGAGAAGTTCTACCGTAATATACGTCGTATCTTTAGGTATCATAAACCTTTCATTTTAGGGTTTGTCGGGGGAGCCTGGAGAGGAAGGATTGCCTGGATATGAAGGATCACGCGGTCTCCCCGAGCGAGATTACGTAATGTATGCAGTTATTTACTATTTTCATTACACAAAGCTTGCTTTCCATTTGTTAATGGAGGTAGTCAATCGCTAGGCCTGTCGTTCGTTATTTTCATCATAAACTCGTTCTTTTCTTTTAATGAGTTTTTACAAAATGATTAGGGCATTGAGCAAAAACCCATTGCGTTATTCAAAACGCTTTTAGCTACTTCAGTAATGAAGATCTTAGAGACAAAATTTTTAATTCAGATGATCCAAGAACTTTCAAATCTGTAAGTGTGAAACGTAACACAACTCAATCACCTTTGACAAACACTCATCAGTGCAAAAGTGTTTTACCTCTGTGTGGTGATTCCTTCCAGTCATTGTGTATGCGTATCTATGTTTAAATATTGTATCTGTTGATTAAAATAAAGTAGTTACATGAGAACCATGCTTGAAATATATAATCACGATTCACTGAAGACAATTCACATTCAGGTACCTTATGGCTTATCGCACACGTGGCTTGAACGTTTTGTTGATACCGTCCGTCATGGTTTGGTAAAGTACTTAACATAAAATGTATTTCTAGCTTCATGTGAAGAAAATACAACGAGCCATCCTTCGTGATGTTACGTTTAGGTAGAACAAGCGAAACGAGCTCCTCCGGGTCCTAGAGGTCCGAAAGGATCAACAGGGGACAGGGTGAGTATGCAAACTTATATTTAGTCATCTTGGGCTCAATCAGGAAGAGAAATCGCCGGGATGAGATGAATTATTTAAATTATTATTTACAATATGGCGGAGATATGTCTATTGATAATTTTTAGCTCTGGTAAACGTTGTTCTTGGATTGAGAACGGTTTGCCTATACTTTTTGCAATGACATATTGTAAACTTTCGACTTTTTAAAATTTTTGCTTTTCTACGTTTAGTTTATTTTGTTTTTGTCAGGGTTTCCCAGGACTACCTGGTCCCTCTGGTCGCAAAGGGATAAAAGGGTGTAAGGTGGGATAACTGTGTGTATAATCAGTTTTGCATTGACTTATAACAACAATGTCAGCGGTGTATATTTCAATTATGTGTGGCAATCACCTGTCAAAGCTTAATCTGTCCTCATTTGTATGTATATTGTAGGGAATGAGAGGAAGGCCTGGACCCAAAGGAAATATAGGACCATCGGGAAGACAGGTGAGTTTACCTGGAAATAATCATCAACAAAAGTTCGTGGAAAGATGTCTTTCTCTAGCCTTTCTTTAAAAGTTTTCATTAGAAATAATCATGAACAAAAAAAGCTCGTAGAAAGATGTCTTTCTTAAGCCTTTCTTTGAAAGTTTTCATAGTTTCACGTACAATGAGATTTCAACAATATCGCATTTATATTTTACATTATGCGAACTTAATTCTTGGGATTCATTTTAACACGACAAACGAACAAGTTATTTGGTTTTGATAATAATGATAATACTTTAGTCTTTGTGAGTGTTCATTTCTTCATTGAATGACGAAGTGTTGTACGAAGAATTAAATATTTCTTCAATCAAAAAATCAGCTATTTTATCCTGAAAATTTGCGATATCTTCGTCATAAAATATGCAAGAATTTTGGTCACCATTGGTCGACTTCAATGTTTCACATTCTGCTTTCATCTGCTTTGCTTCTTTTCTTTGCTGTTCAACTAGAACTTGTATTTCTTGTTCGATTTTTCTGTTTTCATTCTTAAGTGATGAATTTCCCGCGCGAAGCTTCTTATTGGATTTCCTTGTTTCGTAAATGAACGAAGTTGCTTTTTGACGATGGTTAGTCGTGAAATTTGTTGTTTTCCTTTGTGTTTAATGTTAGGTAAACAAGTCTTTAAACTTTCAATTTCCTTGTTTATCGCCAATCTTCGCTCGCGTTCAAGTCTGTTGTGTTTTATACGCTCGTTCATAGTCTTCGCCTTCGTTTCCAATTGTATTTCTACATCTGATTCATTTTGCTTGCTTTCCATTTTTCAAAGGCTAGCACTTGTCCTGTAAAATTACTTCCCTTAAAGTGTACTTCTCATATGATTACCGGTGTTCTCTGACAACGAGGAAAAAAATCATGTCTTATAGTTGATGACGAATACTTCGAACGATGCCCATAGGAATGAATTTGCCAGTTGTTGATTTTATTGAAATATCTAGCGTATTGTTGAACTCATTGTCGGTATGACCGATTATGACGATTAAAACTTTAGAAAGCTAGCTTCCTCTGCCAGCCAATACGCTTATAAAAGTAAATATATTTGTCAAGAGGTTTTCAAAAGCCTGTTTCTGCAATGTAAATTAATATGCTCTTCATGCATTGGTAAAGGCAGGTCTTAAGTTTGAATTCCCAAAGGCCTGAAATCTATTGTGTATGACGGAAAAGTGAATGTTTTTGAGTATTAAGTTATTCATACAACCTGTGTTTGTGAATTTGTCAGGGAGAAGCTGGTTCAGACGGCGAGATGGGTGAGATGGGTTTGCAAGGTGAACCTGTACGTATTTGTCAATGCTTATGTGCTTTAATTGTAAATTAATTAACTTTGTTACACATCAAATGTTTGAAATAATGTCGAAGGGTGATCTAGGACCAACTGGAGTCTCGGGAGCTGTTGGGGACAGAGGAGAAAAAGTAAATTGGTTTGACGACAGTATTGCACATGTAAACAAAGAGTAATCATTTTTTCAAATTTTCATTTTGTATAGGGAGGTTCTGGTGTCATTGGCGAAGCAGGACACCGAGGAATGGAAGGGAATAAGGTGAGTAATTTCAGCTGTTTATGTGTTCATATATGTATATTAATGTAGAAAAACATTTATAATCTGTTCGTTTGTAGGGTGAAAAGGGGGCAACTGGACTTCCTGGGCCACGAGGGATACAGGTGAATTTCGACCTCGTTTTTCCTTTTCTATATTGATGTGCAATAAATGAAAGCATACGTGAGGAGTTTTTTGCTGATTTCATATTTTCTACATAAGGGTGACCGCGGCTTACCAGGCATTCCTGGGTCTTCTGGAGAAAAAGGGATAAAGGTATGATAAAGTAGGATAAAGACAAATAAAGATAGAAAAAGGTAGCTAGAATTATGTCTCTACTGTTTGCCTTGAGGGATTTTCTCAGAGTCAATCTCTGGGACTATTTTAGGGTCCTCAAGGACCACAAGGTATGCCGGGATATCCTGGACGCAAGGTATAATTTGACAGCAATCGAGTTTTTTATTCTTAACGCTTTTTCGATATGTTTTATTTCACGAAGACAATAAGGATAAATTTCTTCAAATCAATTATTCAGGGGGATCCTGGACCAGAAGGACCAAAAGGTTTCAGTGGAACAGCTGGAAAACGAGTTTGTACATTTATTATCCCGCCCCCCCTGATCATATTAATGTATTAAATCAATGTTTTTCTTTCCAGGGACGGCCTGGGGCATTAGGTGACCCAGGAATGAAGGGCGTAAAGGTTAAAATAATATAAAAAATATTTACTATTTTATTGTTGATGAAATGAGTAAAACTACAATTGTGAGAAACGTGTTATGTAGGGGGAAGCCGGTGCTCCTGGTATTGACGGTATTCCTGGTACTCCTGGCTTGCAGGTTGTTTCTGATTTTTTATTGTACTCAACGTTTTCTCTTTGTTTTAGTCGTTTTAAAATAACAAAGCGCCATATTCATTTGATATACTTGTATGTTAGGGTCCTAAGGGATATCCTGGATCTAAAGGAGAAAAGGGGGAACAGGTGAGGATATGAATAAGCGCAATCTTTTATTGGAATTTGAGCTTCCTTCTAAAAGACTCGATTATCTTCTACACAGGGTATTAAAGGCGAACAAGGAGAGAGGGGAAAACAAGGTCCTGTTGGTATAACGGTAAATTTCAAATATTTATCGTCTTCAATTTCTACGTAGCATTTGTGTGTTATTATGTGTTTGCAAAAGTTAAAAGTTCTAGTGAAGCATAAACCATGATTCTATTGAAGTGTAAACGATATTTCAGCGTAACAAACATTGATTTGTTTCTCCGTAAAACATGTTGTGGATAAAAAATAATTATACTCAACATCATCTGTGCTCAGTTCTGTCTTTTGAAGTTAGTAGTTGACATTTCGGATAAGAGATTCTTCAAAAAGGCATAACGTGTTTTTTGCCACAACTACAAACTTCCCGTGCAGTAGAAGACGTTGGGATTTTATTTGAAATTAATTGAAAACTTCTTATCTTTATCTCCCAGGGTTTGTCTGGTGAGATAGGAAAGAATGGCTTACCTGGAGAACCAGTATGTCTTGTTGAATTTAATTCAATCATGGATTCAAGCTTTTCATTTGTTATGAAAATAATGCGTTTTTTTACGAAGGGTTCTCCTGGAAAAGATGGTCCCAAAGGTTTGAAAGGCGTACGTGGGCTTACGGTATGAAATGAAGATTATGTATTGTCATAGTGGACACACATTAAATATCTTTTGGTCAAGTCGTTAATTCTTTGTTCATATTCAGGGTCAGCCAGGCTTACCTGGTCTAAATGGAAGGCCTGGTCTCCCAGGAACTCGAGTGAGTTGACTATTCATAATCATTTATCGCTATTGTTTTAAAACGTTCTCGTTGATTAAGTATGTCTTTTCACAATAATACTGTAGTTTATATAAATTTAGGGACCTTCAGGTAGGCCAGGGGACATTGGTCTGAAGGGATTTCCTGGTCTTAAGGTTAGATTAGTGAAAATTACGTCACTTATTAGTTATCAAAGACTGTTAAAACGTCGAACTCTGTATATTAGGGGACACCTGGGGATCAAGGTTTTCGAGGCAGACCGGGACTCATTGGTGAAATGGTAATAAGACGCTTATTTGGATATATTTGATTATTTAACTTTTCGTGATAAATGTGGCTCACAAGCTAAAGCGGGAATAAACTTTTATTCTTGAAGGGATTGCCTGGACTTCGTGGAGATCCAGGAAGAAAAGGGATCAAAGGTGATGATGTATGTACTAAACTCATATCATAATGCGATGGACGGTTGCTCCAGTTTACAATAAAATGTTTTTTCTATTTTTAATACCTTGATGCTATCATCGAATATTTTTTGACTTTTCCCTTGTTTTTTCTTTGCAATTAAAAAGTATCATTGATTTGTCATTTCATTCTTCCAGGGTATTGATGGTTTACCTGGAGCAAATGGACTGCCAGGACTAGACGTTAGTTGGTGTTTGAAAATCAAAAACTTCTCTTTACCGTAAATTGACTTTCCGTATGTTTTTTAGGGTGTTAAAGGTGATATGGGATTCCCAGGACAACGTGGACTTAAGGGGAGCCGTGTAGGTAACTGTTGTTTAGGGTGTTAAGGGTGATATGGGATTCCCAGGACAACGTGGACTTAAGGGGAGCCGTGTGGGTAACTGTTGTTTAGGGTGTTAAGGGTGATATGGGATTCCCAGGACAACGTGGATTTAAGGGGAGCCGTGTAGGTAACTGTTGTTTAGGGTGTTAAGGGTGATATGGGATTCCCAGGACAACGTGGACTTAATGGGAGCCGTGTAGGTAACTGTTTTTAGGGTGTTAAGGGTGATATGGGATTCCCAGGACAACGTGGACTTAAGGGGAGCCGTGTAGGTAACTGTTGTTTAGGGTGTTAAGGGTGATATGGGATTCCCAGGACAACGTGGACTTAAGGGGAGCCGTGTGGGTAACTGTTGTTTAGCACTAATGACTACCTTAGCACTTGCTAATGCGGTCAGTTGTCGTCATTATTACGTATTTGTCATTGGCAGGGTTACGATGGATTCGATGGTTTTGAAGGATTTCCTGGTCGTGTGGTAAATATGTTGCATTGTATAAGTACAAAAAGGAACTTGAATGTGTATCTTAAGCTCGTCTGTCTTTCAATTGAGATTAATCTTTCCGCATCTATCTTTGCTAGGGTGTTCCTGGTGTGCTTGGAGAGATTGGACCTCCTGGATTGTCTGGCATTGAGGTGGGAGATATATAGATCATTATACACCTTCTTACGTGATGACGCATCATACATGCTAAAAAATGAATTTATTTCAGGGTCCTCCTGGTAATCCAGGACCACCAGGATTGCCTGGTTCCATCGGACCAAAGGTGTTATTTGAAATCAAACAAATACAAGTGTTTTTATTTGAACATTCCTTTGGTTAAAATCTTTATTAGGGTCTCGAGGGACCACCTGGCATACCAGGACCTGCTTCAACGACTAGTGGTGCTAGTCTTCCGGTAAAAATTTAAATAATCTCCTGAGGCAATGATTCCAGGAATGTGCTGCAGTTTTTGTTTATTTTTTCTTATAGGGTCCTCCAGGACCTCCTGGTATAAAAGGCCAGCCTGCCGCAGACGGTAGAAAAGTAGGACGCATTTATTACTGAGAATCTCATGTTGTCCGTATATGTTTATCCTTTGTTCCCTGTAGGGTAGGAGAGGATTACCTGGATCCAAGGGAAGAGTTGGCCGAGATGGTCCAAAGGTAAGAAAAGAAAAGAAAAAACTCGCTGTAGGATAGATGGGTATAAATTATTTGTGTACGTATTCATTAGGGGAACATTGGTGTTAAAGGTTTACGTGGCCAAAGGGGGAAGAAGGCAAGTGAAATCTGTAAAGTACCTAGCACTTTATTTAAGAAAGTTGTAGCGCACTAAGCTGGATTTTAATGGTTTCATAGGGCAATCGAGGACCAAGAGGTTCAAAAGGTGTTATGGGAGAACCAGTAAGTTCCATTTGGAGGTGTCTGAGACATGCCATTCTTTGTACATGGATTATAGTTTTGCGGAGACAGCTAGTTTTCGTTTTGTTGTATGTGCTTGTTAGGGTTTAAAAGGAAAGAAAGGTGAACGTGGACCTTTTGGACTTGTTGGACGCAAGGTTATATTTTGACTATCCATAATGGCGTTATTCTGTACTCGTTATTTGAAAAAAATACTTAGAAAAATGCACGACATACGAAGTAGTACAGTCGAATGAGGTACAGAAAAGATTTATGTGATTATTTCAGCTGTTGGCATTTGAGATACTTCAATTATTCCTGCAACTATCACGTTTAGGAAAACATGAAGTATTATACAAAATTACTCTGTGTATTCAGGGTATTAAAGGAGATGATGGTCCAAATGGTTTACCTGGATCGCCTGGCATACAGGGAGAAACTGGAGTGAGGGGATCTCCAGGACTATCGGGACAAAAAGGTGTACAGGTATGTGGACAGATGCTTCGTATTTTAAAGCGCATGTGCGGTCATAGATGATACATAGATATATTTTATTTCATATTTTACATATAAATCGACTCAAGGAGAGTTTCTGATTTAATCCTGCTGCTATTTAGGGTGAAATGGGGCCGAAGGGATATCAAGGAAACAATGGGATTCCAGGAGACAATGTTAGCTTAGAAGAACGATGCATCGTCACGATTAGTTGCGTCCTTGATCTCTTACAATCGTTCTTGTTTTCTTTACAAGGGCTTACCCGGACCACCTGGTGATAGAGGGGAACTTGGCGAAAAAGGAGAGAATGTATTTAATTGACATTTACTTCATTTGCAAGTCATCAAAAATCAAGTATAAAATCATCTGTTGTTTAACTAGGGCGACACTGGTCTAAATGGAGTTCCTGGAAGACCCGGCGAACCGGGAAATCCGGTTTGTTTGGATTATCAATAGATTGAAATGAGACGTTTTATGTATGTTTGGATTTATCGGCAGGGTGATGAAGGATTGCCTGGGAAAAAGGGAAATCCGGGATTTACAGGAGCAATGGTACGTTGATATGTATATGAAATATACAGGAATCACTTTTATACAATTTATGCATTCCTTCCATTTGTATATTTTGGCGTCTAACAGGGACCTCCAGGACCATCTGGGCCTCCAGGGCCAACTGGATTACCAGGAGAAAAGGTTATCACTTTTTGTACATCTTATCCCTCTTTGGAAAGATTTCAATTTGTATTTTTCATTACAAAATTATTTTTTATAATTTTTGATTTTAGGGAGATCGTGGTCCACAAGGCATGTTTGGAAGCCGCGGGGAACCGGGCGTGCAAGTAAGTTGTAGAAAAAATATTTTTTCTCTTCCTTCTTTCGCTTTTTTTGAGACTTCGGTAAAAAGTTTTTTATATATGGACTCCCAGCCTGTGTATTATAAATCAGGAGCAGATCTAGGAAGTGTTAGAATTCATTACTCAAATATTTTTGTTTGAACAAATATTTTATAGCTCGACTATATTTCTTTCCCACACTCCTTCTTCTTTAAAACTAAAAGAAGCACTGTACATCAAAAAACTAAAGCCTAATCTTAACAAACAAATTCAGCATGTCAATACTATCTTTAACTTGTAAATACTTAACACCTCTAATCACTACATAATTGTAAATAACTTCCGCTTCCATCCCTTTTGTCTATACACACGTCTTGTATCAGATTTCCTTATTTATTAACTCCATTCGAATATTCATTCATTATACCGCACTGAAGATGGCATAAGTTCGCCGAAACATGTCTGCAATAAAAAATTTTAAAAAAGTTGTCGTTTGCGTTAAATGCATCGACTATATTTATTGTAATTTATGTTTACGCACACTGGATCCTCTACTTGCATCAATATTTTGTCCATGAACTGTCCAATAAACATTCTAGGGAGTTAAAGGTTCTCCTGGAACTAAGGGTCCAAAAGGACCAATCGGCGAACCGGTATGTATACGTATACACCAATGATTTCCTTCATTTTATCTGTACTGTTATGAGAAAACGTAAATAATTAAATTAAGGGTGCTGGAGCTCCTATATCGTTGAAAGGTGAACTTGGCTCTAAGGGTACAAAGGTAACGCAATTATTAATATTTATTCTCATACTTTTCTCCTTTTACTTATTGTGTTGTTCATTCATGATATAGGGGACAAAAGGAGACAGTGGTCCTGTTGGAGCACGTGGAATCCCCGGGCAACAGGTTTCATTCTCTAAGTATTGCTCATTGACAGATATTTACATATTTACATTCCATAGATGAACATTAAGATATGTGTTTCAATTTTCTTTTTTGGATGACATACTGAGGTGACAGTTGATTTTTGCAGGGTGATCCTGGAGAAAAAGGAAGAAGAGGTCCGCGTGGGGAGCCTGGGGAAAGGGTAGCTCACTTTGCTTGGAATGTTCCCTTTGTTTCACGAAATCATTTTATATCTTTTACGTGTTTTATTTTCAGGGTGATCAAGGTGAACTGGGACGGAAAGGAGAACGGGGAAGCACTGGAGATCCTGTAAGATTTTCGTTCATAGTGAATGGATACTATTTATTTATTTGTTGTTTTAAAGAATAGTTCTTGTAGGGCGAACCGGGTGATAAAGGAGAGAAAGGTTTTGGTGGTGTAATTGGAACAGAGGTAAGGTTTTTTATGATCGCTGAATTTGACTTCATAGTTCTTCTCAGAAATATTACACTAACCTTTTTTATCTTAGGGTAGTCCGGGATCTCAAGGACCTCAGGGTGCAAATGGGACAGTTGGTATTCCGGTAAGTACTCACAAGAACAAATGTTTTCTTTTTGTGTTGTTTGTGCTAGTATATCACAGTTTTTACTGAGTTATATATTGCTCATATTGGTCAGGGTGAACAAGGAAACAATGGTGAAAAAGGTGAAAAAGGATCACCAGGGGATATAGTATGTTATATTTTGTACTTTTTACTAGTAAATTTTTAATGGGCATAAATGTTTTCAAATGTGAGCAGGAACTTAGTCATGCTGGAAAACCATCTTTTTCTACTAACATGTATTGTTACAATTTTATAGGGTACTCCAGGAGAAAAGGGGGATAATAGCGCCACTCCTGGACCAAAGGGATTACCGGTAAAATTTCCATAAATCATATGACTATATTGTTCTTATTTTTAATCGTGATGACTTTATAGGGTAAAGATGGTCCCCCAGGTTTACCAGGAAATGCTGGAGGAGTTAGTTTATCTATCTTGAAAGGACAGAAGGTTTGTGTATTAGTTTTTCGTCCATTAAATGGCGTAGTTGTTTTCAGTATCAAAAATGTTTGAACTATCAATGTAGGGCGAAGCTGGGCTTCCAGGACAACCAGGTACATCAGGGATTCCTGGTCCACCGGTAAGTTTGTATGGTGACTTTTGTACTTAAGAAAATGGGAATGCAAAGAACGTTGTTTGAAAACTTATTTTGTTTGTGGCTATATGAAAAATTTTAGATTTTTCATTGACAGCTGAACATCTTTGTTTCAAACATTTCAGGGCTTACCTGGTCGAAAAGGTGTTTCTGGTAACAATGGTGAAAAGGTGTTGTAGAAAATTTGTAAAAAAGTGTTGCCCTCATTGCATGATGGATGTTAAATTTTTGTATACTACAGGGTGATGAGGGTGAAGAAGGACAACCGGGATCACCTGGCGATACAGGACCAAAGGTGGGGGTAAATGCAGTACTTTTAGAACCACAAATAACTTGATCTACATGTTTTTATGTTGTTACTCTAGGGTTATCCCGGTGTACGAGGTCCTACTGGAAATATGGGAAAGAAAGGAGAAAAGGTACGATAAACAGCGTAACTTTCGTTGTGTAACTTTGATTTCTAGAGGTTAAGCATTTTTTTCATGTGTTAAGGGTGAAGCAGGAGATCCTGGTCTCCCTGGTGATGGTGGACCAGGACAAAAGGTAAGTAATTTTTAGCTCATTGTCATCATATAAAAATAAATAACATATTTTTATTTTTCAGGGGACACGTGGTGATAAAGGGGATCCCGGAGCTGTTGGTCCTAAAGGTGAATTAGTAAGTTGGTTGTACGTCTTTTCCCATTGGATGGATTTTTATACTGCATTTGAAGCAAGTATTTCTCTGTTGTCAGGGAGACAGAGGGAATGATGGACCACAAGGTGAAGCTGGTCCCATTGGCCCAACCGTGAGTTGCATTGAAAATAAATATATTTTTCTTATAATTACATTAAGTCACCAATACCCATACCAATCACCGTTATCCATATCAATCACCGTTATCCATACCAACCACCGTTATCCATATCAATCACCGATATCCATACCAATCACCGTTATCCATACCAATCACCGTTATCCATATCAATCACCGTTATCCATATCAATCACCGATATCCATACGAATGACCGCTATGATAAAATCATATCTCTTTTGAAAATATTTAATCGAAGTGTATTTTTCGGTTTTTTTAAATAACAGGGTGGCCCAGGAATTCAGGTATTTCAGTAAATGAAGCGTATGTTAAATTAATTCTATTAATTTTATAGTAACCAGAATTAAACTTGCTGTTTTTTTCTTTTTTTCAGGGAGAAAAAGGAGAAGAGGTTGGATAAATGTTGATAGTATACATGACTTGGATTTATGATCGTCTGTATTAATGTTTTCTAAATTCTGATTACCTTTCAGGGTCCTGTTGGAGAAAAGGTCTTCAACTTTGAGTATTACATTAATTTTTAAACAAAAATTTAATCGATTTTTACCACTAGTTGTTTATTCCTTACTAGGGAGATCGTGGATTACCAGTAAGTAAAGAAGCTAGGGGAGGGAGGGAGTGGAATTCCTCTGCAAAACTTCATACTCGTCATATGTAATATATTTTGACTTTTTTTCTTCTAAGGGTCCGCCTGGTCCTCCTGGAGTTCAGGTAAAAATGTTGTATCCACATTGATGAAACATCAATTTTCTTTGCAGTACATTGCAAACTTTATGTAATATATACATGTTTATTTAGTTCCTCGTCTTATTTATGTTTTATGTCTGAAGGGATCCGGTTTAGGAGGAATTTCGTTCAATTACAGCGGATCAGATGTTCCTTCGCCTTTAGTGAGCTTAAATTATTCATAAAAAGACAAACATAGATGAAAAATGGTGAATAACGGGATTTTTCTTGTTGACAGTTGTTGGATATTATAAACGCAAAACTTGACGAAACTCAGTTGGCGTACGATAGACTGCGTCATCAAACCGGCGAAAGCGACCGTCCTGCTAGAAGTTGTCAAGATCTGATGACTTATTCTCTTAATACAAACTTAACCAACGGTGACTATGTCTTTTTTGTATTCTTTGATCGATTTTGCAGGCGTTGAATAGTTACTTATTTCATTTGAAAACTTGGTTATTTTTTATTGATTTATCACTACTACACAATAATTACACCAAAACGTTATTTTATGATTCTTATTTTAGTAAATATGAACATAACAGATGGGTTCACATGCTCTACATTACGATTTAGGAATGTACTGGATTGACCCGAACCAAGGTTCAACCGAAGATGCGTTTCGAGTGTTTTGTGATTTTGAGATGGGAGGTGTAACTTGTATAAACGCCACGAACATAACTGTATGTTGATGTTTAATATGATAAGGACTATATATTCATTCTGTCTTTATTTGATAAAAAAACATTTTAGATTTTATCGTCGTCCATTTCTTCTAACTCAAGCAATCAAAATATAATGTCGAACGACACCAGTTATCATCAAAACTCCACGGAGTTTAAGGTAACTTTCCTGTAAATTTATTTGTACTTTGATTTCTTTTATGAAATGTAAAGTGCTTATGTAGAAAAATTCTTGACATTTTCAAATGATTTAGTTGTCTTGACATTTTTAAATTGTGTTTTACATTGTTTTTTTTTTATTTATAGATAAATTATCTTGGTAACATTGGGCAATTGAAGTTTTTACAAGAATTGAATACGATAGTGACACAGAAAGTCGACTTCAACTGCATGAATGACAGTGTTACAAATAACACAGACAACTTTATCAAAATTATCGGTGTTGATGGCAAGCAAGCACCACGATTATCGAAATTGCCTCGTTATGACGTGCGTGTCCGTTGTGAGGTTTGTGCTAGAGATTTAACTCAACTTCTTCAAATGTTTTGTTGAAATGCTTACTTTTATTTCAAAATAGATCATCGTGATCTTTTTGTGTCAAAGGCTTTTTTTTTACTCTTTTGATCAACCCAGTTTTGCTGAGTTTTCTTCCATAAAAATTTCCCCTCTGTTCTTCAGTGTAAGACAAACTTTCTTTCTAATGATTGCTTACATGACGTTTAGGAAACTTTGGGTTCCTTAGAAGTGGTAACTAGAGGATTCAAGCTTCTTCCTATGACAAATATTCTGCTATCGATAACAGACACTAGACATGCGCAATTGGAATTTGGTCCTGTTTGTTTTAGTTGACATCTTATGGAGGCAATGAGAGAGGGCAAGTCTGTGATTGGTTATGAGATTTTCTTTTACTGAAATTTAGTAAAATATAGATGCTCTCTTTACTTTGATTTATTTACATGACATCTCCTAGCTATATTTGTATTTTAATGAGTTTGTTTTGTTATAAACATAGATAAAGACTACTGTGACGATTGTGACAAAGAAATATCGATAAGCATCTTAAAATAGTTCACTTTACAGTCTACAATATGTTTCAAAATTTATATTTTAAACTCCAGTTTTTTGCAAACTGATTTTATTGAATGTTACAATCAGACATCTGGTCAACACGGTTGCATGGGAACATGGAAACAACGAAAAAAAGCAGTACAGGAAATTTGTTTTGATTGATTCCTGTTCTTATGTTACATGATCAGAGAGGATGTCGTCATAACCAGCTTATGCTGAAACAGGGTCAAATATCTATGGTTTGTTCATTGTTGAATGGATGTTGAAAAATGAGATAACTTCCGGGGTACATAGTTGATGTGGGAAAACTATTTCAATTTTACTGCGTTTGGGGTGTCGAGGAGAGTTTTAAAGTGACGCTCAAAATACATAAAGTAATTGATTCATTATCATTCAAATATTTAACGATATTCATCTTTTTTTCAGTATTCAGTTATATGCCTGTCATCACTGACGTAAATTTTTTCACTAACTCACGCCGTGTTCTTAAATTACGTTTCAGATCTTCCTTATTTCACACTTCCAAACGCATTTAATGCATATTTATTTGTCGAACGTCTGCATTGTTATACATACCTCGTAACAGCTGTCGATGTTTGCAAGGTTTTCATAAAAAAGAAAAAACTCGAAGTGTAGAGCAGAAGATGTTTAAAGCGGCCATAGGTGGCTTCATTGTTATTGCTCTCCAGTTATGCAGTGGGTTAGTTATAGTTTTGTCAGGAAGATGTTGTCTAACTTTGTGCGCTCATGTGTATTTGATATTTGTGTGACATATTTGTACCTGTTTTCGTATTGAATGATCATTTAGGAAAATCGCCAGATTTTTTACTTGTGCAAATGGTTGCTATTTACTGTGTGTTAAACCAAACTAATTCGTCGATGTTTAGGACTTGATCCATTAAAATTAAATTGCGTATATGTGATTTGAAAATTGTTGTTGACTATTTTTACACGTACAGGGCAAAGTACTTCATTGCTTCTCCAAATCTTCTGAGAGTGGGTGTAGAAGAGACTGTTTCTATTTCCGTATTTGATGTAAACGGAGAAGTGGACATTCAGCTCTCCCTGCAGGATTTTCCACTACGAAGAAGAACTTTTTCGGTTGTGTCACAAAAAGTTAGAAAAGGTTTTTATTTTTATTTCCAACGATTTTGATCAAAACTAGCTTTGAATTATGATCACAATTTTCTTCTATTTTTTTTGCAGAACGCCCTGCACTTATGAAAGTTAAAGTATGTTTCTCGTTGTTTTAATGATGTTAGTCTTTCATGGTCCTAGTTTTGATTTTATGTATAATGAGCGTATTTTTCGATGTCAGGTGACAGCCAAAGATCTTAATGATCAGAAATCATCTGACAAGCAATACGTTTACCTCAAAGCTAGCTCTAATACCCCAGGATTTCAATTCAACAACGAAATCAAAATACTTGTCAGTTATAGAAATGCCATGGTTTTCATTCAAACTGACAAACCGATCTATAATCCAGGACAAGTGGGTATGTTGTTATAGCTTAAAACACACAAAAACTTGATCGATAGAAACTAATAACAATAACGGATTCTAAGTAATTTCAATTAAAAAATAAAAGATGTTTACTGTGTTTGCACAGACTTATGCAAATCGAGGAGACCTTTTGAAAGAACCCGAAGGTCGAAGGTTGCGCCTGCTGAGATTAATGATTGATTTAATTGGTTGAGCTCAGATCTGTATTGCACAGGCTAATGCAAACACAGCTATAGACCAATCAGCACACGCGTTTTATTGTGCATATTTTATAAATGGCTTTTATTTTAGTTTATCTACGAGTAATTCCTTTGAGTGTCAATTTAAAATCATCCGTGGATAATGTAAGTCTTTGAATCGATAGAAAACTCGTAATACGCTATTGTTCATGTTTTTCTGTTTGTTCCTTTTTCTCTTTAGGTTACAATTGAAGTATCGGTAAGATTATATAAATGATGTGTAATGTATAATTTTTTGCTGATTTGATGAATGTATGTACTTATGGTGACATAGAATCCTCAAGGAATTCGCGTTGATCGTTGGAGAAATCTTAACACAAAAGATGGTATGCTCAATATATTTTGCTAAATGATTATTTAATCTCATCTATTGGCAATTTTCTTATTAACTCACTTCCTTGGCAGGTTTTTTCTCTCGTCGCCTGGATTTGTCAAAAAATGCATTGACTGGTTTATGGACCATTACCGCTTTATACGGTCATTCCGTACGTCGTGTAACACTCACCATTCGCTGTTTAAACTTTAGCGGAAACTTTGTAACTTTGTTTCTTTTTGTTTTTTAAAGAAAGTTCAAAATGCTTCAATAAAATTTGAAGTAAAAGAGTACGGTAAGATTTCCTCCTATCTTTGTCCATATATGTCCACATTTGTCCATATGTGTCAACATATGTCCATATATATGTCCACATATGTCCATATATGTCCACATATGTCCATATATATTCTTTGTTAATCTTGATTTATTAAAAATTTCATTAACATTTATTTGCACTGTTTATTTAGTTCTGCCGACATTCTCGATAAAAATCAAAGGACCATCTTACATCTTGGACAGTCATGCGTCTATTGCTCTGAAAATAGCTTCAAAGTAAGGAAATGAAAGCCCAAGACATCTTGTCTCAAACCGTATGATTATTGGCTATGTTTTTCTTTTTCAGGTACACTTATGGTGAAAATGTAATCGGTTCACTTCAAGTCATACTTGGTGTTCTTGATGCGGGTGGAAATGCTGAACGTTTCAGTACATCTTTTCACACTGTAAACTTTTCATTATATCACAAATTCTTGATTGCTTTTTTGCAATGATGTTGCTTGAATTGTAATTTATGGTATTTAAATCACGACATTGTCATCAACTATCTTTTTTATTCTCGTTTCATAGCTGGCGAATGGTGAAGCTGACGTGAGTGTACCTACAGACCTAGTTAAGCGTCATCCTAAGATTGCTTGGTTTCCAGAAGGCAAACGTTTGTTTATCGAGGCAAAGGTCATAGAAAAAGCGACGGGTCATGAAGAGACCGCTTACCACAACAGTATTTTCTTCACTAACTCTCCACTTACCGTCAGTTTCAAAAGATCACCAAACTTTTTTAAGCCCGGTGTCCCTTTCGAACTCAAGGTACGTCAATTGCTTTGCGTTAATTTGTCCGTTTTAGAATCATGAAGACTGGATCAAGGGACTTGGTCAAGTAACAAATTTGACATTTCTAACATCAAAAGTAGCTAACCCTTGAAAAGAAATACTTTACTCAGCAATGCATTCATGTGAGATTTGAAGACTACCAATGAAGTTGTTAGTTGAACGAAGTGACATAATTTGCAATCAATTTTGCTCTTCCGCGTAATGTTTGAATACTAACTACGGATAGATGAGACCCGACCTCAAAAGTTCCTTGACTCCCCGACCAGTTTGAATTAACCCGTTGATAGATTTTCTTTGGTTTAATACACATAAATCATGCAGTTTTTGTTTATCGTTTAAGGTTGATGTTAGGCACAGGAATGGTGAACCAGCTGACAACATTCCTATTGAGATAGAAGCTCAAACGGACCAAGGAGTTGCTGTTTCAGAGAGTGCAGCAAATAGCAATGTGAATTCGGATAGAAGCAATGAGCTTGGTCATGGAAGATTTGTTATTGATGTCCCAAGAATATTTACTATCGTTCATCTTGACATTAGGGTATAAATGTTTTGTTGTATAAAGACTGTATTTATGCAATTGCTTTTTGTGGCCATGAACACCTTTGTATGTGCGTACAAATAGTGATGTAATTGATAAGTTTTTTAACACACAATCAACGATTATTTTTATGTATATTTTAGGTTCGTGCGAAGATCAATGATATGGGAAATGAAATTGTTTCTGAAGGGCGCTTCATGCCAAAAATGTACAGATCCAATACAAATAACTATTTGTTTGTTCGGCTTGTTAAAAAAGGAAAGGTTTGTTTATTTTGATTTCATTACCAAAGTTAACTTGCAAATTTCCTCTGTAGCTTCTGTTTTTCCAAAGATTGTGATGTTTTAACAGGTTGGGCAATCTGTCGATGCCGAGGCGTTCGTTGTTGCTCCAGGCAGTGCTCCAAGTTCTTTGACATATCTAGTGAGAGACAATAATGGCATTATTTTTTAATCAAGGAGTTAGAACTTGTAAAACATTTTTCATCGCTCGGTGTTGTTATATCTTAAGTATTTCTTTTACAGGTTGTTGCAAACGGTCGTATAGTCACACAAGGCTTGATTGATCATCAGATTGGAGTACTCACAACAATCACGATAAGAATTACAGCTGACATGTCACCACAAGCAAGATTCATTGCGTTTTACCGAGTCAACAACGAACTAGTAACTGATAGCGCTGTCATAGAGGTCGAAGAGCAGCTACCAAATCAGGTTAGTGAGGGTAATCACGTTGGGTCAGAATTATAATGCCCAGGGATTGGATCAATTATTAATCTTCTGAATCAAAATGATTTTATAGGTGTCTTTCCTCGGTGATGCACGTCCACAGAAATATCCAGGCGAATCATACCAAATAGAAATTCAAAGTAGTCCTCATTCTAATGTTGGTTTACTAGCCGTTGATCAAAGTGTTTATTTACTACGTAATGACAAACATCTCACTAGCAAAGAGGTAAAAACTGACGTGTACAGATTTCATTTACACCCCGGATGTTTACATGTCTCTCATGATTTGTTAAGGTGTTCAAAAGAATAAAGTCACATGATCTTGGTTGTGGCGCTGGTGCCGGTAAAGATAATAAGGATGTACTTCATGTAAGACGACGTTTGAATATCATGAAACAAAAGTTAAGTATCATTCAATAACAAAAAAATTGATTATTTTTGTTAATTTCAAAGCGTGCTGGTTTGGCCGTAATGTCCACCATAAGTAATCTGAAGACAGACACTCGCACAGGTAAAAATTCTATTGTTGCTTTGTGTTTTACAAACTTAATCATGAGCCACATTTTTTTCTTTAGAGCAATCTTGTGCTGCTGAAGCAAGGCGCAAACGCCGTTCAGGTATAGTTTGACAAAAAAAAGTTTCCAGCAGTTTGGTTGCTGTAATGTGTTTTGTATTAATCTTTTCAACATTCCTTACATGGTTACCTGGTTGCATGGTTACATGGTTGCATGATTACCTGACCATAATATTAGTGACCATCTTAGATAACAGCCCTGTAAAGATTGTATGTTTGTTGACAGTAAACTATAGGTATTTTATCAGCTCTCTTTCTTGTGATAGATTTCTTGAATGTTTCAATTGTATTTTTTTTGTGCTAGGAGTCGCATTTCTTTAGACCATTGATTTTTCATATGAAATGTTTTTATCAAATTTAGTGGGCGTTGATCCTCGTTGTTGTCAGCTAGGTGAGGACGCTCATCCTGCTAGTTGCTACGCAAGAGCTACAAATTTTTCAACATCCCCCGCATATACTAATTTTTCAAATTCGGACAACTGCGTCATTGAATTCTACAAATGTTGCTTTATTAAATATGAACAAAGTAAGTGTTTACGCTGTTCATGACTTTCAAAGTAACCATTGTAACATGAAACTACAACAATTTTTTTTTTCATAAATGTTTTTGTAAGGTTCGAGAGCCCGATCAATAAACGTAAACATTCCTAACGATCTGTTGAATGGCATGGACTTTGAAATGGACGAGGATTTTGTAAAGTTGACCTTAGAAGAGACGCAAGTTCGAACATATTTTCCTGAAAAATGGCTGTACGAGGACCAAAAAGCTGGGTAATAGACTGATGAAACACCTCCGAGATCCTAAGATTCCCAACAATATGGCGATCATAAGTAATCCTTGAGATACCCCAACGATCTGTAGATTACTAGTGATCCACAAGACCCCATAACGATCTGAACATAACAAGTAATCTCCCAACGATCTGGAGATTACAAATTATCCTTTAGACCTCCATTATTGTTGAGACTGCTTGACGATCATCAAATCGCACTGAAATCTCCTGTGATCTCAAGATCCCTTCGATATTTGTGTTCTCGTAATCACATCTGCTCGGATTTAATTTCAATGGTTTTCATTTCCAGCAAAAATGGTCGCGTTACGTTTCGCGTCACTGTCCCAGACACCATCACTACATGGGTGTTGCAAGCTGTAGCTGTCTCTAATACGACTGGGTTTGGTCTTACTCCATCATTCAATTTGAGGGCATTCAAACCTTTCTTTATCTCCATAAAACTGCCGTATTCTGCTCAGCGTTTTGAACAAGTCTCTGTCATTGCTACAGTATTCAACTACAAGGAAACGTCCGAAACGGTAATTTTTGTGTCGTTTTAGCAAATCATCTTCAACCTACGTTCATCTTGCGTATTGAATCAGTACTGTAGCACGCTTAGCTTTCATTTTTATGCCAGATGGATTCATGTTATTAACACGTAAGATTAATGTTCACAACCTTTTTTACAGGTCACAATTTATATGTTCAGTCGAAGCAAAGATTATTGTACGTATTCAACACTTACTTCTGGAACTGCAATGTATAGGATTAGAGTTCCAGGCAAGGGTGCTTCGTCAGTATCATTCCCTATCGTTCCCACTGAACTTGGTGACATTCCAATTCAGGTGATCCAATCTATTACAGTTAAAATTGTGATTTTTCCATCTTGAATTCTTGAAAAGTGCAATTCTTTGCGTTATATCTTTAACTATTGCGATTGCCATTTGGTAATTTATGAATGAACAGAACATTTGATTTTACTGTAGTTAATAGACGCTTTTTATTTCTTTAAAATGAGAAGGCGCATATTGTAATTGTTTTATTCATTGATTTTTAAACTATTTTTAGTTGAGAATTATTTCAACAAGTGGAGATGCAGACGGTGAACAACGTGTCCTCAAAGTTGTGGTACTTTAGCTGCATTTCTTTTAAAGTCATTTATTGTCGACTGGATGAAATATATTTGAGGACATTTTATTTCTGTTAATTTTAAATTTTGTCGGAACTTCTACAAGAGCCATAATAAAATCTACTGCGATTTTAGAGACTTTATTTTGAAGTAATTTTCCTTTTATATTTTAGCCTGAAGGAAAAGAAAAGGAAGAAAGTCATTCAGTTGTTTTAGATCCATTAAGTAAATGCACTGTTCTTTGCTCAATTTACGAAATTTTTTTGTTATTATAATTCATCAAACTTTAAAGTGGCCCACTGTATAAAAAGAGAAAAGTTATATTTCTAAATATTTAAAATACGTTTTAGATGTTTTACGCGATCCATCTATCGCCAAAGCCGTTGGGGCGCCCACTGGTCCATCCAAAATAATTACATCCAATAGTAAGCTCTATTACATAAGCGAAGTATATATTATCGAAGAATAACGATCATAAAACGAAAAAGAACAAGTAAAATTAATGTCTTTTGTAGAGGGTAAAGGAGAACAAAAAAATCGTCTGAGTCTGAGAGTTCCAGATTTCAGTGTGCCAGGGTCAGAATACGCAGTTCTAACTGTACTAGGTAAGATAGTATTACACAGCTTGGAAAAGAACGTACGAAAATGTTCTTAAATTGTACGTTTTTATAATTACATCCTTGTTTATATGAAATTTTCAAGGCAATTTGATTGGTCCTGCTGTGTCTAACATGATTGATGGAAAAGGTCTGAATAACCTGATCGCATTGCCAACTGGATGTGGTGAACAGACAATGTTAAAGCTTGCACCTAATGTGTTTATTCTAAACTATCTAAGAAGCACGAAGCAAGTGACTGACCAAATTGAAAGAACAGCCTTTGGTTTTATTCGTTCCGGTGAGCCAATATATTCCTTCCTTTTTAACGTGCTTTTATTAACCTTTAAATGTAATACAGTTTGATATATGGAGTAAAAATTGCTACATTTTGCTTTAAAGCCTTGTGGTTATGTGAACAGAAAGTCTCCAGGTGCCTTAAATGCACAGGAGAGGAATATAAAAACGGCAAGGCTAGAATGAACTGTTGATATTTAGGCGCAAACGATTCTGTTGACTAAGAAATATGTATTCATACAAAATGTAATGCGTGCTTGTCATAGTAATTATACTCAATTTGACCAAAGCTTGAAAATGCAAAATTTTAAACAATGTGCACTTCACTCCCATTTTGAAACAGGAAAACGTTTACATTATTTGTAAATTCCATAAAAAGATCAGTTTAGGAACTGTTTTACAATTAACTGTCAAACCTCTTTATTTATTTTGGATCTTGCTAGGGTACCAAAATGAACTGAACTACCGTAGAAGCGACAATTCTTTTAGCGCTTTTGGTAACAGCAGACCTGGAAGTACATGGTATGTTTGAATAGGGATGAGAAACTACGCCATATTACTTTCATGTTTATAGTAACCTTATGTTTCTATCTGTTTTCCTCGCAATTAGGTTAACTGCATTTGTTGTAAAAACATTCTGTGCCATTCAGAAACTTGATGGCATTGATATCGACGTAAATGTTATTAGTACAGCCATAAATTGGCTGACAACCAAACAGCGAGGTGATGGTGCAATCATCGAGTCACATCCAGTGGTTCATCAAGAAATGGATGTATGTCGTTGCATTTTCATACAGTTTATGTTACTATATTTTGGCTTTTTTGCTGTTGCTCACATTCATTTTCTTTAGGGGGACATCAACAATGATATCACCATGACTGCCTATGTAGTTACAGCGTTTCTTGAGTGCAAGGGTTTTATACAGGTAATGTAATGCTTATCTCTCAACATTCTGGACTTGTCTCTTCAGTAATTCATCTTTCCAAGTGTTTTTCGGTGCAATTTCTTCAACTTGCCGTGACATTCCAGCAAATAACTAAATCACATATTTAGATCTCTCAACAAACCGTGAGAAATGCTGTGGCTTTCTTGGAGAGTTCACAAGCAAATATTGGCCGTATTTACGTAAGGGCTGTTGTAGCATACGCTTTGGCTCTAGCTGACAGCCCTCAAAAACTCCAAGCCAACCAGGATTTATTAAATGTAGCAATATACGACGTGGGTATGTTCATTTGGGCTTTATTCTTAACCTTTTTTGTCATCCATCAATAAACAAAACGATATCTTCGCTATTAGGGAAGAACACACGACACTGGGACGATGCACAAGGTGGAAATGCTATTGATGTTGAAACAACATCGTACGCACTTTTAACTCAACTAGCTCTAAAGCGTCGAGGGTATGCCGGACCGATTGTCGTTTGGCTAACGGAACAGAGAAGAGGTGGAGGAGGCTTTGTCTCTACTCAGGTGAGGTTTTGTCTCTACTTTGGTGAGATTTTTTACAATCTATTCACGATTTCATGAAAATGGACTTGGCATTGCCAATTTAAATTTCCTGTGTCGAGAAAGAAACCTTTAAATCGTTACCTTTAACTCCATCTAATGATTTTACGAATAATTGGTGAAAGTACATTTCATTTCTTTCCTTCTACAATTTATTAAGTGCCATAAAGTAGAGTTGTATACCACAAATCCCTCATGTACAGTGCTTTTGAATTGCCAATGAAGTTATTTGCCCAGTTTATTTCTTGAATTGTATGATTTTTTATTGTTTGTTTTATATGTTAGGACACATGTGTCGCTTTGCAAGCCTTGGCAGGTTACAGTGAAGCTTCCGGCGGAGATCAGCTAAACATGCGTATTGAAATAACAACTGATAGAAATTTCAAGAAAACATTGATGATTAACCAGAGAAATGCTTTGATTCAACAACGTCTTTATGTATGTTATCGTGTCGTGAAAAAAATAGTTTTTGCTCAAAAAAGTTCTACAAGTAACGATTTTGAGTTGCTGGATTTGGATAAATTTTTGTTCGTGAAAAAAAATTAGTTTAAAAAGCAATTATTAGGTGTTTTCTTTACTATGTTGTTGCTATAGTTACATTGAAAACCACTAAATACAGTGGCTAATTTAGCATGGTCTTACTACAGTTCTTTGGTCATTGTTGTATTTAATAAATGTTAATTTTTTTAGTTAACACACCAGATTGGAGATGAATTATTTATTACAGCCAAAGGTTCTGGTGTGGCTCAACTACAGGTAATTTCCTGTTCTCATTTCTACTGAACATATATTTATAGCAACCTTGCCTTAAAAACCTGATCTACATCAATCCCGAGCATAAGATCAACTTATGTGACGTCGCGTTGATTTAAGTTTACGATTCTCAATTAAAATTTCCATTAGGTTCAGTTAAAGTATAACACACCAGCGTCTGAAAATGAAGCTTGTCATTTTGACTTGAATGTTACAACTATCGAACATGTTCGTCGATTTTTGGACCCACCAATATTTGTGGTTCCAAAGAAGCCTAAGGGCTCATGTATAAGGAAATGTTGCAGAAAAGGGTCAAGAAAGGGAAAAAGGTGTTCTCGTCGACGAAAGTCAAAATGTAGAAAACGATGTAACAAGCGACGAAATGGTGGGCGTAGAAGAAGGCCTAGACCTACAACACCCGCACGACCATTAACAACAAGACCTCCCCAAAATGATGGTCCATCTCCGACCTCGCTATCGATCAAGATATGTTCAAAGTAAAATGTTTTAACTTTTTGGTAGCAAGCTATTATTCATTCTTTATTTTACCAGAACGCTACATTTTTACAGGTTTTTGACGGTTAATGAAAGCGCTGGAATGTCAATTATCGATGTTGGTGTTCTCACTGGATTTAGTGTGAAACAAGATAGCCTTGTCGAAGTAAATATATTTCTTTTGTGTTTAAGAATTCGGTTTTTAGGAACTACACAAATCAGTCGCACGAGAATGAAAATGGGGTCTTCATTTCATGGATAGTTCAATTTTATCTGTAGCTCGTCGACCATTAAAATATTTTTCAAGCAAACAGAAAAATAAAAAAAAAAACAGTATCCAGATTTCGTGCAATTGAAGTGTTTTTCTTTATTCGCTATTCCCTCGTAAAAAATATACTTAATTCTTTGAATCTAGTTGCTGAAAATTACGTTTTCTTTTAGCTTCAAGACAAAGCTAATCCGGGAATAGCGAAGTTTGAAATATCTGACCGACATGTGTATTTGTACCTGGACAAAATACCCAGCACGCATGCGCTTTGTTTCAATCTTGAGTTCAAACGTGACTTTGAAGTCGGAATAGTTCAACCTGTTCCTGTGTCCGTGTACGACTATTATGATCCAGGTGAGGGCTTATTTATTCACGGCTCGAGAACTTTGAGATAGGAACGAGTTGTTTCACTACATACATAATGTTAGAAAATGCAAGATTTTGTGATGACCTAGTACTTATAGTTGATTAACTTCTTTTCTTCCATATCTTTAGAGAAAATATGTACAAAGTTTTACGGTCCTAAAGTTGATAGTCGTCTTCATCTACGGACTTGCGACCATGACTCGTGTAAATGTGCTCAAGGTAGGATAAACAGTTGATATCCATGTGTAGTATCATGGATAAGAAATAACAATTGTAAATTTTCGACAGATAAATGCAGTTCCTGTAAGCCTTCTGATGACGCCAACGTTGTGATAAGACAGCTGTGTCGAAAATATCAATACAGTAAGACTTTTGTTTTATACAGAGGTTCCATATTTTCATCTAAAGTGATCATGACAAGAAAGTCCCATAGTTGCCATGAATAAAGTTCGCCTCAAGCATCATACAACATTGTGTCGATTGCTTGTGTTTTCCACCATTAAACATCAAGTGTTGGGAACGTAAGAGGCGAAGTCTTTGTCTGACTATATAATTCCAATTGTTAGGTTTTCGAGGAGTACTACGGTCCATTAATGAAAAGGGCAAGTGGCTCCATTTAAAGTTTGACGTTGTTACTGTTTATTTGGAAAGTTCGACGAGAAAAATTACGAAAAACACCAAACGTCTTGTTTACACAAAGAAGACGAATTGCGATTGTCCAAGATTTGCAGGAAAAATTGACAGCCAATTCTTAATCATGGGATTAAATGAAGGTCTTCGTGAGTCTAAAATAGTTATGGGAGAAGATGTGTTTGTCAAAGAGTGGCCAAGAAAAGGCTCCGATTTTACACGGAAGTTTTCTAGTGGAATAAAGCGTGGTTGCCCTTGAATGGATAAAATTTATGTGCTTCGAAAATATATTTTTAGAAATGCTTCGATAACCAACAATAGAAAATGAAACTACAGATAATTTGTAATAGAAAGTAGTATTAATAAATTGTTCTTGAGTTAAAGTTTTACAAATATAAACAGTTTAGTCCGCAGTGAAAATATCGCACAGGAGCCGGTTGCACGAAGCCGAGATAGCGTTATCCACTGGATAGCAAATTTTTCTGAACGTTCATAAAATCTCTTAAAAGAAAAAAATATACGATTTAAACTGTGCAATCGCTGAATTAAAATATTGTTTCGAAGATGACTAAATTTCTTTGTCGTGAGAAAAATATAAACATCTTTTTTTCAAGTTTGAAAATTTTCGCTATCCAGGCTTATATGTATATTCTCCATATATATTCTCCTGTTCTATATATTCTCCATTATTGGCTCTCGGCCAAGGCTACTTCCGTGTGCGCGCGGTCAATATCAAAAAGTTGAGATATGAGAATCTTTGTGAAAATTGACAAGATATTTTGATTTTAAACCACAAAATAATGACCACCTCAGGCCATCTGGCTGATTCTTTCATCATCGACGTTATTCATTGTACACTTTGCTGTCGAAATTGTGTATAATTTACAAGTTTTGGTGATGTATCTTAAAGGCAGAAATTGAGAAAGATTTCACATTCAAAGTGAGTGCCATATCGTACATAATATGATACTTCTCAATTGCAGATTATGATTTGGCGGAGTTTTAGATGGCCTGGCGAAAGAGTTGCCGTGTTCGTTTGTTTTATACATTTAGTCTTATTGGGATAGTGTTGAATACAGAATAGCAGAAATTACATTGTATTGCAGAAAAACGTGCGCAAATTCACAATTCACATGTTATAAAATTCCTTGAGGCTTACAATACATGTCCGTTCACATTGATAATTACAATTTTTTGTTTTTGATGGGGGGCTGCAAATTATACGGCTTTATTATTGAAACGATAAATTAGGACAATTAATCGTTTACAATTAATATATTTTCATAAAGTTCAAATTTATATGACTTCCCGTGGAGTTGTATAATTCATTTATTATATCCACGATTGTTGGACCTTGGACTTCTAGTCGTGATGAAGTTGACTATTGAGTGTGAGAGTTGTTTACACATTGGAAATCCTTTTTTTAAGATGACTATCATTATGTCGTGAAGAAATTAAGGAGGCAAAGATGTCTGGGTGTTGGTTTTGACTTCGAAGAATGGAAGATGCTGTCGAGTCTGTTGTTGTAGAAGAGCAAAGCAAGCAGTTTGTCAAGTCTAAGTCACTATTTCAGCGTTTCCGAAATCGTAGTACCTCGTCCGAGAATAACAATGCAGGAGATATAAAGGATAGAGTAAAAGAAATGCGAGAGAAAATGGTTCCCAATGATCAATCAGAAATGTGTGTGAAGACAACAACTGATGTTCAACCACACCAGAGAAATACAAATGGTGTCAAGGAAAAAATATTAAACGGAATTAAAGAAACAAGATCATCAATAGGCAAAAACAGTACTTGTCTTTTGTTACGACTGTTTGAGTCAACAATGTTCGACATGTCCATAGCCATGTCTTATCTCTTCAAGTCAAAGGAGTCTGGTGTCCAAGCATATCTTGGGAACAAGTTGTTTGTGCGTGAAGTATAATATTTTTAAAGTCATTGGAAGCCTGTTCAGTTATATGCTTTGTATTTGTATTTACTTTTCCCTTTTCAACGTCTCATTTGTTGATTTCTTTGTTTATGTAGAGTCTTGATCATTCAGATGTCGATAAATACCTTCCGCAACTTATGTAAGATGTGCACTTACTACATTACAAGGTGGTTTTTCCTTCTGTTGACTTTTTTTGCTTCACAAAAATGATCTTATTGCAGGAACATGTATGTGCACATGGAAGATGTTGGGTCGGCAATTTATCATTATATTACTGTACGCTGTAAAACTGATGTAGAATTTGCAGTTCAAGTAAGTTTCAATCGGCAATTGATCCAGGAGGGTGGAATGCATATTTTAATATTATTGTTGACAATGAAGGTATTATGGCTGCTCGAAGCGTATTGTGCTGATGGATGGCTGCCAAGTTGTGAACAGCAAAGAGGACTGAAAATTGTGAAAAAGATTTTAGATGAAAGCTCAAAGCAAAAGTGAGATTGTTATTTTGCTTATGAAACATGAAAATGAAATAGTTTGAATGTATCTTTGTAAGAACTAAGAGCTCCCTTAACTTTCGACTTATTTCAAATAATTTAGTCGTTTCAAATTTCGTTCAATGAAGATTTTACATTTCTTATCAAGAAGAACTTCAAAAGAATAAAGTTGACTTCATGCAATATTTCACAGTATTTTGTACTCATGACAAAAATATGATTTATATGAAGGTTGTTGACTCCACCAAGTAATACTGGCACAAACCAAAAAAAACTTATTTCTCATCAGAGATCAAGATCGGATGCTACTGCCAGCATTGTGACGTCATCAAGCATCTTCCAGGCAGTATGAATTGATTTTTTAATGCTTAAAGTTGCTTGGTAATTATGGCTAATTAGCCTTTGACAGTTCATTGTTAATTACTTTCAGTTTGCTATTTCTTATTAGCCATAATTAATTGTTATCTGTTGTTAATTTTGGTTAGCTAGATTTTGGTCACAGTTTTCAATGGAAATTTTTAGTAAAGTAAATACCATGTTGTTTTAGACAACACCTTTCAATGGTTCTGGTGGAGATTTGCGCTATGGTCATGCATTTGACTGTAACTGCTGTAAGCGTGTTCATTTTCTACCTTCTACAAACTCGGCTTCGACAAGTATTCCTGAACAACTTGCAAGAATGCATTCAGAATGTAAATGTCAGGTAAACAAACTGTCAGATTTAGTTGAAGTATGCAACCTATTGCACCATTATTAACGAAATACTGTTTGTTACACTGATAGTTTGCACATCCGTTTGTTCTTAGGGGCCAAAATTATTGGCACAAAGAGAGTTTGTCAATGCACTAGTTTCTATTGGCGAAAAACTTCGATCATTGGCTACAAAAGATCTTCGTGGTTCGTTTTTAACACATGATAGATATACAGTTGAATTGTCTTATGTACCTAGCATTTTAAACACCTCATTTTGCATTTTATTTTAGTGTCTGCATTGTATGCAGAACTTTCTCTACTTAACCTCAATCTGCCTGCACGTGTATTTCTACCCATTTTTCCTATGCCCTTTAAACACTACGTGGTCAGAATACCACATACAATAGCTGCTGTTCTTAATTCAAAAGATAAGGTGAGAAATAAAGCCAACCATTTGACCAATCATGTTATTTTATTCTATTATACGGCAAGCGTCACTTCCGGCAAAAGGCGCGCTTTGATTGGCTCAGAAACATTTTTGCCGGTCCATTATTTTCCCGTAATCTGCGTAATTTTACAGTCAAATGTAAACAAACTTTGTTAAGCAAACAGTAAAACGAAAAGAAAAACGAAGCAAAAAACCATTTGACCATTTGCGAATATGAGTCGAAGGAAAAACACTTGGAAAACAGTTTAACTATCCAGACGATACATTTTGAAACGATTTATTTTTTATTGACAAAAACTAATAAAGTGAAAGGCAACCCATACAAAACAGCAAAGACGAGAAAGAAAGCAAGCTTCGTTTAAGGTCAAATAATGCCATATAATAAACCTTTTAATAACCTCGCTTTCTCGGTTTTTACTGAGAAATATCGGAGCTTTGTCTTTTTGTACAAACCTCACCCTACGGACCCGGTACAAAAAGACCTCGGTCCGATACCTCTCCGTAAAGACCTCGGTTGTTAAGAGCTTAGTATTGCTATAAAAGTCTAAATATTATGTTGTATCTATGAATTGATGCAGTAAAAATGTTCATATATTGTGTTCAGGCTCCATATTTGATCTATGTTGAAGTTCTTGAGTCATCAACTGCTGACTCCTCACCAAACGCGTCAAAAAGATTGGATAGCACATCTCTTCGTCAAACGAGGTAAAATTTTTTGCAAAGCGCATGCTTGCATGTCGGTGTATTGCAGTTGTCACGATGTATATTTAACTATGTGTATAATGACGTTTTGGGTGTCTATTGATTAGACAATACTTTGAAAAATCAATTTGAATTTCATTCATATTGAATTAATATTTCAAAGCTTAGGAGTTTATTAGTGGAGCTCAATTTACACTTGGCCTATTGCTTGACCAAGGTTATTGATATTAAAACTTTAAGGTGACTCAACGGGATTCCGTTGAGTCACCTGAATTTTTCAGGTTCTTGAGACAATTGCTTAAATTGTCCAGCAAAGTGCGAAGATCATATCTTCATCCAATTTCAAAAAACACCCACTGCAAATGACAATCTTTCATATTACATTCCTTTCACGGGAAAACATGAGCCCAACAAATTGACCTGCTCTCCACTGTGTGACTTCATAGCTCAGTTGGTCAGAGCACTGCACCAAAACTTTAAGGTCTTGGACGAAAATTTAATGAGACAATAATAGCATACGTAATCATAATGAAGACCATGCATGCATTTTCTCATGATTCAAGAAACAATGAATGAAAGAGAACTCTTGGAAACAAGACAGATTTCATAAGCAAAAAATCCCGTTTTCGATCCATGCCTCCCGATACTCGTGAGCAGCACGTTCACATTTAATAGCACGAGAACGTCGCATATTAACGTTCGCGATTTCGGCCCCTCCACACTATCCTGCTTTGGGATGTCAGTAGCAAGCTTCAGGCAATCAGAACCTCGAGAGAGGCGCTAAGGCACTCGGGTTACGCAAGGAGAGTGACGAATGTTCAGATGTTTACTCTTATAATTGGTGACTGGACGTCGATCTGATTATTGCAAAATTCACGCAAACACATCCAGTTTGTCATTATCCTTGCCATGGTTTTAAAGTACCGGTTGAATGAGACTGCGCAGCCTCGGGCCTCAGCTCTTATTAAATGTGATCGAGGAAGCTAGTTAATCCGAAATCGGTATAAGTAAATGCGGCAAAACATTTGTTGAATGGATTGTGCATGTGTTTAGTTGTATATGGACGTGTTGTCTGTCTTCTTTAGTACAGTGGTGGATTTAATAGGGGTGGGGGTGTACAGGGGTGAGGGTGTACAAGGGGGGTGTACAGGGGTGCTAACCCCTATAGGCAAGGGTCAACCTTACTGGGTACCATTGCTTCAGTAATGCTGGATATTTGGGCTATCGGCTGTGATTGTTACCGCATTCAGCTAATTATTACAGTTTTATACAATATTCATTTCCCATGAGATCATTGGTGTAGATCGTCTTCCTCACTTGACACTGAAGATGACTTCCGCTAAGGTTGTCGAAACATCAGTCAACAACAACCACAACAGTCCTTCTCAGGACTATACCAACCTGAACGATGTACATCTACAAACATGTGTAGTTATGTTTGATGATCGATGTCATTTATTTTCATTGTGTATGATACAGGTCCGAAGAAACATTACCAACGTTTAGTCGCTCAAGATCTTCCTCTGTTAAATTTAATGTAAGACACAGACAAATCTTTTATTATATATTTATAAAAAGTGCGCATGACGTGCAATCGTAAATAGTTTGTGTTTCTTTGATTGACAACGATGTATTTTTGCGGATATTATTGGATAGAAAGGGTTATAAAATGTTTTCAGGTGAATGGTGGTTTGGATGACGATGTCTGGTCTGGTGTTGTGGAAGAATCAAAAGACTTCGGCGATATTGTGAGAAATTGTTTATGCCTTGTTTTGGTTCTTGTTGTATCACATTTTTCTCTAAAATTATGACTAACAATGTGATGTTTTTATGGATTTTGTATCTTTTCAAAACATAAGGAAATCAAAATTAGTTGCCTCAGATTGAAATCGAATTTTATCATAATTTACTTTCAATTTTGTACAATATTTAACGTTTTATTACTGTGTATGAACCAGTTATACCTGGAATATTTTGAGCTTTGACGAGTCAAATTTGTGTCTTTCACATTGCCTTTAATTTCATTTTTGTTAATACTTACGTAAATATACTTATAAAGCTTTATTTTTGTTTAGGATTCTGTGTACATCGCCGCAGGTGATGTTCGTAAGCGATTGAGTCAACAACTTACTGCGCCAAGAAAAACAAGATTCGATAAAGATCCTGATGATCCTTCAGGTATGTTAATGGTCTTTCAGGTATATTGATGGTCCTTCAGGTATACTGATGATCCTTCAGGTAAATTGATGGTCCTTCAGGTATACTGATGATCCTTCAGGTAAATTGGTGGATCTAAAAAGATGTTTGAGGATGCTTTTTATCTTGTGCGCATAAATGTTACAAAAGCTCGTTGTCGCAAAACTTTTTACATTGTGTTGATATGGAACTTTTATTTGCATGAAATAGCGTCAGTTTTGAAAGAACCGTTTGCAGAGAAAGAAGAAAGAATACGCGTCACTTCACCTTACGGACATCTTCCTAATTGGAATATCCTTTGAGTGTTTTACTGTAGTTTAATTCAAACTTTAATTTAATATATAAATAGAGATAAAGAAAATAACTTAACTCTTTACTACGATTGTTGTCTGTTATTGTAAAAGTCGGGGACGATCTTCGACAGGAGCTTTTGGCATATCAACTTTTAAGACAGTTTAAGGTAAAGAGTGGTTTGAGTTGTTGATCTGGGGCCGGTTGCACGAAGCTTGGATAGCTTTATCCATTGGATAGTAAAATGTTCAAACTTGCAAAAAAGGTGTTTGTATTTTCATTTCGACGAACAAATTTTGTAATCTTAGAAACAATATTTTATATCAGCGATTGCACAGTTCAAAATTTACTATCCAATGGATTACGCAATCCAGGCTTCGTGCAACTGGCCCCTGTGGTTGTATCGTATTGATGTACATCATTGCATAGGAAATGCTGATGTGCTGATAATGTCGCTTTGATCATATTTATTTGTCCATTCAGATTATTTGGGCCGTTGAAAAAGTTCCTTTGTGGCTGAAACCTGTCGCTGTTGTTGTGACGTCAAATGAAAGTGGTTTTATTGAGCCAATTGTCGATGCCGTATCATTGCATCAGATTAAGAAACATAGTCAGATGTCTTTACTTAACTATTTCATAAAGGTACAGTAAACATCTAAATTTCTCCTTCATAAAATATTAAATGTTTCGGTTTGTTCATCTTTAATTCAACTATCAATACGTCATCAATCATTAACTGTCCTCTTAGGAGTATGGAGACGTTAATTCCGAAGAATTTTTATCAGCTCAAGAGAATTTTGTTCAAAGTTGTGCTGCATATTGTCTCATATGTTATATACTTCAAGTGAAAGACAGGTAATACATACGTATACCTTCGTGTACTCTGATGTACTTAACGTGTATTTTCGTGTACTCTGATGTACATGTGTACACCTTCGTGTACTCTGATGTACATATGTATACCTTTAAGTACTCTGATGTACATATGTATACCTTCGTGTACTCTGATGTATATATGTATACCTTTAAGTGCTCTGATGTACATATTTATACCTTCGTGTACTCTGATACACTTAATGTATGAATTATCGTGGAAGTGAAGTGAAAGATAGGTAATAAATATGTATACCTTCGTGTACTCTGATGTACATATGTATACCTTTAAGTACTCTGATGTACATATGTATACCTTCGTGTACTCTGATGTACATATGTATACCTTTAAGTACTCTGATGTACATATTTTATGCCTTCGTGTACTCTGATACACTTAATGTATGAATTATCGTGGAAGTGAAGTGAAAGATAGGTAATAAATATGTGTACCTTCGTGTACTCTGATGTACTTAACGTGTACCTTCGTGTACTCTGATGTACATATATATACCTTTAAGTACTCTGATGTACATATGTATGCCTTCGTGTACTCTGATGTACTTAACGTATGAATTATTGTGGAAGTGTTTAAACAGAACAATTTGTTTATTCCATAGACACAATGGAAACATTTTATTGGATGCTGAGGGTCATATAATTCACATTGATTTTGGGTTTATTTTATCCTCGTCACCTGGAAGCAACTTTGGTTTTGAAAATTCACCATTTAAACTGACTCACGAGTTTGTTGAGGTATGTAGGCTCATACGTACATCTTTATGTGAGCACTTTGAACCGCTGTTCATACTCATCGCAGAAAATTATAGAAGAGCATTATGGTGATTGAAATGAGAATGAATTATTTTTTCGTGCTAACAACATCATTGAAATAAAATGGTATTCTCTCCAGCGATATCGTAAAACTTTGCCTATTAACTCTCCGGTCTTACGTATATAAGTTTGTTAGTCCTTTTCACGTGCTTATACATAGGGGGGAGGGGTTGTGTACAGGGGGGATTGTACAGGATTATACTGAAGTGATCTGTGGACATTACGCTATGAAATGGGCTAAGGTGCGATTGAGTTTGCGTGTAGATCTCTCTGTGGAATGAGTTTGAATGTTATGATTGTGCTGAGCTTAATCACGGTTTATATAGAAGAGAGGATCTGTAGGGAGAGGTTTACGGTTGATTTGTGTATTATGTATGAAGGTATTATCCTGTTAATTACATTTTTAGTTTCATAAAAATATAGTGTAAATATAAAGTTTGAAGAATTATCAGTTTAATGGGAATTTTTAAACTCATCGAATAGTCCATTTCATTTATCGATAATTTACCAATTTAACAATGTCAATTTTTTTTCAATTTGACCTATACAATAAAATCTGCGTCGTCTTTCAGGTTATGGGTGGCGTCGACAGTGACATGTACAACTTTTTTAAAATTCTTATGCTTCGTGGTTTTCTTGCTGCGCGCAAAAATATGGACAAATGTCTTGAACTTGTTGAAATCATGCAAAGAGGTAAGTCATCATTGTTTCATACACATTTTTATTCATGTTACGGTATAAATGAACTAGAAGCAATTCAACAGCTTCAAATTTCGAGAGTTAGGTCCGTTAAAAGCTACAGCCGGCGTTTGTCATATTTTTCGGATGTTGTTTTCATAGACAAATGTTACGATTAGTAAAATGGCGATTATTTTTTGAACGTTTTTGTGTTTTTCATTATTTTGTTATGTCTTGCACATTCAAACAGACGTCCAACGGCACATTAATTTAATTTTTTAAAATTAATATTTAGTGATAGATATACCATCTTAATCATCAATCATAAGTATTGACATGTACTTTACAAAATATTTTCAAACATTGCCTATTTATGCATTTGAAAAGCACATGTGTTTATTTCGTGGTAGGCTCGCAATTACCGTGTTTTGTACGCGGATCATCAACAGTAAGCTCAATGCGAGAGCGCTTTCATTTAAACCTAACGGAAGAACAATTGGCTAAGCTTATTGACGGAATGATAGAGACCAGTATGAACTCATTGACTACTAAAATATACGATGGTTATCAATATTTCACCAATGGTATATTATGATGCATATGATTGGCCAAGTGGTTGGTAAACGTGTGAGGTGACGTCACAATGACGTGAGCAGCTACGTATGGAAACATGATGTCGAAAGAGCTTCTGCATTGTGTGTGATGTCATCATTGTGGAGGCTTTGAGATGTGTACATCTACATAGATAAATTTCAATAAGCAACTCTGGTTTGATGTGGGGCAGTTGTTCTCAAGGATATAATGTGTTTGCATATTGGTCTTGTTATGGGTCCATTGTTTATACTTATATGTGCACAATTGGTATCTTCAAGGGTCTAGCGTGTACCCACATCTTCAATTAGGGTTGCCATTGGTCTAGTGTGTGTGTGTACACAAATGTACAATTTATTTGTCAAATTTGCTGCCATTTCTCGATCCACATAGAAACCATCTTGTACTTTGGAGTACCTCGTATTGTGGACGAGTATAATTTTTACGTTAGATGAACGACTCTAAATGAAAATACAAAACATGAACTTGTCATTTACTGCCGCGAGAAACACTAATATTATAAAGAATATATTTTGTCTTGTTCCAGCAATGTATGAGTAAGTGCGGCGTAAATTATTTGATTTATCAATCGACATTTGTTGACAAATATAGGACACTATATATATATATATATACATAATTTTCTACACGTTATCGCGCTCATTTTGAAGGATTTGTAAATATTTGACTAAATTGGAAAAAAGAGTTTAATGAAACAGGACATTTTTGTTAAAGTATTTTCCTTATGTATAATATAGCCTACTTCTGTTTACTTTACATTTGTGGAGTCAACTGTGCTATTTTTAGAATTAATTCGTCCTACATGTGGTTATCTATGCGAAAAAAGTCAAATCCAGTAAATAACGGCAAGTTTTATTTAAATCAAATCCATAATTTGAAAGGTCTCGATAGTACAAATAACTCCTATAATACTGTCTGCAGGACACATGTGTGTAGTGGTTATAATTGATCTTTTCATTTTACGCTTGACAGCAATTATAGTATGTGGCCTTTCAGGAAGTGTGGAAGACTTCTTTATTAAGACAAAGCCTAATTAATATGCAAAATGCTTGCTTCTCTCGCGCTGCTCGTGAAAGTTCTGCTGGAATATTCACCCTTGCTCCTTTTAATGTTGTGCATAAAGTAATCTTAACTGTAGTAGATGGCTGTATGGTTCATCGATCCACGGTAGCATGTATCTTAATATTCCGTGTGTATAGTATTTTTACCCCTCCCACCAGAGCCCTTCATTAACGTGATTGATGGCCAGCTTTTGCACAATGAAATGAAAGTATTGAATATTTTCCCTAGGATAAAGTTGTGAATAACGTTGAACAAAATGAAATCAAATAATTATATCGCTAGGAAATAGATACATGTGTTATATCCTGTGCGTTTACAATCCATACAAGTTCCATTTCATGTTCATCGTTGTCCTACATAGCATTCGTTTTCGCTATTTGTTGCTCCCAAAGTATGAAAAACAATAACAACACAACTTCATGTTATTATCATTTCCATGTATAATTTTGTTTTTGCCAAATCACATGAACGCAGGAAGATGACCGCAGTTTCTATTGTAATGTTTTATTTTCGGACTTATCGGTTGTAACATGTCATAAACGCTTGTTGAGTTTCGTTTGAGATCCTCGAAAAATCACAATGTGTGTCTCCTAACCGTCGTGGGTTGCTCAAGCTCTTGCCAAACAATTTGATAACTCGTGACACAGTGTATTTTCGATATAATCATCACCTTTTATATACCCTCAGTCGATAAAATACTGGAACTTGTTTTTTTTTAAACTTTAGTAGTCATTTCATGTGAAGTAAATAAATACTCTCAAGTAAAGTAAAGAAAATACTCCTTATGGTGAAAAACATAATTTTGTGTTCAGTCTGTGATCAATGTTATAGTACATTCAAAAAAAGACCCTATCGAGTGAAGATACTTGTCTTGTAGCTATGTTTTTAATCTTTTTGAACGTATAAAACAAAGACGCCGTATGCATTGTCGCCAAAGGAAAACGTACTTGAAGCACAAAAGATGTAGAATTAATGAGATGATTTTATGTAGTGTTAAAAGCTTACAGCTGAATGATTCGTTCTTTATGACATTTACGGCAAAGGGATAAAAAATGTTTATAAACCTAAAAATACATATAAATTAGTTAATGTAGACTTGCTTTTTGCCGTGTTCCCGTCCACTCCCTTCGTACTGAATTTTAGTTAGATGAATGTATGGTCTGTATGATGTAAGGACTAAATACTTTTCTTTTATGCCATTCCCTGTGTGATATACGTTGTAGTAACATATAAAGCATTGCTCCGTTAATGTGTAAAGATATATGTTTACAATTCTTGGAACAAAGCATGTCAATGTGCCTTATGAATAAGTTATCAATATCAAATCCTCTATAACTTTGTTCTCTCACTTGAATGTTATTCTCGATTAAGTGTTGCTAATTGTTGGATATTGAATACCGCAACTCTTCATTATTGATGTCCCTTTTACAGCATTTACTGTATAAATTTAGCAACCATTTTTAGTTTATGTGTAGTGATGTATTTAGTTGTGGAGTGCTACAAATATAGAATGGGCGAAGTGTAAGTGTATAAAGAGTTACGGATTATTATTATAAAATAATGCTGAAATCTATAAATATGTAATTGGTGAAGAACTTAGCTATTATGTATATTTATCTGATTAATAAGTGTACTTTTTGCTCTAGTTCAAAGCAAACTTAAAAATACAATTTAAAATTTAGTAGGACTCAGTCAAAGCTCTTGTCATTATCCCGTCCCTTCCTTTGTCGTGAGAAAACTAAGTTGCTTGATACTTCGATTTAAAGATGTTCTCAGTGTAAAGTATTTTGACTACTTTCTTCCTCTCAGCTGTTAATAGCATTTCAATACCTTTGTCGTCATTGTGTTAAGTATAGCACTCTTAACTTTCCGAATCAAAATTGTTTTATATTTAATCCAATATCGTTGAATTAAAATTTTGGATGAAGCCAGAACGTTCATTTTAGTTAGTACATTAAGTATACCTCAAGACCTATGTTAGTTCTTTGAATTACATATATGTTACAATTCTCACTTAAGCATACCAAGTATATGTACATTTGTTTCCTAGGAAACTGATGCTGAAGTTTTATCAAGAATGTCGAGTCGTTAAAACATGTACTCTTAAGTAACACGTTTTATTCGAGTGTTATTCCAACGCCTTTCCTTACGAGGGCGTGTGATTATTTTTGATGTCTAAAAGAATGAAGGATGGTTGAAATTAGGGCGTTTTTGGTTTAGAAATTAGTTGACGTTGATTAGAATTAACGCGGGTGTTGAGGGTGTTGTGTACCGTGTGGTTTTCTCATTCTGTGTGTTAATTCAATGCAAAAAGAGTTACGGAACCACACGGAACAGTAAATTATTGTGTTCACCTGCATGTCTTGAAGTCATGTAAATTTTTGACTATTTTCCTGTTGATAGAGATCATGGCTGAAGTGCATTTGAAGTACTACACCCGCCTTTTCTATAAGATAACATACTTTTAAAAAATCGTCAAATAATGTACTGGAAGCAGCGGCTAGATCTTCATTTACCCCCTCAGGTAATTTTCTTATCCATTTCTCAAGATTGCTAATTTTAACCTTTTTCTCCCTGTGGTTATTTGTCTGCACAGGAAAGCGGCGTGTTTCTGTGGAGTCTCGTAATTAAAGGCAAAATTATGTGATAAGTGTATGTGCGAAATGTCATAACAATGTCGACTATATCTTTTGATCCTTTTACACATGAACAGTCAAATAAGATCTCAGTCTGCTGTCGTTGTCTGAAAATTACTTGTGAATGTTTTGTATCCATGATTTTTTTTGAAAAAAGTTCAGATTTCTCCACGCAGAGAAATATAAGGATTTTGGTTCACTGCTTAAAACTTGACATTCTTCTGCGAGAGAAGAATTGTTTTTTCCTAGACACATTACTTTAGCTAAAGTGAGGTTGTTTTTAGTGTATCATAAAAACAAGGTTGATCATCTCAATGATCTCATGGATTTACTTTATTCGGTCGACTCTGTTTGAGCCTTATATCATAACAAGCATGTAAAGTTTGAATCAGCAATTTGATTTGGATCTTTTTGAACTGTAAGCCTTAATATGTTCGTTGTGGATGTTTCTGCCCCCTTTTAGTTCTGATGAAATGGTACGAATTTTTTTCAATACGTTTGTTTTTGACTATTGCAATATCTATCTTCGTGTCTTGTAAGTGATTTGATTGTGCATGAAGATTGTCACTAAAGTTTAATAACACTTCATGCTTCATACGCCATTATTCAAAGGTGAATTATAATTTCAGTTGAAAAGCGTATAAAATCTATGGCGTCATGTTTTAGTATTTTTATATAAAGAAACACGATTGAATCAGCTCCATTTTGTATCAACAATTTTGTGTTCATTGTTGAGTATGGATGTATGAGCGGTATTTCTTACTTATTTTGTGTTTAGACGTTGAATTTCGGTCTGTAAACGATGAATGATAAAGTTGTCGACACACAACAGTGTTTTGCTTGCTTTTTATCATGTAAGATTGTTAAGATACATGATCTTTGTGATGTACGAAAAAGTACTATTTAATCTCTGTAGGCAGAATTTATGCTTGCAAACCTTAAATAATTCTTTGTAGACATATGTTTTATTGGAGATACTCGTGCTTTCTCGATAATTTCGTTGGTTTGGTATAGTTTGAGGGACTATTTGAAGTTAGTATACTTTTAAAACGATGTACACATTTGATTTCAGCATGTAATGATGTATGATGTATTTTACTGTGTATATAGCCTTCGTAAACTGGAACGGTACATGTAAATTTTATATAAGTTCGCTTGACTATTTCTTCATCAGCATAAGGATAACAGTTGTTATGTTGAAAACAAAAGCTTTTTGCATCTACTTTCATTGCTTGCAAGAACAATCATGCTTTACGACAAATGTATTTTATGTTTATTATGTTAAATAGCTACATACACCTGGTCCTGCTATAACTATTGACGAAGTTGGTCTTTGGATAAATTTCATTTCTTAAATTTCAACAAATTACATATTTAAAACTCAACGATGCTTCGACAAACATTAACATGGCTCTTTATGTCGTCCAGTTTATTTTTTCATTCTAAAGCACCAAAGACCCAATGATAACTGATTATAAAAAACACAAAAACTCATACTTTTGAATTAAAAGACTAAATGTCTAGCTTGCATTGTTACATAGTTGATAAATACTTCGTGTAACAACGTACTCTTTGGCAAAGTGAAGACATTTTTATACCAAAACGCATTTGGTAGAGAATTAGGTCAGTAAAAATAGATCTTACGCATAGATTTATATATCTTTGAAATCAAAGATAAATAAAATTGAATCCTAACTCATACAGCCACCTATTTTTTTAAAATTTTAGACCTGATTTGCGAATATGTATATATAATGCACTTTATTTGCTATTAATCGTAGATAAATCTCTGTCATGTACTTTCTCCTTCACGCGGAAGTGAAATTAAGATAGAATTATCCTATCTTGTGACAATACTCTGTTTGAAATATAAAGACAAAGAATATTTTACATTGTGGTAGGCTTTTTATGGTGACCTGACCCAAAGTTTGTCTCGTGAGCAGGAATATCAAATTATGTTTCTACGATTAACGTATCTTCAAATTCTGATAGTGTATATTAATACATTTCGTGTCATAAAAAAGTAAATATTATATTTTGCTACGCACGAGATTGTTTCCTTTATAAATAACGGTCCTTTAGTTTCTTTATGTTGTTTTGTGAAAGGGTCTTTTTCAACAGAATATTCACATAAATCAAACTTTAATGATGAATGACAGTTTGTTGTAATAAATATTCCATGGCAAATGACGGAAAGGACTATATCATTTTGGCATTGCTTTATGTTTACTTCGACAAATCGCTTAATGATAATGAAGCTTTGCAATCTATATTTAATTAATTATGGTTGTCAGTGGGTTGAAAATTATCTATGTGTGGGGGTAATCTAGTTTGGTCACGTCTAACCATTCCAGGTGTGTCATTTCATATTTTTTATTTTATTCTAAGTAGGTTTGTTTTGTTTCATTGTGTGTGAGCTCAGTTAATCTGCCACATTTATTAAGTAGAAGATTTCTTCTCAACCATGTTTCGCGTGGGTACTTATGAAAATCAATTTGTCAATGTATTAACCATGGTTACTGGTAGTTTTTCTTACCTAATTTGGTGTACTCTATCCAGTCAAAGAAGTACGATGCTTCGGTTCACTACAATGTTTTGATCAAGTCTTTTGTTGGCGTTGATTCATCGGAAACGTTGGTTGTCCATTATTCGCCTGTATGGACTGTTTCCTTTTTATGTCCTTTGCTCCGCCCTCTCTACCTCTATGATGTTAATGATGACACTTTTATGCTGTTAAAACAAAATAACCAGTCTTGTTATGTCAGAATTTAATATGATTCAATGGGTGTTTTTGACTTAGTACTTTTTTAATTACTTTAACATTGATTAACCTTTGTTTCTGTCCGAATTGTAGATGACTTTAATATGGTATTCAGCCTTATGTTTTTTGATATAATTCTTTTAGACAGGTTAACGGTCTCTTTGCGTGATCGTCGATAAAAACTATTGTTTAGGATTTGCATATTGTGTGTAATGTATCAGCCGTATAAGACATGTTATACTTTACAATTAACACTGTTTTTGTGAGTGTCTGTATACGTTGAATTCTGTCTGTCGTATGTACTTCGCCTTTTGTTTGACCAGATTTCACAGTAATACTTGATTTTCTTTCTTTATTCGATCTCAACAGGCGTTAGGTACATTTGTAACGACATATTCGGAAAACCACAAGATATATTCACCGCTAGCGTATTGAAGAAATTCTCCTTACATGAATCTCTTTCTGCCAACATGAAAATATCAATGTTTCAACTTCATGTGACGTCACATGTTGTATTACTTTAAAATTTGTCTTAGTTGATATATATATGTTTTTTTAAAAAAAACACTTTCATTTACTTATGAGTATTTCTAGCAATTTCGAACATGTCGTTGTACATGATCACAAGCGCGACGTACTATATGATACAATTTTTAATACCAATCACGCCTCAGTATAAAATTCAACATTAAACTCTAAAATATAAATTATTCAAAAAGTTCTAGACGCTCTGTGGCGTTTATCATAGTGCAGAAAGCATATAAGTGTTAATGTGTTTGGGAATAAAGCTTGTATGCGAAGATTTTTTTATCAAATTGATGTTCCTCGCAAAAGACATGACACTGAGATTGTGCAATTCCAGAAGAAATACTCTGTATCATGTGTATTTTTCTTAAAATATTTGAATTAAACTTTGAGCTGTCTTGTTTGAATAATTTATAGTCATTTCTCGTACTCTCGTCGTCGACGCCTGTATTTGCGTTTTAATACTTATTCATACGGGCCAGTTTATCGTTATTGTAACGACGCGTTCGTCTACTTTTGAATCTTTATGTTGAAGTAGAGCAGAACGCTCTGTAACGCGTGATGACAAGCGTTAATGTTCGACTGTCGGAAAGGTTGCCATATTCAACGCTTAGAAAAACTCTTGTTCTCCAGGAAGAGCGCAATTCTTACATACGTTGGTTGAACTTTCAATTCCTGACATACCAATTTTCTACGTACGTTTATAGAAATGAGACTTCTGAATGGCATTGTTTATGGAATTTGCTAAGAGCTAGTTTAGGCCTTTTCTTTGTTTAATTTACAATTATAACCACTAAGCTTTTTTGTCAATATATAATGCAACAATAGTCAAATTACAATTCTTATTTTATGCTTCGTTGTATTTTTGTATATATGTACAATGTAGTTTGTTCTACTACGTATCAAAATCTTAGGGAGGCCCTTATAAAGAAATTTCTAAGTCTTTGTGTTGTTCACTCTTTGTGGGAAAATATGAAAATGATAGCAGACGATAGTTGTTTTTAAAGATTTCTAAAACCGAAACAGCCATGCATAAAGTTATTTACATTGTAAACAAATGCTTAGTCCGTTTTCTAAATTGTTGCTATTGCATCGTGCTTTAGATCTTTAACTTTCGGTCTGTCTGTCGAAAGCGAAATTTCTTTAAAGAATTTTCTGACGCATAATTTCCTGACCTCTTAAGGCGTATGGAACCAGCCGTTCATGTTATGTTTCAAAAGACATTTGTCCCATTAACGGCTGCACGTTTCATTAGCTATGAAATTAGGATGAATAACATGATTGCAAATATATTTTATTATAATTCGTCCATTGCTGTCAGGATTAATGAAAATCGATCAAAACTCTTTCTTGAACTGAAATAGTTTTAAAAATATAGTATATCCCATGTAGAAATAACATACATGTATACAAGGAATGTTTCAATAAGTTTCTTTGATAGAAGATTATCTGTGTTAACTAATCATGTAATATAAAGATTTTTTTACACTAAAGATTTTCTTTGTCTTATACATTAAAAGTCAGTGTATTTGACTAGTTTATACCAGCAACCGCCTTAATTTCTCTCATGATTCGCCCAATACTGTTCTTACCCATGGGAACTTTGTTGAACCAAATGTCTCCTTTTGGTTTGTGTTTTGGTGTGAGGTAAAAGACGATATTCCAGGCGGTCGGTGTTTCAAATATACCTCAAATGCTCTGACGGGATCTCGCTCGCTTCCGTCAGTTGCTATCATTCTTGCCTTGCATTTTCGTTTATTTCGCGTGTAGTCGTTATCGTTTTCAACCGAAAGCTTTCGTTTTGCCGTATTCTTCACATGTTCAATGCAAAGTTTTCCTTCCATGGAACGCGAGATTTGGAAATCCTCGATGTTTAGATCATGATGCGCCATTCTTCCTCTTATACCATGATGTATTGTATTTAGCCACCATTGGAGTCTCAGTAGAGCTCTAGGACTATGTGTACCTATTGCACCAGAAGCCCACATCTTCTCTAACTGATCTTCCGTAATGCTTTCAACAACGTTAGGATGGTTGCCTTTACCGTTTCTTTTCAGTTCGTTCCGTTTCGTGATTAGATGATAGTTAACGATATCAAATTCTTTATCAGCCAAGTCAAAATTATCAGGAGCGGGTGGAACTTTTCTCTCTAGGAAATATCGGCGTAAACCGTTTCTGTAAGTTGTTAAAGTCACAGGCTCGTATTCGTTGCCTTCTTTACCGGGTCGGGTGTCACGAATCTCTAGGAAAAAGTCTTTGAGTAACGAAATTGCCATTGTTCTATCGACACGGTTCATGTCTAAGTTCTTCGCGAATTTGTCTTTGTACCACTTACGAAACCTTCTGACCGATGTTTTCGTCCCTTCTACAGTGTTTTTACAGCGACAAGAATCGTCAACGCCTTCAACATCAACTGCTTCGCCTGATGTCAAACACTGGCGAGGTTTAGTATCGGATTGTTGATGACCAACAGCGCCAAATCGTTTAGTTGACGGTGAATTAGGAAATACGTCTCCAACGGGATAGTGATAATCATGTGGGTCGCAAATAACGTTTGGGTATTGACGATTTGTTGGGGGATAAAGCGGATTGTACGAGGTCTGATAGTTGGACTGCTTCATCCTGGGCGTCGTAGGTTGAAAATAAACGAATGGATTAGTAGCATAGGGAGGATGGTCAGGATAAGAAAATGCATCATTTTGATCTCCAGGATACCTTGGCCTCGAAAAGCTAGGAGTAGAAATCTGGTGGCTTGGGAAAGCTACATTAGGATCCAAACTAGATGGTGAAAGGTCCGTCTTTTCGCTTTCGTGTCTTGTTGAATCGCGACTTGAGTATAGCGCGCTTGATGAATCTGTTAAAGCGTGATGCATGTTATGTGATTGTGGTGAAAACAGTCGGTGGTCGATAGCCGGAGCATGTGTATAGAGATTTCCAGTTGATCCATATGAAGTGCTATGGGAAGGAAAGTCATCTATTACCTGACTGCTGCTTTGAACAAAGTTGTTTTGATCCAAGCATGAAGGTTGTAAATTTGTCATTGAAGAATCCGTTCCACCGTTGTGTGACTTGAAACTCACATCGCTGACGTACGATGCTTTATAAGGAATGCCAACGAAAGGTTCCATGAATGATGGAGACGACATAGGTAAATCTAGTGAATCCATTGCTTGCGAAGTCCAATGAAACGACTTCGCCCTCTATCGATGAGAAGATATCTTCGACTGACCTGTTAACACGGAACTCAAGATTTAAATGTATTCATCAGTACAATGCTTATTAGCATACGAAGGATGTGACATAATTAAAATAGCAACAAGTCAATATGACATGTTCTTGTCATTCTTATTGCCACAGTTTCCTGCCTTCAATGGCTCGATGGCCAGCCCCAATTACCTTCAACGAGAGGTCATTATGGCGTTTAACACCTAATTTGCTTGTGTGAAACAGTACGGCTAATTATTCGTGAGGATTTCGGACTTTTAACAATAATGTAGGTTGCATTAACGGGAGAAAATGGGTGGACGATGGTTTTTTTCATTGTGATGTTAAGCGCAATGCCCATCAGCATTCACTTAGCTCTCATTGGATTTTTTAATTTTTCTTATTTTGACAGTGATGATTTATAGAAAAGCTGTCTTTCCTAAAAGAAGATTGTCTAAAAATTATGCATAAATCGTTCTTGTAACGATCAGATAGCGCCAGGTTGTCCTTGTTCTTATATACGATAATGCTTTTGAGGCTTTCGTCGAATGAAAATTACACAGAATTATTCGAAATTACTCGTTTTTATCTATACAGGAAGGATAAACTTGATCAAAAGGTTTCATTTTGGTACAGTATAAAATTTTTTCTTTTTCAACTTAAACAAATTGATGTTTTTAGACTGCATTAAAAACACATGTCTATTTCTTTGACACATTAGAATATGAATGGATCGATTTTAAGTGGAGGAAACGCGGAGCCTCGACAAGATGGCTTATTGTAAAATTTTACTTTTTTTGAAAATTGTTTCATCAAACGTAAATTTTTGTGGTATTTATTCAGGATTTATCTTTTAGCGTTCACATAAAGTCGCTGGAGATTTTTAAAAACGTTAAAAGGACAGCTGTAAACGACAGCGTGTCATGGGAACAAGCTAATTGACTTTTTCATCTACTTTTGAAAGGTTTTTCAAAACTCTAAACAATAATGAAGAAATCATTTAATTTATCTTGGTAAATAAATGATTTTTTTTCAAAGATTTTCCTCCGTGCACTGCGCGTTATAAAGTTTAGATCGCTCGGATGCTGGAATAATTAGTCGCTGAATAATTAGAGGAGGGACAATTGAATGAAAGACAATTAGCTATTTTTGTCAAGAGGCTTGCATAACAACCGTTAAGATAGAAAATTGAACAGTGAAAAAAATTTTGCAATACTTACTATACTCTAATTTATCAGCCAATATTTGGTACTTTTTATATTTGCCGACTTGTTAAGAAACTTCTTATCTCTTCAAGTGCTTTCCTTTGCAGCATTTCTATAAGTTTGGTATTGTCATCCTTAAATGTGTATACGTACTTCTCGACGCGACCAAAACTTGTGCTTTTCATGTTGTATGATATTATTGCTGTGTGTAGATTTTTTCACATCAACTTATCTATGCACTAGTTCGCTTCCCTGCTGAGCATTATCATGTTTAATTTTATATTGATGATTTAAATGTAGACCTTCAAGAGCTAACGCTTTGTAGCGCCTGCCAAAAAGTCAATATAATGTGTAAACTTGGAGTTATAACAAAAATTATCAGAGGTTTGTCTGTGTTGTGGTTGGGATTTATGCCAATATAGCTAACTGCAATATGCATGTTTGCTATTGCTAGTTTGCAATGAAATTATGCAACATGAGATTTTGTCTTCACGTAAAATAGTACAACGAATTTTCCATTAATTCTATAGTAAACAAAAAATTAGTGCAATAGTTAATTTTAAATGTACAGTTTTAATTCCAGTTTGATTAGCAATTTGTGTAATAGTATCTTTGCAAGATTTTCGCGTCCATATGTGACGAACCAACGATATATTCAACTGTTTGTAGATCGTAAAGTTGTGAGTGCTTCTTCTGTTTTAGGAGATGTTTGCCTTTTCTGTAGTGTGGACTATGGACTAGCATTTAAATTGTTGTAATTCTTTCATTGAACTTTGATGTGCCGAATTCACGTCTGGATTCTCATCAACTTATATTGCTTCTACTTTGTTTCTGAGTTTTGCAATACATTAAGTAGCTTGGACGATGTCTGCAATGGTTTTGTAGCTTAAACTTCACCATTAAGTTTTAAGACATTATTTCAAGTGTAAATTATTGCATGAGTAAAGTATATTGACTGTAACTTCTGGTTTCATTTTAAAGTGCGAAGTTGAAATATCAATAAGCTTGCTCTTAATTCAAATGGCACATGCAATTTTATCGTCGTTTAAAGATAAACCTTGCATCATTTAATGCTTTTTCTAAAATATTTTATGTTTCGCTTAGATTATTAAGCTTTGTGCTGTGTGTTGGTGTGTTTATGTAAGGATATAGCGCTCACGTTTTGCCTTTCACAATATATAATCACAAAATTCCAATATTTTTATAGGTATAAAAGTAATCTTTACATAGCGTGTTTTATGGTATTGTGACCGTCCAGCTTTGAGTGATTATTTGTTAACGTAATTTTTGATTGTCTGTATAACAAAACATAAGAAAAAGTCACAGAAAGGATGGAAGTTGTTGGTTTATGGAGAATAAGATGCTATGTGTAGTTTTTATTCTTTTGAGATGAAACTGAAAAAGGAAACGATGATAAAAGAAGTGCATGCTGCCGAAGATCAGTCGTTTACTTCATGTTGAATCTCACAGTGAAAATACTCATTCTCTCATGTGATGATGAAATTTTTGTCCATTTTTGTCAAAATGGCTTAGTGAGGCGTAGTTATCGTCTAGACTTTTAAAATTCCGACGCTGAGAATGATCATATTGTCCTTGTAAACAGTTAATAATCTAAATATCCAACAAACGACTCTTGAGTTGGCCAAACTCCTGTATAACCTTCTCTTTCTATCATCGAAAAGAAAATATCACATTTGCATGATGTACATTGGTACTTTGAAAGAGGTGGTTAATGTTAACATTGCAACCGCTTTTCTCTAACGTATAAAATGATCCAATGGGACTCTGTATTGAGCTCATAATTCATGTTTCTGTTTGCAAAAGATTTATAATTTTTATCAAAACCCATGCAATATGGGATAAAGCCAATTGAACACCAAAAACTAACGAGTTCTTACTATACCGGACATAGATAGGTACTTTCATCCGTGAGAAAGAAGGATGGTTGCTGGGAAAATATGTTAAATATTGAAAGTTATGAATGTGTACGTATGTTGAAAACGCAAATGTTTAGAGTATTTAGATGAGACAGCAATTATCGGACAAAGAGTCAGGTGATGGTCACACAAAGACCAAGCAAAAGACCTTGAACAACCGAAAATAAAGAATAATCTTTACTTCATAAATATTTGTTAAAAAAATGAAAAGAATAAGGCAACTGAATAGTTTATCTCAGTTGGATTTTTAATGTTGTATCCTTAGAGAGTAATGGCCATTTAGATCGCCGTATTCCAATTACCCACTCTTTGTTCCTCTTCAAATATTCGCCCGTTTACTTCTCTTTCTCACAATTAGCGTAACAATTAAAAATATGTCAATTCAGTGTGTGTTAGAATTCTCTGTTATCGGTGGTAAAAAAGTATGTTGTGCCCGATGGTGAGAAACACTTTAAAATACTCGAATCCCTGCTTTGAGTACGAAGTGGTTTATGTATTTTGTTAGCTGGTAGTTACATCTGTGAGAGTGACCAGTATATTATAACCTATCTTTTACGTCTTAGTAATTTTTAACTTTTAAACGTCTGATGAAAGTGTCGTTGTAAAGTAAATAGCACCATTGAAACTCTTTATGTATTACACTTTTCATGAATAGGACTTTCCGGATTAGTTATAATTAATCACACTTCAATGTACAATCTATAGTATTACTCAACAAAATTTTTGTTCGTGCTCTGTAAGGCGATAAAGGTGATCATGATTTGTAGCTTGGATGCATCGCTTTGTCAAAGGACGCCAAAGACGCTAGTTCATCTTCGTTAATATAACAGCTTGTGATATCATAATGAATACAAACACAGAAAATAATAATTATTTCTTTCTGTGCAATATAACTTCAGGTCAACATTTTAATTGGAAAATATAAATGGTATATAGCTTTCTCAATGGAAGTTATGTAAGAGTATAAACTTTTTCATGGCGTACAACGTATGAGAGAAGCGTGTAAAGTTTCTTTTGCACGACAAAAACTAAATATGTGTAAATCTTCAATTTAGCCATAAGTATACTCGACGACCTTTTATATTCTTTTCTGCTTTTTTCTTTTATCAGTCAACATCCACTTTTATCCGGTTCCCTTTATTCTTTTTTTGTTCCCACGCAAGCCGTAAGTACTAACGGATTTCGAAACACGAGAGTACAAGTACCATCGATACCACACGCAACCGGTGTTAAAATAATAGGAAAATTTTTCATGCTTTTACTGTCCTTTTTATTATCATAAAACATACGGAAGCTATACCAATATCAAGTAGCATTGAAACACACAAAGCGAAGCTGGTTTGCAATGGAAGGATGGAAGCTTACTTTTTGAGCTGCGGAAACCGAAAATTACGTGCTTGATGCAGACAAAAATCAAAATAAATGTTTCTTGATCAATATATCTATGTTTTGCAATATACTACATTGAGTTTCAAGTATGTTAATTTATTCATAACGAAGTCTTTCCAGTGAGAACTTATGACTGTCATGCAATGTCGAAGCAACCATGCATGCATACACAGAATTTCCTAATTATGCTTATGAACAAATAAGGCAAATGTAGACGGTTACCTTATATGGTAGTGGAAAAACTCCGGACTTACGATTCTCTTGTTTAACCAATCATAAATTCCTTCTTTGCATTGTATTGAAATGCTCTCCCATCAAAATGAAAAACAATAACTTAGAAATTGAAGACAAACTTCTCGCTTCTTTATACAACGTTGTTTGATAAATCTTTCCTTTACCATTGATGGTGGAAAATTTCAAGTGAATTTATTCTTGTCGCGTAGAATATCGTCTCTAAAGAAATTGATCACACTAAGCTTAAATGTAACATTTTTAATAGATGGTTTCCTTTAAATTATTTTTCAAAACGATCAAATGAAGGGAGATTTTTTACTCTTTGTGCATCTTGTCAGGAATGAAAATCTCAAAATTTATCGTCTTAAATAAGCTTACTCAATAAGTTTAAAATATTAAGATGACGTCATCAACTTTGACGAAGGAACATGTCATGCGCATGACCGTATTTAAACCGTGGTTTTGTTGCCATGGCAACCATTTTTTAATGTAAACGTAAACTTATGGAAAATAGATACATATTTATAATATTGTTTTTTAAATCGCAACTTTACGGGTTTTCCATGATTTTATCTTTCAACTGTTTCAAAGTTTCTTGAATTTTATCTGCTCTTTCATTCATTTCATGAAAATCTCTAAAATTGCTTCGAAAGCGTCCACTAAGATATTTTAAATGCTTCGCATAATCCCCTACACTTCTCTCCTCCATCGACTCCTCATCATAATCTTCAAACTCCATCCTTTCATCATGTTTTTCACCTCCATAAATCCAAGCACCTTTTTTCGGCTTGTTATTAACCTGTAAAAAGTTTGGTGGTTTTCTTTCGATAATGTCGTTCCCATATTCCTGCCACTTCAGCAATGCATCTTCAAACCGTTTGCTTCTTCTGCGATTATTCGGGCTGGACGCTCCAAAATGAAGGCTAGAATTGTTGCCAATTCGCTTCTGCTGAGTCGACGAAATGTTTTTTATTTCACTCTTATCATGGCTGAGCTCGCTTTGTTTATTGTTTATTGGCGTCAAAATTTGGGTTGACGGAGTCAGCTGTTCTTTTTCTTTTTCCATTATAAGTTTGGCAAATCAGCAAAAAATCAAGATTGCTTTTTCTTACTATCTCACGAAAGTCGCACTTCCATTAGAAACGATTCAGACGAATTAAAACTGAGAAAATTGCTCGTAAAGCATGAGTCACCTTTGTGTTGTAAATGCAAATTTTTGTTTGATAAAATAATGAATAAATGAATAAACAATGTCATTAACTAGCAATTTTATTCCTAATACATAAACTTTGCTTTATGATTACTAACATATGTTGTATTAACTGGAAATATATTTGTTATTTAAATATGTTTTCTTGAAATAAGAGAAACTCCAATTCTAAAAAGGGTCGTCAAACTGGCTATACGAGATCACTCTCCTGCACGCGATACTTCGAGTAATTATTTGTCATCACACAGTCTTCATTAGGAAGATGTTTCATCAGCAATCGCAGATGATTCACCGTGTAAATAATGAAATATCACAGTGGAAGGAAAGACAGCCATTTAAATTTAAAGAGATTCCGATCATAGTACGGAATTTTGCGATGACTTCACGAAGCCTACTACGCATGCGTCATTTTCCAGGGAAAACTTGAAATATTTTTTCTTGTCGTCTTGTTGTCAGAGCATTGTTAAGTTATTTTAAACGTATTCACTTCCAGTTTTAAAGCTTATAAAAGTTAAAGAAATTAAAAAACGTTATCTTATCTAATAAGATTGTATCCACAAGTGTGTCTGGATTGTTTGCTAATTCTGACAGGTATTTATTTCAATTTGAGTATCGATTTTATGTACAGTTGGGGAAAATGCATTTCCTACGTTTAAAAATCGTTTGTTGTTGTTATGCATTGGTTTGGTAAAGAATGCCGAAGACAGAAAAAGAAGAGCTCAGTTACTACGAACTCCAAAGATTTGCTAAAATCAAACAAAACCTTGATTTCCTCGAGAATTTGGGCAAGTGCATTTTAGCCTTCATTCGTGAAGCCCAATGTGTTTATGTTGGTATATTTTTGCGTTTATAAAGGCATTGAAGTGGACAGGTCTGCATATCTTCCAAAGCAACGAATAAAGAAGAGAAAAATTGATGAAGACAGTAGCAGTGATGAAGAATGGTTACCTGGAAAAGATGAAAATTTTTCGCTAAAGGAAGTAAAGCCAAGTGAGTTAGCTTAAAGACAATTTGCTAATCTATATTTTGTCAGTGAAAAGCACTTTTTAAATATGAATTGGTTTTGTTTTTAGTCTTTAAATCAACATTTAGAAGCAGTTCAGTCACCAAGAAATCTTCAAATAAACAGGTAGCTATGTCGTAAAAAAAGATGAAAATAAATGATTGACTATACATGCGTATTTTACAGTGAACTCCATATATATATATATATATCTGGAATGATAACGACAATACACTTTATAGATATAAAATTGAAGCCAAAGTCCTAGTCCCTTGCGCGTTATGTGCGTCAGTTCCAGTCCTTCAAAGTCGAATATTCACGCGGATTGTACGTCAGTTTCATTCCCCTGAGTGCCTAACATCAATAAAAACTTGAATACAAATTGCAAAAGCATAAACATATAAACAACATCACGACAAACAACACACGATGTAAATTTTCAAACGGTATCAGTGTTTGTCTTTTTTGTCAGTGTTTGTCTTTTTTGTCATTTCAGTGGATTTAAAGATCTGCTTTTCCGAAGAAAAAAGAAACTTGAATATCCAGTTTCATAAAAAATATTGAGTCGATAACTCGCATTTTTTACTTTTTACAGAGCGATTGTATCTTTCATCGATTTTGATAGTGCTTGAAATACTAAATGGTTGTCATCTCGATATCAATAATTGAATATCCTTAAAGACTTTGATATGTTTTAAAGGGAAACCGCAGCGTAAGAGCAGATCGACTAAGTTCACCTCACTCTGCTTTTCGATGTATCACTTTGATTCACTTTTCGTGAACATTTTCCTTCCAAAAATTTCGTTATTTTTACGCCGAACTCTACCATTACCAAGGGACAAATGATTAAAAAAAATTAAAATGAACACGCGAGAGACTAGAGCCTGACGTGTGATGACGAATGATGACGACAAATATTTTTTTGGCTTCGGTTATCATTCCAGTTATCCAAATGTCGAGTTCACTGGTATTTTCTTGTTAAATTTTACTTACAAATTTTTGCAGGCTTCTTCAAAAAAATTTTGTGCTCATTCAACCTCGTCAAATAATGATTTTAATTCATCTGTTGATGACAATTCAATGGTTAAAAATAATGATGAAAAAGCTAAATGTAATATTAAAAGAAAATCAATCAAACATAAATGTAAATATCTAAAAAATATACCTTCAAGACGATCTTCGAGAAACTCATCAAGAAAGAACTATATTGAAGAAGAAGTACCTGACGATGATCAGTATATTTGTACGTATTTTACATATTCACGTCGACTCTCAACGTTTTTTTAAAGTTCACTTTATAAACATAAGCTCATCATTGTGATTTCATCTTTTCGTTACAGATTGTGAGCAGTGCAATGATTTTTACTATGGCGAATGTCCATCGCACAATTTTCACATCATTGAAGATAGCACAATGACATCAGGAAAGGGAACATCAAATGCTATGAAGACACTTCCTGAAGATCTTTACGTAATACCTTCCACCATACCTGAAGCAGGCATGGGTGTGTTTGCAAAGAAAAAGTTAGAGATCAACACTCGTTTTGGACCATACAGAGGAGAGAAAGTTTTGCTTGATGATTTAGAGGAAGGAAGAGATACTTCGTACATGTGGGAGGTAAACATATCGTCTGAATTGGGTTTTTTTTATTAAAATACTTTCTGCTTGTTCCATTAACACCATCCAGCTAAAGAATGTAGGGCTTTGGCACTACTATTTACCTGTTGCTGTTTATAGATTCTACAAGAAGGAAAGATTCAATATTATATTGATGGTAAAGATTCAACTCAAGGCAACTGGATGAGATTTGTGAATTGTGCACGATGTGAAGATGAACAAAATATAATTGCATATCAACATCATGGAGAAATTTACTACCGAGTTTATAAAGAGATTGAGGCCGATAAAGAGCTGCTTGTTTGGTATGGGGATGAATTTGCTGAACAACTGGGAATATCATTGTTTGACGAGGAAGACGACCAGAAACATTTTGAAGGTTAGTTATACCTGGTAATTTATGATGTCTTAGTTTTTTATATAGTGATCTTATGATATCTAACTACTTATTTTTAGTTGGAGGTCACAGCTGTAGACATTGTGGAAGGATGTTTACTTACCTTAATTTCTTAGAGAAACATTTAAAAAGATGTCCACTGCTTGTTTGTACAAAGCTATGGGAATGTCCACATTGCAGTCGAAAGTACAGTAGCGAGGACTACCTAAATATTCATATAAAAAATGAATGCAGAAAAAATCCACTGTTACAAGACAAATTGTCGTGTAAGGAAACGAATTATTCTTCAGTTGGCAATGATAAACGTCGAAGCAATAGTGGAAACTGTGTTTTGAAATTATCGCAGAGAGTTGAAGAAAATTATGCCGGAGAGAAACATGACGGATTGAGACGTTATCAATGTGAACATTGTGGTAAAACATTTACACATCTTAATGGCTTGAATCAACACGTTAGAATTCATACTGGAGAAAAACCTTATCAATGTGAACATTGTGGTAAAACATTTACACATCTTAATGGCTTGAATCAACACGTTAGAATTCATACTGGAGAAAAACCTTATCAATGTGAACATTGTGGTAAAACATTTGCTCTGCTTGATTCCTTGAATAAACACGTTAGAATTCATACTGGAGAAAAACCTTATCAATGTGAACATTGTGGTAAAACATTCACACAGCTTAATAGCTTGAAACTACATAAAAATATAAAACATTAAAACATTTTATAAATTACGAACAAAGTATGTGTGCGAGTGATAACAAATTTCGTGAAAAATTTTGTAAATTTGTAAATATTCTCAAAAAAATTTTTTGCAGTTGAGTTGAATATAAACAATATATTATTTATTCACGTGAACATCGAGAATGACGTCATTATAAATGTATAGTAAATATAACATTCTTTGTAAAACTCTGTGTTGAACAACAGGTTTTCGTTCGCAAATCGTTTTAGTGAGAATCAAATCATGAACGGCTGTGAAAATAATATGGAAAACGGCAATAGTAAGGATCATTGTGTTAACGGGAAAATCTTTCAAACAGCAAAAGAAATCTATATTCACACTGGGAATTTGACAAACTGGAGTCAGTCATTCTAAAGTCGTTAAGAATACAACTGAAGAGGTAAATAATAAAGGAGAAATATGGGCATTTTGTTGTGTATTTCATTCAAATTGCTTTAATCCTACAAAATAACGGCTATTTTTCTTATTTTACACCTAGTGCATTATATTTTACTGCACGATAGTCACATTGAAGAAGAACATATCTAATGGTTGCATAACATTAAACATGACAGAATACTTTCGTCTGATTGTCTTGTATAGATAAATTTGGGCACTTTTAAATTTGGATAATTTTTGCTGATTTTTTGCAAGTATGATAAATGGGTGTGTTAAGCATTGTCTGGTGGGATTGCAGAGTTTGTTATTGTTGACCTGTTGATGGCATGAATGCAAGTTTTTATTGATATTGAATAATGAAGTGTAATTATTTTATTGTAAAATTTTGTAGATTTGTGAACGTATTATCACGACTGTGAATTCATCTACGTCAGAAAATGATGAAAGATACAGCAAGGTTGTGCATTCATTTGCAAGTTATTCTTCACTTTAGTATTGGCTTTGCAAAATGTTTATACCACATTGAAATTAAACCTTAAAAAAATAAGTATTTGTGTAAGTAAAGGCTCGTCAAAAACATGCACAGCTTAAATTTAAGTACATCACTAGTAATTTCATGTGAGGAAAGGATTTAATGCTTCGGTTAAACATTACTTTAAGTATCCTTACATGTTTATGCTATAAATTCTATATAAAGACTTCTCAAACTGGCTATTTATTTCTCGCTAAACTTTTTATGATTCTTTGTAATAAAACTCATCTTTATTTCAGCAAGAATGTGTGCGATTTATAAATCCTACTCTTGTTGAAAAGGTGACAAGTGAAGAACATAATACTTTAAAAGTATCTGGTATGTCCATCATTTAACTATTATACATTATTCAAACAATGAATTATTGAACTGTTTTAAATATATGCTCATGTAGCTAGTCTTGCATATGATTTATGCAAGTTTTAAATTTTAACATTCAGTATTTTTTAGTGAAACTATTCATCAACGAATAGAAGCCACACAATATACAAGAGGCAATTTTTCGAGGTTGAAACAATCAGTACTCATTCATTGAACAATCTTTTCATCAGAATGCAATTCATTTTTCTAGATTTGACCGAGCTTGGAATAGACTACATTGATGTTGTTGTTCTTTCTATTCCACCTTTTCTTGATGCTGAAACACAGATTTCTGTTATTAGGCCAATGTGGAGGGCTTGCATGATATCATTCTTTGTCTTTATCAAGATACTTTTAACTTTAACCTATATTTTAAAAATTGTTTCAAAACTATTTAGGAGTTGGAAAAACTAATAGAACAGTCATATGTTGGGGACTTGGCTGTCTGTGACTTTAGTATGCTTGCCTTGAAGCAATTATGTGGATTTGCTAAGGTTTCATTATTTGTTGTTGCACGTGAACTTATTTAATTAAAACAAATGATTTTATGTTGAATACATTATACTCATAGATTAAACCTTCATATGATCAAATAAATCTGGCCTCATGTTGTGTAATGCCACAGGTATGTGTACATAACACCAAAGGTATGTATAATGCCACAGGTATGTGTAAATGCATTCGGTATGTGTAATGGTATGTGTAAATGCAATAGTTATGTGTAATGGTATGTGTAAATGCAATAGTTATGTGTAATGGTATTTGTAAATGCAATAGTTATGTGTAATGGTATGTGTAAATGCAATAGTTATGTGTAATGGTATGTGTAAATGCATTAGGTATGTGTAATGGTATGTGTAAATGCATTAGGTATGTGTAATGGTATGTGTAAATGCAATAGATATGTGTAATGGTATGTGTAAATGCAATAGTTATGTGTAATGGTATGTGTAAATGCATAGTTATGTGTAATGGTATGTGTAAATGCAATAGTTATTGTGTAAAATTTCTTTGTCTTTTTCCATTATAAGTTTGGCAAATCAGCAACAAAATCAAGATTGCTTTTTCTTACTATCTCACGAAAGTCGCACTTCCATTGGAAACGATTCAGACGAAGTAAAACTGAGAAAATTGCTCGTAAAGCATGAGTCACCTTTGTAGTGTAAATGCAAATTTTCGTTTGATAAAATAATGAATAAATGAATAAACAAATGTCATTAACTAGCAATTTTATTCCTAATACATAAACTTTGGTTTTGATTGCTAACATATGATGTATTAACTGGAAATATATTTATTATTTAAATATGTTTTCTTAAAATAAAAGAAACTCCAATTCTAAAAAGGGTCGTGAAACTACTGGCTATACGAGATCACTCTCCTGCACGCGATACTTCGAGTAATTATTTGTCATCACACAGTCTTCATTAGGAAGATGTTTCAGCAGCAATCGTAGATGATTCACCGTGTAAATAATGAAATGTCACAGTGGAAGGAAAGACAGCCATTTAAATTTAAAGAGATTCCGATCATAGTACGGAATTTTGCGATGACTTCACGAAGCTTACTACGCATGCGTCATTTTCCCGCGAAAACTTGAAATATTTTTTCTTGTCGTCTTGTTGTCAAAGCATTGTTAAGTTATTTTAAACGTATTCACTTCCAGTTTTAAAGCTTTTAAAAGTTAAAAAAATTAAAAAACGTTATCTTATCTAATAAGATTGTATTCACAAGTGTGTCTGGATTGTTTGCTAACTCTGACAGGTATTTATTTCAATTTGAATATCGATTTTATGTACAGTTGGGGAAAATGCATTTCCTACGTTTGAAAATTGTTTGTTGTTGTTATGCATTGGTTTGGTAAAGAATGCCGAAGACAGAAAAAGAAGAGCTCAGTGACTACGAACTCCAAAGACTTGCTAAAATCAAACAAAACCTTGACTTCCTCGAGAATTTGGGCAAGTGCATTTTAGTCTTCATTCGTGAAGCCCAATGTGTTTATGTTGGTATATTTTTGCGTTTATGAAGGCATTGAAGTGGACAGGTCTGCATATCTTCCAAAGCAACGAACAAAGAAGAGAAAAATTGATGAAGACAGTAGCAGTGATGAAGAATGGTTACCTGGAAAAGATGAAAATTTTTCGCTAAAGAAAGTAAAGCCAAGTGAGTTAGCTTAAAGACAATTTACTAATCTATATTTTGTCAGTGAAAAGCACTTCTTAAATATGAATTGGTTTTGTTTTTAGTCTTTAAATCAACATTTAGAAGCAGTTCAGTCACCAAGAAATCTTCAAATAAACAGGTAGCTACGTCGTAAAAAAAAAGATGAAAAGAAATGATTGACTATACATGCGTATTTTCTTATTAAATTTTACTTACAAATTTTTGCAGGCTTCTTCGAAAAAAATTTGTGCTCCTTCAACCTCGTCAAATAATGATTTTAATTCATCTGTCGATGACAATTCAATGGTTAAAAATAATGATGAAAAAGCTAAATGTAATATTAAAAGAACATCAATCAAACACAAATATAAATATCTAAAAAATATACCTTCAAGACGATCTTCGAGAAACTCATCAAGAAAGAACTATACTGAAGAAGAAGTACCTGACGATGATCATTATATTTGTACGTATTTTACATATTCACGTCGACTCTCAACCTTTTTTTTAAAGTTCACTTTATAAACATAAGTTCATCATTGTGATTTCATCTTTTCGTTGTAGATTGTGAGCAGTGTAATGATTTTTACTATGGCGAATGTCCATCGCACAATTTTCACATCATTGAAGATAGCACAATGACATCAGGAAAGGGAACATCAAATGCTATGAAGACACTTCCTGAAGATCTTTACATAATACCTTCCACCATACCTGAAGCAGGCATGGGTGTGTTTGCAAAGAAAAATTTAGAGATCAACACTCGTTTTGGACCGTACAGAGGAGAAAGTTTTGCTTGATGATTTAGAGGAAGGAAGAGATACTTCGTACATGTGGGAGGTAAACATATCGTCTGAATTGGTTTTTTTTATTAAAATACTTTCTGCCTGTTCCATTAACACCATCCAGCTAAAGAATGAACGGCTTTAACTTAAATATTTACCTGTCGGTGTTTATAGATTCTACAAGAAGGAAAGATTCAATATTATATTGATGGTAAAGATCCAACTCAAGGCAACTGGATGAGATTTGTGAATTGTGCACGATGTGAAGATGAACAAAATATAATTGCATATCAACATCACGGTGAAATTTACTACCGAGTTTATAAAGAGATTGAGGCAGATAAAGAGCTGCTTGTTTGGTATGGGGATGAATTTGCTGAACAACTGGGAATATCATTGTTTGACGAGGAAGACGACGAGAAAAATTTTGAAGGTTAGTTACCTGGTAATGTATGATAATTTATTTTTTATATAGTGATCTTATGATATCTAACTATTCTTTTTTAGTTGGAGGTCACAGCTGCAGACATTGTGGAAGGATGTTTACTTACCTTAATTTCTTAGAGAAACATTTAAAAAGATGTCCACTGCTTGTTTGTACAAAGCTATGGGAATGTCCACATTGCAGTCGAAAGTACAGTAGCGAGGACTACCTAAATGTTCACATAAAAAATGAATGCAGAAAAAATCCACTGTTGAAAGACAAATTGTCGTGTAAGGAAACGAATTTTTCTTCAGTTGGCAATGATAAACGTCGAAGCAATAGTGGAAACTGTGTTTTGAAATTATCGCAGAGAGTTGAAGAAAATTATGCCGGAGAGAAACATGACGGATTGAGACGTTATCAATGTGAACATTGTGGTAAAACATTTACACATCTTAATCACTTGAATCAACACGTTAGAATTCATACTGGAGAAAAACCTTATAAATGTGAACATTGTGGTAAAACATTTACACAGCTTGGTCACTTGAATAAACACGTTAGAATTCATACTGGAGAAAAACCTTATAAATGTGAACATTGTGGTAAAACATTTACACAGCTTGATCACTTGAATGAACACGTTAGAATTCATACTGGAGAAAAACCTTATCAATGTGAACATTGTGGTAAAACATTTACACAGCTTGGTAACTTGAATAAACACGTTAGAATTCATACTGGAGAAAAACCTTATCAATGTGAACATTGTGGTAAAACATTTGCTCGGCTTGGTGACCTGAATAGACACGTTAGAATTCATACTGGAGAAAAACCTTATCAATGTGAACATTGTGGTAAAACATTTACACAGCTTGGTAACTTGAATAAACACGTTAGAATTCATACTGGAGAAAAACCTTATCAATGTGAACATTGTGGTAAAACATTTACAGTGCTTGGTTCCTTGAATAAACACGTTAGAATTCATACTGGAGAAAAACCTTATAAATGTGAACATTGTGGTAAAACATTCACACATCTTAATAGCTTGAATAGACACGTTAGAATTCATACTGGAGAAAAACCTTATCAATGTGAACATTGTGGTAAAACATTTGCTCTGCTTGATTCCTTGAATAAACACGTTAGAATTCATACTGGAGAAAAACCTTATAAATGTGAACATTGTGGTAAAACATTTACACAGCTTAATAGCTTGAAACTACATAAAAATATAAAACATTGAAACATTTATAAATTACGAGTAAAGTATGTGTGCGAGTGATAACAAATTTCGTGAATGATTTTTATATTTTAATGAAATTTAGTAAATATTTTCAAAAAAATTTTTTGCAGTCGAGTTGAATATAAACAATATATTATTTATTCACGTGAACATCGAGAATGACGTCATTATAAATGTATAGTAAATATAACATTCTTTGTAAAACTCTTTGTTGAACAACAGGTTTTCGCTCGCAAATCATTTTAGTGAGAATCAAATCATGAACGGCTGTGAAAATAATATGGAAAACGGCAATAGTAAGGATCATTGTGTTAACGGGAAAATCTTTCAAACAGCAAAAGAAATCTATATTCACACTGGGAATTTGACAAACTGGAGTCAAAGTCATTCTAAAGTCGTTAAGAATACAACTGAAGAGGTAAGTAATAAAGGAGAAATATAGGCATTTTGTTGTGTATTTCATTCAAATTGCTTTAATCCTACAAAATAACGGCGGTTTTTCTTATTTTACCCCTAGTGCATTATATTTTACTGCACGATAGTCACATTGAAGAAGAACATATCTAATGGTTGCATAACATTAAACATGAAAGAATACTTTCGTCTGATTGTCTTGTATAAATAAATTTGGGAACTTTTAAATTTGGATATTTTTTACTGATATTTTTTGCAAGTATGATAAATGGGTGTGTTAAGCATTGTCTGGTGGGATTGCAGAGTTTGTTATTGTTGACCTGTTGATGGCATGAATGCATGTTTTTATTAATATTGAATAATGAAATGTAATTGTTTTATTGTAAAATTTTGTAGATTTGTGAACGTATTATCACGACTGTGAATTCATCTACGTCAGAAAATGATGAAAGATACAGCAAGGTTGTGCATTCATTTGCAAGTTATTCTTCACTTTAGTATTGGCTTTGCGAAATGTTTATACCACATTGAAATTAAACCCTAAAAAAATAAGTATTTGTGTAAGTAAAGGCTCTTCAAAAACATGCACAGCTTAATTTTAAGTACATCACTAGTAATTTCATGTGAGGAGAATGATTTAATTCTTCAGTTAAACATTACTTTAAGTTCTAAAGTAAATGGTTTAAACACAGAAGTATCCTTACATGTTTATGCTTTAAATTCTATATAAAGACTTCTCAAACTGGCTATTTATTTCTAACTAAACTTTTTATGATTCTTTGTAATAAAACTCATCTTTATTTCAGCAAGAATGTGTGCGATTTATGAATCCTACTCTTGTTGAAAAGGTGACAAGTGAAGAGCGTAATACTTTAAAAGTATCTGGTATGTCCATCATTTAACTATTATACATTATTAAAACAATAATTTATTGAACTGTTTTAAATATATGCTCATGTAGCTAGTCTTGCATATGATTTATGCAAGTTTTAAATTTTAACATTCAGTATTTTTTAGTGAAACTATTCATCAACGAAAAGAAGCCACACAATATACAAGAGGCAATTTTTCGAGGTTGAAACAATCAGTACTCATTCATTGAGCAATCTTTTCATCAGAATGCAATTCATTTTTCTAGATTTGACTGAGCTTGGAATAGACTACATTGATGTTGTTGTTCTTTCTATTCCACCTTTTCTTGATGCTGAAACACAGATTTCTGTTATTGGGCCAATGTGGAGGGTTTGCATAATGTCATTCTTTGTCTTTATAAAGATACTTTTAACATTAACCTATATTTTAAAAATTGTTTCAAAAATATTTAGGAGTTGGAAAAACTAGTAGAACAGTCATATGTTGGGGACTTGGCTGTCTGTGACTTTAGTATGCTTGCCTTGAAGCAATTATGTGGATTTGCTAAGGTTTCATTATTTGTAGTTGCACATGAATTTATTTAATTAAAACAAATGATTTTATTTTGAATACACTATACTCATAGATTAAACCTTCATATGATCAAATAAATCTGGCCTCATGTTGTGTAATGCCACAGGTATGTGTAAATGCATTAGTTATGTGTAATGGTATGTGTAAATGCAATAGTTATGCAATATTCTGCAGTGACAATGTGTATAAGCAGAATTTTTCTATGGAAATTTATCATAAGCATTCAATCATTGTGATCTTCTTTTATATATAGGATTTGGTTGCATATGCCAAAGAACGGGAATTTGTCTTTTAACTCATGCAGACCCTAAGGGTAACATGTATTTTTTTCTCATGCATAAGTATTTCACCTGTAGAAACAGAAGCAAAAGGAAACCCATTCTAATGTGAAATAATTTTGTGTGTTTTGTTCATAGTAGTCTGTTGTGATCTCTATAGATATTCTCCCTGAGAAAAAATTATTTCAGACCATCAACAAGGCATATGGGTTTCCAGAACAAGTTCATGGTTGGAATATTCTTGGGTGACTTGTTACTCAGTTGTAATTAAATGTAGAGCTGTGTTACAAAATAAGGGGTATGTTGTTGAAATTACCTGTATACACTTCCATATCTTTTTTTTTATGACTAAATTCTGTTATATTTAGGTACATAGTAAACCTTACTCACAGAGGTTGAGCTGCCTTCGAAATGCTTACAGTTTTTTGCTTTATTGTTTTGGAATGTTTCATATGTTTCATAAGTGGTATAATTTGTACAATAGAAGAGGAGTAAATGAATTAGACCTGATTTCTGACATTAAAACTGTACACATGTATTAAAAGTTTTTATGGGTCTCCAAACAATGGACTTGCTTAGTTAATCAAAATCAACATTAAGGGATATTTAATATTTGGTTAGTCATTCACGTAAAATGTAAATAGCAATGTTGTTAATGTAATAAATTGTCAACAAATACATTTGTAAACCAAAGTGCTTTTGAAATATTGATATACAATGTTTTACGTGTGATAAATAATTTGCATAATATGCGGAGGTTTGACCTTTGACATCAACATGTGCGTAAGTTTTCAGCGATATTTGGATCAGCGGCTTTTTTTAAAAGAAGTAAAGCATTTGAATTTTGAAATGATGGAATGAAAAGTACAGAAGAATTATTTGTCTTCTTTCGGCTATGAAAGAGGTCCACTGCAATATGAAATTCAAGCAGCGTATTTTTGTCGTTTTTGTTGTTGTACTGGTGTCATTTGTGTTCATTTGGACGAAAATGGAAGAGAACAAGACTGCCCTTTATCCTGTTATTTCACTTACAAACAAGCACAGTGTTTTGAATACATTGCAACTCAATAAGCAGTACGATATCAACAATTTCGATCGTGTTTACAGAAATACAAAGCCATTACAAACTAATACAAAGAGAATTGAAAATAAACGAAAGAGTGTAAAAAAAGCTCTAACTAAACTTAATATTGCAAATGTTACATCCAATGAAGTCAAAACAATCAATTCAAGAATTTCAGATGCAGAAAAAGACCCATGGAAGTTATGGCAAGAAATGGTACGAGAAAGGGCAATAACAAGTCGGGGATACGACGCAACTACGAACTTGCGTACAATAATTAAAGCATTACAAACTTTTCCTATTACTCGGACGAATGTTGGTTACAGAGGCACACAACTAAAAGCTTCCATGATTTTAAAAGGAAATCAACTAGTTGTTTTCAAACCAAAAAGGTGAGCTCCAAAACAAAGGTTACTGGTTGTGTTTTTGATTAAGTAGTATAGCTGTTTTTACCTGAACTTTGATTTCTCATTATTGCATCATCCTTTGTACATTGAAGGTATGAGAGAGATTATATTGTAGAAGGAGGACCGTATAGTGGCTTTGATAGACACAATGGAGAAATTGCAGCTTTTCATTTGGACAGGTAAATATATAAACATGCAGCACATAACTAGGTGAGGTGACTAGGGGAATATCTGGGGGGAATATTTTGCTCTGTTGATCTTTGAGTGGTAAAATGATAGCAGTTCTTAACAAGGAATGACTGAAATTGTTTTTATTTACCAGAATACTAGAGTTCTATCGTGCTCCTATAGTAACTGGACGAATGGTAGATCTTGAAAAAGAGGTGCTTCCAAATATCCAACAAGCTCTTAAGAAAACATTTTTCACTTTAGGTTGGTGCCTTTTGTTGGTTTTATACATTGTATAAAAATACCAATCATTGATATAAATGATGTATGACTTAGGGAATAACACTTGTTTCTATGGTGTGTGTATGTATTGTAACAAAAAAGAGCCTGCTTGTGCTGAAGGACACATCATGGAAGCTTCAATTACCATATGGCTTCCTAGTGGATGGAATCTAAAAACTTACCGTCATCCGTGGCAACGTACATATAGACTGAACAGAAAAGCAAGGTAGTTCCAATTTCTGTTGGTGAAGAAATTTAGTACACAGATCAAATAATTTTATATCATTAAAATTTTAAATTTCTTTATGAAGATGGGAAATTGACGACAATTATTGTATAAACATTGTTATGAATACACCTCCTTACGACAAAGGAAGAAGATTGATGTCCATTATTGATACAGCAATTTTTGACTACTTAATTGGTAACGTATACATTGATGCACATTATGGCATAATAGAACCATTTTATTGACATTTCTGCTTGGCATTTTTTAATAATTTAGGCAATGCTGATAGACATCATTATGAAGTGTTTTTAAAAGGTGGTGATGATGCTATGGTTCTTCATTTAGACAATGGAAAAAGGTATTTAAATTTCACAATAAAAAATTAATATGTTTATGTATGAATGGAAAATTGATGAACTTCCACATTTGTACAGTTTAGTTCTTTTCGTTTGACAGTTTTGGAAATCCAGATTGGGATGAACCATCAATACTAGCGCCACTCTACCAATGTTGTCGGTAAGAACAGTGATAATTCTCTTTTATCGGACAATTTTAGATTGAAAGCATCTCAAGATAGCTGATTGTTGTTAAACAAGATAGCCAAGACGATAGTCACCATCTTTTATGTTGACTATGTGACAAAGTAAAATCTGAACGTCATTTTTCACAAAAACCACTAAAGTAGCTAGCTCGATAAGGGGAGCTAAAATTCATATATTCATGTTTTGCTGTTATTAAGCTCCTTTGAAATCTATGTTTTCAGCAGATTATAACATGCATATTTGAATACTCTGCCCCCCAAGTATCAATGCTTGCTACACGGTGATTAAAACTAACGTTCGTTAGTCAACGATTTCGAGACTGTTTTTTTATAAGTCTCTGTTGTCAATCATCGTAAATCTTTTCACTTGATATTGTAAGTCCAAACTATATTTATATATATCTACATTTGCTTGTATTCCGTAGAATTCTTCGCTCAACTTGGCAAAGAATTCAAGCATTATATGAAACTAAAGACCAGAAACTGAGCGAAATTTTACAAAAATCCATGATATCAGAACCGTTAGCACCAATTCTCTCCCAAAAGCATTTGGATGCTATAGATCGAAGGTTGATTAAGATTGTTGAACGTATAAAAGATTGTTTCAGTCAGAAAGGGGAGAGAAACGTACTTGTCGACAATTAAAGAACAGCTACAGGAGAATCTTTCACTGGCCAAAAAACGTAAGAATTTATTTCAAATTTATGATTTGCTTAATCTTTAAATAAACGATTTAAAGATAGGACTTGTAAATAAAGCTTAATATTACTGATCATAGATATCAACCTCCATAGAGATATTTTTATATTGGAGTAAAACTATGTTGTAGTTTCACCATTTAAAATGTTTTTTTTCGTATCTACATAGTTCATATTTATTTTCAGACCTTTTCTATCTGCGGTCGTCAAAATGTGAATTTGAAACATCAAAATTTTAAGATATTTTCACTTGTCATAACCGACATTATTATCCATCTATATTTTCTTTCGACGTCTCGTGGCTATGATTCTTTGAATCTTTCGTTTTTTCTCTATTCATTTTTTGACTTATTAATTATCTACGTCAAACGTTTGTATTTTCACATAAAGATATAATTGGTTTTTTTTGACTCCACAGATGCACAACTTCGTCATTACCGTTATAAAGAACTGAAAACGAATAACGATTGCATACATTAGTTTGTGGGGCTCAAAACCTATCTATTGGTTACCATCAATTAATTTATGGCATATTTTGTGTGAAATATTCACAACCTTGAAATAATTATAAAAGTATGTTTCGCAGAGTTTTCATAAAGATCAGGAAAATAGTGATACACCATACCTTGATGAGATCCATTTATGGTAGATCTTCTCAATTTATGATTGCAGTACGAACGATAAACCAAAAATGTCGCGATGAGAAATAGAAGTGAAGACGAAATGATTGAAACGATTAAAAAAGGTAAAACAGACGATTTATTTGCTGTGCTTTGCTTTATCGTGGTTTCTGCCTGCACATTCAATAAAGTTGGTTTGGTTTCTTCGCAATTCCTACCCGTATACCGGCATGCTTTGTTTCTTGATAAACCTTGCTGTAGACACTGTGATTCCAAGTCGTATTTAATCGTATCCGGACAACAGGTTGAGCATTTCAAACACGCATGCGTTGGACTTCGATAGTACCTATACAATAAAAAGATGAAGTAAAATCCTTTAGTTTTAAAACTTACTTACGTAATTATTACTGACGTAATATGTAACAACTTATCTATCAAATACCCTGGTTTACATCCTCCACATTCAGCATCAGAGGTTGGGGTGCAATTCTTGATTGTCTCTTCATTCTGCAAGCACAGCCGACATGTCTTACATGCTGTATAGTCACGTGCCTCCGAAAACGACTCGCCATTGGTACATTTTTGGCACCTGACTCTAACATTCTCAGTGAAGAAAGAACCGCATTGTGGGACGATACCCATTCCTTTTGGACAGCTGATACAATCCAAACATACTTTTGATTGGTTCTGTTCTATTGTCATTTGATTTAGTCCACATATTTTAGCTGCCAGTATGGATTGAACAGGCGATGCAAAAACCTTTGAAATTAAAATCAATCTAGACTTAAATCGGAAATGTCGTTCATATTTTCTTGACCTACCTTAAATTCCTCTAATTTTATTTATCCTTAATAATCACTCCCTCTTTCTTTGTTGTTTTATAATGTAAAGTGGGAATATTATTTAGACAAGTCAACTGCTGCATCATCTATAGAAGCATGTTTACTCTGCCAAGCGAAACCGTTTAAATCAATTTTACAATGTGATCATCAACTGAAAGTTGAGAAATTTAATTTAATTATTTGTCTGACAGCCAGAGCACATTGCTCGCATTTCTTGAATAGCGCTATAAGCATGTTTGAAACGATTAACTTTCGAAAATAATAATGAAAAACATGATGTAATTTTAATATCTTACAAACTCCCCAAGCTTTATGACATCTACATACAGTTCCATATGTCTCATCGTCTTTGTCTCTTTTATTTTTCTTCAATATGTATGTTACGAAGCGTTATTCTCAACATGTAATGACCATATCGATATTTCCCCTTCAATCCCTTGTTTTCCCCTCGCTCTATTACAAAATAACCAAAGTTTTTCTTACCATAATAAATAATTCGAAGATCGCCATCGGACACATCCGTACCGACTCCCACGGTGTAAAATTGAACTCTATGACTATGCTGTGAATTATTCAATTTAATGGTATTTTTTCTGCATTGTCAGCACAACTCATCGTCCATAATTAATGTTATTGAAATAGTCGATAAAAAGTTTCAACTCTACTTAAACCAATGTGCCGTAACATTACAATCTTTAACAATGAAACACATATACATATACCATATTTACTGTCCCGTTTTACAATTTTTGAGGAATTTTCTCGCTCATCGTCGCTGACCTCATTTGTTATAATTGTATTTAGGGGAAACCCCTGGTCTCAAACACTTGATTTAGAGTAAGATTTATAATTTCAGTTACAATGTCTTAATGATGCAATATTTTATTAGATTGTTTCATAAGAACTAAAAGTGTCGTTTATCAAAGTATACTTGGATTACTCTATTTTGAAGATTATTTTCAAATTTATTTATTTAAATTATTCTACAAAGAATTTCTTGATAATTGCGAAAATTCTAATTACATTCAAATGCGGACTAGTACCCGAAGGTGCGAGTTCAAATCTCGTCCAAGTCACATGTTTCTCGTGTGCATATAAAACTGTGTTAGGATTCATATTATGTATAATCTCTGCTAATGTTTTGACTCGTCTCCAATCCTTCTGGGCTTGGTAGCTCAACAGGTAGAGGGGCGGACTAGTATCCGAAGGTGCGCGTTCAAATCTCGTCCAAGTCACATGTTTTTCATGTGCATTTAAAAAAACCGTGTTAGGATTAACATATTTATATATATATGTTATATGGTGTATTCCATACCCTCGTGGACAATGCTCGACATTACATGTTTCTCTCCCTCCCCCCCTTATTTCTAACTTTTGTGGCCGCCCCCCTGATAACCTGACGTCACATATTTTGTTTACATTTGTCAACATGATTTACCGACACGAAGGTTAGTACATATTTGAAGAATATTGTTCTTCTGTGGTTTTCCTTTCCGCAGGTCGTCTGAATTTTCATCCAGTCGCTTCATAGAATTGTTTACATCAGTCAGGAGAAATTTGATCTATTCGTGACCCAGACAATCCATTGTGAAACTTCTCCATTCGCTATACTATGTAAGTTATTTCAAAGATTTGCAAATATAAGATGTGACAAATGTTGTATTGACTATTGAGTGGATTAAATGGCTTTAAGTAGTGTAAATTTTATTCAGAATGTCATCAACTTGTGTAAAAATTTAAAACCTTTAATGTCTTAACATAACAGGTGTTGAAAGCTACAGCTTGTTTGAAAGAAACGCTGCGGAAAGAATGTCGCTAGTGTCGTGTTGCATTCAACTTGGTATGTTAGCTAAATAATGACGCCATTGGCGAATCCAGGGCTAGGCTAAATAAATTACAATAATTTATTCGTTGGAAATTCTTAATGACATTAAGAAAATGAGAATTTGTTTAGAATAGAACGCGGTTAAAATTTCCTCCTTATTATCCTGAACGTCACTGATTTACGCTGCACTCTGTCATCGATTCACGTATGAATTGTTGAAAGAATCTTCCTGTATTGTATTGCATGTTTCTTAATAATTTTCATTTCAATTGCAAACACGTTATCGTGTTTAAAATAAATTATGTTGTAATCATTGGTTGCAATGGAACGTATCTGAAATTACTAAACGCCGCGTGGCCTTTTGAATGACATGTAACGATATTGACCTCTGTAATCACTTACTGCAACGCAAATTTGTCTCTGGTGTGAAATTCAGTCTCGTTGTCGAATTTTTTTTCATTACATTTTCGCCCTGTGTAATTCTTCTGAAATGCAACCAAAAATGAACGATTAAGTAGATGCAAATATGCAGTAAAAGTCTCCTACTGCTTAATTACGTGAATATCGTTGTATTCATAGCTTTTTTAATCTCTTTTAGCTTCTATGTCAACTTTGTTTTTTGATTCAAAGTCTTTTGTGAACATTACATACTCCAAATCAACTGTAACCATACAGTCAATGTTGGTACAGTTTCAACCTCCTCAGTTTGACGTACAAATTATCGAAGCGATGAATGCAGATGAATATTTTTGGGTGAATATTCAAAATGGGTCTTTAAAGATACAGTATCAGCTAAAAGAAGCAAGCAATGAAAGTTTTGATTTTGGTAAGCTATAGATGGAATACTTTATCGGTCTTTTGCATCAATCAAAGTTCATATAAAACATGATATTTAGACGCAAAGGAATCTAATTCCATCATGATAACTGCTTTCAACCTATGTAGGTATGGTTGAACGGAACAAGTACTACACTCTTCATATAACATCGCGAGAAACTTCAACATCAATTATACTTGTTGAGAGCGACATTTTAACCTCTCTTCCTTGTAAACCTCGTCAGACAAACAATACAAATCTTTTAGGTGAAAATTTTTCCAAATTATTTAAGATGTCTGGCTTAAAAGTGAGAGGCTCGACTTTTGTCATCGAGTTTAGTATGCAATCATTTGTTGTCTGTACTCGTCAGTTAAGTGAAAATAACAAAACTGTTGACTTAGCTGATACGAGTCAAGAGGGTAATCTTGTTCAATCAAGCTCACGTTCTTGGAATCTCACTGAACAATGCGAAGCTGGATCTACTCGTGGAGATGAGTTTTGTCCGAAACAAACTCAGGACGATGATGACTCAAATACAGAGTTGATTATAATAATTGGGGTTGTGGTTGGTGTCGTTCTTCTGTTCATAATAATTTTATGCATCGTGCTTTATATAAGAAATACAAGTAGCTCTGTTTTTGGAGTATATAATCCGAGCAGTCAAGAACAAACACAAGAACAGCAGATGAAACCGGCATTCACTTTGCCTATACCAGAAAAACTAATTTAGTATTTACCTTGAAAACATGAAAAATTCATTTTTTTAACATCGGAAAACGATCTGGTCCTGTGTACACTCCTAGATCCAGAGCAATTCCCTAGAATGTTAATTTGGGAGTGTGTGTATTCATATCTTCAGATATGCCCGACTGATATCTTTTGAAAGCAATTCACTTAGATACTTAGCCATTCTCTTTCATAAGAAACCAGTTAGGCGCAACTTGTGGGACAACTGAGTGTATGAATACCCCTCCCCAATTAATGCTCTAGGGGCGGCTTTACCTGCACTTGAAAACAACATTAATTTGTAAACATTATTTAAACAACGTATTTAAATTTTGCTATTTAATATTTAAAGTATTGGGAACATTTACATCATATAATGTTTGTATCGCGGCTATTTAATATTTAAATAAAGTATAGAGAATATGTTCATAATATAATGTTTGTATCGCGGGCTCTATGAAATGTTGAACTTCGAAATGGCGAACTTCACAATGAATGATGTGGCGGACTCTTGGAAGAAATTTGCAAAAATGTCTGTGACGACTTTTTCTCGAGCGAAACAGGTAGGTGTATGATACAAAATGTATTCATTTGTTTTCGAATTCATTTTTAAATCGTTTTCTTTGTTCAAAGCTTACAGAAGAGAAATTAAATCGAGCGGAAAAAACAGAATTCGATGCACACTTTGAAAACTTGGTTACAAGAGCAGAGAAAACCCGTGACTGTACTGCCAATATCACCTCTAAAACTTCAGCACTTATTCAACCAAACCCTAGTAAGTGCTTATTCCTTTTTTATGATCGCATTAAAAATTATATTGCAAGAAAGACAACAGTATGATATGTGTTTCCATGTTTAATGAAGTGTTTCATTTTGAGATTTTTTCCCTTAGATGCCCGTTTGGAAGACTTCATGCATCAGAAATTTGATGGTAAAAAGAAAGAAAGACAAACGAATTATGAGGTTCTTGGTCAGTGTATGTTTGATTCTGGGAATGATTTGGGTCCGGGAACTGCATATGGTAAGTTGAGTTGTATAATCATGGATTTGATAAAGTCTTTCTTTTTATCCTCAATGTATGAGAAAGACTATCTAGGCTGACATGAGTCATGGATATTTACTGGCACATTGTTCTGTGGGTGATTTTGATTGTTCATCTTTTCATGAAGTTTCTAGATATTGGTCATCTAACTCATCTTGAACTAACAAAGGGCACTACTGGTGGCCAGAAACCAGTGCATATGTTTGGTGAAATGATATTGTGATCTTTATAGGTGGAGCCCTTGTGGAATGTGGCAAATCTCTGAGGAAGATAGGGCAGTCAGAAAGGGACTTGTTGGAAAAAACTATCTCAAGATTTGTAAATCCACTGGAAAACTTCCTTGAGAGTGACATAAAAGTCATTATGGTAACAATATTTCAAATCACGATTACTCTTAACTTTAATGGTTTTCACAGAATTCTTTATTTATTAAAAAATTTTTAGAAAGAGAAGCGTGTATTGTTAGCCAAGAGACTTGATCTGGATGCATGTCGCACGAAGTTAAAAAAAGCTGAAACCCAGTCCTCAGAAAAAGTTCAACAGGTTTGTGTTGTCATGACATTGAATACTTGTTAAACAATACAATATTTATACATACACTCCTACAATATTTGTACTGACATATTTGTTTACTTTACCTTCATTCCTTAGCTGGAAGCAGATCTACGGGTTGCCCAAGCAGAGTTTGACAGACAATATGAAATTACAAAATTGTTGTTGGACGGTGTCACTACAGCACAAGTATCTTTTTCACTAGTTAACTATCTATTTTTACTTGCTTCAAATAATTAAGGTATATATTTTTTCATTTCACTGTAGAATAGCCATTTGATAGCATTACAAAGTTTTGTTGAAGCCCAAGCGCAGTATTTTGACCAATGTCATAAAACAATGTTGGACTTGCAAAGGCAATTGCAAAGGTAATTTAATACAAAAAGATCCAAGAATGAATTAATGGCATATTGTGTGGAAAATTCTTTGCATGAACACTATGTAGTGCTGGATTATAGAAAAAATCTATTAACAATAAAACATGAAATAAAAGTTTACCATCATTCATTGTCATGCTTCTTTTAGTGGCGTGGGTGTTACTAGTCCTAGCTCCGGTATGAACAATCCCCCCGCCTACAACATTTCCCAATCTCCCCTCGTTTGATATTAACACGATTCCTAAGCCTTCTATCACACAAGGCCAAGGTTTTATATGACTATGATGCTTCTGAAGGTGATGAACTGACATTACTTGCTGATGAGGTATGTTAGCCGGTGCAAGTTCTTTCTAATGTTGTGTTTGACCACTTGCGGTCAGTTTTAATGCATGGCAATTTTTGACATGGATTTACTTTCTTTTTATTACAATGCTTTTGTCATCAGGTAATCGTGGTTTACAAAGCGCCAGGTCTTGATAGTGATTGGATGATAGGTGAAAGGGGCTCGCAACGAGGTCGTGTACCAATAACCTACATTCAACTTCTTCCATAATGATCTAGTTGTTTCTAACTTAGAACAATATCCAATATTTCCAATCGTAATTAGAACAATATCCAATAGTTCCAAACTTAATTTGAACAATTTCCAAAAGTCTCAAACCTATTTAGAACAATATCCAATAGTTCCAAACCTATTTAGAACAATATCCAATAGTTCCAAACCTATTTAGAACAATATCCAATAGTTCCAAACCTATTTAAAACAACATCCAAGAGTTCCAAACCTATTTACAACAATTTCCAATAGTTCCAAACCTATTTACAACAGTATCCAATAGTTACAAACCTATTTCGAACAATATCCAATAGTTCCAAACCAATTTGGAACAATATCCAATAGTTACAAACCTATTTAAAACAATTTCCAATAGTTACAAACCTATTTAGAACAATATCCAATAGTTCCAAACCAATTTGGAACAATATCCAATAGTTCCAAACCAATTTAGAACAATATCCAATAGTTACAAACCTATTTAAAACAATATCCAATAGTTACAAACCTATTTAAAACAATTTCCAATAGTTCCAAACCTATTTAGAACAATATCCAATAGTTCCGAACCTATTTAGAACAATTTCCAATAGTTCCAAACCAATTTAGAACAATATCCAATAGTTACAAAAGTATGTGGAACAATATGCAATAGTTCCAAACTTAATTCGAACAATTTCCAATAGTTCCAAACCTATTTAGAACAATTTCCAATAGTTCCAAACCTATTTACAACAGTATCCGATAGTTACAAACCTATTTCAAACAATTTCCAATAGTTCCAAACCTATTTAGAACAATATCCAATAGTTCCAAACCAATTTAGAACAATTTTACAAAGCGCCAGGTCTTGATAGTGATTGGATGATAGGTGAAAGGGGCTCGCAACAAGGTCGTGTACCAATAACCTACATTCAACTTCTTCCATAATGATCTAGTTGTTTCTAACTTAGAACAATATCCAATATTTCCAATCGTAATTAGAACAATATCCAATAGTTCCAAACTTAATTTGAACAATTTCCAAAAGTCTCAAACCTATTTAGAACAATATCCAATAGTTACAAACCTATTTAGAACAATTTCCAATAGTTCCAAACCAATTTAGAACAATATCCAATAGTTCCAAACCTATTTAGAACAATTTCCAATAGTTCCAAACCTATTTAGAACAATATCCAATAGTTCCAAACCTATTTACAACAATTTCCAATAGTTCCAAACTAATTTAGAACAATATCCAATAGTTTCAAAAGTATGTAGAACAATATGCAATAGTTCCAAACTTAATTCGAACAATTTCCAATAGTTCCAAACCTATTTACAACAATATCCAATAGTTCCAAACCAATTTGGAACAATATCCAATAGTTCCAAACCAATTTGGAACAATATCCAATAGTTACAAACCTATTTAAAACAATATCCAATAGTTACAAACCTATTTAAAACAATTTCCAATAGTTCCAAACCTATTTAGAACAATATCCAATAGTTAACCTATTTAGAACAATTTCCAATAGTTCCAAACCAATTTAGAACAATATCCAATAGTTACAAAGTATGTGGAACAATATGCAATAGTTCCAAACTTAATTCGAACAATTTCCAATAGTTCCAAACCTATTTAGAACAATTTCCAATAGTTCCAAACCTATTTACAACAGTATCCGATAGTTACAAACCTATTTCAAACAATTTCCAATAGTTCCAAACCTATTTAGAACAATATCCAATAGTTCCAAACCAATTTAGAACAATTTTACAAAGCGCCAGGTCTTGATAGTGATTGGATGATAGGTGAAAGGGCTCAAGGTCGTGTACCAATAACCTACATTCAACTTCTTCCATAATGATCTAGTTGTTTCTAACTTAGAACAATATCCAATATTTCCAATCGTAATTAGAACAATATCCAATAGTTCCAAACTTAATTTGAACAATTTCCAAAAGTCTCAAACCTATTTAGAACAATATCCAATAGTTACAAACCTATTTAGAACAATTTCCAATAGTTCCAAACCAATTTAGAACAATATCCAATAGTTCCAAACCTATTTAGAACAATTTCCAATAGTTCCAAACCTATTTAGAACAATATCCAATAGTTCCAAACCTATTTACAACAATTTCCAATAGTTCCAAACCAATTTAGAACAATATCCAATAGTTTCAAAAGTATGTAGAACAATATGCAATAGTTCCAAACTTAATTCGAACAATTTCCAATAGTTCCAAACCTATTTACAACAATATCCTATAGTTCCGAACAATTACAAAGGTAGAACAATCATACGTTATGCTTCGTTGGAATGGAGAAACTTTAATTGAACTCACATATTAAGTTGAAATAATGTTGATCATGCTGAAAATCAATCGGTCAATTATATTAGCGACTAGCGATAAAAGGAATTCGGGGTTTCAGGTTGCTAATGGCTGTGTTGGAAATAGTCATAGCTAGAGTGATTTCAATGCTTCTGAGTAATTCTTAACACTTAATGAACAGTTTTACTAGTTTTGATTGAATGAATAAAGTCAGCGCAGTAAGTTGCTTTAGGGGAAAACTAACTTAAAAAATAATTGCTTGTTATCAAAAGAAGTTAATTGATCATGAAAAAATTCTACTTTTGATACATCTTCGTTTTGGCGTAGTAAATAAAATGCGATGTATTTTTATTATTAAAAGTTGGACGGTCCATCGAGTGCGAGTAAATAATACGCAATATCCACGACTAATTTTATGTATTTATTCAAAAAATGCGTGTCGTGTCGACGGAAGTATCGTATTGCTTATGAAATATTTTCATTTTGTCTACTGTGAATATCTGAATGAGTTTTACAGCAAACGCAAGAAAGATTTTTGACATCCTTGAAACATGGTAAGTTTCATTAATTCGAACCACTATCATAGTTATTCCTTATGCTATCTATTTTCTTATAACTTGTCATTTTTATCCAAAATACCTGCAGCAAAGCTCGTTACTTGCTGGCTTTGTCAAATATATAGTCAGGAGTCGATGTTTACGTACTGTCAAATATCTACCTTTATTCTTTTACAACACAATTTTTGATGAATTGATTATCGATTTCCTCCATAAAATACGGTAGTTTTCGCCCAAGTAGGAGACGTTCATAAATATATCTCTAAGTTTACGTTACCTAAATTGTTACTGTTCAAATTCGAATAATATTAAGTTAATTATAATGCAAAAATTACAGTGTGTGACGGGTCTTTGTTCATTTTTCTCTAGGCAACGATAGTCAAAGGTAAGTATGGGTCAATTTTTCAATTATCCTCGCGTTATTTAAACCTATTATTGGTCAATTTTTATTGCAGAAGTGCAGGAGGCGTTTGATTTGTTTGATAAAAACAAAGATGGTACAATATCAGTGAGCGAGTTGAGGGAAGCGATGAAACTTGCTGGACACGATGTTTCAGAAGAAGTGGTTAAAAGCTTATTATCAACTCACGACAAAGATGGTATTTGTGATTTTAGTATGATATAAATTACCATAAATTGCGTGTGACGGCAGTCAGTACTGGCTGATAAAATTTTCAAAGTTTTTATGTTTTTGACAAATATTTTTATCTCAAGAAAATGAAGACTAGTGAAAAGAAAAATAGACCAGAAGTCTTCTTACGCATTTGTGTGATGATTATATACTTTACTAAATTACTAGGATAATAAGATGCGTCTTTGCAGAGAGTTTCACAAGTTATAAACATCTTTATGACCTCTTACGTTCTGTCTTTTTAGAAAATGGCGTTTTAACAATCGATGAGTTTGGAACGTTTTTAAAGAGCGATAATTCTGTAAACTATAAAGAAGTGCGAGAAGCGTTTGATTCATTTGACGAGAATGGAGATGGGTATATTTCAAGGAATGAATTGGTATTAGCCATGAAGAAGGTCGGAGAAAATCTTAGCGAAGTTGAAATCGATTCTATGATACGAAATGCAGACATAAATAAGGATGGCAAAGTTAGTTTTGAAGGTGAGTAAAACTTTGGCTTTTTCATAAATTTTTCCATAAATTACCGTTTCATTAACTTTCCATAAATTACATTATATGAAATATTGATTTATGATTTCTGTTATCAATTTGTTATGCATTGTCCAGTTTATCGCGTTGTTTCAATATTTATTATAGTTTGTTTCTGGCGATAAATATGTACACTTAAAATCGTCTGTATGATATCGTAAAGTTCTTATTTTTCTCCTCTAGAATTTAAGAGAATGATGACACCAAAATAACATGATTCACCAACTTATCAAAAACTGTTCATTCGATTTAAGAAGTAGCGATTTTGTAATTTGTTATTAAACTCATAAATGAAGTTTCGTTTTTTGCTTCTATAACTGTTTTGTTTGTTATGTATTTTATGTTGATGATACACCAAACATCATTTTTCAAAGATCTCACATTAAACACGATCCATGAGTGACGGAATGTCGCCTTAAATCAACCTTTCTATAAAATGCTCTTGAACAAATATTGCAAACAAAAGGTTTGTGGCCTGTGTGTTTACGACTGTGAGTGATGAGATTTGAGGATTGACTGAACGCTTTCCCACATTCTCGACAAACATGAGGCTTTTCCCCTGTATGAATATACGTATGTTTCTTCATGTCGCTCTTCTGATGAAACCGCTTGCCACAATACTCGCAGGGAAACGGGCGCGTGTCAGAATGGATCAACATATGAGTGGATAGTGTTGAGGATCTTTTGAATGTTTTATTGCATTGTTTACATTCAAAAACTTTCTCATTTCTGTGTATGGCTTTATGTTGTTCAAGACTTACAGAATGACCAAAAGTTTTCTCGCACATATCACATTCAAATGGTCGTTTTCCCGAATGAGAACGACGAACGTGCACCTCTAAACCATGAGGTGTTGCAAAGACTTTATGACATTTGACACATTCATAGGTATTCACCACCTCGTTTCCTTTCGCTTCGGGTTTCACTGATTTTTTTACAGATTTTTCACGCGAGATTGCACCGGTGAAGCTCTGTGTTGATGGTAAGGATCCATGACTTGATCCCCAAGGTGGTGATCTGTATACATCGGTATGAAGTGAATGATGTGTGGGAGGATAGAGGATAAGAGGGAATCGATGATAAGATAGGTGGTATGTAGGGACGGTATTGGGATAGTGAGGATTAAAGTAGGGATGTTGTGCATTATGAGACCTTTGGCATGGAACGCTCTCTGCAATATCAGTGAAAACGTATGAAATTCTTGCTTTACGGCTCACTTTCTGTAACTAATTAATTTTTTTTACCTTTATGCTCGTAATAACTAGGCGGATGGAATTTTGAGGCCACCACCCTTCCTTCTGTAAGATTTTCGTTTTCTGTTCTCGATTGACAGGCGAAAAGATCTTTCGTTTGTCTGTCGTCGGTTTGAATTAAGTTCTTTATATCGAAGGGTCTTTCTGAGGATTGTCCTTCCTCTTTTGCTTTTTCGTTTTCTGTCGAAACTTCAAAAAGCTTATTTTCTTCTTTTCTGCCTCCTCCTGTTTTCATAATGACATATGCTCAAACGATTGCGTGCATTGAGAGCTATTCTATATCCTAGACATATGTCCATTTTGCCATAATGTGACTTTTTCATAGCTACAACGTAACACTTAAGATGGGCACCTGAAGGACCTTTGTGTAGGGTGAGCATTGAGCACATGCGCACGTATTGAAATGCTGTATTATGTTTTTGATTTTAATTGTGTTATTGAGCCTAAAAGTCAGTTCTTGACATTAATAAGAGCAGTCTTCTATAGCGAAGGCGTTTACACTGCTATCGTAAAAGTGATCTATCTATCCATGAATTGTTGCCCAAGTAAAATAAAAATAATCTCTGACGATATTATAAATAATTGCTTAAATGTTGTTCGTATACGGTTCCACAGACGGACGATATAGTTCTCTTATATTATACACGAATTGCCGAAAGATTGAAAATTTTGTCTTTCAATTTTTCTAGCTAAGTTTTCGAGAAGCTTTCATCAGACTATGTATAAAATCCTCCTACTCACTGTTGGACAAAATGCGTTTACTAAAATAAATGTTTTAGCGTGATAACTGTCGGATAACATCAACAAGGATAAACCTCTGTTTGACTAAAATTACAACTATAAATCCGAGTTAAGATTTGAAGAACGCGATAAGGTATAAACATCCTATAACTTGAAAATGAGCTTCGTGTTACTTGAAATGTTGACTCTTTTTCATAATCCGCCTTTCATTTTGTCTGTAACGATGTTTTTGAACGCAAGCTAAACTTCATTGATGCGGTAAATTTGCGAAACTAAAAGAACATCAGTCGACTATTCAAGTCTTTTTTTCAAGTTTTGTCCATTTATGGCAACGTATGGAGCCAGCTTGCCACACGCTTGCGCACTTTGTGTCCTGCTAATTACGATGGCAACCCAGTCACGAAATCAAAAGCACAAATTTCGACAGATTTCTATGCGTAGTTTCTGTAGCCAGATTTAACTTCAAATCTGATGTACTTTATTTAAATTTTTTATGAATTGCTCGCACTCCTTCCCGTTGAAAAATTTATTGTATACGTGTCTTGAAAGAAACATTTTAGAGGATGTTTTAAACGGGGAAGGAATAGACGCCCAGTTTAAGCACACGCGATGTATTCATCAAGACCACTTTACTGCTACACACATTGTCATATTACTAATTAAATTTTTACCTGATACCAGCTAGTTTTTGCTTATACACTACTTATAGTTTTATATAATAGTCAAATGAAATGCTTAGTAAGAGCATTTTCTCTTCTGAGCCCGTTTCATCATGTACATATTTGTGAGAAATTAGTTAGCGAAAAAGTTGCATCATTACCGTGTAGGAACTCAATAAGACAAAGCTCTAAACATACAGGCGCACTTTCCTAGATTTTAGAGATAGTGTTCGGCTAAAAAAAGTGATGAACTTTACAGTGAAAACATACCGGGATTATAGTTTGAGGAATATGTTTCATTTAGAAAGAGAACAAACAAACGAATTTGTTTAAAATGAAAATAGGATTGAACCATGAACACTTGGCGTCTGAGACAAAATCGAAGAGAAATTTTCCTTTGTTTTTGGCTAGTGTTTTTATACGTCCTCGTCAGCCTTGGAGAACTAATTTTTTGCCTGCAAAATCTCACCTTCCTTGTCGGGAACTTCGATTTGAAAGGATTCGGCTATTTCTGTCTTTTCCATGTAGTGCGTAAGATTAGTTGGACGATTTTTCACCAAAAATGAACGAGGCATATTGACTGTATTTGACTTGCGAGACAGATCTCAAACCTTCATACAAACATGCGTCAATATGTGCAAGACTAGAATGGCAAATCGGACGCGAGTGGTTAATTTACTTATTCTCTCTGCCTCAATTTAGCTAACCTTAATTACCATATAAGAGTTATACTTGAGCACTAAGCAGCTGGAAACGGCTTGTATTTGAGACAATAGACCTCGCAAAGAACAATTTAGTCCAAGCAAATTGCCAGTACACGTTTTTTCAACCTTATCAACGATTCGACTGGGAGTAGCGACAATGCCATTAATGTATAATATAAATTATATTTTGCTGAAAATATTTGCATGGTTGACACATCCTGATGGCTGAAAACAGTCATGCACTTGAAACATCCTGTATTGATACCAAGTCGACGTGATGTCAATGTTTAGCTCTACAATGTTGCATTATGGGCTGTCTCTGAAGTTTATTTGATCAAGAGAAAACTAATAATTGCCGACGATAGTTAAAATTAGTTTTCGAATAGCTGTGTGTATTTCATAGTTCTCGACAAAATTCCTTAAAATGACCACCATTTACCACTAAAATCCACACAGATTAGCTTCAAATGGAACAAAAAAAACATTTGATAAGATTGGAAATTGGTGAAGACAGACCAGTTACAATAAGGGAAAAGTATTTGTTAAATATCCATGTTAGAAAACAAGCAAAAAGCTAACCATTCTAATTCGAAAACAATTTCTATGATTCCAACGTCCAATGAGAATTATAATCAAAATAAATATGCAAGGCAAATGAAATGAATTTTTACTGATTTTACATCACGCGCGTTATATGCTTGTAATAAAGCTATATAAGACATGCAAACAGCGAATTTTTTATTGTCGTTTAATTACTCAAATAAACTTACTCCCTTGGAGTTAAGCAACACAAAATGTTTCAACTGTTGTGCGCAGTCGTAGCTACTGTCAAAAGTACTTTGTCTAAGGCAGCCCATCTGCTGGATAAAAGTTCAAAGAATGCGCCATGCTTGCATCGTGGCGTAATGCTTTAAGACGCTGTATGGAATCCTTAAAGATAACTTTTTGTCCGGAACACTTCTTATCATTGATAGCACATAGTAAGCTTGAACTGAAGTCTGGAAAAGTTGCAACTTATATTACAAACAAAACGTCTAATAGTATATAAGGAAGAGTATTTACATATATATGCAGGATGTTTGTTTCATGGTTTATTTTCTTTAAGATACTTAAAGTTGACTTTAGCTCTTTTTCTGATTTGCTGTCCAAACTTTTTTCAACCGAGTTTTTCTTTTCATTAATGTATCACTGCACTATTAAAGACAAAATATATTTCTAAGAATAATAATTTATTCTTATTACCTTAAACGTTTTATGTGGTAAAGTTTTGAAATGACAGAACAGAAAAATATCCATAGAAATATGTCGTGTGGATGATTTATAGATAGTCATTGGAGGTGTCTCGTGTTTGTTGAATCAATCATGCTTTGATTAGTATATATCATGATAATGTCGCAGATAATAATTTGACGTTGATTGCAACATTAAATTTTGCATTTTATATCAACAATGAGAAAATGGGGAGTTGTCGATTTTTGAAACAGTTGACAGTTATGTTATTATCAAATGTTTATGTGGTGTCTCCCTGTTGAAGATGAGTAATTATTGAAACATGACTTGAATTTTTGATGCGTGAAAAGCACGTTTAAAATGCGGTTTCTCGTACACAAAATATGTCTCAAAAATCACAGCAGGAGTAGCGACGCAGAGAAGACGAGATTTTTAATATAGAAATATTAAAATGAGCGCACAGGCAGAGACGCTTGTTTCAATAAAATTCTAATTGCGGACATTATTTATAGTTTCACGTATAATAGTTAGTGAAACCATTCATATTTTGTCATGTGGCTGGAGAGTTAAAGTTGATGTCTCGATATGAATTCGTAGTATTAAACTTTGATTTTGAGATCACTTTTTTAATGTGACAAAGTTTCAATCTCAAACGACCTCTAATTAAATGGGATAAATGTTGCAATTAAAAAGCAATCACGCAATTTGAATTGTAATGTTTATTGAATATACACTGGCAATTTTCAATCTAGTTCCTCCATATTAAACCCCTCTTGTGTCTTAGCATCAATATTATCTTTATCTACATTAAACACATCCATAAAACATTCTAAACTTCTTCCATCGCCAATCGTCCTCGAGATCAAGGAATACAGAATTGCCTGCTGATCCAATAAAATATCTTGCAAGTTCTTGTCAAACTTTATCAATCTAACGAGGGAAAGTTAGAGCTATATATTGATGCAAATGTTCTCTTTAAAAGCGTTAACTTATGACTTACACAAAAAGAAGGATTAGGGCCACTAATGTCCACTCCTTTGGCTTTAATACAATGTTTTTGCTCGTGAACCTAAAATAGAAAACGATAGAGCAGTCAATCCACGTCTAACACATGTCATGACCAAGACATGATAACCTGAATGTCTTCAGTAAACCTGCCAATTGAGACGATACGTCAGCATGTGTAAGGCGCAATTCTGACAACATCGGAGATATACTATAATCAAGAAAGAAGAAAAAATATTTACAACGTAGCTACACATCTGTCCACATAATTGCTTTGAATGAATGTCCATATAATAATAATTTATAATCTCTTGCAGGCAATTTCGGGTTATTATGCACAATGTCAAATATTTTTATTCTTTACGCCTTAGTAATCTTGTCCAAGACGATCTTTCCACGAATTTCCATTTGACTTTTCCAATCAATAGATGGAATTATCACAGCAACTGCGTCGCTTCTTCTTCCTTCGTCTTTGAAAGTTTCGTCAAATTTTTCGAACTTGTGCAAGTTTTGTTTAATTTTGAGCGAATATCTCAAGTAGTCTTTGGTCTTTATGCTGCACCACTCCGATAAGATATTTTGAAGTTTTTTCAAGTGGATTTCGATCGGTACTTCGCACTTCTCCTTACTTAGAATGGTATTCTCGCTTTGAAATGGTTCATCGTTTCTGATGCAATCAATCGTAACTATTGCTTCCTTTGTTTTTTCATCATCGGTGTTATTGCGAAAATGATCAAGACGATCACTATCTGTTATATCACTAACGTCATCAGAATCAGATAAATCAAAATCCAAATCAATTTGAACTTGCATTTTCTCCATAATACATCCCAATTCACTGTTGTCAAAATGTATATTACTGTGTATTTTGTCGTAGTAATTTCTGTTTTTATTTTCATTGTCTACATGTTCTGTGTTGTCTTTATTCTTATCTTTTTCTTTTTCTTGTTTGCTGTAAGTTTCTGTTTTACGTATTTCGTCATCCTCAACAACTTCTCTATTGGTTGTGTGTGCTATATTGACGCCATCCTTTATGAAAACCTCGCTACCCGATCCTGAAATGCTACACAACAGTAGAAATTAATCTCAAATAACTACATTTACAAATATTTTCAAGTTACTTCATGTAACCACGAACTTACGTAGTTTGAGGCCGTTTACTATCACTTAACAGCAACAGGTCTGGAAATTTTCTACAAAGATGAAGAATGAATCAGATCAAAGGTTTCCTGACCGGCTGACATGGAAATTTACTGACCGCATTTCTCGCATCCAAACTGGCTCAGACGAAAGCTGTGATTCAAAATATTTTGACGCTTTAAAACAAAAGTTGCTGCAAAAATTCTAGAAGGAAAAAATAAAACCTTATAAAACAACGTGCGTTTGTAATTTCTCATTTTAACTTAAACTATAGCCAAGAAGGACCTTTCGTTCAGTAATGTCAAAGACTTTCTTTTCTCGAAGGGATATGCTGTATTTTTGCTTTAAAACCTACAGAAAACAGCGAAATGTCACAATTGACGCGTTCGAATGAAGAAGATCCTTCATTTTATCAAAGTACCTGAGCAATACGACTATTACACAGTGGATAACCGCAGTATTTTGTAATTGCCCTTTCCTCAGTAATATCTTTGTACTGTGAAATTGTTATGTATTTTCCCTGAATAAAGTAAAACAAATGAGTTATAATGCGTTTGAAAAGAAATGCTATCCAAATTTCGAGTGACTAACAGCGTTCAGTAAGAAATCTTTATCGACGTGGCTTATCAAAACCATTTTTTCTACAAGACGATAAGCACGCTCTTCTTTCGCAACTCTTTCCTTAATGGCCACACGTAGCTTTTCTTTTTCCCTTAAAAGATTTTATGTGTTCACGAGTTTGTTATCTTATAATTGAATATGTTAAATAATCTTTTACCCCCCATCAATCGGTTCCATTTTATGAAAAAGACTTAGTCTTAAAAGACCTCGTATTATGATTCTTATCCGCCATTTTGTTTCATAGAATGTGTGCTTCCATTTGTTTTATACCGATCTTCAATAATTATCATGTAGATATAGCAAGATAAAAAGATTATATGTCATTGTCAACAGAAATGGGTGATAAAGATGTAAAATTACCTTACAAGCTGCCAACATTCCACGACTGGCAACCTCATGCTTCATTTTATCATCCATTGTACGCTGGGAGCATTGATGGCACAGATGTTTATCCACATGACAAAGCTGTTATTAGGGCTATGCTTTCAACATGTTAGTATGTGTTGTGTCATTGGTTTTGGACGAATTTCATGCTGTCACTTATTACTTGTTGTGCCTTAAGATCGACCAAACAAAAATGTGACTGGGGATCAAAGCAAGACCCTATTTGTTGCTCGTCTGAGCAAGGATACTGGGGAAGGTGAAGTTTGATCATTGTATATCAATAAAATATATATGCATGTCTGTTCTACAAGACTAACAAGATTGTGTTGTAGATGAAGTTCAAAAGATATTTGAAAAGTATGGACACCTTGAAAAATGTCGGCTCATCCGTGATTTTGGTGAGATGAAATTATTCCATAAGATAATAGAGTTGATTAATGTATGACAGTAATGGAGTATTGTGTATTTGTAGTAACTGGTTTTTCTAAAGGATATGCTTTTGTTGAATACAAGAAGAAAAAAGATGCTTTATATGCTGCAAGGGTTGTTTTATACTTGACATCTTACAATGTTTAGTGTTCATTTGGTTTATGAAATTGTTTATATTCTTAGGAAACACACCAAATGAATATAAATGGACGACAGATCTTAGTTGATTTTGAATGTGAAAGAAATTTAGAAGGATGGAAACCTCGTCGTTTTGGTAATCAACCATGTGTTGCATTCATAGCTTACTGTCAATATATCCTGACTGTCTTTTAATTATATTTGATGTTTCATTAATGGCTAAGGTGGTGGCTTTGGTGGTAAAAAAGAGTCTGGTCAGCTAAGATTTGGTGGAATTGACAGACCATTTAGACGACCACTGTGGGTGAATGTTTCTCCTTATTCTAAATTGCAAAAGGTATTATTGTCTTTGAAAGAAAATAGTATAAACATTCAAATATCTTGTCTTTTCAGACCTCAAAATGTAATTCATTTTGATCGAAGCCAACCATTTAAGACATCCAATAATGCTGATGCTGAGGATCACAGGAAACGGGACAGAGAAGAGGGGTATGATAGGAGTAGAAGTGGACATGAAAAGGAAAGATGGGATAGAAGTGAGAGGGATATCAAAGGTAGTGATCAAAGGAGCTCCAAAAAGGGTAGGGATGATCATAGAGAAAGAAGGGAATATAGGGATCATAGGGATCATAGGGATCATGTTGAGAAAAGAAGGCAAAGGGAGGAAGTCAAGTCAGATGGAAGACAAGTACATTGTGAAAGAGATCAATGTAAAGATCGATATAAATTTCATAATAGATACAGGGACAGAAGTCCCAGAAAGGACAAAAGGGACAAAAAAACTCATCGACATTCGGAAAAATAGGACAATTCTAGGCAATAATATGCTGTAAAATCTTTATAGAAGCGATGTAAATTGTAAGTTATTTTGATTATTGCTGAATTAATTTGTATATGCATTCGAGCCTATTAGAATAATTGAAATAATTGACACGCACAACACACATATATATATATAGAGATTAATGAATTGATTGTCGTCGTCTCTTGAGGCCTCAATTGGCTTTAAGTATTACTTGAATTTATTCCGGAAACGAGAAGCTCTGGAGACAGAAAAATATTAACCATTTAAAAATGCACTGCTTGAAATAATTCAGCTATGGCAATCTCGTAAATAATTTCCGCAATCTTCCCCCTCTTTCGTTTGCATAAAGCAATTTGCATGTGTTTAGTTTTCCCCTTTCAACCAATGACAGCGATTTTTAAAACTTAGTGGGACAGTTTGGACCAATAAGAAGCGTTCTTTTGTCTTGACGCGTTTCTCTTCTGGCAAAGACAATTTTGACAACTTTAAAAATACTGCTTGACTGTAAATAAATGAGCGTGAACGTGTCTTTATTGGTATCTTGTTGTTATATTATTGTGGCTATCTCTTTGAGTTCATAATTATTTTTTCGTTGAAATTACCTTCGTTTGTTTTGAAGGCAACGAAAACTTTGGAACGTTTGTACATTGTACAATGTTGTCTTGAAAGTATATGGTAATATATTGTTTTAAGTTTTGCTACTGGAAATGTACACAAAAAGCCGGTAAGACTCTTTTATTGTCAATATGAGTGAATTTGAAATTCCATTATGGAAACGAGAGCTTTTGAAGCGAAGGCAAGCAAAACTTAATATTGTAAAAACAAATTCCGAAAGTTCGAATATTTTAAACACAACGAATCCAGGAAATAATGACAGGAGAAGAATTTACCATCAAAATGAGCAAGAAAAAAATTCCCAATCCCAAAACAATCAACGCTTGGATGACGATAAAAGTTACATTGGTTATGTCAATGGTTCTGTCATCGCAGAAAACGCGTCTGATAAGTCGGCGACGTGTGTAAAACCTAGTGATGACAGCAGTAGATTGGACAAACCATTTTGCGGTGTTGTTAATGAGCATATAAATCCATCGACTGCGAAGAAAATGTGGCAACGACAACAGGAAAATGTAGCAAATAATAATGTTGGCACCAACATTATTGCACAACGTTCGGATTTTTCTGGAATTCCCAAAGCCTATAAATCACCTTATGCCAAAAACCATTGGAATAGATCATCATTGAAACGAGAACAAAACTCAATAACCAATGGGAAAATATCAAAGCCTTACGGGTCAAGTATAAAGAAAGATGTTAAGAAACCTGCAACATCCCACTATGTAGTTGATGAAAATGATGATACTGTTGAACACATACAAAGTGTGAAAACATTACTTGGTTTGTTTGGTGGGAAAGCAAAACCATCTCTACACCATAAAATCAGTGATAATTCCCTTGCATCAGGAAGATTCAAGAAGTTTGAGACCGTCTTGGATAAAAGACCTGCTCTCTATAAACATCACTCGGAACCAAACCTCTTCCAGCAACATCATGCTCCATTGAATTATAAAAAGTGCCCACCCAGCCCCTTGAAGTCTCCTGTAAGTCTTACAAAGTCTCCACCAAGTACTTTGAAGTCTCCTGTAAGTCCCCTAAAGTCTCCTGTAAGTCCTACAAAGTCTCCACCCAGTCCCCTGAAGTCTCTGGGTGGCGACACTGATGTTGCTTCATCATTTCACCATGTATCACATGGAATCCATGAGAAAATGACACAATTGAGAAGAGCTTCTCAGACCAGTGTGGAAGAAGAAGAGGGATGTCTAGAATTTAACATAAAATCCGGCCATCAGTCAGATGTACAAACTTTAAGCAATGAACTACCAATTGATCACAATAAAGAAAAGGTCCAAACCTGTGTTGCTGTAAATAATTCAAGTGAACAAACAATGCCTGTTGTTGACCAGTCAAGTGATCATCAACAGAAAGATGGTGTAAAGGAAACTTTGCTTACAATAAGGAAACACCTGTGGACTTATCAAAAACTGTTGGTGACAATCATAATGATGTATGCAATTATCACAAAGATATTGTTGACACAGGACAAAGAACTGAAACAATCTATGATGGCATTAATGAACATTCATTTGATGAAAAACAACAAATGAGGGCAAGCAGGTCAACAGCAACATCAGAATTGACTTACATAAATAAAGAACAATCCATTGGTGAATATGAAGAAAAAAAAATGGCTATGCTAAGGAGAGTGAGCAATCAAAATCAGGTTTGCATAGTAATGAGCCCTTAAGCCACTGCCTTACAGAGATTAGTCGAGACAAACAAGTGAGCAAGGTCATTAAACCAGTGCAAACTGAGGAAAAAGCAATTGAAACGAAAAGTAAGAAGCCAAGAAGGAGAGGTTTAAATGTTGTTGATCCTTTAGCTGTGTTGCAACTCACTAAAGATCCAATTTTACTGAAAGAGAAGACAAACACTGCTGACCTTGGAGTTGTTAATAAGTTATCTTCAGGCAAAACACTGATCATTAAAAATGAACCGGATAGGAAAGCACAAGTTGCTAAAATCAACCGAGCTTGGGATTTACAAAATGCACAAAATGCTTCCAAAGGAGACGTTGCAGGACAGAAAAAACCTCTACCATCAGGAAATACCCAAAATAATGTCCCTGTTACGTCAATTGACGAGATTCCTGTATCCAGTGTTGACAATGTTGCAATGATGACATCATCCCATACGGGCAACTTTCTAAACGAGCACGAAACTTATGGAGAATTTATACCTGTTTCTTCTATTGATGATGTTGATGTTGGCCCTATTCCTGAAGTTGTATTTGATCATGCACCTGTGAAGTTAAAGTCATGTTTCAAACACAACAGAAAGGTGACGTAATGGCTTTAATTATGTATTTGGAAGAAACATTAGAACGTATTTCAATTTGTAATTTTCTCGTTTTTAGAATGACCGTAGAATCGTGTTCTTTGAGCAAGTCTTTATCCATGATTATCAGTCAGAAACTGCAGCTACGTCAGATTGGGATTATGAACACGGCGTGTCTTTTGAATCCTATACACCTGCTGCTGTAAGAGATTATGAAGACGGAAAAAGAACACGTGACTTTAGCGATAAGATCTTACCCCAGTCCCCCTCATCATCTGCCATTACGCATAAAGAAACCGAGAAGCCTGCAATAACTTACAATGAAAGCGATTTTGTTGATTTTACTGGATCCAACGTCCGTGTTGATGGAGCTTTGCTCTTTTGAATCGTGTTTGCAAGGACCAAATTCTTTTAGTCTTACCTAGCAATGCAGTCCTGCATATTTACTGTAGAAAAAATCAATTGTTTATTTATTAATATTATGTTGTTTAAATCATATTGTTAGATTGGCAAAATTTATTGCCTTTATAATTCAAATTACCGAAACTGATTTGATGTCAGACCGTTTAAATGTATAATTGAGTTGTTTATCTTATTTTTGTAATATTACTGATATTCTACAAATAATGAAGAATAGGTCTAGTTTCTGAGCAAATCGTTGGATTGTAGAAATGCAATTATGTTCTAACTTAGTTACTTTTTTAGTAACTATAACGTTAACAAGACATATGTTGCAGATGATAGCTTTTAGCTGCAACTAGATTGCAGTTGTTGCTTCTATTGATGGACGTTGAAACTGGGGAAGGTGATGGAGGGGGGCGAAATGAAGGCTTTTTCAAATGTAGTCTCCTGTGAAATGACAAATCTTTTAAACAAACCAATAAACGACGAATGGAAGATTCTACTTTAATCAAAGAAAACGAAGGGACCGTTAAAAATCAGTGCTTGAAGAATGATAAACTTAATATTCAAACAAAATTTTTGCTTTCATTCAAAACAGAATTTTTTTCCAGAGCTGTTCAATTAAAATGATCCCTATGCATGTCCCATATGAGATACCGACCTACCACTGGGTGGGACTTACCCCATAACCTTCATTTCCCCCTCGCACCTGTACCGTACCGGAAACTGCCGAGTTGAAGTCGTTCGTGACCGGCAGCGATTCTTATGAATATCGCGGATGTAAAGCAAAAAGATAAAGCCTGTAATAAGGCTTCCTTGGAAGAACCACTGGGAAGAACCTCTTTCCAGTTTGAATAGAAAAACGTCATTTTTTTTCTAAGTTCTGCTTTTTGAAGACTTTGTTGTCTCATTGATATGAATATTGATATGGAGGTCACGGTAAAAACCCTTGATTCGCAAACAAGAACCTTCAATGTTTCCTTAGAAGTAAGTCTTGCTAATTTGGCGTCGTTATAAAAGCGGACTATTAATTCATTGTATGTGGCTCGTTCAACTTATTATTTAACGTTTGAAAATTTTCATAGACCACGGTAAAAGAATTCAAGACGAAAATCGCAGAAGAAATGGTATGATTGTATAAAATATATTGTTTTTTGCTGCAATGCCCGTGTTCTTTCGTGCTCACACTGGCGTCGTCTTAAAAAGATCAACTTTCTTAAATGTTCATTTGAAATTGCCAGAAAATCCCTATTGAAAAACAAAGATTGATATTTCAAGGCAAAGTTTTGAGTGACGAGAAGCAACTGCAGGACTACAGTAAGTAAATATATCGTACCATCATGGCTGGCCAACTCATAGGATATATTTTTATTTTATCTTTGTCTTTACAGCAAAATCCCAAGCATTAACTACATAAGTTCTTTACTGTTTGGGAAAAAAGTTTTGGCTCCCTAAAATCACGACAATATACTAAAACAAAACATTTGCTTTGTTGAAGAAACGCTTGTGGCTATTGAAATGCACATTTTTGAAACAAATAAAAATTGAAATAAAATTGGTTTGTTTCATAGAATACACCTATTTAAGTCCATTTCAAACTAGTTTGTATAATTTTGTATCAGCATTATTACAATTTTGAAGCTACTATATCAATGTCAATTCTTAATATTAGTGTTTTATGATGATTCAACATATGCAAACACTAAAATCCAACTGGGACAACCTTGATACTTTAGAACTAAAGGAAATTTTATATCAAATATCCAGAAAGAAACGAATTATGTATGTTTGTTTGATTTCTTCTTGCTGGGTGTATAGGATATACAAAATGTTTTTGAATTATCATCTCCTTCTTCATTCATGCCATTAGATTTGAATTTATCTTTCTTACCGAGTATTATTGACTGTTTTTAATCATGTGGTTTCGTTATATATGCATTAGTGTTCAACACCTTGAAATTTTTGTAATGAAAAGCAATTTCAAAATGATAAATTAACTTTAGAGGTTAGCGGTTGTGTTGTACACTTGGTTGAAAGACAGCCTCCACGAACACGGTCCAATGGCCAAAGTATGTAGTTCTTTGTTTGAATGATTGAAGAAATTTCTACTATTCATGGTAATTTTTTGATGAAAGTTATGATGAAATTATTGCTTTTTTCAGGCACTGAAACAACAACAGGATCAACATCCACAACCAGTATGCCAGGGAATATTGCTGGTATTATGGGAGCCTTTGCCTTGCCCGTTGATGTAATGGGGGTGACACAGGTACATCAGTAGATTTAATTGGTGTTACCAGTATCCAGACATACTGAAGCGAATATCAATGTTGTTGTCTTATAGCAAATTGTACAAGGAATCGTTCAACAGATTGGAGCAGAAAGTGCTCAAGCAAACATTAGCACTACGTCCTCGGTAAATCTTAAAATAGTTGACAATGTTTTTTTTTGATTATTTGTACTTACTCCTGTTTTTTTGTGTAAATATGTTATAGGATGATGGATCGTCAGTCAATGTTCATGTTAATCTTTCAACTGTAATGGTATTTTTTTTAAAACTTTTGACTGTCTATAGTGAATTTTGTTTGATTTATATGTTGTAATTCAGTCAAGGAATGATTGTCAATCGAGGATTGCTCCTGCAAGGGCTCATCTCAACAATGTTTCTAGAATCATACAACGCCTAGAGGTGTCATGTTTGTTTAAATTCTCATTCCTTTGTGTGTGAGTTTTTAAATTGACCAAACAAGTTTGTTTTTGTAGAATGATGGATTGCCATCAAGTAATTATATAAATGAAACAAATTCTAACGCAGAAAATGGAGTGCCAAGCAATAGTGAAAAGTATGTTAATATATTTCTGCTAATGTTACATCAGAGATGTCAACAATGTTGTATTTCAATGTAGTTCTTTGGAAGATTTGGCTAATATATTGCAACAAGTTGTGCAATTAAATGATGAAATGAGGCCCCATCTGATACGTTACCAAGAACTGCTTCGTTCCCATACAGACAGACAGGTAATTCAATCAAAGGAAATTTTCGTTATGCCGAAAAGTATTAAAGAAATCTGTTATTTGGTTTTGTTTTTTAGCTTCAAGGTGCTGATGATCTGTTGCCAGATTTAACAGCAGAGGTTATGCACAGTCTTAGTCATGCTTTTCATGCATTGTCTGACATAACTACAAACTTTCGAGTACCAGATCCACAGCTGAATGTATTACCCGCAATGTCTCCCGTCCCTTTCTATGTTGGTAATGCTAGGAATACAGCATCAAGCAGTCAATCACAGTCCAATGGACCTGCTAATATTCAAACTGGTATCCCAATTGGACTGAGCCTTAGACCAGGGAATAGTGGTTTGGGTATGCGAATGTTAAGGACCCCCAGACCTGGTTTTGGCCTTCGACCTGGATCTATGTTTAGACCGGGGCCAATGTTTAGACCAGCAAATGGAATGGGGGTTGGATTTGCCAATCCTGCGCCAATGACGTCATCAACGTCTGCGCCATTGACGTCATCAACTCCCGTACCACTGACGTCATCAACATCTGTACCGGTGACGTCATCAACTCCTTTACCTTCATCAACAACATCAAGGCCTGTCAGTAATGCTGCTACCAATCCACAGGTATATCGAATTATTTATATTCATAGTGAATTTGCTTTATTCTCAACTGTATAATCTTGCGTTTATTAAAAGGTCAATTCTCTGATTGGTGCACCTGTGAACTTGCAAAACCTGCCTAATTTTGCAATTCAGATCAACCCTGCCTCTGGCAACATAACAATTGCTCATATTGTCACGTCAATTGTTGAAGAACCAAGCCTACGAGCTACGACTGTCACCACCAACAGTACGCCATCTCCTCGTACATCATCACGTGGTTCACAACCAATTCCACTTCTCAACACAATTCCACTTGGTGATTTTGGGGCAGTTTCTGCTCAAAACGTTCGCTTTTCCTCTCAAACTTCCTCCCAAAACACAGGTTCTGGCCTTGCCTTCGTTACTGACAGCCAACAAAACGTACCATTAGACGCGACAAATCAACCAACTACAGAAGGGATTACGTCAGTAAATCACACACCAAGTAACACCGCCAATTCCACGCCTAGCAACAACGTTAATCCTCCACACAACAACAGCCATGCAGCTGCTGATGCTCAAAGGAATTCTGTACTCAACTTTCTGCCAAATAATGTCGATCATCGTGATCCATTGTTACCCTGCCAGAGTTTTCATTTTGCCTCTCTTGTCCCCCGAAGTGGACAGGCCGCTCCAGTTGCTTCACAGAGATCAGAGCAGGCTTCCCAGAACACGAATCAAAATACACCACACGCAACAAGCGGTCCAGGTACAGTGTTAAAAGATAACATCCGATCTATCATAATTTGTTAAATTTGTAAATATTGTTTCCGTTTAAGAAGTGTTCAACATATTACTCCAATTCAAGCTAATTCGGAAGTGTTGAACTTTCATAATTGACTATAGATTTGGAAACCGACTCCAATGTCAAAACAATTTTCCATAGACATAACGAGAAAATGTTATTTTTCTATGCAATGTTTTCTTAATGTTGTTTTTTTTTGCATTAAGAGTATTCAATGTTATCAAAAAGTCCTTTTATCTCTAAAGTTATAGATTTTTCTGATTTAATCGTTAATGATCAACGACGCAACACAGAGCGACAAACTACAGAAAACGCGGGGAATGACGAAAATATGCGAAACCCGTTTGTTCTAATGCAAGTGAGTTAGATGTCTTCAAGTTGAGGCGTGAAATATTGAATTTCCTGCTTAGGGTTGAAATAAAAGTTTGAACAATTAATAGAGCTACTGTTGTACATGCAGTAGTGATGAAAGTATGCTCTTTACATTTTTTATTTAAGCAACCAGTTACTGCTGAACCGACTCATTCTTTTATGTTCCATGTGGCCGAAACGCTTGATGAAAGACAACAATTTAGAAGTTCATGTAAGTGAAATGATTCAAAACATTTTTAGCATTTCAGTTCTACCATTTGCCATCAAAAGTAAATATATTTGCTTCTAATTGTTGTAGCGGAAGACGAAGATGTTACTAATCGAGGTATTTGATTATCGTTCCGTGTTTCTTACATTCACTCAAACCGAGCAAATATACAAATGATTTTATTATTTTTTCTCAGCTACTTTATCTCGTTATCTTCAACGCTTATTTGCAACCATTCCAATGACACAACTCCTTATGACAGTAATGTGTAAGTAAGGTTTAGTTTACATCTGTAATTGTGTTGTTGATTCAAATATATTGCACGTGATTGGATGCTGTGCTCTACGATGTGAAAGTGTGATTTTTTTATCAGCTGGAAGTGGTGATCCAATCGCGATGTCAAGATCTATGACGAGGGAATTTTTACGAAACGACATTCTAGGCTCCGCAGAGCCAACACCTGAAAACCTTCAGAGGGCCACGGAAAAAATTTTAGACGAAACGAAGGAGATTTTGGAGTCGTTTTTTGTGAGTGTTTGAGTAGGAACATGGAGTAGTTTGGATGTTTTGACGATTTTTATTTTCATCTACGATAGGCGTCTTGTAATGTGAAGGAAAACATCGATGCACCTTCAACGTTGTTATCATATCTTCGGCCGAAAATTCGCAGGTTGCTGGAATTGGTGAATTCAACAGGTTTGAACAGATTTTGTTATTACTATCTACTGAAATTCGTGACAATCATCTTTGGATCGTGGGGAATTATGTATTTAATTGTTGGTCAGTGCTAAAGACCATTTAACTAAATTGGAAAGCCGCCTTTATTTAAACGCGCCTGTAATTTCATGAAACCAAGTTTTACCTCCGATAGAGCTACGCATTTCAGCTGACTATCATAAATGAACTTTCTTTCGACTGCGCATTTAAAGACTGGGACTGGTTAAATTGCCGAATTCAAATTTTTTTGCGCGCTGTAGCTTTCCAGTTATAATGCACTTCAATGCTAGCAGCCCACTTTCAAAACTTTTTTTAGAACCGGATTCTGTGTACACTTCGGATATGTCCGCTCTGCTGTCGAGAATGGCCGCCGAATTGTTTGTTTTGACAGAATATTGTTTAGAAGATGGACGAACGGGTTTGCAAACAGCAATGACACGTTATTTGGTAAGAGATACTGTTGTTTGTGTTGTCAAATGATCCTTGCTGTATTCCTTACATAAAGTACTGCAAAAATGAAGGAAGATGTTACTTTAGGAAATGCCATATTTATTCCTGTTTTCGTTGAAAACTTAATAGTTTTTATCATTCGATATCTTCAAAGGTCTCATCACAAACTCTGTCAAGTTTGCCAGATCCCAGCATGCAAGCAATGATAATGCAGACCATGTGGACTAGCATGCAAGATTTTCGTAATGACATTAGCGTTAGAGAAACGTCTCTCATGCCTTTCGTCATCAGAAAAGAGAAAAGAAAATCTCATGCAAAGAAAACTGATTCTCCAACAATGGAAAGGAACGCCCGTGTAAGGCGTTTAATTATTTGTTAACAGACAACTCGATTAGGTTCGTTAATCTCAAATTATCAGCTCTGCATTATTTCTTTTCAGACGTCCATGACAAGCTCATCGTCAAGTTCAACTTCTTTCCATGATGCATCTAACAAACCTCATTCTTCCGGCCGAACCAATCATTCAGCCGAAGCTGAATGTGTTTCCATGGAAACTGATGAAAATTGGAAAAGAGTGATTCCTGCAGTAAGACAGTCATCTTCTGGTCAATTTCTAGGAAAGCTTTTGTTTACGAACTTTGACCTTTGGAGTGATAAATGTTGTTGGTGTTTTTTTAGGAATGGGTACCAGTTATATCTGAAGATATCATACGTCAACAACGTGTTCCACATCAGTCTCCATTCAGCGATGCTTATCTTAATGGAATGCCACCTAAACGTAGAAAAGTACGTTTTCTTTTTTGCTTGTCCTTGTTAAATTTTTCTCTCGCCTTCAATAAACGTCCTATTTTTATATTCCAGCTGTATCAAACCAACGAACCAGCCCCTTATAATCAATGCGTCTCGGCGACTTTGAAACGATCTATAACAAAATCTGGAGTGACTCCTAGGATTGATGTCGACAGTATGTTGTTGTATCGTTTGCCAAAGTCATTAATCGCATATTTAATATGCGTACTTTGGATGTTATAAGGTGTTCCGTTCATAGGTCTTTTTTCTTTGTTGATTTTCTAGAAGTGAGCAAAGAAGCAAATAGCTCTCAAAGCTTGGAAAGAGTTTTTGAAGATGAGGTTAGGAGTGAAGTTAGAAAACGTCTAGCTTCAGACACGGACTATAACAGCGAGAAATTTCCTGCTATACATAAATACTTCGGAAAGAATGAAAAACGCTAGTATTTTAACAATATAGTATTGAAAATTGATAGTTGTATGTTTTTAGTGCGAATAATTCTTTTTCGTACTTTCATGATGAAATTAATAGAATTAACTTTGCAATTACAATATAATTCTAATATATTGTATTATCTATTAAATAATAAACCTCACTATATATGTGTAAAGCTTCCACAGTTTGTTGATTGGAATATGTAAATGAATTTAACGACTTATGCGAATTATATATTTTCTTTCGGGTTTTTCTCGATAATGAAATTGCAAATTTTCATTTTAAGGTTTGTGCTTTGATCTTATAACAGATGTTCACTAGTACTAGAACTCGTCTGTAAATTTCGATATTATTTCAACGTCGAACCACCTGTAATGATATTTAATAACCTGTTATCTTTTTCTAAAAACTATATAGCATAGCCAGCTGATGTTTTTGAACACCCTAAAAAATCAGGCTGCATCATAGAAACAGATTTATAGTACTTCAACTCTCGTCCCTGTGCAACGTTTCAATTTGACCAACTTGCATCCTGGAAGATGAGAATTAGTGTGAAATATGGCGGATAATTCATGCAACAGGGCAACAAATACTTCAAAGAAACAAGAGATTTTCGTTAAAGAAGAACTCAAAATCGCCGTGAAATTGTCGTTGGATAAATTTAGATATGACGAAGAAAGGAAAGGTAAAATTTTGTGTCAGCAGCTATGAATTTAAACAGCATTTAAAATGCAGTTTGATAGACTTATGCTAATTGAGGAACATTCAACTATAATCATGTTTATTCGTAGAAATGGAATTCCCATCATCGTTTACTGCAACAGAACGTGCCTACATCCACAGACTTTGCCAGAGTTATGGCATGATCACAAAAGCAAGGGGTAATTTAAAGTTAAAGTTACAAAAGCTAATCAGTTTGCCTTTTAATAAGTATCCATAATTTTTGTTGATTGAAGGTGTGGAAGCAACCGTCATCTTACAGTTCGCAAAGCTGATGAAGAAAGGTGTAGCACAATTGGTGGTGTTCATTTGACAACCTCGTCATGTCAACAAATAAAACAACTTTTGCAAAGGTTTCCATTGACAACGAAGGAGAAACAGGATCTCATGCCTAAACGAGAAAGGAGTGCAGACTCGGGAAATAATGATTGTGGTAACAGACAGTTTCCTTGAAAATGTCATTATGCAAGTTCTTACATCTTTCTTTTACCAATTGTTTCAGGTAAATCACCAAAGGACAATAACAAGCATAATGGAAGACTTAATACTTCTCCTCCTTTGATTCCTTCACCAACACAGAATAATGAACTCACGGAGAGTCGAAGTGCCTTACCTATCATGGAGATGAGAGAGCAAATATTAAAGAAAATTGAAAGCAATAAAGTAAGTTTGAAGCAAGGTGTATTTTTCAATTGTTAGAACTCAAAAGAACAATACTTTTATGTTTAAGGTGATTATTATCTGTGGTGAAACTGGCTGTGGAAAAACAACTCAGGTTATTCAAAAAAACAGTAATATTTTATGTAAATAAATATATTTCTATATTGATATTCACACAAATCTTTCTTCAGGTCTCCCAGTACATCATGGAACATTTTGCAGCCAAGTCAAGACCATGTCGTATCGTTTGCACTCAGCCACGAAGAATTTCTGCAATATCTGTTGCTGAGCGTGTTGCTATGGAGAGAGGTGAAAGATGTGGACAAACTGTTGGTTATCACATTAGACTTGACAGTAGGTAAGAATAGATGTATACAGGCTTGTGTGTGTTTATTATGAAATATCAAACTTCACTTTCTTTTCATCATTTTGTAGAACATCGTCAAAAACCATTTTGACATATTGTACAAATGGCATTCTTTTAAGAGCCCTAATAGCTGGTGATGGAAATCTGTCTTCAATAACACATATCATTGTGGTAGGAGTTTTCAAAGTTTTTTTTCCAATAAGCTGAGTGATGGCTATGACATTCAGCTACGAATCTTGAATCTTAGTGAATATTACATGTTACACTTTTCATCAGGATGAAATTCATGAAAGAGATCGCGTCACAGATTTTCTTCTTATTTCCTTACGAAATCTCTTGTCCATAAACCAAAGCATAAAGTTAATCTTAATGAGTGCAGCATTGGATATCAAATTATTTACGAATTATTTTGATGGTTGTCCTGTAGTAAATGGTTGGTTCCATGAATGTTACAGCGTTATTCCTTATCCACGCATCACTAGCTACATGCTTTGTGAATTCAATCTTTTTAGTACCTGGTCGATGTTTCGACGTTAAAACTTTGTTCTTGGAAGACGTTTTAAAAATGTACGTGTTTTTAATTGAAACAAGTATCACTTTATATACTTTATAGACTAAAAACAAATAGATGGATAATAATGTTCTGACTTATGCTTAACAAAATGTATCAATTTGCAGTTCGCTTCGCGCATTTCATATTAATCTGCTTTCAAGAAAAACTGGTGTAAAATTTTATCTTTGTTTATTATAGCACTGGACATCAGAACAAAAAAATGTCATACTTACGACAGAACAGCGATAATGAACAGCGAAAGATCTCTGACAAAGAGAAAAAAGTGACAATTCAAGGTATTTCATTCTTTTACGAGATTAAGGTAATATTTGTACAACGTTGTCAATTATTTACGATATTTTACAGAACCCGAAGTCAAGATCTTAATGGATGCTCAGGAGAAGGAGGTTCTTAAAGAAAATGACATTGGTAATAAGACAGATGGTGGATATGATGAGACGGAAGAAATCAATGCTGTAGAAGATCTGACATTGAACGATGATTTAAATAATGTATGATGAAATTAATATTCTGCTTAACTTTTCCTATGTCATATTGAAGTATGAGTTAGTAGTTGAGTAACCATAGTAACGAGAGCCGAACGATTTATCAAGGAGTGTGAAGAAGATGTTGATTTCGATGCAGCCAACGAAATGGATTCCGCAATCTTTGAGGCATTTTTGAACGTAAGAGAGGAACTTGGAACAGGAAAACTTTTTGACATGGAGTGTGCATTACTTATCCTTTTATTTGTTTAGGGTTGTGAAGATTCTTACGCTCAAATCTTGCATTTAGTGATGAACGAAGGAATCAATGGTTAGGAATTATAGTCTGTCGTATTTGTATACAACTATTGGTTTTTGCCACATAGGCAGTTTTGTTCATTTTAAAGTTGATTATCGTCATTCGGAAACAAAAGCAACATCTTTGATGGTCTGTGCTGGTCGGGGATCTCTTGATATGGTAGAGCAACTCTTGAATCTTGGCGCTGATCCACAGTTGACTGAACCAAACAATTCGTGGTATGCCGTGTCACGTTTCCGCCTGGCATTGTGACATTGTTCTTGTAGCTATATATTTTACAGGAATGCCGCTGACTGGGCACGAAACTGGAAACATGAAGAAGTGGCTCAGTTCATTGAATCTTACCTGTAGGGAGTAATTTATTCTTATAAGAATATATCGATAGAGTTGATCTATTTGAGCGTGTATATTTCACAGATCCCAGCGATCAAATCAAGTTAAAGAGATTCTTCTGGAACAGCAGTCAGCAAAGTTAAATAATGAAAGCAAAGAACTGTTGAGTCTTTATCACAAAACGTTTGACGACGATAGGGTATGCGCGTAGTTTTTTCCCGAAGATTTCCAATTATCAATTAGTTGTAACTTCTCTGCATTACCTTTAGTGGTGTAAACAGCCTGTATTACCCGTTCCCTTTTAGGTCGATCTATCATTGATATTCAACTTACTTAAATATATTTGTGGCTCTGAATCTACTGGTAAGAGTTTAAGAGTTATGTACAATGGGCTCTATCGTTTTATCTTTTTATTGTTAACGATGTCTTTTTAGGAGCGATACTTGTTTTCTTACCTGGTTATGATGATATTGTTACTCTTAAAGAACAGCTTTGCTCCTCGAAAGAGTTTGGAAATACCAGAATGTATGAAATTTGAAATCTCTGTTCAAAACCTTTTAAAAAGTACTATAAATTGCACAAGTAAAATGGCGAATATTGATTTAAATTCTTAGGTTCAATATCTGTTGTCTTCATTCATCTATGCAACCGTCTGAGCAGAAGAAAGTACGTTTTTTTCATTCATGATTTTGGGGTTTTTTATTGTTGACGAATTAGTGGATCTCTGTCAGCCAATAAATGAGCAAAAACCTTCAAAATACAACGAAATTCTTTTCTCTTTTAAGTTTACATCAAGTTGTCATAGAGTTAACATCGTGTTATCAATTGAATCAATTTTAACCTCTGTACGTTCATGATACCTCAAACATTTGATTTTTTCCTGTTGTAGGCTTTCCGTAAAATGACTGATGGAACACGTAAAATTGTAAGTAAAAAAAAATCTTTATTGTAATATTTTGCCTAGTATTTCATAGGTTTGATTTGCTCGCGTTTTGAACGTTCTACTTCAGATATTGTCAACAAATATTGCCGAGACAAGTGTTACAATTGACGATGTTGTATTTGTCGTTGACAGTGCTAAAGTTAAAGAAGTGAGTCGTAATTATTTCTAAATTTTACAATTCTTACATTGGAATACAATGTCGGTTTTTCTCGATTTAATAGAACAATAGAATATTAAAGTAAATGGTTTGAACCCGGGAGTATCGTTACATGTTTGTAGATGTAGATCGTCCAGGTTGGTATAGTCCTGAGAACAACTGTTTTTGTTGTTGTCGACTGACGTCAGTCAACAAAAACAAAAACAGTCCTTCTCAGGACTATACCAACCTGGACGATCTACATTTACAAACATGTAACTAGAATACTGTATAGTAAATTATACTATGGATCATTAGGAAAATGTTTTCTTGTATTGGTCTCTGAATTCTTCTGATGCTTTTTTTTGTACAACTTGGCGATAGTATTATATTTCAAGAATCTTTTCTTATAATGAAATACACTAAAGTGGTAATGTCTAGTATATTTGTTTATACGAGTAGTGGCCTGTATATTTGTTTGTTTAATATTATATGTAGTAAAGTATAAATTTTCTAATATTTTATGAATTTGTATTTCTTCAGAAATCATTTGATCCACTGTCTTCGTATCAATGCTTGAAACTGTTTGGATTTCCAAAACTAGTGCCATTCAGCGACGTGGAAGGTTAGCAACAAACACGTTACCATGCTTGACGCGTACGTGGTCACGTGCTTGCATGTGAGATAGGCAACAAACACGTTACCATGTTTGACGTACGTGGTGTTTGCATGGATAGACAACAAACACGTTACCATGTTTGACGTGGTCATTGCATGTGAGATAGACAACAAACACATTACCATGTTTGACGTACGTGGTCACGTGCTTGCATGTGAGATAGACAACAAACACATTACCATGTTTCACGACTTGCAAGGTAGCAACAAACACGTTACCATGTTTGACGCGTACGTGGTCACGTGCTTGCATGTGAGATAGACAACAAACACATTACCATGTTTGACGCGTACGTGGTCACGTGCTTGCATGTGAGATAGACAACAAACACATTACCATGTTTGACGCGTACGTGGTCACGTGCTTGCATGTGAGATAGACAGGAAACACGTTACCATGTTTGACGCGTACGTGGTCACGTGCTTGCATGTGAGATAGACAACAAACACGTCACCATGTTTGACGCGTACGTGGTCACGTGCTTGCATGTGAGATAGACAACAAACACATTACCATGTTTGACGCGTACGTGGTCACGTGCTTGCAGATAGACAGGAAACACGTTACCATGTTTGACGCGTACGTGACGTGGTCACGTGCTAGCATGAACGATCATTTTTCACCTTGTAAGTATGACTCAACATGACAATAGATTTTACTCTTCTCTGTATGATATAATTCTTCAATATGCTTAAGGGCTGGAAGATGTTCTTCTGGTGTATGTTATCATCTCTGCAGCCGAGTAAGATACGAAAGTCTTCAGGAATTTCAAATTCCAGAGTTGCTTCGATCTCCTTTACAGGTCAATCAATTTATATTATTATCTGTTTGTTTTAGTTTTGTTAAACTTTCATTTTATTGTTCATCTGTTCAGGAACTTTGTCTTCATACGAAACTTCTATCGGGTACTGGAACTTCTATAGCCGAGTTTTTATCTCGAGCACCTGAGCCTCCTCCGTACCTCGTACTACGAAATGCGGTCGAAACTCTAAAGGTAGGTTACCTAAATACTTCATGTAGTTCATTTACCATTGTACCTTTCATATTGTTATCGTGTATATATTCAAAGGGCATGGATGCATTAGATCAATGGGAAGATTTGACTGAGTTAGGTTGGTATATGGCGTTCCTTTTCATCGTGTCTTCGTAATTATATTATTGGTGATGTTTTTTTACACGTCTTTGTATGAATTGTGAAGGTCGCCTTTTGGCAGAATTACCCGTTGAACCTCGTCTGGGTAAAATGGTTTTATTTTCCGTTATTCTGAAATGTCTTGATCCTGTCGTCGTTGTTGTATCTGCTATGGCGTATAAAGATCCATGTAATCTTGAAATATACCTTTTTTTCTGTGTTTATTTGCCCGCAATTATCTATTTAAATAATATGTTTAGTTATTTTACCAATTAATGCTGCTGACAAGAGGTTGCTGGCTCAACTAAAGAAACGTCTTGTGGGGCAATCGTATAGCGATCAGTTTGTTGTGCTGAAAATATTTCGAGTAAGTTTTGTCTTCGTCTTTCCTTCAAGTTTTGTCATTTGATTAATAAAGTCTTGTCACGTGTCTCGTTATTGGTCAATTAAGATGTTGTTAATGAAGATGTTATAGAGAAGGTTTCATTAAGACAATATGAATAAAATATTTTCATCTCCAGGGCTGGCAAAAGGCTCGCGCTGAAGGATGGGACAAAAGTTACTGTAGGAAAAATTTTCTTTCTGCTGGAACAATGGAAATGATATCTGGAATGAGGTTGGCGTCTCTATAAATTATGAATCGAGTCAAATTTGAATGATTGCTCATTTGCTCCAAATATTTTAGGTCTTTAATTCTCGGTCAGCTCAAAACAATGGGCTTTATACGACAGCGCGGCTCGTGCGATGGGCGAGATCTAAATATAAATTCAGGAAACTGGACTGTTGTTAAAGTACGTGATTCGGTCAATAATTTGTCTTAATATATGATGATTATAGCAAAAACGTTAACTACATGAGCTTAATGTCTTGCTGATGTTGTGTTTTCTTTCTTCCACAGTCCGCTTTATTTGCTGGTTTGTATCCCAGTCTAGTTTATGTTGATAAGAAGTCTAATAAACTTGTGGCAAAGTAAGTTATCATGTTTTCATCACATGATCACCAAATGATCACCATATGGTCACCACATGATCACCACATGGTCACCACATGATCACCACATGATCATCACATGATCACTACCTTCATCTTTGCTTTCTCTTTGCGTTTTCCATAATTCCAGTTTCTTTTTTTTCAAAGGAAAGAGAAAAAAGTACGTTTTCATCATTCGACAAGTTTGTTCTCGACGGCTAACACAAAATCATCCCTCACGAAGCTCCATGCCGATGCTATTAACAAGCTACCTGGTGATTGGCTGTTTTATGAGGAAATGTCAAGGTACAGTGTGAAATATATAGAATAGAAATATAATAGAATTGAGGTTATACTCAATGGTAAGATTCATTTACAAATTACGAGAGATTTGTTGTACAGATAGACAAAAACAAAAATAGACAGTTAAAGATGGAATGTAGTATCAAAAATGTTTCATTTGTCAGCTGGGAGGGAGATCGTGTAATGTCTACAGGGTATTGGACGACACACTAGCTATGTCTGCAGGGGGGAGATCGTGTAATGTCTACAGGGTATTGAACAACACACTAGCTATGTCTGCAGGGGAGATCGTGTAATGTCTACAGGGTATTGAACAACACACTAGCTATGTCTGCAGGGGTGAGGTCGTGTAATGTCTACAGAGTATTGAACATAACCTTTTTTTCATCGTTTTAGAGCTGCACATTTCGTGCATGTGAAATCATGTTCTCTTATATCCTCCATTACCGTTGCTCTGTTCTCGGGTCCCTGCTTATCCTCCGATAAGATCGACTCTAAGTCTGACGTGTCTCTTAGTAAGCGTTCTGCAAATTACGAAGGAGTTTTAAGTGAAAGCAGTGATAGCGAAAGCGAGGAGCCTGGTAATGACGAACCGTTCAAAAATGTCGTGCCCATGAAGATTCATGATTTTGTCCAGTTTAATGAAAAACAAGAGGTCAGTGTGTTTGATCTGGATTACTGCCAAGTAAAGCTAAATTAATGATTTAATAAAATAAATCATTTTTAGATTGTTACTCTTGTGGAGTTTCTTAGGCACAAACTTCAAGCGTTGATAACGAGAAGATTGAAGTTTCCATCTCGACCTTTATCTCAAGTGGACGAGGTAAAGCGACATTTACATAAAGAGAGCGTTTAAAATCAATTAGAGTGTAAGCCACGCGTACAAATGAGAATATTGAATATGATTTATGACACTGCAGTAATAAATACGATTGTGATTTATATATAGATTCTATCATCAAGGTATCGACATTGACGAATGAGGTGTTTAATATATATCTATATGTTTAAGTGTGTATTACGTGCAATTGTTAATGTGCTGACGCAACAAGAAGAAGCTTTGGGAATCCATCAAGCTTATCAGAAATCTCAACGAACGTTACGACTCGGTATGAATGGCCGATTTTAGAAAATTTTTTTGCATCTCCATAATTCCATAGAGATGTGTACGTCGTGTGGCAAGAAAAACAATTCTTTTTTGACTCTGAAGATGACTACCGCTAAGGTTGTCGAAACGTCAGTCAACAACAACAAAAACAGTCCTTCTCAGGACTATACCAACCTGGACGATCTACATTTACAAACATGTAACGATACTCCCGGGTTCAAAACATCTACTTTAAAAACAATTCATGTATTTTTCTTTATAGGAAATGGGTTCGGAAAGTCTGATAATACAAGGGTAACTTATAGTGTTTTCTACTTATTTCTTACACAGTTCTCCCTTATATGTCACGTGTGTGTGTGTGTGTTCTTATGTCACGTGGTTGTGTTCTTGTGTCACGTATGTGTGCTCTTATGACACGTGGTTGTGTTTTTGTGTCACGTATATCACGTGGTTGTGCTCTTGTGTCACGTGGTTGTGTTCTTGTGTCACGTGGTTGTGTTCTTGTGTCGCGTGATTGTGCTCTTGTGTCACGTGGTTGTGTGCTTGTGTCACGTGGTTGTGTTCTTGTGTTACGTGGTGTGTTCTTGTGTCACGTGGTTGTGTTCTTATGTCACGTGTGTTTTCCGTGTTAATGTTCTAATGTGCAACAAAACTCATTTTCAGGCAGAGGAAACTGAGTTTTCTGATCGCAATGAAAGGTAGTGCATTCTTATTCATTTCATTATAAACGAAACGCTCTATAAACTTATTTTTATATCTTATATTCGTGATAGGAACAAAAACATTGGACAAAATCAAGGCCGTGACAAGGGACAAAGAGAATCATGCAGTATGTATGGATTTTGTTCTATTAAGAGTTTCATTGTATTAAACAACTCTCAAACACATTTCTACTGTCTTATTCACTTTGAATGGAAACATTTTTCTTTTAGGGAGTTTGAATTTTGATCAATACAATAAACCTGTGGTAAAAAGTTCACTTCAAAACGACTTTAATGAATTAAAATGGAAAAAATAATCCCTGTTATTTCCTGTGGTGTAGGAGGATTCAATAACGAAAGATTTAAACTGCAAATATGACGGTACATTTATACGTTCCCTAATCTCATCACTGTTATAACTAAATCTAACGAAATATTTATTTCCTTGGCAAGAATCCTTGATACTTTTCTGCTTTTCATTAACCTTTGCGTTGCTAGGGAAAGTCTGTCTGTCGTTGCTAGGGAAAGTCTGTCTGTCGTTGCTAGGGAACGTCTGTCTGTTGTTGCTAGGGAACATCTGTCTGTCGTTGCTAGGGAACGACAGTCTGTCGTTGCTAGGGAAAGTCTGTCTGATCCACTTATAACATTTTGTATTTATAGTTCGATATTTTATCATGAAATGTAACAATCAAAGAAATCTTGATATCGCCATGGCTAAGGTATGTACAACTTGAAAACAATAGTCGTTGCAAAATGACTTTGGGTACAAAATGACGGGGGAGGGAGAGGAGGGAGGTTAATGATAGTGGGTAGAGGAAAATGGTGGTTGCAATTCGACAATTATACGAAACTTGTCTAAAGCCTGTCTTAATCAACAATGTATGTTGTCTTTAAGTGAAATGATTATTGTTTCTAGAGCATTTGGGCAACCACTCCATCCAATGAAAAAAAACTTAACAAAGCCTTCAAGGTTTCCATGACATGTTTTAAAACAAACTTAATAAAGTCGAGACTTATCATTACCTATATGTCCTTGATCTTTTATATTAGGAAAGCAAAAGGGTCATTCTTATATTCTCCGTTCAAGGCAGCGGTCATTTTCAAGGTGAATGTTAAAGGATAATTTTCGCGTGACTTTGTTTAATTTAAACTATACATTTTATTTTCATAGGTTATGCCAACATGACGTCATTCATTAGCCGTGAAAAATGTCGTGAGTTTGGATCTAATCTTCTCACTGGTTCATTCACGATCACGTGGTTGAAATGGTAAACAGCAGCTTCGTGATTGTGTTATCGAGCACAAAGGCTATTCATTGTGTTTTTAATGCCTCTCCTTTTCAACTAGTAGTTTCAGACGTCTTTTTAAGACTATTAGTATCAACACACAGCAACTAATTTATGTGCATGTATTGCAATTTAAGCGAAAATATTCCATTTCAACATGTCCATCATCTCATAAATCCATGGAATGACAACAAGAAGGTTCAAATCAGTCGTGATGGGCAGGTAATGGTCTTTTTCCTGTGCATATTTAAATAAATGAAACGATTCCAACGAGCTCGCCACGTTGTAGGAACTGGAACCGAGTATTGGTGATGCTTTGTGCAAAATTTGGTGCATAGAGGAAAGCAATAAACCACAAATATCACGACACAGCCGTCACTTGAACCAAGAGAATTCGTACGAAGGATATATTCCTCGATCGTTGGAGCAATCCCAAATGCAAAATCCTTCCCAATGGCATCATGGGATACCGACGTCAGCCGTGCCAATGCATACGTATCCTCACTCAACCCAAGCCCCTATAATTTTTGCAGCTCATCCTACCTCCATGCCTATACCCGTCCCAATCCCCACTCATCAACATGGTGCCACAATGATGATACCGCAGCAAGCTTACCAACAACAAGCTCATCTACAAGCTGCTCTCACTTATCCCACTCACACCTACCAAATGCAAGCAGGTTACCATCATAATCCACAGATGTCTGTTGAAGGTCAGCCTGGCATGAGTCTAATGCATATGATTGGTCAAAAGGATTATATGGATATGCAACAACAATGATTGTAAAATTAGTGGAAGATTGTGTAGAGATGGCTTCTATGTTGGTAAATTTATATTTTCGCATGCAACACAAAAGATTTCTGTATAATCTTTGTTGAATTTTGTAAAACTGTGGTATTTGAAGGCGAGGTAATCTTGTATTTTACTGTGGAAAAATATTGGGGATCGTAAAAAATCGTAAAAATAGATTTGTAAAGTGGAAATGTTTATGTATTTCGACTTCTTGTCTTGATTTTTTTGCAGTATGAATAATTTAGTCTAATTTGTAAATTGCGACAAATTGCGACGTTTTGACCGCTGGCAAGGTAAACACACAGATGGTGGGCGTACTTTACACGAAACAAAAATACAAACTTGCGAAAAAATGGCTGGGTTTACAGGATTTAGCGAAGAAGATATACGTCGTTTTAAAATGCAAGGAGAAAGCATTGATTTGAATGAAAATACTAGGAAGGAGCCTGCAAAGAAAGCTACAATGAATTCTTCCGGCAAACGGTCTAAACCACGGGAGAAAATTCGTACTAAATCGAATAGCAACGCTGTGAAAACAAATGTGAAGGTGTCTGATTACTCTAGCTCAGGAATTGAATCAGATGTAAAAGAAACACCAGCAAAACCAGGCAAAGAAGAAGTCATTCACCAAGCTATAATCCAAGAGAAAACACGAGAGATTGAAGTTATCATGGAAAGTGAAAAGTATTAACTTTCTTAAAGTCAATTATGTTAACTTTAATTGAAATGTGACGTGGAAGACTTACATAAAATTTTCATTTTTTCATTTATGAAGAGTTAAGGAAATTGAGCTGTCAGATCTTGAAAAGATGCAGCAAAAACAAAAAGAAATGGAGATTATTAATAAAAAGAAAGAGAAAATGCTTCAGGCAGCTTTAAAACAGAGGTTAGTCAAACCTGATTTTTAAAATGTTATATTTTAGCCAAGTCAACAACGTGAAGCACAGAGTTTTCATTATTTAGATATGCAAAAACCAAGAGAGAGACAGAAACATTAAAACTTGTCCAAAAAGAGCTGAACCATTTAGATAATCTACTTTACTCTGATGTGCAAGTCTTAAGAGATAAAATTGACAATGCTTGTCGTGAATTTGATTCAGCCAGGTAACAGATGCTCTTAATCTTAATGAATTGTACAATTTCATTTCACCATATGATTCATTTTATTAGGAAGCGCTATGAAAGAGCTGAAAAAGAGTTTATCAATGCAAAAGTCAATCTCCATGATAAAACAGAGTTGAAGGATCAACTGGCTGAGCATTTGTGTTCTATAATTCAACAAAATGAAGAACGAAAGGCAAAAAAATTAGCAGAACTTATGGCAAAACTTGAATTAGCTGATCGAGAGGCGAACTTTGATGAAGCTGAATGTGATTCTAATGATATAATTGGGAAAACTAACTCGAACTCACACGAAATACAAGAAGCTTCAGATGTAAAGACATCTTCTAATAATGATAGGAATCTAAGTACTTCTGTTGAAACTGTTAGCAGCGAAAAAATCGCTCATGACATAGTGAAAGAACATTTAGCTAGCGACAATAGGACAGTGGAAACCCAGTCTATTGCTTAATCAATTCAAAAAAGATATATTTTTATAATTCACATATATTTTTCACTTTCACCCCATTATCAATACAAACAAAGTATGTTTTATATATCTGTCACTTGGTAAATATGTTTGAATTTTCTTTCTTTGTTTCATTTTTTTTGTTTGAGAATGGGCAAACAGAATTATGTACAGCAAAAAATTATCAGTATCCAATGCCTCTTGAGCGGTCAAAGATGTAGCGTCTGAAGATTGTGATGATAGGTTTGATTCTTCGTTGTGCAAGTAAAAATTGATGCATACATTATGTAGGGTTAGGATTAAGTAGGGTTAGGATTAAGTAGGATTAACATCTAGTACGGTGAATATGGTAAAAGTGAGTTAAATAGGGTGAGATAATGTAAATCTTAGTGTAGGTATTGCCCTAACTTTTGGTGAAAGTATTGATCTAGGTGTTTAAGTACACTTTAAGTGTTAGTATTGCCGTTTGTCGCTATGCTGTTCCATGTGTTAATCTAAATCAGTAGCGTAGCCATCTTAACTTTTTACTCCCACTGTCCAAATAATTTTGTCTTCACTGACCATGAGAACAATAAATTTCTAAAAAAATGAATAATGGTAATCCTTCAAAATTTACAAAGCGGGAGTTAATTTGCAGGCTGGCAACACTACTGGTCTAAATGATGTTAGTCTGATTGATGGTCTTAGTCAAAATGATGATGTTAGTCTACACGATGGTTTCAATCTTGTTCCTGGCGTTAGTAATTCCATACTGATAAAAAATACGAACATTCTTAGTGATTTATGTACCCTCCATTCTTTGCGATCTCGTTCCCTATTCGTTTTATACTTTTAAACTTGGCGATTGATTTTTTGCAGGTTTGCACAGTTGTGCTAAGTGTGGGTCATTTGCTTGACGATAAAGTAAATGTATTTAAATCCAACTCCATGAATAGCATTGAACAAGGTGATTCGCAAAGCTAATGTAAAGAAGGAAATTGAAAAGGAGCCCGTGAAGAGCATCAGCGCTAAGGCACTGGACGTAAGTTGCTTAAGAGTGAAATATTTTAGTCTGTATGAATTTACTTTTCACGTTAAGAATTGAGTTTTGAGCATGCTAAGTCCTTTCATTTCTTGGCCTCTCTCTGTCTTAGGTGGACATAAAGGTAGACATAAATGTAGAAATAAATGTAGACATAAAGGTGGACATAAAGGTGGACATAAAGGTAGACATAAAGGTAGACATAAATGTAGACATAAATGTAGACATAAATGTAGACATAAAGGTGGACATAAAGGTGGACATAAATGTAGACATAAAGTTGGACATGTAGGTAGACATAGAGGTAGACAAAGGCAGACATAAATGTAGACATAAATGTAGACATAAATGTAGACATAAAGGTGGACATAAAGGTGGACATGAATGTAGACATAAAGTTGGACATGTAGGTAGACATAGAGGTAGACAAAGGCAGACATAAAGGTAGATATAAAGGTAGACATAAATGTAGACATAAAGTTGGACATGTAGGTAGACATAGAGGTAGACAAAGGCAGACATAAAGGTAGATATAAAGGTAGACATAAATGTAGACATAAATGTAGACATAAAGGTGGACATGTAGGTAGACATAAAGTTGGACATGTAGGTAGACATAAAGGTAGACATAAAGGTAGACATAAATGTAGAAATAAATGTAGACATAAAGTAGACATAAAGGTAGACATAAGGTAGACATAAGGTAGACATAAAGGTAGACATAAAGGTAGACATAAAGTAGACATAAATGTAGACATAAAAGTTAGAATGAACATGAAGGTAGTCTATAGGTAGAGTCTTTGGTGAAAATTATTTGTTTGTAAAAAACAAATCATATTGTTGCCAAACTAAAAACTCTGCTCTCCCTTCTTTAATATACGTAAAATGCAAGTGACAATGGACCATTTTTGTGTGATATTACGCAAATCATAAATTAATTAAATTTATTCAGCTTATTAAATAACGTGAATATTATGATTTTGGGCATTAAGATGTTGGTGACGTCAATCAAAACGCCTTAAAACCCTCTCCAAACGTTAACCTAGCAAGATATGACTGCAAGATTCAATGAATATTTGGAGAAAATTAAAGTCTAGTTTCTAATTTCATCATAGTCTCGTGAACCTTACAACATCATGCATCGTTACTTGGCATAACGACATTAAAATGTAAAAAAACCTAAAGATTCTAATGAATTTTTTTTATTTAAATCCATTGAAGGATTACTTATTGTCTTTGTGAAAGGTGGCATGCTCCTAAGGAGCCAATTACAGTCAATAAAATTTAGTCATGACGTCAATTAAAGAAATGTTGACAACGGAAAGTTAGTCAATTTAAGGTGAAAGAAAGGTAAATTCTGTCATTTTACTGACGAAGTATAGAAGTATGAAAGGCCTCGTAATATGAAAGCTTTCGCTGGAAAATGCTTTGATCATTAAGCCTTTGATCGTTTGAAACTTGTTGCATCGTTCAAACTCAACTGACTAAAGCTATTCGTGCAATGTAGGTGAATGTTCTACCATTTGGATAGTCAAACAAAAAACATATAATTTCTTATTCTCAAAATATCTGATTAAGAATTTAAAAACGCGAACTAACTTCGTAGGCACAGTTATTCATCATGAAATCTCGTAACATGTGTTTTATATTTTCTTATATTGTAGATCCCACATGGATGGAGATGTGAAAGTTCCTTTACCACCTGTGTCATTCACTTTAATTACTCTTACTAGTTTGTCATTACTCATGTGTCATGGTGATTCATGGCCAAGAATGTTCATTTGTAGTTTGGATTTTCTGTTGATGTCAGTTGTTTGTTCATATAATGATGATGGGCCCCATTGTTATATGATCCCACCTAAAGGTGGTCAACTGATACTCATAGAAGATCAACTCTGCACTAAGCATTCTTTGAGTGATGATATAACTGGGGTATTGAAGTGATCCCTTCTCCTTCGCTGGGCTGTCCTTCGATGCTACGTCACGGCAGCCATACTGGTGGTCAAACACAAAAGAATATTTTATCAATGCCATTGTTGGCACCAGACGACGTGGGCGTTTCAAACTGCTTCATAATTCCCTGGTGATTGGTTGCAATCCAAGATTTGAATGGACATCGCATAACGGCATATGTACGTATGAAGATTAGCATTGGAGTGTTATGACTGTATAAACGGACTATGCTCTACGAAGATGGAAAACAAGCGAGTGGAAATACACGATCTATGTCTTGTGGTTTGTAAGTTGAGTAGATAAGTGTTGTATGAGTAACTGCATGAGATAGTTAAAAAAGATCCTGATGGTCTATTTTTATTGTTTGAACCTAAAACATAGAAAACAACCAAAAAAAATGTCAACAAAAGATGTCACTTGCTGTGAAAAAAATAGCTGGCTTTCACTCGCTACTTTTTACTTATTTTATTTAACGTTTACAAAAAAAAGTTTACAATAAATTTTAATGATACACACGTAAAAACTGCGCGATAATAAAAAATAAGGGAAGAGACTTACTAAGTCGCCTGGATCAGACGGACCAGGACAACGCTTGAAAATCAGGTATTTAAAGTTTTTTCTTTTCAATATATTTGATTTCTGTTTTTATTCATTAATTATGCTGACGTTTATAACATATGTTTTTATAGAGTAGCTATGTCTGTGGCCTACTAACTGGACAATGAATAAACGACCAAAAGAAGCACCAAGAAACAAGCGTCCTTATTGAAAGATTCGCAGTTGCAACTTATGTTATGCATAATGTTTATCCGAATAAGTAACGCATTTTCAAATTCAACCGTCAAAAATTTCCATAAAACTAAATTTTCACAATTGTTGAATTTTCTGACAAAACACACGAGTGAAAGCCAGCTATTAATGAAGGGCTTAATGAAGCAACAATGATTTTCAATCGAATGAAGTCAAGTAGACATCAAAAATGATTCTTATGGAAACCAATTTTCGTCTATTTATTTAAATTTTTGTTAACAGTCTGCGCTCTTTCATTTTTTGTTCTCTACCAAAGTTTGCGTTTCTTTTGTTCGAGCACAAAATATTTGCTGTCATTAGGGTAGTCAGCCCGCTTTTTTGTCGCTTCGTAAATTTGTATAGGTGGTGTGCAACCATTCCCCTGGGAGTAAGGGAACAATGGAATGTTCGCCATGTTAGATGCGTTTGCATTGTAAATAAGGAAAATCCTTATTAAATTCATCCAACATGGCGGCTATGACGTAGCTTGCAAAGCATGAATGTTAAAGTAGATCATCAGGATCATTTGAAAACAACAAAAATATGAAACATCTTTAAATTACAAAAATTTAAGGAAATTTTTCTAAATTTTTAATGTTTTCTTTTATTGGAGGGTTTTTTACCGGATCCACCGGTTTTCCCTCCCATTTCGTTTTGTTTTGGAAAAAAAAACAGTGTCCACATTTGGGGCCAAGCGATGTCATTTGTCATAACACTATTTATTGTAGCTATCAATAATATTCACGTTTCTTTTTCATTTCTTGGCCTTTGGGTATATCTCCCAGAACACTGCATTTATTAAAAACAAAGAGCATGCGCTCTAGAAAAATAGGTACGCAATGCGTACATGTTGGTCGCCTGCACGTACATAGCTACTGAATGAAGTAGATTTAATCAATGTAGTGAAAATAAAATTATATATTTAATATTATTTATGTCAAACTTTTTCAAGATTTGAAAATGCTCTTTAGTTATATGACCAAGTAATTTCCCAACCCTGGAATCCAATACTACCAAGTAATTGCAACTGCTGTAATCCGATACTTCAATTGTTGAAGATCAAAGGTACATAATTCCAGAATATCTCAAACATTCTCTTGTTTTGTGATAAAAAAGCATACACAGAATAAATGGTTATTGTGGCCATCACAGATTTTTTTACACAAATAATGCAAGTAAAACAGTCTTAGTTAAAAAAGATATTAATAACTCAACATGCTTTGCATAATAAGGCCATAATAGGCACTAGGCAGTACTAAGACAACCATAATAACAAGTTTAAAAGTTGTGAATACCTACAACTCATGATTAGTCCACTAAAATGATAGTATGAACTATGAAGAAAAATACGTACTTCTGTTTAAATTCAATAAAAAAGCTTAAAAGGCACACCGTAGCCCACAAAAATTATAATCCTTAATGAATGGATAAACACCTAAGATTCTCTTCCAAATTTTTGCAAAATCAATGGGCCATGACACCATCACTTCCCTGTCAACATACCAGGTGTAGCCTTTGATCTTTGATGTCAAAATTCTCTATATTTTCACCAAATATCTACAGAACTCCATTTAGATGCTTAACAGTACACAAGTGACCGTGTTCTGATGGAAGACTGGGTCGAGTTTAGTGATAACCAATCAGAGGACGTTTCTAGGAAAGCTTAAAAGCTTATCTTCAATTTATGATTTTAGGCGCCATGTTTGAAAATATCAAAATATAATTTTACTCAAAAATGTAGTTTTTTATTCGTTTTATCATTTTATTGTGCATATTTTAGGATTTGAAAAGAATGTTATTTTAGTGTTAACAAGTGAATTACTTTCAAGTGCTCATTGCAGCTTCAAATTTCAGGTCAGACATTGTTTTGTTGTTGTCGTTCAAGTATGAATTATTTAATGCATATCTAAGTAACTCTTGAAACGCTAGAGATAATATTGCAGTGCTTGCTCTCTTAAAAGATATTGCTGGAGTCTAGCTTTTTCTGCCTTATGAAAAAGGTGAAATGTAATGGAAATTACAAAACAAGATGTCTCATAAATAACACAAAAATTACCTATATTGCTGTCTGACTGTGTCTACATTATACAATGAAACGGTGTTTATATGCAGCCTATACTGGCTTAAACCATATAAAATTGAGGATAAATTGGGAATGCTGACCCAAACCCTAACCCTATAATCCTTAACAAAAACGAGCCCTCGCTCCCCATACAAGCGCTTAGGGTGTCCGCTAAACTGCAGTCTAGCCTAAAATTGATTTTAAGTGCCTTTTTTAGGTTTGAGATTTTATTGTTGAATTATGCCAAAAAATGAAAGAAAATAAGCTGTTACTTGATGGACGTGTTGGGAGCAGTACTCCATTACCTAACAATGGAAGGAGAAAGAAAGAACGAGGAATTCCAAGTGCAGTTGAGGTAAAATAAAAACCACGTTGGTTACCTTAAATAAGTCACGAACAAACTTTTTTAAATCTTTTAGGAGAGAATCCAGCACAGTCACAAACGATTAGCAGATGCTGGAAGAAGACCACTTGTATGCTTAGTCTTGGAAAATACCAATACTGAATATATTTTGAATAAATTTTTAATAGTTCTACCTAAAAAATTTAGAAAGGATCAATTGCAAAGTCTGGGACACATAAAGCTCATTTTATTCCACCACCAGCGAGAACTTCGCCTGGTAAAAATAAGAAAATCTCATGGGAGGTATGTATTAAATAAAATAATTCATTGGGAGATAAAATTTTCTGGGGGACAGTATTGTACATGTAAGTACATTATTTCAGGGCAAAACACACAGATTGGATATCACCAATGCTGGTAATCTTACAAATACAAAACGATCGTTGCATATTGAAGAATTAAACTCACCAGAGGTAAAAACCTTCCTGCCTTTCATTAATAAATTCTACGATGTTTTTGAGTTTGTTTTCATATAATCCAGGATGAAGATAAAATGAGGGTTTATGAGCGAACAATTGGGAACTTGATGGATGAGATAGGAACGTTAAGAGATGAGGTTTGTTCTTAGGTGTGCATCATTTGAATGAGTCATTGTATTAATGTTAAAATCTTAATAATATGAAGGTTCATAGTGGAAATGGTTTGAGATCTGGATTGAAGAAAGACGAACAGTTAAACGCGAGTAAACGGTTGATTGAGGAACAAGAAGACGAAATATCGGTAGCTATGGTTGTAGTGATTTTGTTTCAACATCTTAATGTCTTAAATGAAGTCAAATATATTCCCCTTGTTGAGCATATACTGATATTGAACTTAAAAATGAATAGTATTTCTGAAGATGAATTAATCATAAATTTATGTGATTGCATCATCACAGGATTACCGTAACGAACTGCAGACAACTTTGAATGAAAATAAAGAATTGAGGACCTCATTGGACAGATTGCGAGATCATGCAAATAGATCAAGGTATTTCGCTGTATAGCTAGAATGTACAATTCCCAAGGTATTTTGAAATCGAAGAACAAACAATATATCTAGTTATTTTAGAAATCTGGAAGCAATGAAGATAGTTGTACGTTTTTTGAAATCTAGCTCGAGTGTTTTAGTCGTTTTCCTACGTGAATGGATGAATGTAGATGAATTAAATAGAAGATTAACTAAGAATAAAAGTTGAAAAATTGTTGAATATTATTGCTTTAATCGAGTCGTATGTTGTTCAGATCTGAAGTTGAGATTGTTTCTCAAGAACGTGATGTCCTTGTAAAGAAACTCATTGAAACCGAGATGGACGCTAAATCAACCAGTCATATGGTACTAAAACTAAAGGAAACTGTCAATAAATTAAAAAAAGTAAGTAAAACAATGATAACTGTTAAAGATTCTACTGCCAATAAAGACCTTTATCGCAGAGGGACATATAAAAATCGTTCTCCCTTACGACAGTGGGATACATGAGGATTAGTGGCGTTTACTATGTACACTAGTAAAACATTAGGAACTTTGATGTACGTTCATAATGAAACATTTAAGGACGTTACTGTGGTGTGACATTCAAGGTTTCATCAACATTAATGTATTTAAACATGGAAATGTCATAAATCTCCAAATTGTGATGTAGGATCATCGTCTGTCGTCATCTGATGTCGTCACGTTGTTAAGACAAAAAGAAAGTCTGTTGAGAAAACTCAATGATTTTGAAACTACAAACAAAGCTCTCAGAAAGCTATTGAAAGAACAAAGTGAATACGAGGTGTGTTTTTCTTCAAAAAAACTCGAAAAATTATTTTCTTGAACTTTTACTTCTCACCCATTTACTGTAGCATAAAGGGGAAAAACATAAAGAAAAATATGATTTGCTGTTACAGCGTTTAGCTGAATCAAATGAAGAGAACAAGGTATAACTCACTATATATGAAGTGAATGATAGGTTTGAGATAGAACATGTAATAATTGATATGATTTTTAGAATCTTTTGTTGAAACTGAATGAACGAGAAAAGGAAGTTGAGGCTCTTTTAACACAAGTCAATGCTGATAAGGTGAAGTTTGTGAACATAACATGCACAAAATAGTAAATAGTACCGTTTTCCTCTTGTTTACTGTGACGTATCCTGATGTCATAAATGATGACGTGTTAACATGCACTGGTGTTGTACATGATGACGTATTCGCATGTCTTGATGTCGTATATGATGACGTGTTTCTTTTTTGTTCTTTGATGTCATCTTCATGAAGTAGTACATTGTTTAGAACCAAGCTTTTGCCTTTGATGAACTGAAGAAAACCATGGAATTGACACGAGCTCATTTACAGAAACAGTTAAGAGCTCGCGAAATGGAATGTGAACGTCTTAACGTCCACATCAAGGTGAGAGTTGTAACATTACATGATGAAATGGAATGATCCAAAGTATGCAAAATTCAACTGTATAAACTTTCATTTTATTGCAACGTTGATCTTTTCTAACTGTGCAAAGTTCAACTGTATAAACTTTCATTTTACTGTAACGTTGATCTTTCCTAAATGTGCAAAGTTCAACTGTATAAACTTTCATTTTACTGTAACGTTGATCTTTCCTAAATGTGCAAAGTTCAACTGTGTAAACTATCATTTTACTGTAACGTTGATCTTTCCTAACTGTGCACAGTTCAACTTTATAAACCATCATTTTATTGCAACGTTGATCTTTCCTAACTGTGCAAAGTTCAACTGTATAAACTATCATTTTACTGTAACGTTGATCTTTCCTAACTGTGCAAAGTTCAACTTTATAAACTATCATTTTATACCGTGAAGTTGATCTTTGACGATTTCTTTTACATGTTAAGTAGAATGTGTTCGTCAACAACACGGAGAATGATGTAACGTTCTTCTGTACATAAATAGAGCACAGAGAAAAACCATGAGCAGGACAGATTTGAAGCTGAACATCTGAGAGGTCTTGTGGAAGCTTTAAACGTGAGTTTGGTTTTTATATTAAGAAAAAGACAACTTTTGTAGTGGCATTCTTTTGATATACAACCACCTTGCACATTTTCGTTAACTTTTCGTTTCGGCTTCCAAAGTTTCTAAATCAAAGCAACGTTTGTAACAAACTTGTTAGCCTTCGTCAGTAGTCATATGTGTGCTGGCAACAAAATTACATTTTAACATTTAAAGTTCGTTTCCCGATGAACGGTTTGTACGATACTGATCAACTTGCATGCTGTAAATATACCCGACTCTTTCGACTTCTAGACCCGATAATTGTAGACCTTCTTCAGTTTCTTGCACAGGTAAAACTATCGTTTCTTGTACTGGTAAAACTATTATTTGTTGCGCTTGTAAATCTATCGTTTCTTGCACTGGTAAATGTACAGTTGTGAGATATTCTCTTGTAAAATTCATTGTGTTATCTTTTATGTTCGTCTTTTTACGGCAAAATTCATGAAGCAAGAGCTCATACTAGTGAATACAGAATGGTATTCCTAGTGAACTTTTTGGTTTTCAAACATGAAGGTCTCATGATGATTGTAGGAGTCCCTACATATCCATTTATGTCTTTTTTACACCCTTATGCCACGTTACCCATTTACAACGCGAGTCCTTTGTATGTCATCTTATTTCGTTTATAATCTCTTCTCTTTTTTATTTTCCAATCTTGAATGTGAAACATTCCATATGGTGCGATATTTAGATATGATATACTCTTGTTCATCTTCGGCTTTGTTTCCCGTTCGCTCTCTCTTTCTTTTATCATTTCTCCCGCGTGCTACATGACATTTTTCATTGTAGAAGCTGAATTAAGGATTATGATCTTTGATTTGCGAGATCATTTCTCTTTAAACGGTTTTTGATACTTTTTCTTCCGATGGTCTGAAGTAATAAATAGAGTTTTCTCATTTTCATTTTACCGTTTGCATCAGCAGCTGCTATAAATTACAAGCATCGAGAATATTAGTTTCAATTCAACGTTTTAACTTGAAGTCGTTCGTAGCTACTTTATATGTTCGTGATTTAGACTATATTCCCATGAATTTTTCTCATGACTTCTCGCGTCGCTTTATAGTTGTTGTCACATTAAGCTTTCAGTCCTTTTGTCTGAGCTTCAATTATGACTATTTTCTGGGAAAATTTTTATCAGAAAACATATTTGAAGTTTCATTTTGTGCATGGAACAAAACAGAGAAACGAACCATAACAAAAGAGGATGTTTCGAATTTCTTTACTCTGTTACGCGTTATGTTTAGTGGTCCACATCATAATAACAGTTTAAATAATAATCGCCATTTAAATGTCTTATTTAGAATGTTTTTTGTTTCCGTTTTAAATTACTGTGATGGAGCTTCTCCTATAATTCACAGCAATATTTGTTCATTCTGTTGCTCTCTTTAAAGGTGAAAGCACAAAAGGAGAAAGACGCTTTGAAGAAAGCTGCTCGGTACGTATCTCTTTTACACTTAATCTACAAGACAGTTTCTCCGCACGAATAATGAATCATATTAACCTGCTGCAATCAACAAAGCTTGATGTTTCGTGCATGTTCAATCATCATTTTTATTAATCATCTTCATCTCAACTCGAATTTTATCACCTTATGTCTACTTCGGAAGAAAAAAAATTTTGAGATCTAAATATATTTAAATAACCCGAAACACAAGAGGTCTAGCTTGAGAGTTGTCGATATGAATGTTGTTTTCAACTTTCCTTTATCATTTAGACTTCAAAAGGATCGTGCTTCGGAATTAGAGAAGAATGTTGAAACACTTCAGACGAAACTAGTAAACACGTAAAATGGTTGCTTTGTTCAACACAAAGTCGCTAAAGTGAATTATTTTAGGATGAGACATCGCTGAAACTAAGACAAAATCATGATGTTACGAAAAAGAAGGAAACAAACTACAAAATGGAAAAGACCTCTTACGAAACGAAAATTGGCAAACTGAAAAGGTTTGTTTATCATTGTGCTGTGAAAAAACATTTTCCACCAAAACAAGGCAAATATTGTATAAATTGAAACTTCTTTTATTGTATAGTCATATCCATGAGTTGGAGAACGAATTGGCAACATCACAAAGTACAGCCAAGGTAGTTTGAATGAAGTTGGGATTCATAACCACTTTCTAACGTCGTGTTTTATTACAAAATGTGTGAATTTTATTTTGATGTCTTTGATTCATTCTTTCTTTTACAACACGACAAGAGAGTCTGTGCCTAAACGCAACGAATCCTCTCATTAAACGGCTTAATCGACTGAAGATGATTACGTTAAACACTTCGTAACTACATAGATTGAACTTGTAATTTTCCCGAGCTAAAAAAAAAAGGGGGAATTGTAAGCAGTTAAGTAGCTTTGCGCTACTATCGGCTGAGAGTTCTTTCTCGATAAAATTTATCAGTTATTGAAAAATGCACGTATCATCATTTATATAACCTGTATCTTTGATTGTAGAAAACTTTGAATATTAATTAAGATCGTGGTCATATATTTAGACTTATGTTGTAATCAGTACCTCTATGAACTATAGTAAATAAAAGCATGCAGATAAAAAGTTTATTGAAATATTCTTATTTCCCATGGAGTTATTGCATGAACTACTCTTGATATAAGAGTCAGAAATAAATTGGAATTTTATAAATAAGTTAATGTATAAATGATGATCGTCCAGGTTAATAAAGTCCTCCTACTTTTGACTCTGAAGATGACCACCGCTAAGGTTGTCGAAACGTCAGTCAACAACAACAAAAACAGTCCTTCTCAGGACTATACCAACCTGGACGATCTACATTTACAAACATGTAACGATACTCCCGGGTTCAAACCATTTACTTTATTGCAGTATTTGTGGATGGCACATTAGCTGTTTTATTTACTCTTTCTTTAGGCCAACAATGAAGCTTGGAACACTAAAGTTCATACCCTTATGAAAGAAAACAGCAGTCTTCGGTCTGAGAATGAGCGGCTTAAGGTAATTCGTGGCAATTCTTTCGACTAATAGATTCTGTTCAACTTTAACCCATTAATTTTTAAGAATTGTTAAAGTAACGCAAGCATTTCTTTCTGTTGTTAAGACGTTGTGCAATAAATAATTTTAGATTGAAGCTGAAGGTTTTGAAGAAAGATTAAAAGCCGAGGAAGAAAGAAACTTTGCAAAGGTATACTGCGTGTAGTTGAGACAAATGTCGTTTTTGGTTGTCATTTTTAATGCTACCAGAGCTGTGCGGTTCCATATATTTTATCTCTGTTTCTTTCTTTTTTTTGAAAGAAAAATACCTCGATTTGGTTTTGATTCTTTTTTTATTAAAAAACGATGGAAGTGTTCTAACTTAATTACGAAAGTAGGCTTCGCCCATTACTGGTCATCCTTGTAAAAACTTTAAAGTCTTGAACTCAGTTATTTATTTCGACATTAAATAAGAAAATGAAAGCCTTGTTTCCTTATGAAACCCATGAATGCTTTGTTTGTCATACATGAAATAATGAATGAGAACGACGCACCAAGGCCCTCGGGCTACGCCACTTGCACTCTACTTGCACAGTTTACTCCGAAAGTTCTGCAAACACTCAGCTGCTCGTTGCCCAAACTATTCACTCGAACTGTTATTTAAGTGGATTGTACATGCTCGGAGGGAACTGAACTGTTTTTTCTCCAGACATTTTATTATTTTTGAAAACGCTTACGGCTGCAACGAGATGGGTGTCTAGCGGGGGTTGAACAAAACCGAAACAATCACTTCTCTGGCAAAAAAGTTTTTAGTGCATAAAAAAGGATCGAAGGAACAGATTTTTTGGTCACTGTACAGCTCTTAACTTGTACTGGCACTCTTGCTGTCACTGTCACTGTTATTTAAAGTTACAATTCGTTTATTTCTTTATGCATAAACTTATATCTATGTGTATAGTATAAAATGAGAGAAGAAAAGTTAGATAGTCTTCAAGATAGAAATACTCAATTACAAAATGAGCTGTCTCAGAGAAAAATCGAGGTGCAGTGAAACAACATCAATTTATTTTTTTGTTCATACAGTTTAAAGCAAGGTTTTTGTAAATCCTGTCATGTAGGATAGTCAGACCAAGTCAAGGATAGCAGATTTGCTTTCTAACATTAACCATAACGAAAACATGTTGTCAAATGCGAAGTTTAAGGTGTATATAGCTAAGTGATAATGCTCTCAGTTTTTGCATGACATGCTTGCTGTCTATGTTTACGAGAACATTGTATTGCTTTAACAGAATGAGATAGCATGCGAAGATATAGCTCAACTAAAGGAAACTATAAGTCAGTATGAGAATCAGTTAGATGAATACAAATCAAAGGTATTCGACGGCAGTGTGAAATTTGCTCGCTTCTCCACAAAAGCAGTTTCATAAATACTTAAATTTTCGTTTAGGAGAAAGCTAATCAATCGTTAATAGTCCAGCTTCAAGATAGCTTAGATCAACAGAAAAATGATCAGATAGAAAATCGTATTTCGGTGGGTTGATTATTGTCGGTCAGTTGTCATGCAGTATCGTCTTAGTGAATAGTTATGTTGGGTTGATTATTGTCGGTCAGTTGTCATGCAGTATCGTCTTAGTGAATAGTTATGTTCCCCTATTTCCATAACCTTAGCTGAACGACAGCCTCACAAAGATCAATGATTTGCAAACACAACTTAGCGAGTCTCAAGGCAGACTTTCAATGCAGCAAATTGAGGTAGATGAATTTATACAGTGTAGCAAAATTTATGTATGTAGAGGGTTATTGATTTTTTGTGTAGTTTTAGAAATGTTTAGGTAGATAAATTTTTGTTAAATTACGTGTACGCCTAGAGATTTTGTTTTAAATATGTTTCATGGCTTTTTTGTCATAAAATATGCCATTATTTTTACAACTTGATGTAGACTGCAGTGAAAGACTACTTCCTTTCTAGTACGTGATGTAGACTGCAGTGAAAGTCTACTTCCTTTGCAGTACGTGATGTAGACTTCAGTGAAAGTCTACTTCCTTTGTAATACGTCATGTAGACTGCAGTGAAAGTTTACTTCCTTTGTAGTACGTAATGTAGACTGTAATTGAAAGTCTACTTCCTTCATGATACGTGATGTAGACTGCAGTCAAAGTCCACTACTTATCATCTAACCGTGTTTCATACAAAGTAAACGCCATCTATTGTACATATATCGTGTCTCAATTGTGCAGATCGATAAGTATCGACGTGAGGTCGACGAAGCTCGTGTAATGGCTCAGGAAAATGAAGATTTATTGAATAAAGTAAAACAAGATGGAAATATTGAAACAGAGAAGGTTACATAGCTACGTACCTTATTATCATTTAATCATTGAGAAAAAAATTTCTCTACTCACGTTAATGTTCATGATGTTCAAATGTAGGTGAGGATTACTATGCAGAAGCGAATTACAGAGCTGGAACCGGTTGCTGAACTTTTCAAAGTAATTTCTATGTTTTGTTTTTGCTCCTGTTCAGTTTGAGGTCCATAAATTTAAAATTCTCCTACTTTTTACAGGCTTCAGAACATCGTTTGCAAGAGGCTCACAATAAAATTGTCGAGTATGAGCGAAGGACTAGTGATCACAAACAATTGATAACAGAACTAACTCAAAAGGTAGAAAAAATTCATATGTATTTCTCGTCGATCGATCGTTCTTTGATTGTTTGCACCATTCTTGTTTTGTGTAACTAAAGTATACAAGATAGCTTTGATAATTACATGTTTGTAGATGTAGATCGCCCAGGTTAGTATAGTCCTGAGAAGGACTGTTTTTGTTGTTGTTGACTGACGTTTCGACAACCTTAGCGGTAGTCATCTTCAGATTCAAATGTACATCTACAAACACGTAACGATACTCCCGGGCTCAAACCATTTTACTTTATAGCTTTGATAATGTGGCGTTTTTTAAATTAAAATGTTGTGGTTCAATGTGTATAGGTCGAGATGCAGAGTGATCAGTTGGAAGAAACTCGAGAAAAATGGCGAAGTGCCGAGGACTGTTACAGGGACTGTGAAAAAAGATTGGAATCATTTGAAGCGTACGTATATGTTTGATTGCAAAAAATGTCACTTAAACATTTTGTTAATTGTTAGTGTTAGATTTTAATTGAAGTGCTACAATTCAGCATGTTGTCGTCACTAGATCAAGCATGGCTCCACTATGGTTTGTAGGCCGGGGGGGGGAGTATACTCTGTTTTGTAAGAGAGTTTGATGGATACTTGTTTCCGTAGCATGTTCGACTTTTTTGTTAAATTCGGTTACCTTTTTATTATGATGGAGAGATTTTCGGAGGTTGGTTCCACTAAAAACTATTCACAATTGCTTTTCTTATATTGTTTGATATATTAGTGTTTGATAGGAAAGTGGTACCTTTATAGAATTACTGTAAATTAGGTTGCCAGCAACGGGTGTGTAAGTCTAATATCAAGCGTTAATATCTCAGGAAATACGAACAATTGATGAAGGAGAATCGTGATTTAATCGCTTCTCTTAGTCGAGGAGACGAAGCTTTGAAACAAACTCAGGTAAGTGTTTTTCAGCGTGAATCTGATTCAGCTTTAGAAGATTATGTTGACTGTGAAAGGATAATGTTATAAACTGTTTTTTTATGAGGAAAAACTGGAGGAAAAGAAAGAAACTGTTGCTAAATTAACGTATCAACTAGAGGCAGCTTTTGCCGATGCTAGACGTCAAGCAGAAACTCTACGTGAAAAAAATATAGCGAAGGTAAAATCTAGATATTTGTGGTTTGTATTTTTGAGAAAAGATCTTGTTGGTGTTTATTAATCGATGGCTGAACGAATTAATGTTTGAGCCTGGGATAGTGAGCAATTTCTGTAACAATTCGATCTCGTTACTAAGTTCATTGGCTGTAAACGTTTTTGCCTTTGATTGACAATGGCGTGATGTAGCTATGAAGGGTATAAGATTTTATTCCATGCAGGAACGATCATCTCATGCACGCATTGCAGAATTAGAAGCTCAATTAAGTCGCGCTACAGCAAATGTTGCTCAAATGAAACGAGAGAAAGATGAGGTTTGCTTCAATAATACTTTATAGTTAGTAATATCTACCACACGATGAAAAATTACCGTTGTGTTTTTCTCATTGAAGGTTGAACATCGTTACACTTCACGTCTTAGTGATATGCGCGATCGTCTAGACCAAGCCAACACAACCACACGAAGCATGCAGAACTACGTATCCTTTTTAAAATCATCTTACAGTACCGTTTTTGACGATATTGATGAAGCAAGATGATATTTCTACCTCGGATGAAACTGTAGTTAGTTTTGACTTTGCTAAGTCTCTTGATCATTTCTTGCATCATGAGAGTCAGACGAAAGAGAACATTTCATTTTTATCCATGTATTTACGAGTGTATATATATATTTTAACTAGACATTTTTCAAATTTTTTTATCACGATTAATATTTTTATAGTCATCATTTTTTGGTATGTAATTGATATGAGAATTTTATGGGGGGGTTTTCAGACATAACGTCTACATTCTTCGTTCTAATCTACCCTGTTCGGTGGTCAATATTTTGTTTCAGATTGGAGTCTGTCACTTGCTTTTCTTTATAGAGCTGATGAATTACTATGAAACAGATTTTCCTCTCTTGGCTGGCGTATCATGAGTGAACGAATGTCGCCTTAAATCAACCTTTCTATAAAATGCTCTTGAGCAAATATTGCAAACAAAAGGTTTGTGGCCTGTGTGTTTACGACTGTGAGTGATGAGATTTGAGGATTGACTGAACGCTTTCCCACATTCTCGACAAACATGAGGCTTTTCCCCTGTATGAATATACGTATGTTTCTTCATGTCGCTCTTCTGATGAAACCGCTTTCCACAATACTCGCAGGGAAACGGGCGCGTGTCAGAATGGATCAACATATGCGTGGATAGTGTTGAGGATCTTTTGAATGTTTTATTGCATTGTTTACACGAAAACATTTTTTCATTATTATGTATGTTAACATGTTGTTGCAGGCTCACCCTGTGTCCAAATGTTTTCTTGCAAATGTGACATTCATAGGGACGTTTACCTGAATGTGTTCTTCTAACATGAACCTCTAAACCATGTGGAGTATTGAAGCCCTTGTGGCATTTCACACATTTGTACTCTAAATTCAAGGACATGTCGGATTTCTCGCGTGGAAGGATTTGTATATTTTTCTTCACGTAGTTGAGAACTTGCAGTTCGTTTGACCAGCGGTCAGCCGCATTAGGAATAGTGCAGTAAAGGTCCTTCAAGAATGTGGGGAATCTATTGTCGATGCGGGCATTATTATCTTGAAGGTATGTCGTCACTAGAAATTTAATAAAGTCAGGTTACATGAAGTCAGATCGAAAATTCTTGTGTGCTTTTTTTATCTTGACTTAATGAATGAAACAATTATCTTTTTTGATTTTTCTTTTCATAACGCTCTATCGATAATGTAAATTTCATTATTCCTAATGTTTTATAGACACTTTGGTCAATGTTTTTGAATGGAAGATCAATGTTTTTGAAGAATGAACTGATGTTTTTTTCTTCGAATTCATTTTATTAAAAAAAAGTATGTTGTTTGCACATCCACCACATGGAGATCTTTTATTTAACCACATTATATCACAACACTTAAGTTCCTTTTACACATTTTTCATCAATTATTCATATGGCCAAAACAGTCAAGAATCTACACCCACACACACACACGCGCGCTTTTTCTTGTGGCTTAAAAACAAAGAACACTACTTTAGAACGTAAATATTTTTACTAACACTTGAAAGTGTTCAGGCAATGTTTTCATTAGGATCACGCTTATAGCAGCCGGTCTTAAGGGTATGTATGTTAGTGCCATGTAAACACGAAACTCAATGGAAACATAAAAAAAAATTAAAAAATAAATTGCTTTCGCAGTTTACATTCGAGTGATATTCAACTAAATTATCAACCTCACCCTCCCCTCCCTTAAAATGAATTGCGCATATCAGTCTTAAATTCTTACAATATTTTTTTCTTTTACCTTCATTTCAGTTAAATGGTTAGCACTTAGAAAGAAAACTTAAGATCGTCAGTGTTCTTCCTAAACAATATTGGCATCAGTAAGTTGACAGTTTTTACTTAGTTTTTTTATTTAGTTTTCTGTGTGTTTTCTTTTCCTTTTTTCCTCGTTACGATTTTCGAATTTTTGCCTATCGAAATTTTTGCCTATCGTTTATCCTTGAGCCGATGACAATTTGGATGCATGATGCCAAATAATTAAGCAGAAAAAGAAAGATTTTTTCTGCAAACAATTTAATACAATTTGCTTTCGGGCTTATATTTAGCAATACTAAATCCAATCAAGGATGTTTCGTTAGATGAAAGCCCATCTTAAGCTTTAGTATAAACTCAACTATTTCGTTGAGATCACCTCAGCTATAAGCTATAAGGTTATCTTTGTTGAAGTTTTGACAAGTGGAAAGTGAAGATCTTCGAATAATATTGTATTGTTGAAAGTTTTTTTTCATTTATACCGACAAAATTATTCGATTTTTTCTTGTAATTATTATTGCATATGAAATAATCAATGTCAATATAAAATTTTATGAGTTGAAACATTAGCTCGTCAACGCGATCTATAGTTCATTAATATCACGTAACGTTCTGAAGACATAGAAACTTTTCAGCTCTGACATGCTTTTCCATTTAACGAATACATAAATTGATTTGTTTATTACGATGATCTAGATTGGGTAATACATACTACTTTTTTTCTCATGTTTCCATTTTAACGTGCACGAGAGAAACATATGTAGCTATAACAAAGCTATACACAGCTAACAAAGTAATACAACGCTGTTTCGCGAATTCTTAAAAATATGCCCATGGATGGATTTGGGTATGAAGAATTACATAAACACGGCATTGAATATGCAAGTGAACATACATATTAAAAACCACCAGTCTCAAATCCGCGGGACACCAGCAGTAATCTGACAGCTTTATGGGCAGATTTTAGTATTTATTGATATATTAAAGTAATTTAGATTTCTGAAATCATTTTCAATTAAAAATCTGTTGAATTTGTGCGCTTGACATGAAATAATTGCCTTTTTCTGACACTCGCGTTCTTCAAAAGCTAGCTACATTGCAGAATAAGCGTATCTTAGTAATTTTTATTTAATATTTTTTCTTTGCTTGTTTTTGAGGCGTTGCCATGCTTTGCTTTGAACATAGAAATCTAGAAATTGTAGCTACATTCGCTCTACAGTCCAGAGTTAAATGCTTTATACATTTTGTCTTGGTTGTACTTAAGCCTTTTTTTGACTTGGTGAAAATAGAAAGGATTCAGTTTAAGCTAAACGTAAAATAATGATTAAAACTTCACTGCGGGAAGTGAACATGTACAGACAAAACGAAAAACTCTCGATAATCACGTAAACATTTTGTTCGATAATTTTTTCAATGCTCTTTGAAAAATCTTACCGTTGATTGATGGGAATTTCGTGAACGCAGATTTTTCATAAACTCCATTAGCGTGCTGTTCGGGGAGGATGGAGTGCGAGTGTTTTAACATGCTCTCTTGAGTGTCTTCTATATTTCCATGCTTGACATCTGCGCATTGTAAACTTGTAAACGACTCTTCGTCTAAGTTGTAAAACAAAACTTACTTTTGAACAAAAGAGCGCCACCGTTTTTTTTTGTGACGTTATAAAGGATTAAACGTTTATGTCATCAGTTTGAGTAACATGCCGAATCCTGCTTGCGTGATTGAATCTGAAACGCAACTTAATTTTCTTATCTGTGATTTGTTAATATTTCTCTTTCATCAAAATACATGATGGATCATTAAAATGACGATATTCACCGCCATTATATCAGCTTTATTGCATTATGTACGCGTGTTTGGTATAGTGAAGGAGTCGGCTTTTAATGCTACGTTCACATAGTAATCGATAAAATAAGAAATTATTTCTCTATTCAACCGTTGCGCAACCTTTGAATGAAACATGAGACATACATGGGAGTGGACATGAAAACTAAAGATTAATCGTCAGATGTTGAATTTTTTCATGAAGTATCGGATAAAAAGAATCTATTTTAATTCACTGACGGTCGTTCCTGTAACTTTTAACACGCGTTCCGTATAACTGTCATGAGGAACATAAAACTTCCGTAGACAGGTTATATTTACTTTACATGAGAAAGAATTCTATAATTAATCACGTTTTTAGACTCAGGATCGTAGCAGCTTGAAGCTCTGAGAAAATTCCATGAAAAAGAGGCAATATGCTTTATTTTCAACATTTTTATGAAACATCCCATATTACAGCGGTAATTTTTGAGAATGGAAAATCAGAAACTTACTTTTTCTATTGTTTTCGTTGCGTTGCAGATTACTTAGAGCATCAGCGTGCGTTTTTTTGACGGATTTAACTAAGAAAGATCTAGGCATCGTTGTCAGCTTCCGCAATTAGTGAATACAACTGACTTATGCCTAATGCTTCTTGCATCGCAGTGTTATATGCTCAGTTGCAGGATGTCATTTGCAAAAGTTTATGTCATCTTGAGCACTCGAGATGTCATGATTTGACATGAAGCAGGTCGTTACCATGGAAATCACGGGTGGGATATATTTGCGCACGCGCAAAACGTCATAGGAACAGGTGATGGCCATTTTGTATTATTGGCTTTCGCAGCGGCCTCATTGTTTCTTGCACAATGTCCCACCTTTCAAAAATGAAATCTTTTTTCTAACAACTGTGATTTATACAATTTTCTGTAAAAGGCGATTTCAGGTTTCGTCGTAAGTTGCATGCATCTACCTTAAGACAAGCGCAGTACGAAAAACTTACATGTGCGAATAAGAAACGAATCAAAATACTGCATGCATGTAAAGGCGAACAGTTCAAGTGCTTTAGCCAATAGAGGGGTTTACGTTAGTGACATGAAATTCAAACAGACGCGCTTAAGAGCAAAGCGTGCTGCAAAGAGGTGTTGAAGATTTTATAGTGTTTGTTTGAGGCATGTGAAGAGGTTTATTTTTATCATATGCATTTTCTACTATAAACATCTGCCTGTATATGGAGACAGTCTGCGCTAATGGAATCATTTTATTAAAAACATTTAGCTCTAGTTGAATGTAAAGTATCCGCAGCTATATGTACTTTTTTCAATGTGTTCCTCATATAATTTAACCTTGGGTAGCTATTTAATTAGGTATAGTAATGTCGTAGATAACCTACAAAACATATCAAATGCATTTCCGTTAGAACAACGCTATATAGTTTTGTTGAAATCAATCTGTTCCTTAATCATCCTTTCATAAATGTTTTATCATTGCAAAGCTGAAGAGTATAATTTTGCCATTTCATTTACATCACTTAATTTTACCAGAAATTCGATCGTTTATCATGTATATCTTGACGTTTGCCACTAATCTTTTCCATTAATAAAATTCTGGAGGTATTATTAACTGGCAATAACTGCATCGCATTTGTAATTGCGTTTCATTGTTTTTCACATCATAGAATTTCCTTTAGTTAATGAAATAAGACAGGTTTATGCTCCTTTAATTGGTATTGATAAACTTATTTTCTTCATTAACCTCTCTCGTAACATTTTTTAAAATAAACTTCTCCATGTAGGAATCATTGACCTTTTAACGAATTCAAATGAAAACTTGATATTCTAAGAGACCGCAGCGTTTGAGCTATATCTAAGTTTAAAATTATCTTTAACTACATACTGTCCTTTTTTGATGAGGGTATGTCGGAAGAATGTCCAATCATTTTTTGCACGGCGATAACACTTTCAGTAAGGACTGATGAATTTTTTTGTTCAACTACAATTGTACCAAACCAGCTTAGCACCAGGGATTTAATCAGTTAGATATGATATTGAAAATAGCAAGGAGTCCTTTTCCTCACATTGATCATTGATAAGAAACAGGTTGTTCCTCTCTTCTCATGATATAAATTACAGCCTACATTCATAACTGAGGTGTTGTAGCTACTACACCTGTATATAGATACTTTGTTGCCAACTTAGGAAAGACACATATGTAGCAGCCTGCTAGAATACCAAACGCTCATACAGGAGAACGGATTACTGAGATTCATTATCCTCGAGAATTCATTATGCCACGATCTTTTTTGATAAAAAAAATGGACCCAAGAAACGTGGGGTTTTCGAAGGAAAGCGAAATGAAAGCAGGTACGGTATACTTGTAAAGAATACATACTTTCTTAAAGTTAGCTGTTTTCTTTGTAGAATTTCCAGTGTGATCCATAAACTAAAAAGTTATCTTTATATTCAAGTTTAAAACAGAATTGAGCATTTGTTCGAATTATATCATGAATTCTCTAGATGAAACAGACTCTAAAGAAACAGAAATTACCACATCACGCTTAAAAAGCAAAAACACTGAGAACGAGATTTTTCTGATGGCAAAAAAAGCAAAAATAAATGCGTCTTCGTCACTTAGGGCAAACAAAACGAAGAAAGAGAATCTTGGTAATGCATTTTCTCAAGGAGCTTTTTTTATGGAATCTCCGCCACAGTTTATGGAAAAGCAATCAGGAATCTTCGAAAATCTTCCGAAACTGTTTGAATCGACGGAATCCAAAGGTCCATCGTCTTTTTCGAATACAGGTATAGACACACATGATTATACACAAAGTTATTACATTGAGGTCTGTGTGAAAACAATGTTATTGTGACAGCGCATCAGGCTTTTCTGCAACTTTCTATGGTTCTTTAGAAATAAATTACTAAAATTTAGCAATATTTTATGCTTAATTACCTTTCATACTTTAGTCGTATTTTTTCACAAATTATGTATGATGATTAAAAGGGTTAGCACGTCGGATACTTGAAAAGATATATTTCTGGTGGCAATCCATCATCTTCCATTATCAGTTTCAAACTTACGTGTATCTGGTTGATAATCACGTCCTTGTTTATAACGTCGGAACACTTTAAACGTTGATTAACGAACTTTCTGTTAGAACCTGTGGAAATGTCCCACTATATCTAAAGCTCTATATCTTATTGTTCGTATTCTTTTGTTTAAAACCGTAACTTAATTGTTATTTCAGATCAATTCTATTGGAATTATCCTCGAAGTTGGAATTCACTTCCACCTTTTAACGTTCCTCAACCATCTCCATTTCGTGTTCAATGGAATGGATCTCAAAGAACTGGATTGCAGTATGATTTTGCATATCGTTCTTGGCTTTTTCAGCATAGCTGGATGAACGCAGGCTTATTGGTCGTACAACAACCAATGAATGGTTGCTTTTTGCCCACACGGCAGCCAATGATCATCGCGAAGGGGCTGCATTACGCAACAAGACAGGAAAAAAGTTCCACCACAAAACCCCAAAATGGAAAAGCAAAAAAAATCAAGAAGTTACATAGCTGTTCTGTATGTTCAAAAATCTTTACGCAGGCGGTCAGTCTTAGACAGCACATGATCGTCCACTCCGCAGTGAAACCATTTGAATGCAGATATTGCTCAAAATGTTTTAAGCGATCTTCCTCGCTTTCCACACATCTTCTCATTCACACTGGTGTTCGTGCTTTTGCCTGCGAATACTGTGGCAAGCGGTTTCATCAAAAATCTGACATGAAGAAACATACGTTCGTTCATACTGGTCAAAAACCGCATCGCTGCACTCAATGTGGAATGTGCTTCAGTCAATCTTCAAATCTTCTTACTCATTGCAAGAAGCATATAGGATTTCGTCCGTTCTATTGTGAAATTTGCGGTTCTTCGTTTCTAAAGAAGATAGAATTACGTAGACATCGATATGAACACGAGTATGGAGGGAAAGAATGAAAATATTTAAAAAAAATGACAATAAATGCAGTTGTCAATCGACTATTGTAGTTATGAACGTGTTGTAAAATGAAAGTATAAGATATTATGCTCAATGGATTAAGAATGGTGATAATGAATCATAAAATGTGTCTACTTTCGTAATCCTATTTTGGTCGACAAGGATGAGTCAGCTAATACTCACTCTGAATAAGAACATCTTTCTAAAAATTGAACAAGACTTCAGTAACACAACAGTTCATATTTTATCATCACGTTTTGCACGAAATAGCGATCTTCAATTTTCAAAACAGAGCCAAAGCAAGTAACTTAAAAACAACTTATCATTTCATAAAATATATTTATTGAGCCAGCCAAAGCATTATAAACTATATACATTGGTATCCAAGCTTTATTTTGTCTTTCGTTTATTTTTTCTGGGTTTGTTTTTCTTATTCTTGGAGTCAATAATTTGTTGTGCGTGCATTTTGATGGCTTGTCTTGACAGAACATCTTCATCATCTCCACTGTCTTCGTCATCTAAAAAATGGAAAATAGAAATACTGTTAGTTGTAGACGTTAGTAAATAACCATGTAGACATGTAGACGAACGACGGTCGACCTTCATAATTTGTTCCACTGATATTAGTCTTTGGCAGTTGAATACGTGTGTTAAACTGTGGTATCTTAGACTCCAATGAAACTCGAAACTATTGAGAGAATGGAAACATTTCATAGTATCAACATATGAGTTATATTTATCTTAAATTGACGAACAACGCTCTGTTACCTCGCTGTCTTCTTTCAAAATATCATCTAAACTTTTACCACCAAGATCATCCATTATTTTCAACAGTTTTTGTTCGCATTGTCCCAGTAGATCAAGAACATATTCATCTGAAGTTGGAGCAAGCTGTGCCCGAGGAACATGTCCTTTAGGCTAGGGGAAACATCAAGTAAATCATAATAAAAATGACAACACTTTGAAAAAACACTTTGAATAATTTCGTTCCTTACAGCTTTGAGATGCTGTAGTTTATCTGCTAAATGTTCAACGCCGGCTTTTACATTGATCAATGTTTTTGATGCGCGTTCTTGACGTATCCTTGATTCTTCTAACCTTTTAGTGTAAAATTTTCATAGAAATAAGTTCGCAGAAATGTTTCAAGGAAAATCTAAACGTCTTAGGAGAGAATATATACTTCTTTTCTTCGTCCAATAAGCGTTGCTGAAATTCTTCCAACAGTCTTTGGCCGCTATAGATAATTTAAACCGTCAATCAGCTTTCGTCAAACAAAAGTTCCTGAGAACAATTTTTCCATACCTAGAAAGCTTTGCTTCGCCAGAATATTTCATATCTTCAAACTCTCGTTGAAGCTTTTCCTATAAGCAGTTGGTGGGATGTGAAGTAGTATGGTGCGAGAGATTATATAATACAATTCATTATACCTTTTCTTCCTTGAGACGAACCAACATCTTTTCGTTATCGTTTTTCAGTTGTTCCAAATGCTTTTGCGTGTCACCTTGAGAAAGAAACCTTTGTACGACTTCCTAAGATACAAGTAAGAGTTAAAGTACTTAATCAAAACAACAGGTAACAATGACCTTCTAAGACAAATGTAACTCACTCGAATGTCCGATACTCCAGTGGCGTCTTTAATTTTCATCATGGCACCTTCGTAAGTGGTGATTTTTCTCTCTTGTTCTTCACCAGATAAAACGGGTTTTTGATCTGAAGTTACAAATATTCATCATTAACAACTTTCAATGCAATAAAACAGGCTAAATGTGTAGCTACTACCTGACAAATCATCTTGTTGAATCGATCCTCTATGCAACTAAATGAAATAAAAAATTTACGACGTAAGAAACATTTGTGGGAAACTGCATCAACTGTTGGGTACAAACTCACTCGTTTCTCTACTTTCTCTGCATGTTCCTTTTTCTCCTCAGCTTGTTTCTTGTATTCTGCTAAAGCTGCCTCTCTTTCACGCTTTGATTCAAAAACGCTCTGCTCCAGTCTGGTAAGTTCAGATTTCGCCGTGTCTCGTGCAATTTGAGCGTCGTTATTCATAGCTTTTAGTTCACGAAGCTCCTCGCGTTGAGCTTCGATTGCCTCTTCAAGGTCCTTTAACATGTTCGGCCATGTCAACTGTTCCTTTTTACAGGAAAATGAATAACACTGCATTCAAATATTTGTTGAAATACATGTGATAATGGATATGAACGATTTACCTCACGTAAACATTCAATAATTTGCTGGTAGGTTGTCGTAATCCGTGTCGCTTCGTTACATTTTAAATTCATTTTATCCAACCTATTCTCAAGAACTCGCAATGTCTAAAGATACATTTAAACAGGTTTTTTTTTCCATCGTCTTTATCATCTCCAGGAAAACTTACTTCATGTACACAATGACAAAGTGTTTTATACCTGTGCTTCTGACGACTCTCCCATATCAGATTTCTGTATCTCCTCCGTCCTTCTAGACATTTCATCGATTTCAGTCTGTAGTTTGTCGAGTTTCTTTTGTTTGTTCTTCCTTTGATGACGAATTGCATTCAGCCTGTTTACTGACTCGCAGACTTGTTGATCCAACTTTTCTATTGCAGTCTACATAATAATTACAAGTCAAATGAAAAACCTCCATACTTTATCATGAATATGGCTACCAAGTTCATATGCTTAGGTGCAAATGCTGTATAAACTATCATAACTGTCAATACTTGCATACATTTTTCCATAATTGAATACAGCATACACTTCTCTAAGATAGATAACAATAATTCTTACTCTGCCTGGTAAACCTTTCATAGCACAATATCGTTGGGGATCTCTCTCTTTAAATGCTTCATCAATAACCTTTTCATCGCCCTATGACAAAAACCATCATTGTTCTAGTTTATACTTCTTTCGTAAAATTCATAATATTTACTGTGGTAATCTTACGGCATTGCTCTTCGCTAAAAGTGTCCTAAATTCTTTGCTTTGCTGCCTCATTTTCAAAATAACTTCTTTGTTTGTTTTTATTTTCCATTGCGCAGTTTCTTTATATGCTTTAGTATCGCCACCTTGGTGCAAGAAACGAGAAAAGTTTGCATAAATTTTATTGATTCAACCATATTGTGCAGCAGTATCGTTTATCTAACGAGAGGCGAGTTGACTTCTTACCGAGCAAAGCAACCTTTTTTCGAAGTTCTTCGATCTCTTCAGTTAAAACTGCTGTTTTTTGACTCATTTCAAACGCAAAAGACCCTGTTTCTTTAAATTTTATTTAACAGTTTCAAAAAAACTACTCAACACTCTTCACATTCACACAAAATAATAAAGTTGTTGTCCGCAAGGCTTGTATCTTAGCAACGGTTGCCATTAACAGCAAACGTCATCGACACTTTGTCGCATTAATTGTCGGAGTGGTCAGCAAAAATTTCTATACGTGGCGCTTCAATAGTTGAATTTCTTGTTGAAAACGGAGAAGACAAATCATTCAATGCCCAGAATTAACTTTACTCATATACCTCTGTAAATAAAATATGCTAAGCTTCCATTTGAAAGTGCATGACCGACTTCATAAGAGCTGACCCAACTGGCATAAATTGAACGTTAATTCAGGAGGGGGAGACGGACCTTATTCATAAATTCTGCTACGCCAATAGGAATTCTTTTAGAAAGTAAAATTCCTTAAAAAGAAAGCCAAGTATTGCAGAAGACATGAATATGACCCGCTGTTTAAGTCTGAGCGTGTAGAACAAACGTAACTTAATGCTCAAACGCTATTCATCCGACATAACTATTTATGTCTTAAAAACTTGAATAAACCTAACCCTAACCCTAACCAAGATTATTGTTATATTTTCATGCTGCTCGGATGAATATCCACGGCGTAAATATTTTCTCAAAACATTCCACTGTTTCATTGTAGCGAATTGCTCCAGATGATGTAATAAAACCAAAATAAAGCCGGAAAACTTGTGGGCGTGCTTGTTTACATAAAAAGAGAAGATAGCAGTTTTTAAATTGCGTTCATCGAAGATTAGGTAAAGAGCACATAGAGAGTTATATGTTAAAATATATTCATCGAATCATTATAGAACGTTTCCATTATCTCTTTAATTTCGGTATTTCGACATAAGACGACCTGATTATGTTGAGGAGACATTTCGTATTATAATATTTGATCCTTCTTTTTTTTTACATCCCAATGGAAGAAATCTTCGACGCTATTGCCTCAATTTGCAAAGGAAACTTCAAAACAAAACTTTTGATTGGATTTTTGAAACGTGAAGAAACCGTTTTATTCAAAGTCTTTTCTCCATCTAAATTATCATGAACTAACTTTCCTCTTCAATATGCGCATGTTAAATCAAACAAATGGAAAATTTTGCCCTATGTTCGAACATTGATTTGCCGGGAATAAAGTAGATTAGAAAATAAAGTAGATTTTTTCATGTTGTTAATTGAATCAAAAAAATTGTTGTACTGAATTGAGTATATCCACCGTCTTAACCGAAAAAAAATTGTTTAACTTCTAAATTAAATACTATAATAATGGACCACAAATACATTAACTAACTGTTGCGAAAATCTGTACAATTATTTTTTGCAAAAGCAACGTCAAAGTCTTGACGTTGAAATTTCATTTTATATAATGAGGACATCAGAAAAGCGGAGAAAGGAATATTCAGGAGAGAAAAGGGTTGTTTACAGATAAGTCAGTCGTTTATTCTGTACTTATTTATTCATTCTTCATCGTAGTTCACGAAGGCATAAAACGTTGTAGAGTATCGACTGGCACAGGAAATATAATTGTTGAATTCTTTTCCGCAGAGATTGTGTTCAGAGTCTGAAGGTATCGTAGTTGCAAAGCTGATGGCGATTCAGCCATTACTTCAGAAGCTTCTTTTAAAGAACACGCTGCCTCTCGTTCGCCATTCGCTGCGATGATCTTCATAACAAACAAGATGGTTTAAATGGACTATATGTTACATTTTAGGGCTCACTAATACAATATCACATACCTTGGCTCTCGCTTCTCTTGTTGCCTCGGCTTCGGCTGCCATGGCACGTTGGAGCTGAATTGGAAGACGAATATCTTTCCTAAGAACAAAGTTTGTTTTAACGGTGAGTTAATTCAATGTTGAAATTGGGACAAATACATCAGACCGCAACACATACATTTCTACACGTTCAACTTTTACACCCCAGGGATCTGTTGCTTCATCAAGAATCAACTGTTTCGATGAGAACAAATGCAATTATTTATTAATTTTGGACTTGCTTCCAGCAGAACGGGTGAGTTGAAAATTTTTACCTGCATTGTATTACTTATCGATTCTCGATCGCTAAAAATCTCCGATAGGGTCTTACTTCCTATCATGTTTCGCAATGTTGTCTGGGCCAAAAGTCGTGTGGAAGCCTGCGCATCACTGACGTTTGTCACAGACATCGTTGCATTGTATATTCGAAAGTATACTACAGCATCTACCGTGACTGTCACACTGTCCTTTGTTAGTACCTGGAGTGAAATAAAATATGATTTGAATCTGCAAGCAAAAAGGAGTCGTACTATAAAATTGGAAAAGTTGTCAATTTCGAGAATTACTTCTTGTGGTGGAACATCAAATGAAACAGTACGCAGATCAATCTTGGAATACGCATCAATGCATGGTAATAGAAAGAAAGTGCCTAATGAGAAATAAACACCATTTAAGAAACAGACTAAACATAGTAAATACAAGCATTTGTATGAACTAAACCTGGACCGTGCCCTTCTCCTTGAGTTGTTCTTCCCAAACGAAAGACCACAGCTCTTTCGTACTCCGTTACAACCTGTCAACGATTACAAATATCTCCAGTTTCCAATAACTACGCGGCGATTTTGAAGATGAATTACAACGCAATTTGTATGATTCATTTAATCTTTTTCTCTATATATCAAAGTTCAATTATTTAGAATTATTGTAGATAATTCATATTTTATTGTTATTTATTTGTAATTTATTTTTAAATTGTTTTCTGAGTTATTTTGGATTTCATAGAAGCCTTGAAAAGTCCTTAGGTAACATTTCTTAAATCCAGTTATTTTTCATACCTTTAAACAGAAAAACAACGAAAATGGAAATGTACAGGCAACAATTACAATGGACAGAACTGTTAAAATTTTTCCGCATAAACCGATGTCTCCCTCGTCGCTAGCTGCAAAATGCAAACAAGTTGTTGATATGAATGCCAGAAAATAAAGAATTTGTTCGTGGTATGCATTAAGAATATAATTTAAGCCATAAACATCATCATGTCTATTTTCTCATGACCATAAGCCATAACAACATGTTCACACTCTTAGCATACCCACTCATGTTTTCCAAATATTTTTTCTCAATGGTCGGCTAGCTATAATGTTTTACCACAAGTTATCCGCAAAGACGCTTCTTGCTGCTGCGTCTGTAAACTAAATATTCAACATTTACAATAATAAATGTTTAATGAGACTTGCTTGTTTTTTTTCTCCATTTTTTTATCCCACTCTTTGATGTATTTGATAGAGATGATACTGTTGACTGCGCCAAACTAATTTTGCCGAGCAAGTGGTTGGGTCGAAATCATAATATACACATTTATCTATGATTTTTCTATGTCTTAATGTCCCAAACATTTTATGTTTAGTTTTTTAAACAACAATCTACCGGCTGATAAAGTTGAGGGTCTAAAAAAAGCAGAGAGCACTCAACGTGGCTCGTGGCTATCATTCACTTATAATTAAGGATGATTTACTCATAAAGATAATTTGGATAGCGAATTCATGAAATGCTATCTCTTGAAATGACAAAACAAACTATATACATACGTCAAATGGTGAATGTGCTTGTCAATACCTGTCAAATAGGACTTTGCATGGAAATTTCAAGTTTATTCATTACAAAATTATTAGTTATTTTATAAAATGTTTTATTAGCTCATCCTATAAGGATATGTTTTGTATTTTAATATTTTCAATAGCCACCTGTTGCAAGTCTCTTTGTTATCGCAAAAACTTTTTTTGCCTTAGTTGAATCTCGTCTAATAGCTACATAAACAAGGTGACAAAGAGCTCCAGAATTGTATTCATACGATACAGAATCCGTTGTATCGAATATGAATACACGATGAATTCACTTTGAAAGATTTTTTGATATCATGCATATTGTTCATGATCATGCTGTTACAATTGAGTCAGAATTACTTACTTCCCATTATGTTCAAACTTTGAAACATAATGATCTCTTTATAACGAAGTGATGCTCTGAAATACGTTCAAAAGTGTGTAGTTATTGCCACTTCAGTCAATCGACAAGCGAAATTATTTTTATGACACGAAAAATAACGCGTCGTTTAGTAACCTGTTTCCAACATGTACTCTGCTATGCCCAAAGCAAAGTCGTCTGATTTTGACAAATCTGCACATGACGCCAGAAAACTGACCAATAATAATGCGATACTTTCATCCAATCAAATATGGTTTCAAGTTTCAACAGGACAGTATATATGTCGTACTACGGGCTCAATTGGAGGACAACAAATAAATCATTGTGTTGAGGATGAGTGCTGTCACTTGGCGGCGTATTTCTTTTCATGTCGAATTAATGATCATTTAGCAATGGGTTTCGGTCATTATTTGTGGTTCATCACGTTTCTTTATGTTTCATATAGTAACGGCGAAGAGAAACTCAAACTACTCACTGACAACAATGAATATCAAATGCTACCACCTCGTATATTTCTGCCTATAATCGCGCGTAACGTGGAACACTCCCTTCCAAACTGGCTCGGGTGTTTAGAGCGACTTGATTATCCTAAGGACAGAATATATTTATGGTATGTTAACTTTAAGAGTGATTTATCTTTCAGGGTTTTGCTCTATTATTTTAACTATGCCTTCAATTTGTGAATTAATTGCTGCACGTATTGCTACGTCGGTTATTAGTCGTGATTTTGTTTTAACTTGATTTATTGCGAGTGTTTTATTGTGGGATAATTTCTTCGTTAAAGGATACGTTGTCATAGCACTAAGCACACATGTCGATGAAGCATGCGTAAAACCGGTATTTTTTCAATTTATTAGGATAAGGAGTGATCATAATCTAGATCACACTGCCAGTTTGCTTCACATGTGGGTAAAAAATGTCCGTTTTTTGTACCATGGAATCGACATAAACACCACAAACATAAATGATTCATATTCCGATTCTGTGACTGTCAATCATTGGTCTCCCTTACGATTCAAACGTTTGATTCATCTACGACAGACTGCATTGGAGGAAGCCAGACGACTATGGGCTGATTATATACTTGTATGTATTGTTTCTTTTAAAGTTCTTTACCACCTCATTTGCAAATATTGTTTTTGAAATTTATGTAATTGATTTTGGTTAAGTTTTTAGACTGTGATGTTTTTCTAACAAATCCAAGTACTCTGTGGTCATTGATCGAGCAAAGAAAGTGAGCTGGAAAACGAAATTTTCATATAATGCTATAAAATTTCTTACAAGAAAGTATTTCTCATTTAGAACAATCGTATCTCCTATGATACCATCATTTGTTAAAAAGGCAGCATATTCAAACTTCTGGTGCGGTCGTGATGAAAAAGTAAGTGTTGATTTGGACACTCAAAACCTAGGCAATTATATAATTTTCAATCAAATTTTCTATTTGAGGGTTACTACATGCGGACTGATGATTATTTACCAATATTGAAAAGACAGAATGTCGGTTGTCATGAAGTAGTGATGTTGCATTCTGTTATGTTAATTGATGTGCGACGTGCTGCAACTAGGAAACTTTATTACGACCCGGAAGGCTCATCTTATGATGGACCTTATGATGATGTCATGGTGTTTGCTCATTCAGTTAAAGAAGCAGGTCTTGAATCATTTTCTTTTTAGATTAATTTATTTTCTGTGTTGTAAAACAACAATTTTTTTTGAAGGATTAAAGTTTTATGTATTGAATAAAGAGCCATATGGAAATTTAATCCAGCCAGTATCTTGGAGGTCCAGTCTACATTATACACAGATGAAATTTCAGCACACCAAATTGGAACTCATTGGTATAAAGTCATGCATGTTTTTATAAGCAGCTCGTTGCATGTTTCATGATGATCTTTAAATTTGCAAATTTTTATTTAAGTTGATGATATTGAAATGGTGGAAAGTGCTTATTTGCCTGTTGCATACCCAATTGCTGATAAAGCTGGCTTTGATGAGGTAATTTATTTTTCAAAACATTTTCGACAAATTATTATTTGAATACCCAAAGATTTGTCAATTTGAAAATAAAATATGACAATGACAACAAAACTTAGAATTTAGAAAATCGCATTTTCAATGACATAGGTAAAAATTTTTTTTTTTGCCAATCATTTATTCTAAGATTTGCCTTTCAGTTTACAATCTCCAATACTGTCCATAAAATCAATCTTAACATCTCTTAATCTTTCCTACTCAAGGTGTTTGTAATCAACCTGGCTCGTCGTCCAGATAGAAGAAAGAAAATGAAGTTATCTTTACAACTGTTAGGAATAAATGCAACTTTTGTTGATGGATATGATGGCAAGTAAGATCTTGTGCTCCATAGTTACTCTTTGTTACTCCTATTTTATCCCTTGTGTTTGTACATCCTAAACTACTGACAATGTCGATCAATGACAGACGTGTCTCAGACGAAGAAATTGATAATCTTGGTATTCAAGTTCTTGATGGTTATGCAGATCCATACCATGGAAGGTGAAACTAGAAATGTGATTCACCACTTTGTAATATTTCAATTTTTATGGTATTGATGTCATTTATGTTTAGACCGGTGACAAAAGGTGAAATTGGCTGCTTTATGAGCCACTTCTTAATATGGGAGAAGGTTTGTATGTTTAAAGTAACAAAGGAAAAACATACTTTTGATAGCATGCTTAAGTAAATAAACATATTTAAATGTTTTGATGTAAAAACATTTGTTTCAGATGGTGCGTGAAAATCTTAAGGTTGTTATGCTTCTGGAAGATGATATTAGATTTGAACTTGACTTTAGGAAAAAACTAAATAATGTAATGAAAGAGGCTCAAAAACTGGAGTGGGACTTTATGTAAGATAACAAACTTTTCATCTTGTTCCTTTTGTTGTACAATATGAACATATAAATATTTTTAGGTATCTTGGTCGCAAGTTGGTTAATGAACAAGCTCGAGATATGTACATCCCAGATGTTAAGCTTTTGGTCAGACCTGGTTACTCTTGGTGGACTTTAGGATATGTCATTACTTTAGAAGGTGCAAAAAAATTGTTGGCACCAAATCCATTGCAAAGATTCGTACCTGTTGATGAGTATATACCCATTATGTTTGACCAACATCCAGAGTAAGTAGTGTACAACGAAGATTATGTTGGTAATTCATGGTTGCAATGACCATATGCCTAGCTACATAAACCAATTTTTCTCTCTATGTTTAGAAAAGATTGGGTTGCACAGTTCGAAGTGCGTGATTTAATAGCACTCTCTGCCTCTCCTTATGTCCTTTATCCAACACATTATATTGGCGACGAAGGATACTTTAGTGACACTGAAACTTCAACATTTGCACCCAGAAGCAATAAGACAAACGAGAAGACAGATGATTCAGGTGCACCTTCTTCTAAAGCCGAATTGTGATTGTAGTATTATGGCAAACAACCATGCAGTTCTTAGTTTGGTTTGTTTCTCTGAAAAAGCAAGTGATGTAATTGATTTTCTTTAAAAAAATGAATGTTTATTTCAGTAAAGCTTACACAGAATAAGAAAATATTTAAGCTTTTTTCATGGTTTAAAATATTTTCATCATTTGCACTGTACAATGTCTGCTATACTGGATGCGATTTTTTAAATTAAATGCTTGTTTTCATCTAGCTTTTGAATTTTCCATCAATACTGTTTTGTCTTTTAAATTTTACCATAGCACTTTGCAAATATTTAAAAAGACAAAATTTATTAAAGATATTTTTAACTTGGCATCTCTAAATAGTTTATTGGTCATGATTTCAACATATCTTGCTTGAAGATTTCATATGTGTCAGTGCATACAGCTACACGAAGGTTCTTGAAAAAACTAAAATATTGGTGTAAATTGTGTCTATAATAAACAAAAGAAACATTTATCACACACACAACCTGAAACAATAAAAATTGACAAAAATCAATTCTATCACACTTACATCATAAGCAATACTTGTGCAAGCATTTCTTTTGTTTCTAACAAGTGATATATGTATGCTCGAGAATGATTAGAGCAAGAATAACAAGGACAACTAACAACAAGTGGTGAAAAATCTTCCTTATACCTGTGAGAAGAATGCTAAAATGTTAGACAAACATAGTTTTTGTCTTCAAATATGCACAAAATTACCTTTTGTTAGCAATATTGAGTTCATAGAAATTAATGTTATCATTCAAAGAATCCTGGAGCGCTTTCTTGTTCAGAGTAACTGGCTCGGACTTTGTTTGAACTATGTGGTTCGATTCTGGTTTGCATCGCTTTCGTTCATTTTGATAGTTCAAAGAACAACCTCTTTGTGAAACCAGGTATGGATAGCTGAATTATAAATCTTACATTCAATAGAAAGACAAAAAAAGTTCCTTTACAATTTTTGTATTTTAACAATCATGTCTTTACAACCTGCTATCAAACACATCAATACCAGATTCGAAAGCAGTGAAAACATCCTCTAAAAGATTAAAGCATTTGATTATTTGCTGATAGCAATCAATTCCTAGATATACATGGTTCTTAATGATACCAACTTTACCAAGACTTAATGGACCATGTAGAAAGCGAGGTTTGTTTTTTTCAAGTAGTTCCTAGAAAAAATCATCCTTCATATTTCAGCAGGAGTAAACAAGTTCTTTCCTTAATGAAAAATAAATTTAACTTACTGTAACATCCTTTAACAAAGCATCCCAGTGTGGAGTATCTGCTGGATTGATTCCTTCCACTACATAACCTGATGTAAGATTTTATCAGTAAAACACATAGTCCAATGAATACAGTCTTGTATTTATTCTTACTTTCATCCATTGCTACAAACCTGACACCAGTCTCTTGGAAGTTTCACCACATGATCTTGATCTTTCAGTTTTGCTATCACCACCTTCTATTGATCCCAGTATTTCTATGTTCTTTAAAATATCATTGTTTTTCATGCAATCCTGCATTGCATCTAAGAATTTAAGTGTTCTATCTACAGACTTCATATTCCTTTTATTTGTCTGATTACTTGGTACAGTGTCACATAAGCATTGAGCAAGATCTGGTTTAAAAGATTGTAAAATTTGTAGATACTCTTCAATGTCTATCTAAAAAAGAAAACCGTTAAGCTCTCAATTGTGAACTCTCTGTTTAGTATTTGAGCTTGCTGGATAACCTTCCTCCTTCCCCCACTGTTCCACACAGAAATATTTTTCTCCTCGTTGTACGTGTGTTTGATCTCTTGAGCTGGATCTTGTACTGATAAATATACAAAATATTGTTTCTGAAAGGGAAAATTTCCATTTAAGATATTTCACCGGAAGCCAGCCATCATGCAGGTAATTCGTAATACCTGCAAAGCAAGAAATTTGGCAATGCCTTCTTGGAAAGATTTAAGGACTTCGGGTCCTGGATATTGAAACATGGTTGGCAAGGTAATATGAACTCCAATAAAGTCATTGTGAAAAAGATCGTTAATGATCTCATTGGTAAGGTGAGGTGCTGCTCCACCTCGCATGTATAACATACATGCTGGAGTATTTATTTCGCGTTTCTCCCAATTGCTAAAGCGAATTGTTCCACAGCGTCCACCAAAATAAGCCTTCTTCTTCACATGAAACTCCATTTTACAGCTCACTTGCTTCGGTACGCGGGCTCGTAACAGTTTCCACGCGTGTGTGCGCGAGATTTCCCGCGAGCGTTGCGTCATTTGTTCAGCAACTGTCTTCAACAACAGTGGCTGCCGATCTAATCGTTGTTGTTTTCGCTTGTAAAAAAAAATACCAATTTTATCCGAAAACATCCCTACCATCCTGGACTTCTGAGGCAATATATGTGGTGGGAATAAAAGGATAAATATTTAAGGAACAGAAAAAAACTACAAACAGTTGTATGTAAATATAGTTTACCGAGAAATTTAGGTTTTCTTGAGGGCAGTAGTGACAATTGTCGAAAGCGTCCCTGTTGCATTTGGCATTTTGAGTTGACAACTGAACGATTTTGGCGTCTAAAATCATTACTTGGGGCGCTAAATTTTCATTCATGACTACCTCTTCAGTATGTCGGATCGTGTCGGATTAAAAACGAAGGAAAATGCCACGAAAAAGTTCTCTTCTCTCAATTTGAGCCAAACATACAAAGGAACAAAGGTTGAGACTAAAACAGTTACAGGTGAATATGTATTTTGTCGTATTTCTTCCACTGAACGTTATAATATTTATTTGAATATCAATTTCTCTTGTTGTGTGTAGTCAAGTCATTATATGGACGTTTAAATAAGTACAATAATTTTACTTATACAATTGTTAGGCAGTCGTTTGAATTTCGTTTCTTCTTCTTACAGGAGTGCAAAGGCATGGCCTTCAGAGTTTGGGAAAAGTGGCTCCTAGTCGGCGCATGCCACCGCCAGCAAATTTACCATCTTTAAAAAGCGAGAATTTAGGAAACGACCCTACAGTAGCCCTCGTCCCAACTGGTGGAGGAGGATGGGGAAGCGGGAAAGACAAGGAAGCAAATCAAGCAATTGCGAACAAAAATGTGAATCAAACAGCGGGCAATGCAAGTCAGCAACAAGAACAGCAATCTTCGAAGGTTTCAGATACGTTACAAAAAACAACACCAGGACAATCTACAAATATTACAGGACAGAAAATTACGACAAACCCGAGTTTCAATGCAACAAAGACTTGGGCAAGCAGCTCTCAAAACGTGGCTGGTGGTCAAGGTATATTCAAAATAAAATATTGTTGGAAATTTGCCATTTGAGCTATCAACTCAATTTCTCAATATTTCTTTTGACAAATTACAGTATATAGTTTGCACACAAAAATTCTTATCTTTTATTTTGGCAAGTGATTATTTAACCTACTAAGAAAGCTAAGACAGTTATAATAAATGGGTGACTTATTTAAGAGATTGCTTTTTTTACTCTTTACTACATTATTTGGAAACAAGCAATTGACCAAAAAAAGAACCACAAAACGAACTTGCTTTTTGTTTTTTATTTTCATTGCAAAGTAAAGTATCATTGACGGCTCAGTTTGTTTACAAATAGTGTTGTCCATCTTTGTCTGACTAACGTCTGAATGTTGAAAAATATGAACTCGGTGTTTGATTGTCATGGCCATTAAATTCTGTTCATTTTGACCTAGCAATGTTATAGGATGTACATTTTGTTATACATAACAAAGTAATTCTTAACTTGATGAATTTTGGATAGCCCTCGTTTCATTTTTTACCTTTCTGCAATGTTTTTGTACTTGTTATCATGAATTGGATGTGGATTTTTATTTTTTGAATGCATGATTTCAAAAAAAAGAAAATTTCATCCTGTTATTCAAAACATGAAATATTTGTGAAAACCTGAAAGTAGGTTTGTCAGGGCAAGCATTAGAAGGTTAGAAATATCTTATTCGACAATTTAGTTGCATTAAACATTTGAAAGATTGATAGCCCAAAATGATATTGTTGGTCTTGCGATAAATTTACTCTTAAATAGCTCAGTTCATTCAACAGTTTTCTAATGGTGTGAAATCATTACAAGCTAGTTATTGCTCCTATTCTAGGAAAGCAGACATTGACAAGTAAATCTGACTTTTAACAAATCAACTTTCACGTTTATTGTTTCATTTTCTTTTAGAGAAGACCTCTTATCCCCGTCAGTCGCAGTATTTCAATCAGGAATTCCCAACATTAGGTGGTGGCAACTCCAGAGACAAGTTGCAGCTGGAGGAAAGGGGTTCTCTCCCACCATATGGGCAACCTCCTCGAAATATGCGTAAGTTAGCACAATGAACAACATTGTAATTGTAATTTAGGTATATTGTATTATGTTCACCTAATTATTCTTCCTCTAGACGACCCTCCGTGGATGCACAAAGGTGGAACAGGACCCCCACCTCCCAAGTCATCATTTGGTATGTATAATGGAGCACCATACCCAGGTCCACCTCATAGGAGTGGCTATGGACAACAGGTTGGTCATTGCTTGTCTAAAACTATCTATTTTGATGTATTCTTTATTCATTTTCATTGAAATGTTTCTGTCTTAGATGTATCATCGAGATGGACATCATCTGAGTGGTCATTCTCAAGATTTTCCCTACATGGGACAAGCTCGACCTGCAAACTATGCTGCTCATCCAGCAGCCAATTATAGGTATGGGTTCAGAAATGTCTTGTATAATATTGTGGTTAGCCTGAATACAGCTTACCAACAAAAACATTGTATAATATATGTGTTTAGAAAAATGTTGGAAAAATTTGTGGTTAGCTTGCATACAGCTTACCAACAAAAACATTGTATAATATATGTGTTTAGAAAAATGTTGGAAAAATTTGTGGTTAGCTTGCATACAGCTTACCAACAAAAACAAGCTGTGTGCAGGTTAACCACAATCTTATTCTGATTATGTGCAATACCATGGATAGGGGTAATCCTGGTGTTATGATAGCAAGGCATGGTATCAAACTGGAAGAATCACCAAGTGGATATGTTCGTCCTTCAATTTTAAATGAAGAAGATATAAACGCTATGGACTCAGAAGACGTTGATGATGGTGGCTGGGCAGGTGCACAGGAAGAAATTGACTATTCAGTGAAATTGAATTTTGACGATGAGGAAGCATACATATCTGATGAGGGAGATAAATCCTCAGATAAAAAATCAGTCAATAGTCAACTATCGGAACAAGAGCAAAAAAAGGAGATTGAAAACAAACATTAGAAGTATGTATGCCAAATTTTCTTACTCTTTATCAAGCTCATTCCCGTTCCTCCAAAATGTTGTGTTATGGTACTCTATGTGCACATATTTTTAGGTTGATGGTAAAGGTTCACAACAACGTAAGCAAGCTTGGGTGAATGAAACAAGTTCTGAAATAAGAAATTTCCCACCACACTGGAATGATCAAAGAAAACAGTTGCCCCACGGTAATGCTCAGAGGCAATGGGCTAAACAATTTCCATCTTCACAGCAACGTATGCCACCACAAACAATGGCCATAAATCGCTCTCAATTAGGAAGACCCGCTCAGCATAATGAAAATAGAGCTGTTGGTAAGTAGTAACTAGTTTTTGTTCGTATGTACGATGATGAACTTTTATCTAGCATTGTTGGCTGCCCGGGTGGTGCGGGTTGGCATGAATGTTTTCTCACACCCGCTGGCTGCCCGGTAGTCGGGTAGTGCGGGTTGGCATGAATGTTTTTGTTGCTTTGCTGTGCTTGACGTGTTATTACTGCCCGAACACCACCACCACCAACCATCACCACCACCCACAACCACCACCCACCCTGTGTAAATAGCTATGTTATACGTATATATAGCTCCCAGCGGTGTGAGAATATAATTTTTGTGATTTCATGACCATAGTACGTATTTCTTTGCTTTTTACGAATATATAGATTCAAAGACAAATAACTCTACCATTGAACAAGCTAGACAACGTAAACAAATGGAGGAAGATGAGCGTAAAAGACAACAAGAGTCAGCTGCACGTGAAAAGTTAAGACTTTTAAACGAAAGAACACGTCCAGCTCATATACAAACACATCAAACAAATATTCATGACTTAGGTATGTATGTGACGGGTTCATGTAGTTTCCGATATTTTTCAGGACTAAATGCTTTCTTATTTCATCTTTTTTAACAGGACCGCGCTCCCCCTTGTCACCCGGAAGTGACGTAACTGTCAAGAGGATAATGCAACGTAAAGACAGCGGTAGCCATGGTGATGATGATCGAAATAGCGTGAAGTCTGTGGATAGTGTTGGTAGAGAAGAGAAGTTAGTTAGCTTAGATGTAAAGACAAATGCAATTAAGGAACGAAAATCTTCAAACTATGAAAATAAACCAAGTGAAGAAGGAAAGTCAAAGGCGGTGGCAAGCGTTTCTTATAAGAATACTGATACTGCGTCACATTTGGATAAGAATGATGTCACAGACAGATCAAAGCCTATTCCTGGTAGGGGTGTCGGGGAACCGATAGTCAAACATGAAAACAGACCTGAAAGGAAAAGTAGTGAGAGTAAACCTCGAAATGACGAAGCAATAGAAAAAAAGAACGAAGCAAATGCAGAAGCATCGCGCGGAAAGGGTGAAATGAACGAAATTGCAGTTAACAAAGGAGGAAGTCGTATACGCAGTCAAAACGAACGTGGTAGCATGGAGTCGGTGCAAAGTAAAGATAGTACGGAAAAGCAAAGAGAAAATGGAAGACGTACTGAGGATATTAAACGTAAAAGAGATGATCATGAACGAAATTATGCAGTCATCAATAAAGGTGGTCGTGATCGTGCTGGCAACAGGGATCGTTTACACAGTGGTTCTTCTAGTCGCGGTGGTAGAGGAACTTTGACCGGAAAAAATCTTCGTGGTCATCCTAAGTCCTACAGCAATAGTCGTAGCGATAGGGGAGTACATCAACGTCGGAATCCCTCGCAAAGCAGCTTTAAAGATAATCCTCAAGATGAAATCAAGACGGTTGCGGACGATGAAAAGGTAGATACAAGTTTGAAGAAACCAAAAAGATCTTCCTTTAAACAAAATCACGAGACACGTAAAGCGGACGCTGATCTTGTTTCTGATGAAAGAAAGCAAACTTCCACTTCTCGACTGAATGATACACAACTGAACATACAGAAAGAAGATGAAGATCGTGGTAAAATAGATGCCAATGTGGACAATAAAAGGAGACTAGTGAATGAACGTTACACAAAAGATAATTCTGATTCACGGTTTTACAAAAGCGGCAGGCAATCTGGAAGAGATGATAAAACCGTTAGGATCGCAAAACAAACCGAACAAATGGAGGGCCGCCACCATCTAGAGGTCGTGGTGTAAAAGAACATAGTAGTCGAGCCGAAAGATTCCGTGATACATCTAGGAATAAAGGTGGCTTTGGTAAGCCTCCTGAAAAGGGAGAGATTAAAGATGATAAAGATAGAAATGATATTGACAATAAATCGAAGTGGTTTCCTGCCAGCAAGCAAGTAAGTGAAAATGTAACGGAAGAAACGTTAGAGCAAGTAAGAGGAGAAAATTGCGAGGATAGTTTGATGAATGACAAATCCAGGAAAGAAGTCAGATCGGTCTCGTCGATTGATGAATCAGGAAAGAAAAGTGAAGAACATGAACGTTTACGTGATTTTGCCAAACAAATAGATTCCAGTGATAAGTTTACAGTTGAAACGGTTACGCGAAAAGATAAACAGATTCCTAATGACCGAAAACAAGACGTAAATCATAAAGCGTCAAAAGATATCGAATCATCTAAACGCGATGAGAAAATAAAAGATAGCAATCCCAGGACTACTGCAAACAACATAGTTGACAATGGTACATCCAAAGTTCGGAAAACTTCTAGCAGCTCACGTGATGTGAACAATCGCCAGAGTGAAACACAATACAATAAGGAAGATCGCAGGCGTCCTCGTGATGGATTAACTCATGATCAACAAAAACAACATGAAGAAAGCAAAAGCTCGGGTAAATTAGAGGACAGTAAAGTACGTCACGATAGAAAGGATGAGCATAGGACTCGTCATAATAAGCCATCAAATGTCGATGAAAAGCGGCCTCCAAGAAATAATCGTGAGGTTTCACAGCAAACTAACAGAACAAGTGATCGATCTAAAAGGCGAGACAACGAAACTACTCGTGATCAGAAAAACCAGCGTGAACAAGATAGACCGTACAATCGTGGCAAAAGTAATTCGGAGTCATCAAGGCGACGTCGATCATTTGAAACTAGTTATCGTCAAGATCCTGATGAATCCAAAGACGCTGATCGTCATGAACATAGTGAACGCAAAGGAAAACTTCACTTCGCCATCAGACTGTTAAAGAAAGCAAAGATGGTAGTATATCATCTAAGCCGCCGAATACTGAAAGTTGCGCTGACAATGAAGTTGCTCATAAAAACGAAACGGTGCAAGATGTATCAAAGGAAAGTGCTAAGCATGGTGAAACTTCCGAAAACATGTTTAGTGTGGGCTCAGTAAGCCCTGTGCAAAATCGACGGAGTAACGAAAGGCGCGGTGGATTATCAAGACGTGGTCAACGCGAAGGAAGAGGGCGTGGTAGTAGGTCTGGCATGAGGTCTGTAAGTAGCGTTGTATCAAAGGAAGGGGATGAACGGGAAGATTACCCTAGTGCTAATTCTTCTGTTGACTCCGATGTCTCCGACACCGAGGGCGAGAAAAAGAAAACAGCTAACCGAGGTCCCTCAAGATTTTACGATTCTGCTAATAGAGGTAGGGGACTGTTCACCCGCGTGCACGTGGAAGAGGTAGAGGAAGAGTGAGCTCTCAGCAATTTCCACAGAATTTGAGAAAACAGAAAGAGACACCTCCCCGCTTCCAAAGACATGGGCCTAACTTTGGCAAAGGTCAGGAAAAGAGCTCGCGTGGTGAAATCAAGGACACTCGAAGAAAAGATGGCTTGAATGACGAAGAACCACTTTCGAAAAAACGGCTGCCAGACAATGTAACCAGAGAGAAAGACATGGATAGTTTTAAAGAGATCAGTGTTACGCGTGGGGATTCCTCGTCTAACAAGAATTCTTTTTTAGCGAAAAAGCAGCAGGAAGTAGTTAAGGGTTCTTCAAAGAAACAAAGTGGACGTTTTAGCGGTAAATCGACCACTCCTGCTGCTTTGACAACTCACGGTCGTCGCTCTAAAAAAGAACCCAATCCTATGGATGGTGATGAAAATCTGGAACCACCCAAGAAGAATCCGAGACGCACAGAACCACAAAAGGTCGGAATCGATCACATTGATTTGAGTAATATTGCAGGTGTTATTGATGTTGATGATATTGCCCAGCCTGCCGAGCTGTTCGAGCCCGTGTCTCCGCAAAGTGACTTCGTTGAAGTGAAGTCGAAAAGAACGCAAAAGGAGGAGAAGGCCAAAGAAGAAGAACGAAGTCGGCGTGAAACGGAAAAATTGAAACCAGATGCAACCATTAAACAAAAAACAAGTAAGTCCCATTTTCCAAACAAGCAGCTTTCTGTAGGAAAAGCTGCACCTCGATTTGCGAAAACGTCTGGTACATTATCTGATGTACTTTCAAATATTCCCGACGGGAGTACGTCTCCGATTGCAGTGGGCCGTATTGTTAGCTCAGAGAACACATCTATATCTAAATCTTTATCGTCAGTTAATATTGAAGCAAAGCAGACTTCTCAATTTATGCTGGAGAAGCCAAGTTCCCCACCTCCTCCTCCAATGTTCAATGCGTGGATAAAACCACTCTCCATTACCCCTGCAAAACCTCCAAACGAAAATACTCTAGACTCTTCTCGTACGAGTCAGCCTGATCCTTTGGCAGTTGGAAGTGGAAAACCACAACGAGCTGGTAGTTCCCAATTAAAAACTGAAGAACCAGAACTTTTGATTACAGTAAACCTACCTGATACCTTTCAAGCACCTCCTAATGAACAAGAGATTGATTCACAAAATTCGGAATCACGATTGTTCCATAGTGTGAACAGCTCAGAAACGGCGAAGCCTGGTAATAACGACGACAGACTAAAGAAAACAAATGCAGGAGCTAAAACGGAACATCGAAGTGATTTGATGCAGTCAGAAATAGCTGGAAAACAGAACGGTGATAAGGTTAACAATGGCAAGGTCGCTTCCACCTTCCGAGAAAAAGCTTCTGAAAACGAAAAACGGCATGCCAAGAACAGCAACTGGACTACCGACCGTCCTCCAAGATTTGAGAAAGGAACTCCTGGTAATAAACGCAATTCAGATCATAGGAAAGTCAATGGCGAAGCAAAAGCAAAATCTGATGTTGATAGAACGAAAGAGGTATAAATGTGTATAGTATGTATACTAGCTTAACACCAGTCTTTTTTTTGTTATTATTTAATTTTAGTAGTCTTAAAAGGTGTTTTAATGTGTTATTCTGAACGCTTAGAAAAATGGAAACCGACCACGCAGTGGATCACGACCACGTGATCAAAACAAGCCGCCAAAAGCAAAGATATCCGTAAAAACAACTAAGTCACAGCAATATTCCGATGAAAATAAAGATCCTAATTTTGAAAGTGCTGTTCAGGTAAAGTAGATCATTTACAAAAGCAAATCTTTCTATTCTGACTGTGCAACAGTTGTAGTACAATGCCATGTTCGGGGAGGGGTGGGTACATCAGATTGCCGATGCTCAACAGAGCATGAAATTAACATCAATTCTTTTCACTAGAAGCGATTTTCCCCAACATGACGACTGATGAAAACACTCTATGTTTATTTCCATGATTAACATATTGATTTTGTAAATGTTTTGTTTGGTAACGAATTGTTTAGACGTATCAGCTCTGAATGGGATGTTTGTAATGTAAATCGAAATATTAGTTTATTAGCTTAGAATGTTGAGGTTGTTTCATAATTTAACCTCCGAGATTTTTCACATTCTTAGGGAAAGAACGACAGCAAAGATTCTGTGCAGACAAGACGAAAGCGGGACTCGGTTGAACTTGATGTTCAATCAATGGGTGAATCGCTCCTTGAGAATTCACTTAGTGTGCATATGAGACAGACGTCCAAAACGCCGTCTGAGAATACGTCTTTAGGGAAGATGAATACAGAGGATGATATTAAAATGAACTTCGAAATGCAAGAAAAAATGGAGGCAGCCAAAAAGGCCTGGGATTTGCAAGAAGCCAAATGTAATGTTTCTGCCGTTTCGAAGGAAGAAAGTACAGACACGTCTCAAGACTCCGTTGTTGATCATCGTAGTCGAAGCACCAATGTAGTTGAGGAGGGAAGCTCCTCAGATTCACTCGTAAAAACACCTAGAATGAAGAAAGCGACTTCTGGAGAACAACAACAGAATGTGTGTAAAGTAAAACCACAGCAACAGCAGCAGCCTGTGAAACCTGAAACTGTATCTAATGAATCATCTGAGGTTTACAACACTGCTATGCCAATTCTCGACAATGGTGCGCAGTCTTCGTATGCTATACCACAACATCAAGCCGCAATTTTCTCTTCCAAATCAGCCACTCCAAATTTTATGTTTCCTTTTGAACAGCAATCCCTTGTTCCGATGAGTCATCGATACGTTCAAACTGATATGTCGAGCATTCAGCAGCAAATTTCTCCATTACGTCCTCAAAATATGCATCCAGCATCTCAATCACCTCCACAGCATTCGGTGAACTATCCCACAAATCAACATGTGAGCACCTCATCACCGCTTCCTCATCAACCTTTAGTTCAAGATCGTCATATAATGCCGACACCTGCCTTGTATTCAACGAATGCCTTTACGGGTAGCCCTTTCTTCTCAATGCCAGTGATAAGAGCTACAACACCACAGTTTCATCATACAACAGTAACTGACGATATGAACAACTCCATTTATGCTGTACAAGCCCCTAAAGCTCAAAGCACCGGTTATGAAACTTCAGTTCCTGCTGGACAACAAGTGTTTTTGCCCGTGGAGCAACATTCATTTCAAGAATACATTCAGACCCGTCAACCTCATGTTGAATTTTATGGCGAAAATCAAGGGAATTCTGGTGGCGTCGACCCCGCTCATAGACACCAACAACAAGCGGATAGTCGATTGACATCGGGTCATACAGATCAACGTTACACACCGCCTGATCATTCTGAAATGTCAAAACATGTACACGCTAAGCCGTTCCAACCTCCCAGTAGTAGCCCACCTGGAAGTGTTTCTCAACAGATCGGTCCAGATGTTAATCATTTACATACTGTGGACAGTCAGGCAAATGCAACCACGACTTACCACGTAAATGGCTCCATGTTATCACTTCAAAGTGCTGGACAAACGATACAATGTACTGTATCGTCCGGGAATCAGACTGGAACATCACCAATGTTGACACAAACTCAAGGGATGACAGTCTCAAGGATAGGGTACCCTCCATATCCAGCGGCCATTGGATCTTTTCAGCGCCAACTTCCTGTTCACCATTTATCAACAGCTTCATTTCCTACTACTGCACTGGCATACAGAGCCCACGTTCCAAATTTCTCCACAACCACTAGTGTTGGTGGTAACACAGCCAGTGGAATGATGGTACCTAAACCTGCTCCCGTGATGAGGCAGATAATAACTTCTGGACGTACCCCAACTATTGCTCATCAAATGCCGGAACCCATTCAACGTCCTAACAAAGTAGGATTTCATACAGCTACCGTGAACGAGAAACAGTCAAATTCACAAGCAAGATTAAAAGTTGCTCCAAACCGGCGATTTAATACAGCTGGTGTTCCTTCCGCACAAATTCGTGCTTACCAGTTTCAAACGTCGCCCATGACGCAAGTTGCTACAGCACCGCAACAGCAACTGCAGAATTTTAGAAGTCAACAACATCAACTTATGATGAGTAACACTCAACAGTTCTTTGCCGAAGAAAAGAACACCAAAGAAAGCAAAAGCTTTCGAGCCAAAATCTCTCATTGTCAGCACTGCAAGTGGTAGTGTAAACAGTGGCGAGACGTTAACTACAAACGAAAATATTGAAGTAGAAAAGCGAAGACAACCAACGAAAACAGAAACCAAACCTCAGAAGTCAACAAAAGATGATCAACAAAAACGTCGTCGGCAGGCGGAGCGAAAACCAATCCGTACTGCTCAAATAACGCCACAAAGGCAAACAAATCGACCTCCAAGCAAGGCCAGACCGAGTGTCGTGAAACCGGAAGCTGCCAAGAATGCGCAGCTTATATCTCCGGGAACAATACCCCCTTCCAAGATAGACACAATTGATAAGCAACCAGCGGAAGTACATACAGCGTCAATTTAAATTGAAGAATTATAAGTCAGATGTTATAAAATTACTTTCATTCGTGCTTATTTAGATTTTGATGTTTAAACATCCATGTAGTTTATAGAGATTTTGCTAAAAAAATCTTCGTGACGTCACGATTTTGTGTTTTTACTTCGCAAAGTGCTGATAGCAGTCTTGGAACCACAAGAAATTTTTGATTTGTACTTTCTTTTCATTGTGGAATTAATAAAAGTATCAGAAAACAAGTCTTCTGGCTCGCTTTATTTTGCACATGTAGAGCAACAAAATCTGTCGATATCCATAAGCAAATAAAACATGTTGATGTCAGAAATAGGAGTTATATATTTCATGTATCATCTAGCAATATAAGTTTTAGGATATTCTTATCACTATGAAAGCTTGTCTTATGGACATTGCCGCAATGCCACTTGTAACGTTTTGCAGTGATTTGTCATCAACTCCTAGAATTATTTGACCGGGCTTTAGTAATGGACAGGAGCCTGCAACAGTTTCTTCGTCCTAAAAACAGTCTATTTTATATAATAGGTCTTAAATATGTCTCAAAAAACATGAAGTCTATACCTTGATAGATTTGATTCTGATTTCTTTATTTTTCGTGTCCATACCGCCTTTCACTGATAAACCAAGATTATTTGAGTGCTTCATTAGCTCCACCACGAACGGTTGTCCGCAATTGTGTTTTTTCCCAGTCTATTAATGATAGAACACTACAATAGGAATGATTGCCTTGTTTTTATATATGTCGCCGAATCTTACCTTGTCTGTCAAGGTTGATGTTGAGTTTTTTACTGGTTTCAACTTTCGAGATTGTTTAAAATTACTCGTTCCTTTATTTTGTCCTTTGGCCACCATATCATCGATAATTTTTGCGCTTTTTTCTACGTAAAATCTGTCAGATTTCGGAGGCGGAATGGTATACTGTTCTTCTGCGTCGTTATTCACTTTTTCTTCCACAAAAGTTGACTTTGGTGAATGGGAGTGAAGACTACAGTCCAAGGAAGTCGTATTTTCTTCATGATGATAAGTTGATTCAGTATCGTATCTGTGGAATGAAGTTTCGGGCAATGAACAGTGATAATCCTCCGCGGCTGTTTTATTAGAGCCTTTGTTTCCAAACAAAGTTTGACTGTCTTTTTCCCATTTACTTCGTCCATTGTATCAAATGTTTGGTGAGGAGGAGGATCAAAGCTATGTTATCTTTCATGTCGTTGTCTTCAAGGAATTCCTTTGGCGGTTGAGGGATAGTGTTGTGCTGAACAGAATATTTGAAATCTGTATTCGTGTGCAACTTTCCGTCCTGAAAAAGAGTCGAATCTTTTTAAAAGTAATCTTTTATACCAATACCTGGAGTTATAGTCATTTGTCCAATTATCGTTTCTAGGTCGATAACTGCTTCCCGTCTACTTTAAGTGTTAAATATTTAGGTAAAAGCGACGTACTTCAAATAATCCAAGCCAAGAGTCCATGGTCTGTGAAGAATCAGTACTTTTATAAGAATATAGCGATGATCTGTCATTTCTTGAATCGGTGTCGTTAATGGTCTGTAATATTAATTAAAGTATGATCTACAGGAGTTGGTAGAAAATCTTTGGGATTTTTGCTGAATGGTTTACCTTCAATATGAACATAATAGCCCAACATAAGACTTTTAAAAAAGCCATCACAATAGTAAAATAAAGAAAGATTTATTAATAATGTTTCGTCTTTAACTTAAGACATCTTCAGATTATTTGAGTAAATTATATACATGAGGCTTTAAATACAAGCATCTCGTGTATATAATTTATCTCAAATAATCTGAAGATGTCTTAAGTTAAAGACGAAACGTTATTAATAAATCTTTCTTTATTTTACTATTGTGATGGCTTTTTTAAAAGTCTTATGTTGGGCTATTATGTTCATATTGAAAATTCGCTTTCCGCCTGGCAAATCTCTGGCCACAGTTTACCTTCATTTTTAACGATTCAAATGTTTCTGTCCATTCATCAAATTTCCGTATATCACGTGGTAATATTGACGAACGAATCACCGGATACAAAGAATACTAGAAAAAGATTTAAGGTATCGTTTTCGTGCAGTAATCCTTGAGTGAATTGCAAAAAATGACTTAGGTATTACTTTTTTAGGTGAATTTACGACATCATACAACACTGCCAGAAACGATTTCAACGAGAGTCGCGTCGATCTGTATTCTTGAAGATAGAATGTGAGCGCATTTTGTTCATCATTTGATAACAACTGTCGCGCAGTCATTTTCAGCACTTCGTCACAATGATCAACGACAGAATGATGCGTCAACTGTGAGCTTCCAATTGGTTCGTGAAATGAAGGAGTCTGTCAGAGAAAGAAGTTTCATAATACGAATGCTTAAAAATAATGACCTCGCTACGTTTATTTTTCTCTTTACGACATACTTTTTTCATGCCCTGCGATTTTATTTCGCTTGAATTTGAGGAAGAGGGCCTGCAAAAGAAGAAGGATAGACAGAATTACGTTATTTCATTCTTACATGAAGTGTTGACCACGCTGTACATGAGCGTGGACTTCGGCGGGAAATTAAATGTTTTTAAATTTTATTTTAAAACCAAAAGAAAAGCAAAAGGATTTCGTTATCTCATCGTCTATTTATTACAAAAAATGGCAAAGTTTTTTCCTATAAAGTCAAAAAAACGGTAAGAAATTAAATGGAAACTTTACAAAACCTTGATATTTCTATATTTTCTGTATTTTCCCTCCTCCATTTTGTTTCATCGTAAACTCGCTTTCCATGAGGAAGAATGCCGACATCTTTCAACATGATAACAAGTTGCTGTGAACTTTTCATCACTCTTACCGCTTCTTCATGCGAAATATTCACAAAACTTTTCCCATTTACATCTAGAATTTGGTCTCCGACCTTGTTAAACAAATTAGATGACGCTGTTCAGACCCGGTTCGTATTTATTTAACATAAACACAAGATCATGCATTGTAAATTTGAAGTCTTGTCACCTGTATCCCAGCCCTATCAGCTCCAGAGTGATGTTCAACTGAAGCTACAAAAATTCCCAAACCATGCTCCATGCCTCCTCTGATTGTCAGTCCAATTTCTGCTCCATCAGCAACAAACAGGTTGACCTACGTATTCATTCATGGTGATGGGAAAGGTTCAAATCAACAAATACACATTTGAAAGTAAATGATATTTTTTCAACCTTTCTCTCGTCATCAGCACCTAATAAACGCATCTCGCTTTTGTCCCCATTGAGTATGGCTGCATGTTTTGGTGGTGGCGATACCTCATTACCCCTAATATCCACCCATCTGTAACATTCGCTTGATTGAAAAGTACTTGGAATCTTTCCTTCTGACTTGACTAACATATGAAGAATGGAAGAATTTCTTATGACCTATAACAATATAATAGTACTTTAAAATCATCTCGTAAGTTACTGGGATTTTTGATGATATTTGAGTTAAATTAACTTAATATATATATTTCAGGGTTATTGTTTTTAAAAGTGGAAAGGTCAAAGTAAAGTTATGGTCAGAGTCGACAGGCTAAGTCAAGGTACAAATATTATTATTTATGATTAAAATCTTCATTTCAACATTTTCCTTCATGGCAGGGGGAGGGGAGATGGGGCACAACCACCCTGCCCTCCCATATGGCATGCCCCGTGTATTTACTTTGGTGTGCAAATAGTTTTACATTGTGTTTAATGCCTTTAAAAACAATTAAATAAGAAAATCTCCTAATATGAATACCCAAAAGATATGTATATCGGTGCTGAAGCGATCATTGGGAGATTCTTGAATGTTTTCATTTCTACGAGAACTAAACGATTGTATCAAAACAATTATTATTAAAAACGTATTTTTCTACCTCTACTGCCTCTTGATGGGATATTTGTCGAAAATCCACGTTGTTCACCTCCAAAATTTGATCTCCAATGGAGATGCCAGCGTTATGCGCAACAGACCCTATGTCAACGGAGGAAACATATAGTCCTATGTTGTATTCAATACCACCGCGTACTGAGAAGCCGAAATTCCCATTTTCATTTTCTTGCTCCAATACAACCACTCTTGCGTGCAGGTCTTTCTTTGTATCCGCTTGTGATTTTGGCGGTTTTCGTAGATGTGAACGACGTTGCGGCATGCCATTGGTCTTTTGTAAGACATTCTGGTAATCGACTGGTAAGCTTCTTGTTGTAGAATGTCCATAATTGTGCTGCTTCATCGTACGTCTGTTTGAATAAGTTGAATAACGGTGACTTTGTACAGATTTTGGTCTTACACACTCATAGTCGAATCGTGCTCGATGTTTACTGGGAATAAAATTTCTCACCAGCGGGTAAATTTCCTCGCGTTGTTGTTGTGTAACACATAAAGAGCGCAGAGATTCGACGAGTCGTTGTATATTTTTGTTTTGATGATAAATGCGCAAAACGTCTGTTAAAGCAACGCGATCCTCCTCATTAAAAGATTCTCGTATTGAACGATGAAGTCGCGAAGCTTTTAGCGAAAGTTTCTCAGGAAATTTTTCTGCCATTGTTTTCACGATTTTACATTGTTGACATTACTTGGTCCATGGAGTGGTAAATGTTATTAATTTGCAAACACACGCAACATTATATCCGTTGCTTTGCCGTGTCAATGTGGTTTTGTTGTCTATTTTCGCTGTACGTAACCAAGTGTCAACAATGATGTTATTTGATTCTATGCTCATTTGTCAATACGGTGACGTCTTACACATACGACGGTTTTATCTGTTTATCGATTATCGTCTCCTTCAAGTAGACATAACACATACATTTGAAAATAATTTTTACTTCTTAACTCCGAATGTCCGCTCCGAAACTTCTTGACGCCGAAACTGGTTAAAATTTTACAAGAATTAAGACCCGGAATGAAGAAGTTGACATACGTCTGTTTATTGTCCAAGAGTGTACAAGCATATCGCCACAGAATGATACACGGAGTTATAAAAAAATTATTTGAAATGTAAGAAAATCTCGTAAAGTATATCGCCACAGAATGATACACGGAGTTCTAAAAAAATTATTTGAAATGTAAGAAAATCTCGTAAAGTATATCGCCACAGAATGATACACGGAGTTCTAAAAAAATTATTTGAAATGTAAGAAAATCTCGTAAAGTATATCTCCACAAAATGATGCACGGAGTTCTAAAAAATTACTTGAAACATAACATATGCAAAATCTTAAGAATTATCTTCACTCAATAAAATAAACTCGTCCTTATTTCCAGGTGATAAGTTCACAAAAATGATTTACCAGGACCTCGGGTGGATAATTTCGGTTATCCATATATTACAGAATGATAACAAAAACATGTATCTTTGCACATTTCTTCCATCCTCACGGTCCTAACTTTTTCTGTGATGTACATAGTTGTTGGACGATCTCTCCTTTTCAAGCCTTCTCGAACGAATCGTGAAGGACGATTTTTGGTGCTCGCGAATAATTCATCAAACAGAATCTTGTAGTTTTAACGGTGTACATCGTTATGTTGCCAATCATTACAGGTCCTTTCCTTTGACCAATGATAGTCACAATCAAACAACAATTTATTATAAACTTGTCACACAATTTTTTAATTTCTTCTTAAAGTTTGCTTTGTTCTCATTATCTTGTTTTCCGCTGTTTTTCTTGCCTTCATTGAACATGTTACTTTGAGAAACCCTCTTTAGTCTCCTGTGGTGATTTCGTAAAATTGACGTTAGCCAATTGATACCTGAAGCAAACACTCCTTTTTCCAAGCATCTGCAACACCTCAAATTCATCCCGAACTCTTGAATTGCTCGCAGCTTAGCCGAAAGGAATAAGCATCAAACCAGGATACTCATCTCCATCATCACAGCCATTTTGATTTCTCCCTTGAGCGTTTTCAGCGTCAAGCGTATCTGAAGCAAACTGTATGTACGATTATGTAGAATTGTTATAAGAAAATTTTCTGAGTACCACAAACAGCTGATAGGACGTTATATAGCGCCTAGTTTTTGTTTTGACAGTTTAGACTTGTGATGTTTGTGACTAGGTATACTGTACTGCTCACCTAAACATAAGATTACACAAATGCATGTACAGAAAATATGTTCGAATTTTACATTATACGCTCATGTAGTAAATTAGTTCTTTTTGTGTGGTATCTATTGGCAACATTCCATGCCTGTGCACCATATGCCTTTGCCTTCATGAAGTATTCCTTCATGCATAAACAATACGCAGGCTCATATACACAGTTGTTTGAAAATGGAGATAAAACGCTTTTAAAATATTCTTATAAAATACATGCTTTTTATTATTATTGAACTAAATTTCTCTCTTAACGTTTCCATTCAATGGATGAAGAAGATAGTCGTCAAAGAAAAAATGGACCTATATTCGAACCACCTGTGTATATACAACGCTATGATTTTGTCGAAAGTATTGTGCGTCAATTTGGAGCCAAGAAGGTTGTAAAATCGTATAAAAAAATTAAATTTTTTATCTGCACAAAAATGGAGAAAGCAATTATTTTGATTAGGTGATTGATTTTGGTTGCTCAGAAGGGAAGTTAATTAATCAGCTCAAAAAAGTGGAGTGTGTTGAAGAATTGGTTGGTATTGATATTGACCTTGATACTCTGGAGTTTAATAAGAACAGAACAAGACCATATTCGTGTGATTATCTTGATCCTCGAACAAGACCACTAACTGTCAGTCTTTATCAAGGTCTGCTATGCTGAAATACTACACAATATATCCGCATTATTGTCGAATCGATGCTATAATTCTATGAATTTAGGATCAATCGCGGAATGTGATGAAAGATTTGTTAATTTCGATGTTATTGCTTGCGTTGAGATGTAAGTTACGCGTTATTTGATGTTGTGTGATGCAGGAATGATTATTTAATGTTTTGTTGTTCTTCATATTAATTAGTATTACTAATTAATAATAAGTGAAATTATTGATGTTCTACCAATCACTTAGTATTTGTTGATTAATAATCATTATTGTTTGTACTTTCTATATATCACATTATTTTCTTTCATTCCCAGGATAGAACACCTCCATCCACCAGTACTTCAAGCAATGCCAATTACCATATTCGGACATCTTAAACCTAATGTTGTCATCATCACAACTCCAAATTCAGAATTCAATGTTCTGTTTCCTGATCTCAAAGGGTTCAGACATTATGATCATAAATTTGAATGGACCAGAGCTGAATTTCAATCCTGGTTAGTGTATGAATATGTGTGAATACTAGGTTGAAAAGTTGTCTCATTCTGAGGAATACATTTTTATCTGCACCCATAAATTATAGAAAGGGAAAGATGCTTGTTATGCTACTCTCATCTTTCCAACTTTTGTCTAAAGGTGTTTGCAAGAGTGTAAAAAATATGGTTATACAGTATCATTTTCTGGCGTTGGTGATGGACCTGTTGGTAGAGAAAACTTGGGTCATTGTTCACAAATAGCTGTGTTTATTAAGAAGGAGGATGAAAATGGTAAGACTATGTTAAGGATGGTGTTGTTATGTGTGGTGTGAAAATATAGTCATCTTTGTCATTCTTCATTGCTAAAACTAGGATACAATGATGACCAAAGAAAGGGAAAATGGCCGTATGTGAAGGTAAAATATACATTTACTATGAGAAGTACTTTTAAGCACAAAGGGATAATGTATGTTAACTAGGAACATTTCTCTCTTCAAATTGTTTTATCATTAGGTGATCTCTTGTGTGCATCCATTTAAAAAAGAACGAAGCCTTGAAGAACTTATCTCTGATGAACTAGAATATTATATTTTGTTCTTGGCGGATGAATATAAAAAAGATGAGAAGTCACTTTTATCAGAAATTCCACTGCAAAGTTTTCTCCAGTTTCCTAGAATCTCTAAACTTGCTGGTAATGTTCATGTTTTAAGGTAAAATCATGTTTAATTTTTATCTTTAAATTAGTACAAACCAAAGTGCAATAATGATTTACATATTGTATCCACTATCTTCCCTGACATCTTTTGTTGCTAAAGGGTAGTTAAAGTATTTAGGTTGAAAATTTAACTATTCAAAAAATAATTTAAGTTACATTATAACATAGATTTCTAAGAAATCCTATCCTTACATAATTTATCCAGGAAAGCTGTTCAAAACTCTCAAAAGTTAGAACTAAGCGAAAGTCAGACAGCCATAGTCTATAAACGACCACATGGTGAATGGTCCATCGATGATGAATATGAAGGTACAAATTGGGATTCAGAGGGTGTTGGAAGTAATTATAATCAATATTATAAGGTGGGTTGCCCCACGGAAGAAAATTGGGATGTTGAAATGGAGGATGATGACTGTGAAGAAGATGTATGGTCAACATGGAGAACGAATAATGCATCATTCGATGGTTTAATTTGAGTACGTCATTGTTACGTCATTGACGTCATTATTACGTCACTTTTTAAGTGCTGCCTTTAATTGTTGTGTTTTACATTGGGATTGATGTTTCATGTGCAGTGAATTTCGGTGAATCGACGTCTTTGGAGTCGGCCGCCTTTCTTGCTTTGATTAATGAAGGTTCTTTTGTTATCAAAGCGTGACAATTTTCTGCCCACCGCAACATTTCCTCAAAGTTATTTTTAATTGCCAGTGTTTTAGCTTCTTCCGTCAATTGTTCTGCCTTGAAGAGTAGTTTTTCCTCTAAAGTTTGTTGAACCTGGCCTTGACGAAAGAAAAGAACTGCTTGTGCAATTTTCAGTTGTATCATACGATAACAATTCGTTAAATTTCCTTTGTATATGGATTCATGGATAGCCATTATATTAGAGCTGGCTTTTTTCAAATTTTGCTCATCAATACGAGGTATGGTGAATTTGCCACCTATGCTATATCCAAGATAGTGAAAGGCAAGATTGATGTGCGCCTTTTGTTCAATCTCTGCTCTTGTTAAATGAGAATTGTCAACATATTGAGCATGTTCCAATGCTAGAATCGAAAGATGTTCTGGATAATCGGAAGATTGTTTAACAGAATATTCAAATTGGAAAATATTCTCCAATGTCGCTGCTAGTAAATAAATCGCTGCTGTGATAATGTTTGGTGTAATTTTTCCTGCCTTCTCCAAGATAGTTGACAACAAGGAACTAAGGTCTTCTTTCTTCCCTTCGGCACGATGAAAGGCTGTCTTCATGTAAAAACGAAATGCGTCAAACATTTCTACATCTTGTGTTCTGCCAGATAGCTGTTCGTATTCTTTCAAATAGTTTCTTGCAGGCTCAAAACAACCTGTGCGATAGCTCATTATAATTCTTTTGGCCAATATCATTAAATCAACTTCAGGAGTGTTTGGATACTTTAGCTGAATATCCCTGGCTGTTTCATCCAGTGATTTTCCGCTGTTAATACTTTCTGTTAATATTTCATCCACTCGAGAACACATCCTTTTGATACTGTCTGTGCTCCAGGAAATTCTCGTTGACAAGTTTTCTATCCTTAAAGACAATTGTTTTGCCTGATCTTGGTAAATTTTCCTTCTCCATGTACTAAAGTCCATCTTAACAATTTTGCCATTCACTACCTCATACGACTCTGGTATTTCCGTGAATACACCGCCTAGACACGGAGCAATGTATATCACAATGACAAACGTTAATGGACATGGCTTAGATTCTTCATCAAGAACTATTTCAAAGAAAATTTCCCATTCTCTCTTTCTCTGTGGTTTGACATGTCGTGGCCAAACCATCGCATTAATCGTGTCTTCAACTTTTTTCGTTATATCAATCTTATCTTTCTCTTTAATTATATACTGTCCTTCTGTTAAACCATCGTCGCTAACACCAAAGTACAAATGTCCTCCTTTATAGTTAGCAAATGCAGAAACATAGCTAGTGAACTTATTCCCTCGGCCAGTCATTCGATCTGCAAGTCTTGAACTGCTGTCTCTCTCTGACTTAAGTTTTTTTAACTGGATGCATTTGCTATCTTTCAAGTAACATTTTCTCCCTTTATAAAATTCTCTTTGATGCGTATTTATACTAACTGGGTCTTCTATGATTTTTCTATCGAGAATTTGCTCCTTAATAACCGCCAGGGAATCTTGAAAAGAGGTTAAACCAACCACTTGAGTTTCGCTTGGTAGATATAAGTTATAGTTGACTGTCACCAGCGTTGTACCATACCTTTTAACGTGTATTATAAGTCTATTTACATCTTCATGAAATTGTATGAGCTTTATAGTCTGTAGGTTGCCAATAAGATTCATAATTGACTGTTCTATAGTACGTACAACTGACCATAAATTACCGTTCTCGGACTCGTCACGGTCATTCAGTGCAACTTTACCACCTTTAGTATTAAGTAACGCACAAATTACTGACACAATTTTTTTTAATACATTATCTTTATATACTTTACTGCTTTGAAAATTTTTCATTTCTAGCGTTATAAAATACACTGTATCATCGCAGTTTGCCTCCATCATAGACTTCGCTACACAAGTCCCTTTATTCCTTGATGTTAAAAGCTGAATCATCATCACTTGTTTTATACGTGACTTTTGTTGTGTGTTGGCCGTATTGCGTCACAGGTGAAAATTTGTCTGATCAAGTTAGTCCAAATTCATCATTAGAAAGTTGGAAATGAAACTCACATTGCAAAATTCTCAATCAACAAAATGTGATCTTCCATAAGCACCGACGTTCTCGACATCCATAATACAATCTTATAGTCTTTATCAGAGGGTGAAAGGGGTTTCCCCGATACAGAGGGAATTTCCCATGCGGTGTATCCCACGTGATTTAAGAAAAAACAAAGGAACACCAGTTTACATGAGAAATGAAATCAACATTGTGATGATTTTTAAGAGATTGACTTTCTTATGAATACAAGTCAGAAATGGTCAATAGAAGAAGACGGTTTAACAATTCACTTTCATCATCTTTATATTTAATGTATTCATGTCTATTGTTCTGTTTGCCCTAGATCAAATAATTAATTTTCTAGAGAAAAGTGCTCAAATACACAACATTAGACTCCTAAGTTTATGCTACTTCTATGGAAGATGCTTTCCCATTTACGTATGCGACAATGACACATAAACTTGCAAACATTTTTGATGTAGCCTTCATGAAATGGATTTTCTCCTTCTTTGAATATCTTCAAATACGAGATCTTCGAATGAGCCATGTGCTCCCAGGTTGTACGACCAATTATAATCAAATATGAATGACAGCCAAACAACAAAGTGACAACAATTACAGCAATGACAAGGATAAACATAACAACAACAAGAATGCCATTAGAATAAATCCAATCTGACCATAGCGTTTTTCTTTGAAAGCCAAACCTAGTAAAGACAAAAAAAGCATTCAAATATGCTGGTTATTAGCAAGAAAGTATGAAGGAATTCCCAAATACATGAGATGCACTAATTTCATTAATTTTTTACTATGTTTTACAGTTTTTACTTTTTAAAAGAAAGATGTTGATTCATATCTTTACATTTCAACATGCATGAACAGTTAATTAAATACTTAGGAGTTGACTTTAGCTTAGTATAACATTGTTTTGTAAATTGTGAGAGTTAAAAAGACATTTGAAAAGGTATTAATACCTAGAAACAATAATAGTTGCAAACACATAGACAAGAACGTTCTGTTTTTCACATTACATAGATTTAGTGAAAGTTAACATACACTAATACCTAACACCATTCTTACAATGCAAAGTAACCTACCATCCTATTTCTATTGACCAAGCAATGAGAATTGTTTCAAACAATAAAAATGCCCAGAAATATCTGTGATTTCGTTCGCCAACACAATTTCCCAACCATGGGCAATGATGATCATATCGATAAACGCAACGGTTACAATCCTCACAATGTTTTGATCGCAGAGGTTGCATAAGGTTGCAGTAACCACAGCGACGTAGTTTAGGCAAGGAATGAAATGGTGGCTCGCCAAAAACCTCACAATTCTCAGAGATCAATGGTTCACCTTCTGTATTATCCTCCTTGCTTTTCTGTAACGACAAAAGTAAAATGGTCACGTGATTTGACAGTCGTCCCTCATTGGTTAGACTACACACACAGCATCATAGTCATAATCACCTCATAGGCCACCATGATGACATCTGTATCATTAGAAGCAACAAAACCAGGATCAACAGATCCAGCAACAAAATAAAAAACTGTTGAAGCGGTGACGATCGCGAAATATGGCAAAACATAAAACCACTGTTGCAGGATCAACGACTTACGCAGCTCTGTTGTTTTTTGAAAAATTGTGAAAACATATACATTAAGCTGTAGTAAATCTTATGTTTCGTGTTTGTATATCAATTGCGAAAGATACTGAAATTACATTAAAAGGAAAAGGAGTTTTATATGTTGGTTCAAGTAAGTCGTTTCAAGAAGTCTTTGTTAAAGAATGGTTTTAAAACCCTGAGGGTTCGTCGCGCAGCAAAAATTATATGAACATATCAAATACATACCTGTATCTTTAAGTATAAGTACAGTTATGACAAATGTCGTTAAAACAAGGTGCAAAACACGAATAAACAATTTTTCCCAGCTAAATGACGTTTGGCTGCACTTCGCCATTTTGTCTTTATCCACCGACGAAATTTAGGGTTGGAAAAATGAGGATTGCTAGCCTGCATGCCTGTTAATCGTGTTAACAGGTTACTTTATATTTTGTACTCGAATATACGAACAAATTTTCTACGACAAATACTCGCTAGCCCGTGTGTACCATTGAACTAAAATACATGGAACGCTACCTGTAATACAAAACCCTAATAATTTTTTGAAGCCGTGATTTTACCACGGACACGCGAGATTTTACCACAGACACGCGAGATTTTACCCCAGACACGCGAGACTTTACCCCAGACATTTACCGGTCATTGTCATTAGCTTAGGTCAACGCAACATTTAACACATGTTTTCACCTCATTAGCAACGATGATAAAAATTTTCGTTTCTCTCGAGGCAAGAAGGCCTGCAGGATCAACAGATCCAGCAAAGAAAAACCCACTTAAACACTGTTGATGTTATAGTACTGTTTTTATCGAAATCGAAAGTGTTAGTAAACATGGTTTACTGCCTGCCCACGCATATTACTCGGAATTTAATAATTAGTTACAAGAAATTTTATCATTGTCACATTATTGTGAGTAAACACTAGATGTCTGTTTGCGTGGTGCTTATCTTTGTGCATGTATTTAACATAATAACAGACAAAACGACGAATACTTTTTCTGACAAATGTGAACACTGAGTTAGCTAATTGCAGCCATTAATCTGTGGAAGGAATTTTATAATTATATTATTTGAAATTTGATCGTCGCACTTGAAAACTGTTCTTAATAGGAAATTTTCTCGGATCAAATAGTGTTGAAATTTAATACTTTTTGTTTTCTTGAGTTATCCAGTCATTTTCTTGGTAATGGCTAATATTTAAAAAATTTATTCGTGTAAGACGATGTCGGTGCTCCCGTTTTTAACAAAGATTGATGAAAAGATTTTGATTGGAAGACAAAGGTAAAGTGAAACAATGGGACAGGGAATAGCTCTAGTTCCAAGATCCAGAAAATGAAATATCTTCATGTTCATTGCAACATCAGGTTAGCTAAACATGATATGTCGTAAAATGTAACATGATGCGGGTTTTTTCCCAATTGACAATAGCATATCGTTATTATACCGGGAACTTGGTAATATAAGAATATAAACCCAGATCAAATGATGTTGAAAATCATTTCCTTTCTAAGGTTCTATGCAGACGAGATTGTCTTCGTTTTTGAAAACATCAGTTCCACAAAGTTATTGAAATTGTTTTCAGATATGAACAAGATGTTTCGCGTTTTTTGTTTGCTGTTGTTTTTACATAATGCTCGGGCTTTTCTTTGGACACGACCTCTTTCTTCATCGAAGTTGTCATTAATCAGAACGTCTTTGTTTCTTACAGGTTTGTAATTTGTTACTCATTTTCAACAATTTTTCTTTGTGCCAATTATTTTCTTGAAAAAATTTAGATTAATTGAGTTTGCTGGTTCCTTGTTTAAATGCACATTACTTTATGTTATTTCTTTGCCTGCAAATGCATTTCCGCAAAGTTGCGAATCAGCGTTTATAAATTATAGCAGAAGAAACACACTACTGGTTTTGAATTTCTAAAAAATGATGATTTTACCAATGAACTGGCCTCTAAAGTGCTTCAAAATGTAATAATATGCCCAAATGTGCTACAGTAATTCATTTTGACGTACCCTAGATCCGTCATTGTTTCCGCATTGTTAAGTTTGAGTCAATTTGCCAACAAAGTTTTATCCATATTGAAGAAGGGTTTAATGAAGCTTTTTCTCATTTGATGACGTTAAGCATTCAGATTAAAATTGAAATTAAAAATAAAATTGAAAGTTACTTAGAATTGAAAGTTTTATTCCCATAAATTTCCTGTGCAACACGCTGTGACGCAACCTTTATGATAATTAAGGGAAAGACCACTAGGTGCATAAATATTTTGTGTTGTGTTCGACTGTTTCAGATTAAAAAGATGATCGAAATCTGTTTAGAAAAACAAAATGTGTAAATATACACACCACTTTCGTTGTGCTTAGAGCAGAATGTGTAAATATGCACACCACTTTCGTAGTGCTTAGAGCAGAATGTGTAAATATGTACACCACTTTCGTAGTGCTTAGAGCAGAATGTGTAAATATGCACACCAGTTTAGAGTTGTACATTTTCGCACTGCTTGTAATACCAAAAAAATTAGTGTGTTTGCATGACGGTTGAGAACTCAAATTTTTGCTATTGTTTCCATTTTTGTGCTGTGTTCTGCGGCGTAGCCAGTGATTTCTGTCAAATCATAACATTTTAGAAGGGGGCGAAAAAGTTTACTGTGGCATGAGAGAGGGCCCTTCGCTTTCTCTTGCTACATCAGTAGCTGTGTTTCATGACTTTGCGTTCTTATAGTCTATCACATGAATTGTTTTCAACAAATTCAATTGTTTTTACACAAATATCGAATTGTGAATGTTTGGTTTTTCTTTTATAACATCAACAAAAAAGTTAAATTTCGTTCTTTTCTCCATAATTTTGTTCACATCAGCTTTAGGTACACGCCTGATGACAGTTCAAGGATGGTGTTCATGGTCGCAATTTCGATGTAACGATGGCTATAGGTGTTTTGATAACTATTATGTGTGTAATGGTTATCGTGATTGTTGGGATGGCAGTGATGAATGGTCCTGTAGTAAGTTATATGTTTTTTAAATGATAATATAGCTGTAGTTGTTTGATGTTTACAAATCAAAATTACAGACATTTACATGATTTTACAACTTTCAACCATAATAAAAACTGTGTTTTTTACGATTAAAAACATGAAGCATTACGTTCACTAAAAGCTTCTTGCTTATTTTTGTATTTGTGTAATGGTGACATTGATGGATAGTTTCTCCTAGAAATAAATGAATTTTATTTCATCATTTGTGTAAAGATTAAAAAAAAATTCAAATACTGAGTACAACTAACTGAATTTCATCAAAAAGATTTTCTTTCCACACCTCATTTCAAGATATGAAGTGTGCATAGCTACTTGAAGAACTGAAAATGATTTTGTGTTTGTTAAAAAAGTTTGAAATACTGAATATTTAAAGTTTTCATCATTTTGTCGGCAGATTCTTCCTCAAGTTTAAAAAATTTGGTGTCGTCTATTCTTCCTTTCCCAGCATCAATTGTTGAAGGTGAGAGATTTTTTACACTTTGAAATATACTTGAAATAAAATCTATTGACACATGTTTAAGGCAGATAGCTAGATCGAAATGTCTATATACGAGCATTTGTTGTAAAAAATTTGACAGGATGTGTTACAGCAGCCAAAATATTTATTGAAAAAAATTGGAAACCGACACATAACTTGTTGAACTGATTTTCAACAAACATTTTACAAGTTTTGCTTTTAATTTTTTATTTAGTGAGCGCCCCACCATCTACGTCTGTTTACAGTAAGTTTCAAAAGTAATGAGTTCACATAACATATTTGGTGATGTACGCACTCATTTTTCTTATTTTCACACGTGTTTTATACACGAGTATATAAACTTTGTGTTTGTATGGTCGTGTTCATCTCCTACATTCCATGATCATTCATGTTGAAAAATTTGAGTTGAATATTTTTATCTTGTTATTTTTAGCATGGCGTCCGTGGTGTTCATCGTGGCAATTTCGATGTAACGATGGCTATAGGTGTATTTCTCGTTACTATGTATGTGATGGTTATTCTCATTGTAGGGATGGCAGTGATGAATGGTCCTGTTGTAAGTAATATGTTGTTTAAAAATTTACTTTACAGACATTCGCATGATTTTACTACTTTTCAACTCAACCATGAACGCAGTTGTTTTTTGTTTTACGAGTAAAAACAGTTTTACGTTCATTAAAAACTGCTTTGTGTTTGGATTTGCTGGTGGTGACTTTGATGGAGAGTTTTTCCAAGACGCTTAAGGAGCTTTCTTCTGTCATTCATTACGTAAACTTATATCAAAAATGAAATACTGAATATACACAATTTCTTTATTTTTAGCTCAATCCTTAAATTCCCAGGTTTTAGCTTCAAGTGTTCATCCTTCTCCAACGTCATCTGGTGAAGGTGAAATATTTTTAGCAGCATTAAAATTCAAAAAACCGAACGCAAAAGAATATTGTTGAGAAAATATGTGCACGATGAGTTTATAAAGTCATTATTTTGCGAATCAATCCAACCCTATTCTTATAATTTTTAGTCATGTCAACAATAAGACAGTGTTACTATTGGCAATTTCGATGTAACGATGGCTATAGGTGTATAGATAACTATTATGTGTGTGATGGTTATCGTCATTGTTGGGATGGCAGTGATGAATGGTCCTGTAGTAAGTTATATGTTCTTTAAATGATAATATAGCTTTAGTTGTTTGATGTTTACAAATCAAAATTACAGACATTTACATGATTTTACAACTTTCAACCATAATCAAAACTGTGTTTTTTACAATTAAAAACATGAAGCATTACGTTCACTAAAAACTTCTTGCTTGTTTTGCATTTATGTAATGGTGACATTGAGGGAGAGTTTCTCAAAGAAATAAATGAATTTTATTTTATCATTTGTGTAAAGATGATAAAAAAATTCAAATACTGAGTACAACTAACTGAATTTCATCAAAAAGATTTTCTTTCCACGCCTCATTTCAAGATATGAAGTGTGCATAGCTAATTGAAGAACTGAAAATGATTTTGTGTTTGTTAAAAAAGTTTGAAATACTGAATATTTAAAGTTTTCATCATTTTGTCGGCAGATTCTTCCTCAAGTTTAAAAAATTTGGTGTCGTCTATTCTTCCTTTCCCAGCATCAATTGTTGAAGGTGAGAGATTTTTTACACTTTGAAATATACTTGAAATAAAATCTATTGACACATGTTTAAGGCAGATAGCTAGATCGAAATGTCTATATACGAGCATTTGTTGTAAAAAATTTTACAGGATGTGTTACAGTAGCCAAAATATTTATTGAAAAAAAATTGGAAACCGACACATAACTTGTTGAACTGATTTTCAACAAACATTTTACAAGTTTTGCTTTTAATTTTTTATTTAGTAAGCTACACTTTTAGGAATAGCGTTATGGATACTATATGAAATTGAAATATTGTATATAGCTACAGTTGAGTTCCTTTACTTTTAGTTTCTTCTGCATTTTTTTCTCTGAGTCCCGAAATAAGTACGTCTATTCGTCCTTCCCCAACATACACTGTTGGAGGTGAGTGATTTTTTTACAAAGATTGAAGTGCATTAAAAGAAATTCATCTAATCATGGCACAAAAGTTCGTTTCTACTTTAACCTCTCCCTGCAAGAAAAAAATGTGAAAAGGAAGCAAAAGGCTGCAACAAAAATTTGAATGTTTCATATCATTACATGTTTGCGTTTTATTAGTGTACATATTTTTTAAGATATTTTATGAATGAATTTTTAAACATTTGATTATATAGTGACAAGCAGTAGCAGCGTGTCTGTTAGTCGAAATGGTATGTATACGTGTGGTCTCGTTTGTACGTTGTAATCCTTAAATGATGCTTGTTTTTCTGTCTTTCTATTTTGGTAAATGCTAATGTTGCAAGCAGGGACTGTTATAATCCGTAATCACATTTGATGATTTCAAAAGAATGCAGAATTTGTATAAATGAACGTAGCCTCTCCCCTAGTTATCAATCTACCGCCATCCCTGACAATGAAAAAGATGCAAAAACACTTTTCTTAGTTTATGGGTAGCATCATTTAAAACTCTGTTGGACGATATTTCTCACTTCAGGTATTCGTCTTGTTGACGGTTCTTATGGCTTTGGACGTGTTGAAGTTTACTATAATGGAGAATGGGGAACAGTTTGTGACGACTATTGGGACATAAGAGATGCTCGAGTTGTGTGTAGGCAACTTGGTTTTGTAGATGCAATTGCTGCTTACCAAGGATCGCAGGGTATAAAGGATGGTACTGGACGTATCTGGTTGGATAATGTTCACTGTAACGGGAATGAGTTGAATCTCCAATCGTGCCGTCACAATTCATGGGGAAGACACGATTGCAGTCATTATGAAGATGCTGGTGTTCGTTGCGACACCAGGAAAGGTAGAACTAAGGAAAATATATACTTTAAAAATTCACAATCATTTACTGGTTAATTTTTGAGCTGACTTGTGCCTCCTGTATTTGGTCGTAGTGATTGCGATGGGAAAGTTTTTCTTTGATGTAACTGAATTATTTTTCATCTTGTATCCATATAGAAATACATTACAAAAGTCAAATACTGAATGTAACAACTTTTTTATTTTTAGTTCCTTTGGCACGTTTTTCTTCAAATTCCCAAGTTTTAGCTACAAGTGTTCATCATAGTCCAATGTCAACTGTTGCAGGTTAGAAATTTTTAGCAGCATTAAAATTCAAAAAAACCGAATGCAAAAGAATATTGGTGGGAAAATATGTGCATGATGAGTTTATATAATCAGATCTCTTCTCAAAAGTCATTATTTTGCGTATCAATCCAACCTTATTCTTATAATTTTTAATAATCCTATTTTCACGTCAACAATAAGACATTGTTACTATTGGCAATTTCGATGTAACGATGGCTACAATTGTATAAATATATCTTATGTATGTGATGGTTATCCTGATTGTTTTGATTGCAGTGATGAATGGTCCTGTAGTAAGTTATATGTTGTTTAAATGATAATATAGCTGTAGTTGAGTGACAAAATCAAAATAACAAACATCCATATGATAAAATGATCATTTGATTTCATACACTAATGATCAATAGCTTCGATTTATTTAACTTTCGTTTGCAGATGTTACCAGGAATCCCACAACTTGGGTACTTTTCCAGAACTTTACTTATCCTTCACAAACACCATCTGCTGAAGGTAAGCGATTATTGATAAAAATGCGAGAATATTTATTTAATAGGAAGTTTGAACAACTACTTTTACAAGAATTTGTCATATTAATTGCATACAGTTGTCCTAACTTTCCTGTTTCCTTCTTCATGTATGGAACCAAAGTAGATTGTTGAACCTAACCACTCGGTAACAACAGCTATACTGTTTTGTTTTCTAACTATACTACGTAATATCTTTTAGCGCCATCAACCGCTAACTCATCTATGGCTCAAGGTATACCCATTTACAGATTTTGCTGTTGAATTATATATAAGTTGTGCTTGAATTGCAACTTTCAATGACTTTTGATAAGTTATCTTTACATGTAAAGAAAGATTCTACTGAGCTTAGTCACGCGTCATGTATATAAGAGATATGCGAAATTATTAAAGAGAGCATGCTCGAATGTGCTGATAAAGCTACAAAAAGCAAATTATTTCAAATACTGAATTCTATGAATATGAAGTTTTGTTAAGATCTCGACATTTTGAATCATGAGCATGTTCTTTAACTTTGTTGTTTTCTAGGTAATTCAAGTCAAAACTGTCAACACAAACTGGATCTTGGTTTTATATTGGATAGCTCTGGTAGTGTTGGCCAAAGCAACTTCAGAAGAATGAAAAAATTTGTCAAAGATTTGACAAATTTTTACAACATTGGTGTTCACGAGACTAGAGTATCAGTCTTGACGTTTGCTTCGTCTTCTCGTATAAATATTCGATTCTCCGATCAATTTTCTAACAAAAGATTTTTTGACGCAGCAGTTGATAACATTTATTACACTGGTGGTTCAACTTATACCGCTTCAGCGTTATACCTGGCTTATAACAAGATGTACACATCTGCTTACGGTGCTAGGAGTGCTGGTACGTCATGTTAGAGTGAACATAACTTTAACAAAAAATCTCATGATACCATCTTCAGAATTAATTTGTTAGAAATAATGATGTGTATATTTACAGAACGAATATAGTTTTAGTTCAATTGAGAAATGATAGTCTAGTCTTTAAACCTTCAGCCCTTTTTGTAAATTCATTTGTTAACTTCTTTTTTTATGCAATCTGCATTTTTCGTGTTTTAGAATTCAAGAAGGTGTTAGTGATTTTGACCGACGGCCGAAGTGATGGAAATGTTAATAATCCGGCAAGGCAACTGAAGAACAGTGGTATTGTGATCTTTAGTGTCGGCATTGGACTTAGTGTAAACAAACAAGAACTGGAGGATATGGCTTCAGATCCACCTGAAGAGCACGTAGTCATGTTGAACAGTTTTACTCAACTGTCTAAACTTTCTTCTAAATTGTCATCAAGGACTTGTAACGGTAAGGAAGTAAAGCGACTGTTGTGATACATCATTGTAAAGTGAAAATCTTTCTTGTAAACCGAAAACCTTACTCCACTAAAGTAAAGAAGTCCGGTCTCCATCTTTACACCAAAGGCAGCTTGTTCTCATTAATTCTTCACCCTCTTTTAGCTTCTAGTTTCCTGTTGATATGTGGTTCTCAGTACATGACAGCGATTTTCAAGCGTGGTGAGATTTCTGGAAATATCAACACACTCTACCTTCGAGATGGTCATTGCAAAGCGAGCTGGAATTCAACACATGTCGTTGTAAACACTTCCTTACATGGTTGTGGCACAGAGGTCGTAGAAACATATCAATATATAATCTACACTAATGTCATGTCTCATCTTGGTGCTTCTGAGAACTACAACGGAGATGACGTGATAACACGTTCTTACCTAAATGCTAAGATGATTTGCACTTATCCTCGCAAGCGTCGTGTTGGTGTGCTAAGCTTTGAACCAGCAAAGGAAAATATATTTGTCAGCAGCAGTAAGTCTTCGAGTTAAAAACCACTTTTGGTCATTTACACCAAGTTTGCAAAAGTACACCCTATCCTTTCAAATCATACATCTATCCCACATTGACCATTGTTTCATATCTTGTCAACCCTCACCACAACCCCTACCTACCAGTTACTTAACTGCCAAAGTCGGAACACAAGTGGCCATCACGACTCTAACTGTCAGTGCTAGCATAGCTGTATTTCTGTGAAATATTGAATGTTCTAGATAATTTTACTGCTTTCGTAGTATAAAAATGAACTATATTTTTAGGAAGTGAAGGCAATTTTTCTCTAACCTTGGACGTTTTTAAGAATAGCGACTACCGCGAGCGTTACACATCACAAGATTATCCTATCTTAATGGCTCTTTCCAAAAACCTCTACATTCAATACTCCGTCAATATACGCAATTTAAGCGTACGCGCCGAGAAATGTCGTGCTACACCAAGTAATAGACCATACGAAAGCATCTATTATGACTTCATTGTGGACGGGTAAGATTCCATCTTTTTTTCTCGATATTGAGGCGTCGTGTTTTGTAAATTTATGTTTCTCATAACTTTTATTATTGATGTAAGTTTTTAGTTGTATGAAATCGCATGAAACTGCATGAAATTTTTTAGTTTCGTTGCATTCTATGAAACTATATAATAGCATTGTGAACTGAAGCAATTTGATTGGTCAGGGGCCATGATTTATCCAAGATCCAAGATTACGTCACAACAATTCACAGAACTTTCAATGCATAAACAGAAACAAAAAATACGGAAATTCTTGAACGTTTGATTGACATAGAACTAAGAAGAGAAAAACCTACTTTAAGCCAATTTTACATATTCTATATTGTAAAATATGTCATTGTTACCATCTTTCATTTTATTTGTTTTAGTTGTGACAATGATAAAACCATCAGACATTACACAGAATGGTACAGCTCGATTCAGCGTTTCAGTATCCAGGCGTTCCGTTTCCTTACCAGTCATCGATTTGTATACATACACTGTGATCTTGTTGTTTGCTCAAATGTTGGAAGTTACAACTCCACCTGCGCCCGCAATCGTACGTGTTCTTCACGTGCACGTCGTGATGTAGAGGAAAAACAAAAAGATGTGACGGGTCTTTATCAGTTGTCGTTTGGTCCACTGATGCACGAAAAAAAGTCCTTTGAACAAAAGTCTGTTGAGGGTAAGTAATGTATTACAGTCAAACCTGTTTTAAACAGAAACCCTCGGAGAAATAAGTAGTGTATGTTAAATGGAGGTGTCCGTTAGACAGAGGTTTTGTTATTACGAACTAGTTATACGGTATTAAAGTTAGACTTTTTGAAGTGTCCACTTAATACAAGTTTGACTGTGTTGCACTTTTTTTCAATCAGTTTAAATTCAGTAAAAAACCTGGATTTTTTCACGCTATAGAGCCTGGGGAAAAATAGTTATGGACTTCCAAATAGCGTAATTTGCCGAATCTTTTGCCTATCATAGTATTTTCTCACAATATATGAATATCATTTCAACTCACACCGAGGCTATTGACTTTTAGAAAAAAGTACAGTAAACATCACTTTGTTGGGCTCTTTGATCGTTTTTGGCTGTCTCACAGTTGCTCTAGCTGCTGCATTGGTTTATATGTTGAGACGATCACATGTTCGTAAATCTGACGCTTCAGTGGCTCGTGCTGACATCAAGGATGAAATGGCGATGCAAAATTTCGGTTTTAATGCTGAAAATCATAGTGAAATTGTGAAATCCTAATTTTCTTTTTTGTCACATTTATGATGCAATCTTTTTCTTTTTGCTCAGATTATATTATTTGAGGTGTTTTCGAAATGATTTTTAGAAATGATTTAATCGTTCTTTTCTTTTTCAAGATATTAGAGTAATGTGAGTTAACTTTCACCAACCTATATTATACTCAAATCATGAACTGTAATCATCAGGCAATACATTTTTTATTACTATGCATTTTGTCATATTTTTTGATTGGAAGACAAAGGTAAAGTGAAACAATGGGACAGAGGAATAGTTGTTGTTCAAAGATCTAGAAAATGAAATATCTTCATGTTCATTGCGACATCAGGTTAGCTAAACATGATATGTCGTAAAATGTCACATGATGCGGGTTTTTTCCCAATTGATAATAGCATACCGTTATTACACCGGAAACTTATTAATATAAGAATATAAACCCAGATCATATGATGTTGAAAATCATTTCCTTTCTAAGAATCCATGCAGACAAGATTGGCTTCGTTTTTCGACAAAGTTATTGAAATTGTTTTACAGATATGAACAAGATGTTTCGCGTTTTTTGTTTGCTGTTGTTTCTACATAATGCTCGGCTTTTCTTTGGACACGACCTCTTTCTTCATCGAAGTTGTCATTAATCAGAACGTCTTTGTTTCTTACAGGTTTGTAATTTGTTACTCATTTTCAGCAATTTTTTTTTGTGCCAATTATTTTCTTGATAAAATTTTGATTAATTGAGTTTGCTGGTTCCTTGTTTAAATGCACATTACTTTATGTTATTTCTTTGCCTGCAAATGCATTTCCGCAAAGTTGGGAATCAGCGTTTATAAATTATAGCTGCAGAAAAACACTACTGGTTTTGAATTTCTAAAAAATGATGATTTTACCAATGAACTAGCCTCTAAAGTGTTTCAAAATGTAATAATATGCCCAAATGTGCTGCAGTAATTTATTTTGACGTACCCTAGATCCGTTATTGTTGCCGCATTGTTAAGTTTGAGTCAATTTGCCAACAAAGTTTTATCCATATTAGGGTGTAATGAAGATTTATTTCATTTGACGACGTTAAGCATTCAGATTCTTAGAATTGAAAGATTTATTCCCTTAGATTTCCAGTGCAGCACGTGGTGACAGTGGCGGACCTAGAGCATGTCAAATCCGTCGCGCGACTGATGTTTGACATTCAAAAATTACCTATTCATATTAATTAAAAAATCATTAATTATTCTTACTTTATTATCGCATTTACTTCGTGATAAAAATCCAGCTTTATTTATTATTGAAAACTAATGAGTAATCCAATGAATATCTCGTTGGTAACCAGATCAGTTGAATTTTAATTGACGTGGAATAACCGACTGATAAGCGGGGTGGCTTGACTGGTTCGACGGATAAAGGAGTCTATGAACGCTAAAAACGCTTATTCTATTGGTTATTCTTATTCTTATTATTCTTAGTCTGGAATTGTCTCGACTGATAAGAGGGGTGGCCGGACGTATAAGGGAGTCCAATTGCTATCTTACAATTGGTTCATTTGAATTTTTGTTTTATTGTGATTGGTTTGACGGATTTCGACTGATAGCCAACTGAACTAACATAGTCAAGCTCACTGTCTGAATTGAATGTTTGATCGTTTCATAGAAATTTTTATAAGCATGATAGAAACTAAACTACAATCAGATGGAGTTTATGGAAATCTTTTACAAATTCATATATTGACATGAATGCTGCTGTCCAAACTGTGAATTTTTTGAAGAGGGTGAAAAATTTATGGATAAATTGTAAATGCTTGGCAAAGACGATCTCGCGAGTGACATTTCAGTCATTGATGTTCAAAAGACAGCCAACATTGTTTTGAGTTTTATCAGCAGAAATTTACATCCAAAATCGTAAGTAAAGGACAAGTGAAGTGTATGCATGAATGTAATATATCAAAGTCAATTTATGCAAATGTGTGATGCGATTTATGTCAATATGGCGTATGGTAAGCAGATTGATGCTTCTAAAATTGTTGTTGCCGAAGGACTTTTAGCTATGATTTCTTTAGTGCTTGGGGAATCGTGGCCGTTATATGGCAGCGAAATCCTACATTCCTGCAAATATATTTCAATGGACAAAATTCTGTAGCCATAAGGCGCCATACTATTATTTACTTTATCATAAACAAATGTTTGGGGCTTTTCAGTTTATGATCATTGATCATTCAATCATTGGACAGTTATACTACATATTGTTTAAGATTTGAGAAAACTAACATTGATTACATGACAGACTTGCCAACCCCAAGGATACAAAACCTTGATATTAATGCAGAAAAACCTGGAGATCTGGCAAAAAAACTGGAGATTTCTTTTCTTGTATACGACATATTTTTAGCTTGATTTATTAGGCAAATGGCAATGATTACCTCAAGTGTTATGCACAAAAATTTTAACTGGCAGCCATTTTGTGTTACATAATTATACGAAAAAACGAAAATCAATGTCATGCCCAGTTCCCGGCGCACCGCGGCTACAATACGTTATGTTTTGAATGCTATTCATCGAGTATTTCTTTCCATGCGATGAATAAAAATGCCAACAAACTTCTAAAATCCTAAGCTTTAAAAAAACCGGGAGATTTAGTATCTTTGTCGGGAGGTCGGGAAAAATGCAGCAAAAGCGGGAGTCTCCCGGCGAAACCGGGAGAATTGGCAGGTCTGACATGAGAAGCTGTTTACTATAACCTGTGATTTTGAGTCTTCTGATCCATGAAGCTTTTTATTTTGACAATTTTACTGGAATGGTATTAAACCTGAGTATTTGACATACATGAAATGTTGTCCCATGTCACATATTGTCCCCTTTTCTAACTGAACACCTCATGTAGAGATGTAAAGGTGTGTTAATCTACGGCTCATACCAGATTGCTTGCCATAAATTCCAAAGGGCTATTGATGTATGAAAAGCATTTTCTATAAAGTAAAAATATCTTCCTATGTATGCAGATAAACCTTGAAATTTGGCAAAACAGCAAAGTATTTTTCATGATCACTAGGTAATTTTTCTGATGATCATTATAATTTCTAAACTAAATTATTTCAGATTTACATTTAAACGAGCTTTGATCATATGAAAAGATATTTATCATAACCAGTAAGCATGACACATGAACCAATTTTAACATTCATGTAATTATATAATTAAAGATATGTTGGTTACATTCTGTTTGTATTTGCAAATACAATGCTACTAGTGATTGCTATATAGCACACCTTGCATATACTTACAGAAGATAATAGTCTAGTGAAATGCCTAATGAACATTTATGGCATTAAGCTGTCCTTAACTGCAAATTTTCACTCTGATAATTTTTGTTTAATCTTTGGCAGAAAAAAAATTTGAGTTTTTTCTCAAAAAGTGAATTTGCTGGCACTGATGTGGAGATGGGTAAAGGGTTACAAAAAACTTGCATGGTTTGAAGGGTGAGCTTTTCTATATCTATGAACTGTCACTTGTAGTACCAAATTTCTAACTTAACTCATTACATAGAGGTTTGAATGGGGGTCTCTAGGGGGATATATGCCTGACAACTTGGTAGAAATTTTTAAAGACTATATCTGTTTTCGAATAGCATTATTGTAAAATAAATTTTACGTTCCTAGACATGCTAGTGAGCCATATATTTGGCATGATAATGAGCCTAAATATTTGGCAAAACATTCAAGTATTGTTCACTTCATTTTTTTTTGAAAAAAACGTAAGCAAAATGTGTTGTTTTTACAATCCTAGATCCGCCCCTGACCACACTAATTTTTTTGGTATTACAAGCGGTGCGAAAATGTACAACTCTAAATTGGTGTGGATATTTACACATTCTGCTCTAGGCGGTACGAAAGTGGTGTGCATATTTACACATTCTGCTCTAAGCGGTACGAAAGTGGTGTGCATATTTACACATTCTGCTCTAAGCACTACGAAACTGGTGTGCATATTTACACATTCTGCTCTAAGCGGTACGAAACTGGTGTGCATATTTACACATTCCTCTCTAAGCGGTACGAAATTGGTGTGCATATTTACACATTCTGCTCTAGGCGGTACGAAACTGGTGTGCATATTTACACATTCTGCTCTAAGCGGTACGAAACTGGTGTGCATATTTACACATTCTGCTCTAAGCGGTACGAAAGTGGTGTGTATATTTACACATTCCGCTCTAAGCGGTACGAAAGTGGTGTGCATATTTACACATTCTGCTCTAAACGGTACGAAACTGGTGTGTATTTACACATTCCGCTCTAAGCGGTATGAAAGTGGTGTATATTTACACATTCTGCTCTAAGCGGTACGAAAGTGGTATGCATATTTACACATTCTGCTCTAAGCACTACGAAACTGGTGTGTATATTTACACATTCTGCTCTAAGCACTACGAAAGTGGTGTGTATATTTACACATTCTGCTCTAAGCGGTACGAAAGTGGTGTGCATATTTACACATTCTGCTCTAAGCGGTAATGAAAGTGGTGTATATTTACACATTCTGCTCTAAACGGTACGAAAGTGGTGTATATATTTACACATTCTGCTCTAAGCACTACGAAACTGGTGTGCATATTTACATTCTGCTCTAAGCGGTACGAAACTGGTGTGCATATTTACACATTCCTCCTAAGCGGTACGAAATTGGTGTGCATATTACACATTCTGCTCTAGGCGGTACGAAACTGGTGTGCATATTTATACATTCTGCTCTAAGCGGTACGAAACTGGTGTGTATATTTATACATTCTGCTCTAAGCACTACGAAACTGGTGTGCATATTTACACATTCTGCTCTAAGCACTACGAAACTGGTGTGCATATTTATACATTCTGCTCTAAGCGGTACGAGACTGGTGTGCATATTTATACATTCTGCTCTAAGCGGTACGAAAGTAGTGTGTATATTTACACATTCCGCTCTAAGCGGTACGAAAGTGGTGTGCATATTTACACATTCCGCTCTAAGCGGTAAGAAAGTGGTGTGCATATTTACACATTCTGCTCTAAGCACTACGAAAGTGGTGTGTATATTTACACATTCTGCTCTAAGCGGTACGAAAGTGGTGTGCATATTTACACATTCTGCTCTAAACGGTACGAAAGTGGTGTGCATTGTTACACATTCTGCTCTAAACGGTACGAAAGTGGTGTGCATATTTACACATTCTGCTCTAAACGGTACGAAACTGGTGTGCATATTTACACATTCCACTCTAAGCGGTACGAAAGTGGTGTATATATTTACACATTCCGCTCTAAGCGGTACGAAAGTGGTATGCATATTTACACATTCTGCTCTAAGCACTACGAAAGTGGTGTGTATATTTACACATTCTGCTCTAAGCGGTACGAAAGTGGTGTGCATATTATTTACATTCTGCTCTAAGCGGTACGAAAGTGGTGTGCATATTTACACATTGTGCTCTAAGCGGTACGAAAGTGGTGTTATTATTTACACATTCTGCTCTAAGCGGTACGAAAGTGGTGTGCATATTTACACATTCTGCTCTAAACGGTACGAAAGTGGTGTATATATTTACACATTCTGCTCTAAGCACTACGAAACTGGTGTGCTTATTTACACATTCTGCTCTAAGCAGTACGAAACTGGTGTGCATATTTACACATTCCTCTCTAAGCGGTACGAAATTGGTGTGCATATTTACACATTCTGCTCTAGGCGGTACGAAAGTGGTGTTCATATTTACACATTCTGCTCTAAGCGGTACGAAACTGGTGTGCATATTTATACATTCTGCTCTAAGCGGTACGAAAGTAGTGTGTATATTTACACATTCCGCTCTAAGCGGTACGAAAGTGGTGTGCATATTTACACATTCCGCTCTAAGCGGTAAGAAAGTGGTGTGCATATTTACACATTCTGCTCTAAGCGGTAAGAAAGTAGTGCATATTTACACATTCTGCTCTAAGCGGTACGAAACTGGTGTGCATATTTACACATTCTGCTCTAAGCGGTACGAAACTGGTGTGCATATTTGCACAGTTTGTTTTCTAAACAGATTTCGATCATCTTTTTAATCTGAAACAGTCGAACACTAGACAAAATATTTATACACCTACTGGTCTTTCCCTTAATTATCATAAAGATTGCGTCACAGCCGTGTGTTTGCATGACGGTTGAGAACTCAAACTTTTGCTATTGTTTCCATTTCTGTGCTGTGTTCAGCGGCGTAGCCAGTGATTTCTGTCGAAACATTACATTTTAGGAGGGGCCAAAATTTTACTGTGGCAGGAGGGAAGGCTCTTCGCCCTCTCTTGCTACGTCAGTAGCTGTGTTTCATAACTTTGCGTTCTTGTTGTCTATTACATGAATTGTTTTCAACAAATTCAATTGTTTTTACACAAATATTGAATTGTGAATTTTCGGTTTTTCTCTTTATAACATCAACAAAAAAATTAAATTTCGTTCTTTTCTCCATAATTTTTTCACATCAGTTTTAGGTACACGCCTGATGACAGTTCAAGGATGGTGTTCATGGTCGCAATTTCGATGTAACGATGGCTATAGGTGTATTTCTCGTTACTATGTATGTGATGGTTATCCTCATTGCTGGGATGGCAGTGATGAATGGTCCTGTTGTAAGTAATACTATATGTTTGAAAAATACCATACAAACATTCACGTGGTTTTACAATTTTCATCCGTATTCAACCAAATTGTTTTTATTTTTAATACAACTAATAATATGAAGTATATACGTTAACTAAAAGCTTCTTGTGTTTTGTTATTTGGTTAAATAGATGTATTTGGTGCGTTTTTCAAAGACATAAATTGACTTGCATTCATCGCTTATAAAATTCAAATATATACTAAATGTAAAAAGTTTCATATATTTTCGTTTTCTTCTAAAATTTATGGTAGTAATAGAAGTTTATGATTTACCTACAATCTAGAATTTTGCCCTATATTTTAGCTAACTACTGAATGTTGAATTACTGAAAACGATTTTACTTTCAAAGTTAAAATAATGAATATTTAAAGTTTTTATTATTTTGTCGGCAGATTCTTCCTCAAGTTTAAAAACTTTAGTGTCGTCTATTCGTCCTTCCCCAACATCAACTGTTGAAGGTGAGAGATTTTTTACACTTTGAAATAAAATCTATTGACACATGTTTAAGACAGATAGCCCGATCGAAATGTCTATATACGAGCATTTGTTGTAAAAAATTTGACAGGATGTGTTACAGTAGCCAAAATATTTATTGAAAAAAAATTGGAAGCCGACACATAACTTGTTGAACTGATTTTCAACAGACATTTTACAAGTTTTGCTTTTAATTTTTTATTTAGTGAGCGCCCCACCATCTACGTCTGTTTACAGTAAGTTTCAAAAGTAATGAGTTCACATAATATATTTGGTGATGTACGCACTCATGTTTCTTATTTTCACACGTGTTTTACACACGAGTATATAAACTTTGTGTTTGTATGGTCGTGTTCATCTCCTACATTCCATGATCAATCATGTTGAAAAATTTGAGTTGAATATTTTTATCTTGTTATTTTTAGCATGGCGTCCGTGGTGTTCATGGTTGCAATTTCGATGTAACCATGGCTATAGATGTATTTCTCGTTACTATGTATGTGATGGTTATCCTGATTGTTGGGATGGCAGTGATGAATGGTCCTGTTGTAAGTAATACTATATGTTTGAAAATTTACTTTACAGACGTTCGCATGATTTTACTAATTTTCAACTCAACCATGAACGCAGTTGTTTTTTGTTTTACGAGTAAAAACAGTTTTACTTTCATTAAAAACTGCTTTGTGTTTGGATTTGCTGGTGGTGACATTGATGGAGAGTTTTTCCAAGACGCTTAAGGAGCTTTCTTCTGTCATTTATTACGTAAACTTATATCAAAACTGAAATACTGAATATACACAATTTCTTTATTTTTAGCTCAATCCTCAAATTCCCAAGTTTTAGCTTCAAGTGTTCATCCTTCTCCAACGTCATCTGGTGAAGGTGAAAGATATTTAGCAGCGTTAAAATTCAAAAAACCGAACGCAAAAATATATTATTGAGAAAATATGTGCACGACGAGCTTATAGAGTCATTATTTTGCGAATCAATCCAACCCTATTCTTATAATTTTCAGTCATGTCAACAATAAGACAGTGTTACTATTGGCAATTTCGATGTAACGATGGCTATAGGTGTATAGATAACTATTATGTGTGTGATGGTTATCGTCATTGTCGGGATGGCAGCGATGAATGGTCCTGTTGTAAGTAATATGTTGTTTAATAACTTACTTTACAGAAATTTACATGATTTACATAACTTACTTTACAGAAATTTACAACTTTCAACCATAATCAAAACTGTGTTTTTTTTACAATTAAAAACATGAAGCATTGAGTTCACTAAAAACTTCTTGCTTGTTTTGTATTGGTGTAATGGCGACATTGAGGGAGAGTTTCTGATAGAAATAAATGAATTTTATTTTATCATTTGTGTAAAGATGATAAAAAAATTCAAATACTGAGTACAACTAACTGAATTTCATCAAAACGATTTTCTTTCCACGCCTCATTTCAAGATATGAAGTGTGCATAGCTAATTGAAGAACTGAAAATGATTTTGTGTTTGTTAAAAAAGTTTGAAATACTGAATATTTAAAGTTTTTATTATTTTGTCGGCAGATTCTTCCTCAAGTTCAAAAACTTTGGTGTCGTCTATTCGTCCTTCCCCAACATCAACTGTTGAAGGTGAGAGATTTTTTACACTTTGAAATAAAATCTATTGACACATGTTTAAGACAGATAGCCCGATCGAAATGTCTATATACGAGAATTTGTTGTAAAAAATTTGACAGGATGTGTTACAGTAGCCAAAATATTTATTGAAAAAAAATTGGAAGCCGACACATAACTTGTTGAACTGATTTTCAACAGACATTTTACAAGTTTTGCTTTTAATTTTTTATTTAGTGAGCGCCCCACCATCTACGTCTGTTTACAGTAAGTTTCAAAAGTAATGCGTTCACATAATATATTTGGTGATGTACGCACTCATTTTTCTTATTTTCACACGTGTTTAACACACGAGTATATAAACTTTGTATTTGTATGGTCGTCTTTATCTCCTACATTCCATGATCATTCATGTTGAAAAATTTGAGTTGAATATTTTTATCTTGTTATTTTTAGCATGGCGTCCGTGGTGCTCATGGTGGCAATTTCGATGTAACGATGGCTATAGGTGTATTTCTCGTTACTATGTATGTGATGGTTATTCTCAGTGTTGGGATGGCAGTGATGAATGGTCCTGTTGTAAGTAATACTATATGTTTGAAAATTTACTTTACAGACATTGGCATGATTTTACTAATTTTCAACTCAACCATGAACGCAGTTGTTTTTTGTTTTACGAATAAAAACAGTTTTACTTTCATTAAAAACTGCTTTGTGTTTGGATTTGCTGGTGGTGACTTTGATGGAGAGTTTTTCCAAGACGCTTAAGGAGCTTTCTTCTGTCATTTATTACGTAAACTTATATCAAAACTGAAATACTAAATATACACAATTTCTTTATTTTTAGCTCAATCCTCAAATTCCCAGGTTTTAGCTTCAAGTGTTCATCCTTCTCCAACGTCATCTGGTGAAGGTGAAAGATTTTTAGCAGCATTAAAATGCAAAAGAATATTGTTGAGAAAATATGTGCACGACGAGTTTATAAAGTCATTATTTTGCGAATCAATCCAACCCTATTCTTATAATTTTCAGTCATGTCAACAATAAGACAGTGTTACTTTTGGCAATTTCGATGTAACGATGGCTATAGGTGTATAGATAACTATTATGTGTGTGATGGTTATCGTCATTGTTGGGATGGCAGTGATGAATGGTCCTGTTGTAAGTAATATGTTGTTTAATAATTTACTTTACAGAAATTTGCATGATTTTACAACTTTCAACCATAATCAAAACTGTGTTTTTTTTTACAATTAAAAACATGAAGCATTGAGTTCACTAAAAACTTCTTGCTTGTTTTGTATTTGTGTAATGGTGACATTGAGGGAGAGTTTCTCATAGAAATAAATGGATTTTATTTTATCGTTTATGTAAAGATGATGAAGAAATTCAAATACTGAGCACAATTAACTTCCAATTTCATCAAAAAGATTTTCTTTCCACACCTCATTTCAAGATATGAAGTGTGCATAGCTACTTGAAGAACTGAAAATGATTTTGTGTTTGTTAAAAAAGTTTGAAATACTGAATACGCAAGTTTTTGTATGGTTTTGTTTACAGATAATTTCTCGAGTTCAATAATTTCGGTTTCGTCTATTCGTCCTTCCTCAACATTAACTGTTATACGTAAGTAATACGTTGTTTTAATGATAATATAGCTGTAGCTGAGTGGCAAAATCAAAATAACAGACACCCATATGATACCAAAGTAGATTGTTGAACCCTACCACTCGGTAACAACAGCTGTCTATTTTCGTACTTATACTACGTAATATCTTTTAGCGCCATCAGCCGCTGACACATCTATGGCTCAAGGTAACTTCATACCCATTTACAGATTTTGCTATTGAATTATATATAATTTGTGCATGAATTGCAACTTTCAATGACTTTTGATAAGTTATCTTTACATGTAAAGAAAGTTTCTACTGAGCTCAGTCATACGTCGTGTATATAAGAGATATGCGAAATAATTAAAGAGGGCATGCTCAAATGTGCTGATAAAGCTACAAAAAGCAAACTATTTCGATTATTGAATTCTATGAATACAACGTTTTGTTAAAATCTCGACATTTTGTATCATGAGCATGTTCTTTAACTTTGTTGTTTTCTAGGTAATTCAACTCAAAAGTGCAAACACAAACTGGATCTTGGTTTTATTTTGGATAGCTCTGGTAGTGTTGGCCAAAGCAACTTCAGAAGAATGAAAAACTTTGTCAAAGATTTGACAAATTTTTACAACATTGGTGTTCACGAGACTCGTGTATCAGTCTTGACGTTTGCTTCGTCTTCTCGTATAAATATCCGCTTCGATCAATTTTCTAACAAAAGGTTTTTTGACGCAGCAGTTGATAACATTTATTACACTGATGGTTCAACTTATACCGCTTCAGCGTTATACCTGGCTTATAACAAGATGTACACATCTGCTTACGGTGCTAGGAGTGCTGGTACGTCATGTTAGAGTGAACATAACTTTAACAAAAAATCTCATAATGCCATCTTCTGAATTAATTTGTTTTAATTAATGATATGCATATTTACAGAATGAATATAGTTTTAGTCTAATTGAGAAATGATAGTCTAGTCTTTAAACCTTCAGCCCTTTTTGTAAATTCATTTTTTAACTTCTTTTTTTATGCAATCTGCATTTTTCGTGTTTTAGAATTCAAGAAGGTGTTAGTGATTTTGACCGACGGCCAAAGTGAAGGAAATGTTAATAATCCCACAAGGCTATTGAAGAACAGTGGTATTGTGATCTTTAGTGTCGGCATTGGACTTAGTATAAACAAACAAGAACTAGAGGATATGGCTTCAGATCCACCTGAAGAGCACGTAGTCATGTTGAACAGTTTTACTCAACTGTCTAAACTTTCTTCTAAATTGTCATCAAGGACTTGTAACGGTAAGGAAGTAAAGCGACTGTTGTGATACATCATTGTAAAGCGAAAATCTTTCTTGTAAACCGAAAACCTTACTCCACTAAAGTAAAGAAGTCTGGTCTCCATCTTTACACCAAAGGCAGCTTCTTCTCATTAATTCTTCACCCTCTTTTAGCTTCTAGTTTCCTGTTGATATGTGGTTCTCAGTACATGACAGCGATTATCAAGCGTAGTGAGATTTCTGGCAATATCAACACACTCTACCTTCGAGATGGTCATTGCAAAGCGAGCTGGAATTCAACACATATCGTTGTAAAAACTCCCTTACATGGTTGTGGCACAGAGGTCGTAGAAACATATCAATATATAATCTACACGAATGTCATATCTCATCTTGGTGCTTCTGAGAACTACAACGGAGATGACGTGATAACACGTTCTTACCTAAATGCTAAAATGATTTGCACTTATCCTCGCAAGCGTCGTGTTGGTGTGCTAAGCTTTGAACCAGCAAAGGAAAATATATTTATCAGCAGCAGTAAGTCTTCGAGTTAAAAACCACTTTTGGTCATTTACACCAAGTTTGCAAAATTACACCCTATCCTTTCTAATCATACATCTATCCCACGTTGACCATTGTTTCATAACTTGTCACCCCTCACCACAACCCCTACCTACCAGTTACTTAACTGCCAAAGTCGGAACACAAGTGGCCATCACGACTCTAACTGTCAGTGATAGCATAGCTGTATTTCTGTGAAATATTGAATGTTCTAGATAATTTTACTGCTTTCGTAGTATAAAAATAAACTATATTTTTAGGAAGTGAAGGCAATTTTTCTCTAACCTTGGACGTTTTTAAGAATAGCGACTACCGTGAGCGTTACACATCACAAGATTATCCTATCTTAATGGCTCTTTCCAAAAACCTCTACATTCAATACTCCGTCAATATACGCAATTTAAGCGTACGCGCCGAGAAATGTCGTGCTACACCAAGTAATAGACCATACGAAAGCATCTATTATGACTTCATTGTGGACGGGTAAGATTCCATCTTTTTTTTCTCGATATTGAGGCGTCGTGTTTTGTAAATTTATGTTTCTCATAACTTTTATTATTGATGTAAGTTTTTAGTTGTATGAAATCGCATGAAACTGCATGAAATTTTTTAGTTTCGTTGCATTCTATGAAACTATATAATAGCATTGTGAACTGAAGCAATTTGATTGGTCAGGGGCCATGATTTATCCAAGATCCAAGATTACGTCACAACAATTCACAGAACTTTCAATGCATAAACAGAAACAAAAAATACGGAAATTCTTGAACGTTTAATTGACATAGAACTAAGAAGAGAAAAACCTACTTTAAGCCAATTTTACATATTCTATATTGTAAAATATGTCATTGTTACCATCTTTCATTTTATTTGTTTTAGTTGTGACAAAGATGAAACCATCAGACATTACACAGAATGGTACAGTTCGATTCAGCGTTTCAGTATCCAGGCGTTCCGTTTCCTTACCAGTCATCGATTTGTCTATATACACTGTGATCTTGTTGTTTGCTCAAATGTTGGAAGCTACAACTCCACCTGCGCCCGCAATCGTACGTGTTCTTCACGTACACGTCGTGATGTAGAGGAAAAACAGAAAGATGTGACGGGTCTTTATCAGTTGTCGTTTGGTCCACTGATGCACGAAAAAAAGTCCTTTGAACAAAAGTCTGTTGAGGGTAAGTAATGTATTACAGTCAAACCTGTTTTAAACAGAAATCCTCGGTGAAAGGAGGAGTGTATGTTAAATGAAGGTGTCCGTTAGACAGAGGTTTTGTTATTACTAACTAGTTATATGGTATTAAAGTTAGACTTTTTGAAGTGTCCACTTAATACAGGTTTGACTGTGTTGCACTTTTTTTCAATCAGTTTAAATTCAGTAAAAAACCTGGATTTTTTCACGCTACAGAGCCTGGGGAAAAATAGTTATGGACTGCCAAATAGCGTAGTTGTAGAATCTTTTGCCTATCATAATATTTTCTCACAATATATGAATATTATTTCAACTCACACCAAGGTTTTTGACTTTTAGAAAAAAGTACAGTAAACATCACTTTGTTGGGCTCTTTGATCGTTTTTGGCTGTCTCACAGTTGCTCTAGCTGCTGCATTGGTTTATATGTTAAGACGATCACATGTTCGTAAATCTGACGCTTTAGTGGCTCGTGCTGACATCAAGGATGAAATGGAGATGCAAAATTTCCGTTTTAATGCTGAAAGTCATAGTGAAATCGTGAAATGCTAATTTTCTTTTTTGTCACATTTATGATGCAATCTTTTTCTTTTTGCTCAGATTATATTATTTGAGGTGTTTTCGAAATGATTTTTAGAAATGATTTAATCGTTCTTTTCTTTTTCAAGGTATTAGAGAGTAATGTGAGTTAACTTTCACCAACCTATTTTATACTCAAATCATGAACTGTAATCATCAGGCAATACATTTTTATTACTATGCATTTTGTCATATTTTTTTCGGTATTCTCGAAAGAAGAAAATTTTAGAGAATCACAGAAAACGGCTCAATATACTCTTTCATTGTTCAGCGGTATCATATTTACGGAGTATGCGCGTAGCCAAAGCAAAAAATTCAAATTTGAAGAATTCGAACTTGAACGAGTTGAACATTAAAAGTCAAAATTCATCTCTATAATTACAAAAGCTTGCGATGACACTGCATTTTTCTCAACAATGAGATACTTTCAGCATTTTTCTATGTCTTGTTAATATGGTTCGTTTAAGTAAATCTGCGCAACGACAACGCACTCCAGAAAACAGTACAAAACGTAAAGATTATACACCGAAACGTACTATTACAGAAGAGGAAAACAAATCTGGTAAAGTGTACTAAACATACTTCTTCACCATACTGGTTCTTTGAATTCATATTCGTATTGTATTATTAGCGATAAATCACTAATACGATTTTTACATACAGCATAGACTCAGTGCATAGTTTATAGTTGATGTTTATTGTGTACAAAACGTTGGTTTGGTATAAATATTGTTAAACATTATTGAGCTTTGTTAAATGGTGCTCAGAAAATTTAGTACAGTACTTACTATGCACCATTGCTCAGTGCCATTAGAAATTTTTGTATCTGAATCATGCAAATCATATGCCTTACTGCAAATAACTAGCATGGTATATTTTACGATAGTTATAGTTGAGTACATTTAAAATACTAAAAATCTTGTGTTCGAACATTGTTTGTATGAAAAAGCTGGAGTAAGACGTCAAAGACGTCGAAGATATCGACCAGGTACAAGAGCTCTAATGGAGATTCGGCATTATCAGAAAACTACCGACCTTCTATTGCGCAAGATGCCTTTTGTACGAGTGGTATGTTGAAGATTGTAGAATTTGACCAGCCACACATGGACTGGTGAATAAATATTTGTTGTTTGGGAAATTTTAACTGAACATGCCCAGATTTGGCAGGTTTTAAAATGTTCAAATTTGAGTGAATTACTTTTACATGTCAATGGTTTTATGTTCAAGGTGCGAGAAATAGCTATGAAATGGTCATCAAATCATGTGGAACTTAGATGGCAGCTGCCAGCTTTAGAATGCATTCAAGAGGTATGAAGTATTTAAATATTTTTATTATAAAACAATTTTTCAAACTGATTGCAAGCTTTGCATATTGATTACTTCCTAGGAGTACATACTTATGTGAAAAAGGCTCTCAATTTTTTCCTGAATATCAAAGACCAATTAAAGGTTTCATAAGTAGACATTACATTAGATTGTGTTCCATTATTTCATCTTTTTTTAGGCTGCAGAAGCATTTCTTGTTAGGTTATTTGAAGATGCCAACCTTTGTGCGTTGCATGCAAAAAGGATTACAATCATGCCTAGAGATATTCATTTAGCAAGGAGAATTCGTGGAAGAAATGACATTGGCTGATTGTAATTTTTCACTTTAAGATATAGTTACATATGTACCTTAGTTTTTTTAAAATTTAGATGTAACGTTTTTTTATTTAGTGTTAAGTTAAGTTTAGCTTTATACAGTACATGGAACATTGACGCTACTTGCCTTTTGTAAGTAGTGTCATAGTAAAAAAATAGAGTTGTAACAATATAAACAACACGTAGCCTTGGCCATGTCATCAATTTTCATATATGCGAAAAAATAAAAACCTCTACTTGTTTTCTCGAGAAAAACTAGCTGCATGCTGGATGTTTTTCTATCAAATGTTTTGATATTATAAACTTCTGTACGAGAGAAAACTCGATAATTATATACGTGACATCGTTCATCGCAATTTACGGAATTTTGTCTTGATAATAGCATTTCTTGGAAAGGAAAGATGGCCATAAACGGAGAAATTTCTTCAATCGTGTATTCGAAAATTTCCAGCCAAAAAACACAATCCAATCAAATCCCTCAGCCGGAAATCAACTCATTCTACAGACAATGACATTAAAAAAGACAATGGTTACTCAAAAAAGGAAGTTAACTGATGTCAAGCTGTAGAATACAGGCCAAGGATTGATCACGCTGAAGAATGTTCCTAGCTGTTTTGGGGTGTTTCCATATTTCTCGTGAATGTTTTCCATATTAAGTTCTTCTGTTATCTTTTTCAAAAGTGCTTTTGAAATCGGAACTTCTTTCGTTTGAACAAACTTGAAATCTTCTGTGTATGAAAGAAAATATAAAAGTAAAATAAAATTTGATATTTATCCGCTTTCAAGTGATCTCGTGGTTAGAGCACTACCGTGAAATTGGCACCACATTGGGCACCACATTCAACACAACATTCATCACAACATTCAACACCACATTCAACTAAAATTTATCATTCAAAATGATAAATCGAAAAATCGTCTTTAAAACACGTTTCCCATCAAATATAACAGTAAAAAACAATTCTTAACTGTTTATTATTACTTTACTGTCCTTAACCATCAAAAAAAATATATAAAAGTCAAGAAATTAAAGAAAACACTAAGATTTATATTACAGTGTACTTTCCATTTCTCTAAATTAGCCTAAAATTTAAAAACTGCACGGTAGAATTTTTTTAAACTTGGCCAGAATATAGATATTTATATTGTCTAAAATATATCCAAAATCTGGAGGTGGCACTGTAGAAAATCATCGACAAAGTCGGATGACACGAATGCGCGTAATATAATCTTGCATATTTAAGTTAAGAATTCCGATTCTTTAACAAACAAAGCCTTATAAATAAAAAACTACACGGTAGAATTTTTTTAAACTTGGCCAGAATATAGATAATTACATTGTCTATAACATATCCAAAATCTGGAGGTGGCACAAAAAAATAAGTTGTAGAAAATCATCGACAAAGTCGGATGACACGAATGCGCGTAATATAATCTTGCATATTTAAGTTAAGAATTCCGGTTCTTTAACAAACAAAGCCTTATAAATAAAAAACTACACGGTAGAATTTTTTTAAACTTGGCCAGAATGTAGATAATTACATTGTCTATAACATATCCAAAATCTGGAGGTGGCACAAAAAATAAGTTGTAGAAAGTCATCGACAAAGTCGGATGACACGAATGTGCGTAATATAATCTTGTATAATTATGTTGAGAATTTCAAGTCATTGAAAACAAAGGCCTGTAAATAAAAAACTACACGGTAGAATTTTTTTAAACTTGGCCAGAATATAGATAATTATAATGTCTATCACATATCCAAAATCTGGAGGTGGCACAAAAAAAAAATAATATTCCTTGAGAATGTACTCTGGTATTAACTGTGAAGTTGGCACCACATTCGACAAACAGCTCTATAGTTAAAAAACTACACGGTAGAATTTTTTCAAATTTGGCCATATTGTAGATATTCTTACTGTCTAAAATATATCCAAAATCTGGAGGTGGCACAAAAAAATAAGTTGTAGAAAATCATCGACAAAGTCGGATGACACGAATGCGCGTAATATAATCTTGCATATTTAAGTTAAGAATTCTGGTTCTTTAAAAACAAAGCCTTATTAAATAAAAACTACACGGTAGAACTTGGCCAGAATATAAATAATTATATTGTCTATAACATATCCAAAATCTGGAGGTGGCACAAAAAAATAAGTTGTAGAAAATCATCGACAAAGTCGGATGACACGAATGCGCGTAATATAATCTTGCATATTTAAGTTAAGAATTCCTGTTCTTTAACAAACAAAGGCCTATAAATAAAAAACTACACGGTAGAATTTTTTTAAATTTGGCCAGAATATAGATAATTATATTATCTATAACATATCCAAAATCTGGAGGTGGCACAAAAAAATAAGTTGTAGAAAATCATCGACAAAGTCGGATTACACGAATGCGCGTAATATAATCTTGCATATTTAAGTTAAGAATTCCTGTTCTTTAACAAACAAAGGCCTATAAATAAAAAACTACACGGTAGAATTTTTTTTAATTTGGCCATTTTGTAGATATTCTTACTGTCTAAAATATATCCAAAATCTGGAGGTGGCACAAAAAATAAGTTGTAGAAAATCATCGACAAAGTCGGATGACACGAATGCGCGTAATATAATCTTATATAATTATGTTGAGAATTTTAAGTCATTGAAAACAAAGGCCTGTAAATAAAAAACTACATGGTAGAATTTTTTTAAACTTGGCCAGAATATAGATATTTATATTGTCTATAACATATCCAAAATCTGCAGGTGGCAAAAAATAAGTTGTAGAAAATCATCGACAAAGTCGGATGACACGAATGCGCGTAATATAATCTTGCATATTTAAGTTAAGAATTCCGGTTCTTTAACAAACAAAGCCTTATAAATAAAAAACTACACGGTAGAATTTTTTTAAACTTGGCCAGAATATAGATAATTACATTGTCTATAACATATCCAAAATCTGGAGGTGGCACAAAAAATAAGTTGTAGAAAGTCATCGACAAAGTCGGATGACACGAATGTGCGTAATATAATCTTGTATAATTATGTTGAGAATTTCAAGTCATTGAAAACAAAGGCCTGTAAATAAAAAACTACACGGTAGAATTTTTTTAAACTTGGCCAGAATATAGATAATTATAATGTCTATCACATATCCAAAATCTGGAGGTGGCACAAGAAATAAAAAAAATAATATTCCTTGAGAATGTACTCTGGTATTAACTGTGAAGTTGGCACCACATTCGACAAACAGCTCTATAGTTAAAAAACTACACGGTAGAATTTTTTCAAATTTGGCCATATTGTAGATATTCTTACTGTCTAAAATATATCCAAAATCTGGAGGTGGCACAAAAAAATAAGTTGTAGAAAATCATCGACAAAGTCGGATGACACGAATGCGCGTAATATAATCTTGCATATTTAAGTTAAGAATTCTGGTTCTTTAAAAAACAAAGCCTTATTAATAAAAAACTACACGGTAGAATTTTTTTAAACTTGGCCAGAATATAAATAATTATATTGTCTATAACATATCCAAAATCTGGAGGTGGCACAAAAAAATAAGTTGTAGAAAATCATCGACAAAGTCGGATGACACGAATGCGCGTAATATAATCTTGCATATTTAAGTTAAGAATTCCTGTTCTTTAACAAACAAAGGCCTATAAATAAAAAACTACACGGTAGAATTTTTTTAAATTTGGCCAGAATATAGATAATTATATTGTCTATAACATATCCAAAATCTGGAGGTGGCACAAAAAAATAAGTTGTAGAAAATCATCGACAAAGTCGGATGACACGAATGCGCGTAATATAATCTTGCATATTTAAGTTAAGAATTCCTGTTCTTTAACAAACAAAGGCCTATAAATAAAAAACTACATGGTAGAATTTTTTTTAATTTGGCCATTTTGTAGATATTCTTATTGTCTAAAATATATCCAAAATCTGGAGGTGGCACAAAAATAAGTTGTAGAAAATCATCGACAAAGTCGGATGACACGAATGCGCGTAATATAATCTTATATAATTATGTTGAGAATTTTAAGTCATTGAAAACAAAGGCCTGTAAATAAAAAACTACATGGTAGAATTTTTTTAAACTTGGCCAGAATATAGATATTTATATTGTCTATAACATATCCAAAATCTGCAGGTGGCACAAAAAAATACGTTGTAGAAAATCATCGACAAAGTCGGATGACACGAATGCGCGTAATATAATCTTGCATATTTAAGTTAAGAATTCCGGTTCTTTAACAAACAAAGCCTTATAAATAAAAAACTACACGGTAGAATTTTTTTAAACTTGGCCAGAATATAGATAATTATAATGTCTATCACATATCCAAAATCTGGCGGTGGCACAAAAAAAAAAATAATATTCCTTGAGAATGTACTCTGGTATTAACTGTGAAGTTGGCACCACATTCGACAAACAGCTCTATAGTTAAAAAACTACACGGTAGAATTTTTTCAAATTTGGCCATATTGTAGATATTCTTATTGTCTAAAATATATCCAAAATCTGGAGGTGGCACAAAAATAAGTTGTAGAAAATCATCGACAAAGTCGGATGACACGAATGCGCGTAATATAATCTTGCATATTTAAGTTAAGAATTTGGTTCTTTAAAAACAAAGCCTTATTAATAAAAACTACACGGTAGAATTTTTTTAAACTTGGCCAGAATATAGATAATTATATTGTCTATAACATATCCAAAATCTGGAGGTGGCACAAAAAATAAGTTGTAGAAAATCATCGACAAAGTCGGATGACACGAATGCGCGTAATATAATCTTGCATATTTAAGTTAAGAATTCCTGTTCTTTAACAAACAAAGGCCTATAAATAAAAAACTACACGGTAGAATTTTTTTAAATTTGGCCATATTGTAGATATTCTTACTGTCTAAAATATATCCAAAATCTGGAGGTGGCACAAAAAATAAGTTGTAGAAAATCATCGACAAAGTCGGATGACACGAATGCGCGTAATATAATCTTATATAATTATGTTGAGAATTTCAAGTCATTGCTAAACAAAGGCCTGTAAATAAAAAACTCTAGGGTAGAATTTTTTTAAACTTGGCCATATTGTAGACATTCTTATTGTCTATAACATATCCAAAACCTGGAGGTGGCACAAAAAAATAAAAGGAATAATATTCCTTGAGAATGTACTCTGGTATTAACCGTGAAGTTGGCACCACATTCGACAAACAGCTCTATAGCTAAAAAACTACACGGTAGAATT